GAGAGCGGTCGAAAGTTTGAATGCCTTAATGTTAATTATACTGTTCGCGTATTTCATCATATCTTGAGAACTTTTTAAGCTAGTTGAAGAAAAATTTCTCAAAATTATGAAATTCGTATATTATAAGATAATTCCACGCATAAAATAAATTCTAATAATTATCGATTTTTTATTCTATTATTTTATAGCAGTCGAAAAAAGTTTGAATAGTAGGGTGAACAAATTTTTGCATTATTTTAAATAACATATTTTGGTATGGCAAAATGCAAAATTTGGGAGAAATCGATTTAGTAGTTCCTGAGAAATTGAAATTTAAAAATGCCATGCATATAAAATCCGATTTCTCTTCGTTCACATTTTGTCACATGAAAATGCATTTTTTTTAAAATGAGGTAAAAATTTGTATACCATGCAGAGTAAAATTACGACTGTAATTAGATAAGTTAATAAAAATTTAAAAAAAAACATTCTTCTGTGGAATTATCTTTAGATAAATGAACTTAATAATTGCTCTCAAAAATTTTTCTGCTCTTCAAAAATTTTTAAAAAAAGTTCTTAAAAGGAGCTTTTTTGCTTAAAAAGCTCTCGAGATATGATGAAATACGCAAAAAATATAATTAATATTAAAGGGTCCTAAATTTTGACAGCTCTGTTGATCTAACTATTGGGACCATATTTCGCAGTTTGCGGCTTTCCCCTTTTTTTTCGGGGGGGGGGGGGTCAGGAATCATAACTAATAGAAAAAAAGGAACTTTTAATTCAGAGAAAATATGTATTTATGGCTTAGTTCGCAACTTAAAATATCGTCTGTAGTAACTAATTAGCATATTTGAGTTCACCCGTTAAACATTTAAGATTGAGTCTTAATACGTAAAAATTTGATTATTAGATCTAAAGTTAATAAGGGTGTTTAATTTTTTTTCACACTGTACGTAATGTGTAATGTTATAAAGTTATAAAATTAATGCAAGTTATTTAATTCTTTTGTAACGTTCTAATTTAATAACTTGTTAACACATCTGCTGCTGAAAACAGAAATGTTATTTTTAAGAGAAAATAGGAGAAAAATAAGCTAATATTTATTATCTAAAAGAATTAAACTAAAGCTTGTAGGAGCTTAAAGAAAATAATTCTCAGAAAACATTTTCCTAAAAGGTTTTTAAACAATCTTTTTTTCTTTGATGGATGGTGTACTAATCCAAAAACTCCTATGTAAAAAAATCCGGGATCTTGCTCTTACATGTAAAGTATCTTCTCGATACAAAAATAACTTTTTCAGTCATAAAATTCTATTAAAAAAAGCTTTACATTTAAAATACTACAGTTAAAACAAAGTACTCACTGTTATATACTATAACTATGAATTCTTTGAAGGTAATACATTTACAAAAAAAAAAGTTCTTTTTAAACCAATGGGAAAAAAAATGAAAAGAAACTTAAAAAAATTTTAAACGTGCCCTTAGAAATTGATAAAAAAATCAAAAAAATAAATTTCATTCTGGAGAATTATAACAGCAACGTTTTTGCGAGAATATAAAAGTAAATTAAAATTCCTGAATATTCCCCAATATCTTTCTTTTTCATTAAAAATTTATTACTTAAGCTTTGTTTTAAAATATTTCCCTCTTGATTGTATGGAAAATGAAGTTACTAAAACTGCTGTAAAACTAAAAGGTTTTTTTTTCATTTATTTTACTTTACAAAACAGCAGAGTTAAGCATTAAAAATCTTAATTAGCAGAAAAAAATATTAATGTGAGAACTGATTATACTATTTTGTTCTATTTTTGAATGCAATTTAGTTTAGATTTTATTTTACACACCAGTCGCCTGCATGAACTCTGCGCTTCGCGGTTCCACACTCTCTTTTATCTGCACGAACTCACTACTTCATAGTTCTATGTTAGTTTCTGCTGCCATCAGCTACTTTATTTTGAGTCTTTTGTGTAATCGGGTAAATCTGAGGCCATTTGATTCTTCTGCACAAACTCACTGCTTCTCGGTTCCTCACTCTTTTTCAACTGCTCAAGCTCACTACTTCGTTGTTTTATGTTAGTTTCCGCTGCCATCAGCTACATTATTTTGAATGTTCGGTGTAATCGGGTAAATCTGAGGCCACTTGATTCCTCTACACAAACTTACTGTTTTTTCGGTTCCACACTCTTCTTCAACTGCACAAGCTCACTACTTCGTTGTTCTATGTTAGTTTCTGCTGCCATCAGCTACATTATTGTGAATCTTCGGTGTAATCGGGTAAATCTGAGTCTATTCGATTCTTCCACACAAACTCACTGCTACACGGTTCCACACTCTTTTTCAACTTCACAAGCTCACTACTTCGTTGTTCTACGTAATTGTTTTCATTTTTCCTAATATTCTGATAACGACCACATTTTCCCAAATAGTAGACTTCTCTCTTGATAGTAACGTGTTATTTAGGAATGTTGTTCATTCTAATTTTTACCCCGGAACTACTCTATTATTTACAAAAATCAAAATGAAGTTTTAATTTTTTCAATTTTTATTATAGTGAGCGAATTTTCCAAATTTAAGCTTCCTAACTTGAGGGAAAGTGGGAGAATGAGGAGTGATGAGTCAAGGAGTGTGCTTTTGCCTTTCATACGCATATAATTTCATACGCATAAAATTATAAAATATCTGTTTTGAATTGTTTCATACTTAAATTGAATCCTTATATTATTTTAATGCTTCCCTAAAACTTTATATAAATATTTAAAAACATTGAAATGGTATAGTAAGATAGCTATCGAACCCATTACTGAAACGCTTAAACTTATTTATTTAGGAAGTTTTTTTAGTATTATTTATTAAATTTTATTTACTAATTTATTTTTTATGAATTATTAATTTATTTTTATTAATTATTAATTTATTATTATTTATTAATTAATTATTAATTATTATTATTAATTAATAATTATTAAGTATTATTTGTTAATTTATTAATTTTTACTGCACTGCTGTTTTGTTTGGAAGAGATGTAACTAAGCAAATTTATTAATTTTGTTGCTTTGTCATACAAAATTTTTATTTTAAAAATCAAACTTCATGATATTGTTTTTCTTTCTTTTTTCGATTGCAAAATCGTCTCTTTATCATTTTTACATACATTAGGGAAAATAACTACTTAATCGCTGATATTCACCAACAATGATTATTTAATATCATTTTTTGTTTCGTCTCACAAAACATTTTTTCTTCAAAATTATTCACTTGAAATTTAAGTTTAGTACAAATGAATTCAGCTACTTACACTGATGGCATCCACATTCGTTATACAAACAGTTTTCTTATGATTCAGTTAAGATCTATTTATAAACTTAAATCAGATTTCTTAGTAATAAGTTTATCAAAATAATATAAAAATTAAAAACTTTAGTGTCGTAAAAAAAATTTCGCTTAGCATTGCAATTTAATAAACAATTTTTTTTTAAAATTTTTAATTAATATTTTTTTGCTATAAAACTTGTTATATTGCTTCACTAAATAGATTATTTAGTTATAACTAAAAAGTTACTTCCTTACAATTATCTACATTTTCTAATTAATTTTTTAAGTGTATAAATAGACTAGACACAGTTTTACTCAAAGTAAATATAAAAGTATCAAAGTAAAAGTATCAAAGTTAAAGTAAATATTACCAACCTACTATTTAATAATTGTAAAAAAGTTAATAAATTCAACCTTAAGTTTTTAGTCTTAAATTTGGCATAACAATCCAAATAAGAAATAAATAAAAGTTATGACCCTTAAGATTCTCTTTCAGCAGAAGAGGAATTTTGCTCCCTCCATGTTAACCTATGGAGAATTTCAAAAATTCTATTTCTTTATTTATCTTGCAACTAATTAATATTTTTGAATATTTGTGTTCTATTTTAGGTAGAATTTCAGGTATACGTTACCCGCTTGACATGATTTCGTATTTAAAATTTCAACCATCTTTAAGCTTTATAATTTACAAATCTCAAGCTCAACTGTAAAATCGCACTTGAATTCTAAAATGCAGAGGTAAAATGGCTAAAAAGCAATAACCTACCGAATCTGCAACTACAAATTGCAAACATTAATACCCTTCCAAACATCGCCAATGAATCCATCGTGTAACGTATACCAAACTACGCCCTATTCTATTCATTAAAATGTGTTATATTGGACTAAGATTTCCAATTTAAAAATTTATGTTCTTCGCTATTTTTAAATCTCAAGCTTTAAAAAAAAAAATTTAAAAATAAAGAAACTTAGCCCTAAAATGTTAAAGTCAATAACTAAGTTCAATAGAATACGGTAAATATATAACGAGGGGGAAATATTATTCAAAAATTATAATTTGTCATCGAAGAGCAAATAGACAGACCGACACTCATTTTCATATATATAGATAAGAAATCAAGTTTTAATTCCACTTAACTTGCATGCTCTGAGACATTTTTTTAGCTCATTTTTAATCTAGAAGTAGGAGTCATCACGGCTCCTACTTCTAGATTAAAAATGAGCTAAAAAAATGTCTCAGAAGTCCATGAGTCAAAAAATGTCAGGCTCAGGGGATAGAGCATTCGCCGTTCAATGAGGTGAACCGGGTTCAAATCCCAGCGATGGCTGGTCGATACGAATTCCACATCCGACTTGCTCCAACCACAGTGCTGACGTAAAATATCCTCTGTGGTAGACGGATCATGGGATAGAGTCCTCTTGCCATCAGGTTAACCATGGGAGGTCTTCGTAGTTTTCCTCTCCGTGTATTGTAAATACGGGTTAGTTCCATCAGAAAGTCCTCCACGAAGCCAAATTTCTCCCAATACTTGATCCAAGAGTTCCTTTTTTTTCTGGATTGGGTTTAAAATTACAAGGCTACGGAGTTGAGCATTAGAAATCGTAAACACGAAATTGCGTCGGCTGTTCAACGACGATTATAAAATGAATTCTAAAAGTTGTATTGTTTGCCAACCTAATATTTTTGTAATTGCCATTTCAGCACTATGCCGCTCTTCGTGTGGTGAAGGTCGGTGTATTCGACCAAACATATGTTACTGTGGCAACAGACAAGTTGGACCCTCGTGTGATGGTTTCGGTGGTGGAACATCATTACCAGGAGTTGGTGGGAAAGTACCTGATGGAGGTGGAGGTACTAATGGAGGTTCGAAGTTACATCCGATTGGACCAGGAAATGTAATCCATCCAGGACAAGGTGGTAAGTTACATTTTCTAATAACAAGCTCTTTATTTAATAATGCTGAAAGTTCTAAACTTCGTAACTTATTAATTTAAAAATAATGAAGGTTTCTAAACTTCGTTAACAATCATAACATTTCCATCTAATAATAATGAAGGTTCTGAACTTCGCATCAACCACAACTTTCCAATTTAACAATAAGGAAAGTCCTAAATTTCGTAAAAATCATAACCCTCCAATTTAATAATAATGAAGTTTCTAAATTTCACAACAATCATAACCTTTTTAATTTAAGAATAATGAAGGTTCTATCCAACGAATAACAAATAATATGCTGTTCTCTAAAATTAAAATTTGAGAAAAGTTTTACAGACATCAGATATACTAAAAAACCTAAAAATTAGTATAAATTGACACATTAGGCAACTTATCGCCAAACTGACTATATTTTGTTATGGAATACAAAATATAGTCAGTTGTCAGTTATTTTGAATACAAAATATAGTCAGTTTGTGGATTGGTTAATTCAAAACTGTTCCCTATTTTAAAACCAAAATAACTTAAATACATTAAAAAGTGTATTTCTAATTAATATAGTCATCATTTTATTCACTATTGCTCGCTATTTCGTATCTTTTAGAATTTTTATTTAAATAAACTGAGTGGTTTTTCTCAAAAAAATAACAAAAAAGGTTATAAAAAGTTCTGACTTTCACAGATTCAATTTTTTGACGGTAGTTTATTTTGTAATAAACCAAATAAATGAAAATCTGAAAGGGCAATGTCACAGAAATATAGCGTTAAATTACGTATCCACAAATAAAAATATATAATTAAGAAGAAAAAACACAATATGTAAAAAAATTATTCTATTAACTCCGTATTGGATCCTCCGCCAAAATAATCGCCAAGATTTGGAAAACTTGAAATTGAGGCAAGGATTAAGAATTGCATAGAAACGCATGATCCAAAAGGATTCGCTACGGGCACTTCACTATTTTGAACTGTTTCCTACAATATCTTAATTTGATGTTAATATTTTGTTTGCCTTTAATTATAGCCGAAAATTTCACTCAAATATACGCAGAAATATACATTCTATAGTTAATTAAAAATTTAGTGAACTTTTCAAAATAGTCGCCAAATCATTAAATTACGATTAAAAATCTAAACTGCTGTTTGTAGAAAATGCAACACCATGAAAGAATCATCAGAATCAAATGAAATTTAATGCAGAAACGACTTGTACTGATACAAATAAATGATGAAATTTTCAAAACAAAAGAAACAAATTAAGCGTCCGAAATCAGTATTTGGTGCAGCCACCACGNATCCATTATTAAAATAATATTTCATTTGATTCTGATGATTCCTTCATGGTGTTGCATTTTCTACAAACAGCAGTTTAATACTGAACCAATTTAAATACATTTTAAATAAGTTAAAGTACTTCTTGGAAAGCACTTGTAGAAACAGTTCATAATAGGGAAGCACTCCTAGCGGCGTGCGATGACATTTTCGGCCATGGGTTCCTATGCAATTCTTAATCCTTATGGTCTGCCCTACCTCGGCTTCAAATTAATTCCATTCCATAGAATCATCAATACATAATATTAAATGACAGCCATCGCCAAGGCAGCAAAAACAATTGACAAATACAAAACTGGCAATGTTTTTTCGGAAGGGTTGCTTTGACGATTATGGTACAAGAATGTCGACTTTTGAAAATTCTCCACAAATTTCAGATTTGATCTTTTATTGTTAAATTTCCTATATGCAAAAATCTTAACATTTTATCTAACTTTTAAAAATGTTTCAAGTTTTTTTAAAGGTTTATTTATATCTAAAGCCATTTTTTAGTTCTTCTTACAGTGTACAGACATGCTTTTATCGCATTTTCTTTCCATTATAATTTTTAACTTCATCATTTGTGACTGATCATCAAAATGCGTAGAAAACAATAAAGTGGATTCCGTCTCTTTCACGGCCCACCTTCCGACAAATTTTCTTTTCGAATATTTTCCACTTTGCAAAAATACTCACTCACGAAAAGAAGAAGAAAAAACTCATTTCTTGGTTTTTCACTTCGGTAAGCTGGCGGTGAATTTAAAATACCTCCGATACATTCAAATTGGAAATAAGCCAAATGGAAAATAAAAATTCCATCTAAAAATCTTTCCGTTGATATTTGGCAAAACAAGGTTCTCAAAATAAAAGTCTGAAATCTAAACATGGAAGTGTATGTGGATTACATGCATAGTGACTATTTTAAAAGTAGATTTATTTCCATATCACTATAAAAGTGTAAGAAATTTATCTCTTCCCCAAAATATATTCGTCTTCTTAGCTGGACATGTATACAGCACTGAAATGCATCTAAATTCCAAAATAGGTAAATAAAATCGAGATTCTATTGGAAGGAATTTTAAGAATGCTTATAAGGGAAATATATTTTGTATGTCGTACCTTCGTCGTTTTAATTTAATCTATCGCGCGTATAGATTGACACATAGACACATTGTTCTAAATATTATTCCCAGTGTAATAAAATAATATTGGTGGTATTTTGTTTAAGCTAATTCACTCTTGGTACTAAGATAGTTCAGGCTGCTCTGCATATTTGCAAAATGTTTCTTTTTTCGCTTTTTGTTTATATAAATACATTTATTAATTTCAGTAGCAATTTGTGAGAAGGGGGAGAGAGGGAGTAATTATATGTGTAAAACCCCATAATTGGCTTAAATTTTAAAAAATATTTATTAACAGCATCTTTAATTTTTTAAATATTTTTTCATCTTTTTCATTAAAGTACGTACACACCTGATCATAATTACTGTTAAGCTCTCGAAAAAATGCAGTTAAAGTTTAACAATGATATATGGCTTATAAACATGTGTTTTGCTTCTAAACTGCTAGCATATATATATTTACATATTTCTCTTACACGGCGGTAAGGAAAGTCTCTATCTCTCTTTCACGTGGGCAACAAAAAATTGAAATATCAAGTGTGTGAGTTGATATAAGCATGAAAGCGTAAGCGACTGCAAATTTCTTAGTGAAAATTCCTTTCCATTGTCGCGTGGGCAACAAAAAGTTGAAGCGAGCTGAGGCATAAGTTTGGTAGAAATGAAAGGTTAAAAGCGAATAATTCATATCAATGGACTACATGTTTTGATTATGCTTATGCAGATTCAATAATAATAATAATAATTCTAATAATTATTCACTAGAAAATGAGTATTAGTCACGCTTTTTCGTTTTTTAAAAGCATAATTAATGTCCAGTTTCTGCAAGTTTTTCCATTGCATGTCATTTATTTCGATTTAAATTATTTATTTCAACAACTTGACAAAACAAGCACTTGACAGAACAATACTTGACAAGAAAATGTAATTCTTTAAAAATAATTTAATGGTATTACAATTTTAATAATTTAATAATTTTAATAAATTCATAACAATTAGTAATTTACTGTTATTTTTGTAATACTGATTACTATCTTTAACGTAATAAAAATAAATTATTATTTTCAATTTCAAATAATTTTAATTACATTTAATCTTAATTATGGATAAATTATTAAGGTTAAATTTAATCAAAATTGTTAAGTTGCAAACAAATAATCAATTACTTATAATCATGATTTCCTACAATTACAATTTACGAGTACAATTGCAATATAGTTCATCATATACTAAGCATGCATATAATAATAATGGACAATTACAAGTATTTTTTATTTAATTTTAAATACAGATAAGTAATCATGTACGAACAATCAAGTCATTGCAGTTACAATTTCATGTAAACATAACTTATGATTACAATTACAATAATAATTGCAAGTTATAGTTAACTACGCTTACAATCAATAATGATATACTATTGCAATTTATATTTAACAATTACTGTTGCATTTACATTTTATAATTATTGTTAGAATTATACATTTAATTATAATTTCAGCTGTCGATTACAAATAATTTATAATTTATAATCAAACAAATTTTGTCCAACTCTGAATCAATTTAATAAATATTATTATCATTTAATTGAGATAAAAAATTCGTTCAATTATGAAATTTTCTTATATTATGTAATTCATTTGATTTTCAAAACTTAACGAATAAAGGAAAATGGTTTATGGAAGAAATGTAACATTTGTCGTATCTACAATGCTCCGTTTTCACAAAAAAATTATTACTTCTATAAAATAATGGGAAAAGTGTTTATAAATAATTACAGTTCATCATTTACTAAACATACATGCAATAATAATGGACCATTACAAGTATTTTTTTGTTCTTAATTTCAAATACATATAAGTGATTGTGTACGAATAATCAAGTAATTGTAATCACAATTTCATGTAAACGTAATTTATGAAATTGCAATTACAAGTTATCTTTAACTACGTTTACAATTAATAATGATGTACTGCTACAATTTACATTTTACAATCACTGTTGCAATTATACATTTAATTATAATTCCAGTTGTTGATTACAAATAATTTATAATTCATAATGAATCAAATTTTGCATAACTCCTGAATAAATTTAACAAATATTATTTTTATTCAATTGAAATAAAATTATAAAATTCTGTCAATAATGAAACTCTCTAATATTATGTAATTTTTTTTCAAAACTTAACGAATAAAAAAAAAATGATTTAAAGAAGAAATTTAATATTTGTCGTATCTACAATGCTCCGTTTTCTCAAAAAAATATTGGAATAGAAATAAAACAATGGGAAAAGAATTACATATTTTACGATTCTACTTCAACGCTTTTATTCGGTTCTAAGTATCAAATGGCCGCTATAATATAGAATAAAACAGTTTGGAATTCCTATTTCGATTGTTAAATTGCGTATTTATTCTTCATAATATTCATTCTCTTAAATGTAATGATTACTCTTTTGAATGTGCTGAATTGTTTCGAAGGAGCCAAATCGACTCACATAAAGAAAAAATAATTGCGGAATCATACAATTAAATATTTGGGCTCTTTTACAAATGCAGGGTGATTGAAATCTGTTAAATGAAATAAACCTTTATTAAAAGAATACGTCGAAATATATTTGACTATTTTTGTGTGTGTGTGTGTGTATTTGAGATGTCGACATGAAATAGTAATGTTCCATTTTGCCTCTTGTATGAGGAATTTAAAATTGACATTATTTGTAACATTTGCCGTAAAATTTAATTTTCTTTGTTAATAATTGTCATTTATTCATGAATTTATATCAATGCGATTGCTTTTCTGTCACTTTATTTGCGAATTCCTAATTGTTTTCTAACCCTTTGACAAAGACTTTTTATTAAAACATATTTTTCATACTTTTTTGTTTTGTTTTTGTTTAATTATTTTGTTTTAATTTTAGTCATCATAAGAGAAAAATATTTTATTTAGTATTTTAATAACTTATGGTTACGAAATACAGCCTGAAATACTGGTGCCTTTTTTTCTGCGTTAAAGGTAAAATCTTCCAAACACTGCTGACTTCCAAACAATAATTTTTCAAATTTCCACTTATTTGTCGTTATTTAGATCTAAGGGAGACAGTTATTCTTTAATTTACAAATAAATTATTGATAAATTAATTTAGGTCGAAATAAATGAAAAATATTAGCATTTTAATAATTTATGGTTATGAAATACTAGATCAAGAAATATCTGTGTCTTTTTCTGCGTAAAAGGTAAAATTTTCCTAACACAGCTCACTTCCAAAGAAGAATTTTTTTCCTTCAAAATCGCACTTTATTGCAGTTATTTGGATAAAAAAAAGCAGTTTTTTATCATTAAAATTTCTTTAATTTCTAAAATCAGTTATTGATAAATTGCTGAATATGAATGAAAAAGAAATTTTTCAAGCAACGCTTTTTCGGATTTTAGCAAATTTTAACAAATTTAGTACAAATATAATTCCTATAATCTAATAAATTTTTTCAGTACCAAATGCACTGTTTTGTATAATCAAAAAATATCAAAATATACTGTTGCTTGTAATTAGACTGTCAGAATAAAAATATACAAAAGATCACCTGTGTCTCATCTACGTCAAAGGGCGGAATGATATTAGCCATTAAAAAGGAATATCTTTGTTCTCTCCTGAAATTTATTTATAATTTAAGACACGTATAAATACACATCATTACCTTTACACATCATTACATCATTAACATTATCTCTTCATGAATTACTTTCAGCATTTGTCTACTAGAAAGCTGCACTAAATATCAGAGCTGTATTTACGAAATTAGACCGTAATAACTTTAAACAGATCGTTAAATAAAGACATGTCATCGTAAAGGTTACTTTCTCTTATGAGCTTTATGACTATATCAGCAACGAAACTAAACTACGCCGCTAGTTTGTTCTTCATGAATTACTTTCAGTATTTTTCAACTAGAAAGCTGCCGAAATACGCCGCTAGTTTTCTCTTAATAAGTAAACTGCTGTATTTGTCCGTTAGAAATCAGCACTAAAAACTCTAGAATCAAGGCTTTATTTACAAAATCAGACGACAATCTTAAAACATTTGTAGAGCATACTCTAGCTTATAGGCGATGTAAATATATTGCAGCAAGAAAATGAAGGGGAAAAAATGAGAACACGCCTCTAGTTTAGTCTTGAAATGTCAAGTAAACAACAGCAAATGTCCACTATAAAGCATCACTGATGGCGCTTGAATCAAATTACCTCACTTTCCTTAGGTCTTTCAAACTTTTTGTCAAAATTTGAGCAAAAGGAAATTGTTTTAATTGTTCTTGTGAGAGAGAGTTTTTTTTTAATCATCATTTCATCTATAAATTGTTTTATGTTTGTTTTTGCATGAGCTTAATTTCGAATGAATGGTGTAACTGAATTCGCATAATTCAGTTAAATTCGCATAATTCAGTTACACAATAGTCACCCTTCAAAGAATTTAAATCTATAATAATTTCCGAAAATTCTGTCTTAAATATTGGGGGGGGGCACCAGCCCCTGTCAATAACACCCATGCTGCTTTAGTAACTACTAATGTTCCTTTTTCAGTAATTGGAGGGTTTTTTTTCTGATTTTGCTTTAACAAAATTTTTTTCAAAAGATCTTAATAATAAGCTCACCCGTCTTTGTCATTATGTTATAGTTAATTTGTTTTTTGTGTTTCCAACAAGTAAAACTTTATTCAAACTATCTTTTGTGTATAAGTAATTAAATTTGAGTTTGTCGTGAAACTCATTACAAAAATAAAATGAAAAGCTTTAAAGTGAAAGAATCGGACAGGAAAAAAAAATCGAAAATTTAGTGAAAGCTTTTTCCAATTAACGTCAAAGTAAGTTCTACAGTCACCCCAATTAATCCTCTCAAAATGAATTCGACGGCGAAAGGGACATTCGAACAAAGAATAACATCGTCTGCTCTCAAGTGAAGAGTGCAAACGATTCAAAGCAACGAAGCCAAAATAATAATGATTATGAACTGAAAAAAAGTTTGCGTGGGTTAGTGTTCTCCTTGTATTAATTTTATTAATGAAAGGACTCTAATAAAACAATCTGGGTTTTTTCTTTTTTGACAGATCCAAAAATAACAATGACAAGTATAAAAATATTTAAATTGTCATATTTTCTATTCAATCCTACTTAAAATGTTTATTTTTTGCATAATAATATCTTTTCAATTAAATGCTTCCATGTGAGTGGGCGTTTATATCTTATTTCTAAAACAAAAACAAGGTTTACGAGTAAATAAAAACAATGAGTTGGGGTATTTATGCATATTATTTACTTAATTCATTCTCAGAATAATTTAATTATTCATTATTTCCAATTGATTGTTGCTTGCTTATCAAGGTATTCCATTAGTTACACCCTATATATATACTTTTCCAATGCTTGTCAAAAATGAAGTAAAAAATGTTTACAAAACGGTGGTCACAAATTAATAAAACGAAAAATAAGCATAAATGTAATTAAAGTTTGGCAAATCACTATTGAAAAAGAATGTTATAAAAAAATCACAACCTATTTGATTGCCATATGATACTTGATGGAGTACCTAATAATCACTCGTGTTCTCTTTTAATCAATTTTACTAATAAGAGGACTCTAATGAAACATTTTTACAGTTCCAAAAACAACAGTTGTGCGAAATTATTTAAAATATCTTTAATCAATCTGACATACAAATTTCATTTTTGCATAATAATATATCGTTTTCAAGTTTTCGTCAAAAATGGAATAAAAAACACACAAGTTAGGGGGTAATGTCGATGTTATGTTATGTACAAGTAATGTAATGTCATGTTGTGACAATCTTTTCAACTTTTAGAACTTTTCAACTTTAGACCAATCGGCTCGGAATTGGTATTCAGTGTGAAAAAAGGCATTATGAAAGCAGCTCGTAGCTCCCGTTCCACAGAACGGATCAAAAGGAAATGATAATGGGCTGATATGATCTTCGAAAAAAAAAAGCTTAAAGGTTTTCCTTTGAGCTGGCTTTTTAACGCAATAAAAGCAAAAACAAAATTACTAAAAATAACCGAATATTTTATTTATTTACAACCTGAGTTCTCTGTGTGCTTTGTCGGTTGGCAATATGCTTATGGTTGCATGTATGCGCCATTTGCACGTGGTTTAATGAAAACAGCACCAGCCCATCAAAACATTTTGATGGTTTATGTTGGTTTCAGTGCGATGGTAACTACCATCAAATGATGTTGAACCATCATGAGATGGTTCAACATCATTTGATGGTCACCATCATCCAACATTTTTCATTATGCGTTCATGGTTTTTGATATGCCAACAAACTTCGATCATTCCATGATGGAATATGCTAATTTAAAACTATGATGGTTAATCACCAAGAGAAGTTTGATTCTCATGAACCAACAATCCATGATGGTTTCATGAGAATTATTGTTGGTTCTTCAGGAATATACCATCAAAATTTGTTTTTGTTTCGTTGGTCCATCAAAAATCAGTCCAATATCCTATAGTGGTTCATGATCGTTCAAACATTTGATTTCTAAGAAACAATGATGGAAATTTCTGATACGAGTTCAACATGAAAGAAACATCAAAACAAGTTACTATTCTTATGTTGGACCATCATAAATCAGTCCATATTCCTACATTGGGGTGGTAGTTACTTATGTTGGTTACCATCAAAAATATAATGGTTCATGATGGAATTATTGATAGTTACAAATAAGATTATGTTGGTCCATCAATGGAAAACCATCAAAAATTTTGACTTGGGTATCGACAAACTTTTTCTTTTTTTCTTTTATCTCTTCCACGTTGTTTAAATTACATATTTTAAGTATCGTTCAAATCCGCTTAGTAGAACCGTAGCTACGAGCTTCCTAGGAAAAAAAACAGCAAAAAATCTTTAAAAAAAGACTTTTTTTGCTGAGTATTAGTCCAAAATACCTGTATGTCACCTGCAAATTTTTCAGAGACTGCAACAAACCTGCAACTTTTTTGCTGAAAATTTTTACAAAATCCCTACAACCTACCAGTGGTGTTTTCATTGTGTACAAAAATTTCACTGAAAACTTATCTGAAATAATTGTAGATTACCAGCAGGTTTCTGATAAAGGGTTTTCCTAGGAAGAATGTCAGTAAGAATTATGCGGATTTTTAATTAAGGTTTGAGAGAAGTCTGAGATCTGTCAGTTTAATTTTAATCATCTTTCATAACCTGTGCTTTAACCTTCCTCACCTTGAAGAAAGGGTGGACGAAGTTCTGTATATTAAGGTTATATCTTTTTCTTTTGGTTTACTATATTTTAATTACAAGCCTTTATTTTGTTTTTATAGGAGGATTATGCCAAGAACCCTGTCTGAATGGAGGACGGTGCATAGGACCTGATCGATGTGCCTGTGTTTATGGTTTTACTGGAAGGAGATGTGAAAGAGGTAAAGGGGAAAAAAACATTCTTTCTTATGTCATAATTTAATTTATGGGCATTCGTTTTGAATTTGCGCTTATTTTTTTGTGAAATAAGCGTAGTCTATTTTTCAAAGCAATTTTTTTTTCCAATTCTAGAGTTTTTCCGAAGTATTACATTCTTTTTTAATCTCCACTTTAGAGGAATAAAGCAGTTGATTAAAAGATGCGTCTATTTAATCCAAATTAAGATTTTTACTTTTTTCATGTATTAAAAAAAACTATGGCATTTTACTCATTTGTAGCGTTGCTTAAGTTTTACATCGCATAAAAACTTTATTATTTAATTTTTTCATTCACATTTTAGTGTGGAGACAGAACTACTGAAATTTTTTTTTATTAAAATACCACTTAAAGTACTGATGCGGATACTGATATAGCTGAAATAAGAGTCCTTTTTTTTATGTATGTTTATTTTATTTACCTTTTATTTTTATTTACCTTTTTATTTTTATTTACCTTTTATTTTTACTTACCTTTTATTTTTATTTACCCTTCATTGTTTTTTTTATTATAAGAGTCCGTTAAAACAGTAAGGTTCAAAACCATGAAACTATATTTTTTCTTCCAGATTTTAGTGAGGTCAAAAAATATTAAAATTTTTAAGAAAAATCCGACTTTTAAGTACTACTGCTGTAATAGTCCTTTAAAAAACTAAAGTTGGAAAATATGAACTTCACGCAAGAAGTAATTTTGTTAGAAAACACAGGTCCAAAGTTTGCAAATCATATAAACAGTATACGCTTTTGAAGGGTCTATACCATATCTGGTGGAAGTGCAACCGTAATTTTTTTGGCACCTAGCTTTTTCGTCGAAATTCTCAATGACCATTTTGCATAAATAAAGTTGAATTTCATCAATTCAGTACTCAATATTCTTCTTCAAAACATAGGTCATTATAGACTTGTTGGCATAAACCTTAGAGTTAAAAGAAATCCTTCGGTGTTAAAACGCATGATCTGGTTGGTCAATTATAATCATTAAAATAGGAATGCCTTCACGAACTTTCAAAATATTGCTCAATTTACTCAACATAAAAAACGCGCTCTTTTTTTTCCTTCTACCTTTTTTTGTGTGTTTGTGCATAGCTCTTCAATTTTAATAACCCAGAACTCTCAATTCCTTCACGATTTTATTCACTTAGTGGGTAATATTTTATTGCACAAAGGGCACAAAGTTCAATTCTTGTGCGAATTTGAGGTATTTTTTAATATCAAGCTACAAAAGTATTCATTCTTTAAAATAAAACCTAAAGTTTAAGCCTAAATAGGTCATGGATTGTGCATAATCACAAATTATGAAACATAAATTTTCTTATATTAATTTACAAATGATCTTAACAACAAAAAGAAAGTGCATTTTAGTTGTTGACTTTTACAGTGTTTCAGGCAATAATGCTCTATCTTATTTTTCACTTTTTTAAAATTATTTTTTATTTACTTTTAAATCAATAAAATAAAGTAGTTCAAGAAAAATATAACTAAAGCGGTTCTTTCCAACTATGTGTTGACTTATAACCTGCCACGAATTTAATCTTGTAGTGTTAAAATTATGTGTTTCCTGTAATTATATTAAGGTAGGTACTTACCATTCATGTTTAAATTTCCTTTTAAACTGAAATACTAATTAAATTATACTCGAGAACCGGAATAGCCTGGATAGCAGGACTCTGGACTCAAGTTCGTGAGAACGGGAGTTCGAATCCAGCCGGCCGAAAACTCCCCGTGTAGTAAATTGTAACTGGTGCATGCTATATCTTCCCGGTCACGAAGTCCTCCATGTTCCCATGACAAATTATACCTCTGGGGGTACTGAATTGGAGATTGATCGTTCGCTGGTTCAGGTCAAAATTACGATTTGTGGATGTATGAATAGACCTGCCCTATAAACGGGTGTGGCGTATGGGTGTGGCAGAAGTTGAATTCTTGTCCATAGATGGCGCCACTGGAAGAAAAGAACAATCGCACCTCCTCTGCTTAATGGCAGACAACAACAACAATTAAACTCAAAGACGAAAATGCGTTTTACATTTCGTTAAAACTAATTTTTATGGTTAGGATAAAACGAGATTTCTTCATTTATTTTATAACCTTCTCTTTGACAAATCTGATTCATCGTGCTAAAGCTAGCTTTATTTAAATGATGTTTCATTCCGTTATAATATCGTTCCTTATAAACTAGAAATAAATGCAAGATGAAAAATAGAAAAAAAATGTTAATTATAAAGTGAAATGATGTGGTGGTGGAGTATTTTATAATATAAGAAGTTTCTGAAAATTACATTGAATAAGACTTCTATAAAAATTTGCTTTAAGCTAAGTGGAAAATCTGTTTGACATTTTGAAAATGTTCCATTTCTCGGCTATAGAAAATCAATTTATTCTGCCGAGTTAAATAGACTGTTTTAAACAGAAAAGAATTTCTTATGAGCAATTTCCGTAACATGTTATACATTCTACGAGGATTATCCGGAAGATTTATTTCCCATGATCTGTTGAAAGAAAGAAATCATAATTACACAGATGTATCATAAGACACATATCAATATTCCAGGTATTTTTTTAACGCAAAAACCAGCTTAATCGTAATACTTACCGTATTGTGAGATAAGATTTCTTAGCGATCGTGAGATAAGTCTACCGCCCGGGAACGAGATTATTTTAGCATCCATTTGTAAAGCCTTACAAATAATGCCAAAAAATATCTAGAGCAGTGGTTCCCATTTTTTTCGATTATGGAACTCTGAATGTTCGACCATCTTTTTTGCGGAACACCGAGACTAAATAAATAAATATTTAATGATTGAAACCTTATAAATTATTTTGAAAGTACTTAATGAATGAATAAAAACCGAATCTTTTCATTGTTTTGTTTTATCAAAACTATTATATCAGACATCTAAATTTGGAGGTCAAGGGTGGAATTTAATCTTCTAATTTGATTTTAGCGATTAACGGATTGTGGTGTGATTTAGTGATTGATTTAAACTGAATATGCAAGACCTAAAATGTGGTTTTCGTCGAAATGAAAAGACGGAAATAAACGTTGGTGACGAAAAAGAGCAGAAATAAACGTTGGTGATGAAAAAGGGCGGAAGTAAACGTTGAGAATAATTATTATAGAGACATATTTCTTCATTGTTGGATTTAGTTATTTTTATTCCATGCAGAATACTAACGCAATTTTTCATGAATGTGTCCTATTCATTATTCATTCAATACATTGTCATTAGAATTTTCTTTCAATTTTGTTTTTCTTTCTTTACAAGCATTTAATATAATTTCAGAAAAATAACAAAAATATTAAATACATAATGGGCGATTAATCGAATATAAATTTAGCTACAGCTCCCGAAAATCAAAACTGGTAAAAAGTTCTAACTCTCGGAAGCCATGTGACCCTTTCCCGAAAACTTAGGGCCTCGCGGAACACCATTTTGGAACCACAGGTCTAGAACGATAAGATTCATTTCACTTTTTAAATTCAGAATGTTTCTTGCTTCTTTTCAATCCCGCATCCGGGTAGGCCAGGATAGCCTGGTCGGTAGGGCGCTGGGCCCATATCCAAGATTTCGTGGGTTCGATCCCCGTCGATCGAAGACTCTCCGTGTTGTAAATGGTGACTGATGCACGTTAAATCAGTCGAGTCGCAAAGTCCTCCAACAAATCAGTACCTCTGGGGCAGGGGTGAAAGCGAGACGGAAAAGAGGAAAGGCTGGTAGTAAAACCATTTCAGTTATAGCTAGTTTTGGGGAGGAGTTTACTTATTCTTTTTTTAAATTTTTCAACAATATCTACTTTATTTTGGAAAAGAAGCAGTTTTATATATATGCCAGAATTATAAAAGAACTCTTGATAGTTACAGCTATTTCATTTTTTTCGAAAAAAATGCTGGAATGAAATGTTTTACGTACCAGATTTTTCTCTTTTCCGTCTTGCTATATAAGGGCTTTCACCCATGCTCTGGGGGTACTGATCCAGGAGTTTCCTTGTTTTCTGGATTGGTTCAAAATTACAAGGCTACGTAGTTGAACATTAGTAGTCGTAAGCCCAAAATTGGGTCGGATGCTCAACGACGGACATAAAATAAAATAAATCCGCCATGCACCGACCACTGTGGTGATGTAAAGTATCCTCAGTGGTAGACGGATCATGAGTTAGAGTCCCCTTGTCATCAGGCTAACCATGGGAGGTTTTCCTCTCCATGCGGGTTAGTTCCATTAAATAGTCCTCCATGGAAGCAAATTTCTCCCAATACTTGATGCATTGTCTTCTGAATTGGGTTACGGAGGTAAACATTAATAATCGTAAACCATAAAATAGGGTCGGATGTTAAACGACATTTATAAAAAGAAAAAAAAATAGCACTATTACAAAACACAATGATAGTATAAATTATAGTAAAAAAATATAATAAGTAAATAAATAAAAAGAATTAGCAATTCAAGTTTAGAACTGGTAAATTTTATAGTTACAAACAATGTGGTAAATTGTATAGTTTTAAATGTAATTGTAAAAACTTAGGACTGAACTTTGTAAATTTATTTTTTATGTGATTGAAATTTACTAAAATTTTATTTCTTTCGCTTGCAGATTATCGCACTGGACCCTGCTTCCGTAAAGTTAGAAATCAATTTTGTGCTGGTCAATTAACGGGGGTGGTCTGCACCCGACAACTGTGCTGTGCTACCGTAGGTGTTGCGTGGGGACATCCATGCGAACAGTGTCCGTCCAAACTAGACTGTGATAGAGGATATATTACTAATATTAATTCCAGAACTTGTCAAGGTAAGTAAAATTAAACTTCTAAAAGTTTTTTTACAACAGCTTATAATATTTATAATATGTTAAAATTATCAGAAATGAGAATTATATCGTAAAAAAATTATATTAAGCAACGAAAATTCGGTTATAAGTAGTATATATTTGTTACTGTATCTTAATGAGAACTTGGACTTCTCAAAAGAACAGCCATCTCATATAAAACTGGCAATTTAATTATCAATGTTCGAAAATTTTATGATTCAAGTTTGAAAATAATCCATCAGCTACTTGGTTAAATATTAATCATTTAATTATCATTTTTTCGTGACTGTTGTAACATAATCTAGCTTCTTGGTTAAATAATGACAGTTAAAGTATCAATGTTTCAGAAGTGTTATGATTAGAGCCTGGATTTTGATGACCTAAAAATTCTCAACTAATGCCCTAAAAAAGTGCAAAAAATGCCCTTAAAAATGCGAAAATTGCGCTAAAAATGCCTTAAGACATGACTTAAATAAAGTAAAAATATTGAACTAAAACAATGTTTCACTCTTTAAAATTATTATGAGTCATTTCAAAAAATATGAAGCAATGCAATACTTGTTCTACTTGTTCATTAAAGTTTGAAAAATATGCTTTATATCCTGAAATAACAAAAAAAAAAGGAAAATGTATTGACTCCAAAACATTTTCATTTTGTGTAGAAACTTTAATGAATATAACAATTTCCATCTCATAATATTGCTAAATATCAGAATTACATTGGATTATTAAATGATTTTTGATATTTTGAAATGTAAACGAGCGTCTCTTGTCTGAAAGTAAATTTTTATACCTGGTGAAGCTTCTTTCAACGACTACTGATGTTATTGGTGCGTACTTAAAAAAGACGGTATCACTTACTAACAATTCTTCTTCAATTTGAAAAGATGTTGCTTTACCTGCTAATACCCTAGAGATTTTGTTTGTTTGGAAGCCAGTGTTCTTCTTCAAAACTTTGTCCAATTTAGCTACTACACTTTGTGCTATCTTTCCACTTGCTTTTTGCAACAGTTGACTCACTACGTCAATAGAATTTATTGCATCGCAAAGCTCCAATTCTTGTTTCTCCAACCTTGTAATTGTCGAGGACACAATAGTAAATAATAAAAATTGGACAAATTAACAAAAAACTTAAAAAATGCTTTAAAATGCAAAATATGCCCCAAAATTAAAAAAAAAATGCCCTATAAATCTAAAAAAATGCTCCAAAGGACAAAAAATGTCCAAAAATGCAAAAAAATGCAANCCAGCTTGTAATTGTCGAGGACACGGTAGCACAGTTAGACTTGATAAATGATAAGTTTCCTTCAATTTTATCAGAGGATTTTATCAGAGACCTACACGTTTTGCGTTATCTTAATTGATGTAGCGTCTTCTGAATCGAGACAAATTATAAGACAAATCTCGTTCTTCATGTAATAAAAATGCCCCATAAAATAATAAAAATTGGAAAAATTAACAAAAAACTTAAAAAATGCTTTAAAATGCAAAATATGCCCCAAAATTAAAAAAAAAATGCCCTATAAATCTAAAAAAATGTTCCAAAGGACAAAAAATGTCCAAAAATGCAAATGTCATCAAAATCCGGGCCTTAGTTATGATGTAAGTTAAAGCATAATCCAGATATTTCATCAAATATTAACAATTTAAGTATCATTGTTTCGGGAGTGTGATGAAAATATAATCTAACTACATGGTTAAATATTGAAAATTTAAGTATCAATGTTTCGGAAGCGTAATGATTCAGGTTCATAATCCAGATACTTTGTTAAATGTCTAGTAATATTATGATTAATAATTTAGAGCGATCTATCATCTACATGATTAATGGTCTAGCTAAACAGGCTATATAGGCATTATTTATAATCCAATGGTGTAATGATTCATATGCCAGAAACATGATTATTCATAACAATAAATATCAGCATTAATATTCACAATATATACCAGTAGTTAAAACTGCAATGCACTTTCTATGCTAAATTGGAGCATCTTCTTCGGCTCAAAACGAAAGAAAAATGGTGATGAAAAACATTACAAGTTAAATAAATAATTAAGATTAAAAAAACAGGATCATTCAATAAGAAAACGGGAGTCAAGATAAATGGCCCAGTTTGTATTGTTAAGAAACATAAATAATTTTTCACTCAGTTTTTATTATATTCTTCTTAATATGATTAATAATATAACAATACAATTCAAAATTCATTGTAGAGATTTAGAAGCATCCTGTACTTTTGCATCCGTAATAATATCAAAATGTTTTAACGTGTGAAGTGTTTAGAAATCTGAAATTCATTGATCCAAAAAAAAAAATAATAAATTAAAATTATAAGGTGTCGAGGTGCCTTTTTTCTGTTTCCAAAGCCTTGCTTATACAACAAAGAAAATGTTAGATAGATCCGCAGAATAATACCAAAAGCCAGTAAATGTAAGCCATCGTATTTTCTGTTTCCAGTACCCAAATTGATTAAAGAATAGAAAAAGAAAAAAACAGATAAATCCACAGAAGAATACCAAAAGCCAATAATTGTTAAGTTGTTATTTTATTTCTGTTTCCAAAGCCTGAACTGCTTGTAGATGAAAGAAGGGAACAGATAGATTCGCAGAATAATACCAGAAGCCAATAATTGTTAAGTTGCTATTTTATTTCTGTTTCCAAGGCCTGAACTGCTTGTAGATAAAAGAAGGGAACAGATAGATTCACAGAATAATACCAAAAGCCAATAATTGTTAAGTTATTTTATTTCTGTTTCCAAGGCCTGAACTGCTTGTAGATAAAAGAAGAGAATAGATAGATCCACAGAATAATACCAAAAGTCAGGTCTTGGTATTATTCTGTGGATATCCAAAAACTTGAAACTTTCGTTACCAGCCATTGGTAACGAAATTTTTTCTGTTACCAATGTCTGAAATGATTATATTAATGTGAAACAATTACTGCAAAATTGGGGGAGGTAGAAAAGAAATAGCAAATGAGAAAGGTTTTACATTTTACCAATATTGTAGTTCGATTGATAATAATGAAGATTTAACAATATTCTGGAACTTTCCAGCTTTCATTACAATAATAGCCATTGCGTATGTTGTTGACGTAAAAAAAAGTGTCAGAAATTGCAAAACTCTGACAGATCTTGAGTTTAAGAAGACTCGGTTTTACTTATCTCTCTCAAACATTTTTCTAAAATATTTGACACTCATTGTTGAAAAATAATTTCAAATTAATCCAATCTTTAATAAGAAAAATTTTGAAAGTATGTTGACGAAATTAATGTTCCTTTCAGATGTTGACGAATGTGAAGCCATTCCTGGCATTTGTGAGAAAGGAAAATGTGTCAATTCCATGGGATCATTTCGCTGCGACTGCGATGAAGGTTATTTGTATAATGAAGACGCCGGAGAATGTGAAGGTATGAATGCCTTATCATTTTTTAATTAATTTTTAATTTGAAAAATACTATTCTTCAAAAATTTTTGCCCTGAAATTTAGACACAAATATTGATTACGTGTGTCCATCTTTAAAATGGCAATATACAATCTTCACTTAAGTTATAACTTTTTCCAAAAACGACCGTAGAATTAAGAGAATTTTTTTTTTTTTTTTGTGAAAACGCATCTTAACTTTTTAACGTTACGAAGAGTGGTTAAATGTTTAATGCAGAATTTTCATTAAATATATTTTTCATTATTTTGTATTCCTTTAGACAAAATAGGTTGAAAAATATTATATTTAGCATTTTAATAATTTTTGTTTGTGAAATACAGCATTGGACACCTGTGTCACATTTTGCATTGAAAGTAAAATTTTCCGATCATTCCAAACAAAACTTTTTTTTAAATCGCAACATCTGCAACAAAGGGTTGTTTTATTTCACATGATATGAATAATTTGCCCATAAATATTTTTAGGAGTTAAATAAAAAATTTTAATATTTCAAATGCTGCTACACACTTTGCATATGAGTTAAAACCTTTCCCTAAAACGGCATTTATATCTTTTTTTTATTTTCACTAAATAGAAGCTAATTTTGTACGATAACAGGAAAATTTCAGAGATTAACATCAGAGCTTGGCACCAAGAAGCTTATTATTTTAAGACACAAATCCTTATTCCACGAGGGTTCATCATTAAAATGCTGCCATATACTTTCACTTAAATTATTTCCCAAAGACGACAGTCGAATCTTGATAATTTTTACAAGAACTTTTACTTTTTAAACGTTACAAAAAAGAAGATATGAAGAATGTTATGAATAACTTACCGACGTCATAAACACTTTAGAAATTAATTTCGAAACTTATCTCCGTTAAACTACTTCTAAAACGCGTATTAGCTTCCAAAGTCCATCGTTAAATTAGTTATGTTGAACCTCAGAACTTAACTCCGCTAAACTACTTCTAATGCGCATATTTGTTTCCAGAGTTCATCGTTAAGTTAGTTATGTAGCATTTTAACTGTTGATTAACGAACTATAATACTTTTAATCCTACTTTCGCAATAATTCATCTCGATAATGAATCAGTTTTTATTCTTAAATTTTTTGTCTTCCTTTCATATTTACTTGTGAATCTTTTGCGTGAATATTATTTCGATTTAATTTTTGTAGAGTATGTTAAAATTCGCATCGCACACAGTAATTTCAGAATAACCTAATAGAAAGCACTTGTTTATGAGGTCGGGGTAGCCTGGTTGGTAGGGCGTTGGGCTCGTGTTCGTGAGAACGTGATTTCAAATCGGCCGAAGAATTCTCTTGTATTAAAAGGGTGACAGGTTCTCGTTAAATCAGCCGGGAACGCAAAGTCCTCCAATTTCCCAATACAATTCAATATCTCTGGGGGTATTAAATTTGAGGTAGATCTGGTTCAAATCAAAATTACCATCTGTGGATGAATGAATGGAGTATGATTGGGTGCTCCCGGTAAAGTGGGCTGTGACGTGTGTGTTGATGAAGTCGTATTCTAGGTCATAGAGGGCGCCACTGAAAAAACAAGAAACGCACCCTCTGCCTTAAAAATTTCCTTGATTTCAAGCAGGCTTGCAGGGATTGGCCAATTATATAAGTAACAACAACAACACTTGAATATAAACTGTTAAAAGTTTTTCTTAGTATTCGTTATACTATTTAAGTAAAAGACTAAAAAAGCATCTATAATTGCTTTTAAAAAGATTTATTCCTTATTTCTAATTAATTTTTTGTTTATTGCGTTCTTTAATTTGTACTGAAAATAGATTTTATTCGTGTAACCTTTAGAATCAATCACGACAGTTAATTATTGCTTTTTGGGGGAATTTGAGCAATTAAATGGAATTAAATAAAAGATTATAAAGATTACAGTGTTGCATTTTTTTTCTTCTATTCCTTAAGCGTTTTATATGTGGGAAAGAAAAGCGTGGCAATGAATTAAAAATAAATCAAATCTTTTTGGACGATTTTTTTCGTTCTTCAAACGATGAAAAAATAAACGAAATTAATTTTGTTTTTCATTCGCATTTCCTTGGTTCAAAATGCAAACTAAGTAATTTTAAATCAACGTTTGCGAGAAATTAAGCTTTTATTAAAGGACTTAATAAATACTTGAAATAAATGTTTTAAAAGTGCTAATAATTTTAGTTGAATTGTTATCAAGTTGATTTTATATTTGAAATAGTTTTTTATGATTATCTGTCGTATTCTTACAAAAACACACTTAAAATTAAATGAAAATTTATATTTTTATTTTGGAAACATTTTGGATGCTGGTATTAGAATATTTTGTGACACTTCAGCAGTTTCTGCGATGCAAATTGAGCATTCCTGTTCGAAAATATATATATATTTTTTTATAATGCAATAGCACGGTAAGCTTCTTAATGTTATTTCAAAGCTATTGGCAAGGTGCAGATTGGGCATTCGTACACTAAAAAATTTATTTCAAAATTATTTACATGGCACTACATGATCACCTCTGCCACCAAAAAAATTATTTTATAACTATTTATATGACCTAACATAAGCATTACGTGACCCTGAAAGTCTTATTTCAAAATCTTTTATGTGACCCATGAAACATGATCATGAACATGAGCACTTCCATGAAAAAGTTATAACTATTTACGTGACGCAACATGAGCATTATATGAACCTAAAAGAGTTATTTCAAAATTTTTGCGTGACGCAACATGAGCCCTTCTGCCTTAAAAAAGTTATTTCTTAACTATTTATGTGACGCAATATGAGCATAACATGACCCTAAACCAGTATATCAAAACTATTTATGTGACCCAATATGAGCACTTCTGCCATAAAAAAAAGCTTTTTCATAACTATTTATGTCACGCAACAGGAGCATTACATAATCCTAGAAGAGTATATCAAAACTATTTATGTGACCCAACATGAGCACTTCTACCATAAAAAAAGTTATTTTGTAACTATTTATGTAATGAGCATTACGTGACCCTAAAAGAGAATTTAGAAATTATTTATGTGAACCAACATGAGCACTTCTGCCATAAAAAAAAAAAGTTTTTTTGTAACTATTTATGTGACCCAATATGAGCACTCATGTCCAAAAAATGTTTAACATACTACTAAGTGCTCGATCTTGTTAAAAAGGTAATTTCAAAATTCCTTACGAGATACAAATATGGCACTTACACCCTGAAAGTATCTTTCTACATAATATAATATTCGATTTCATTAAAATAGCTACCTAAAAGCACTTTGTGAGCTGCATATTGGGCACTTATGCTCAATACATATATTTTCAGTATAAGTATTATAGTATTTAATCATCTTAAAATCGATATTGTAATTAGCATGAATATTTCTTTTTGCAATACTAACATAGTATTCAAGCTTCTTAAAAATGTGTTTCTTTTCTAAATATTTTTAGATGTTAATGAATGCGAAGGAAATCTTGATCTGTGTACTCATGGTCGTTGTGTCAACACAGAAGGAAGTTTTAACTGTCTGTGTGATTACGGATACGTACCTGCTCAAAATCAACAAGCTTGTCTAGGTATGTTTAGCACTCACGTTAAATTTTTGCTTCATGATTTCTGATACTCTTTCTCGCCTTCGGCTTTTCAAGATCCACGCATCGGTAATAAAACATTAAATTTACTATCAACAATAGGATACCTGCAAGCGACGTAGTGTGGGTATCTGGATCCTGATTGGTTGTTGAAAGGTGGAATTTGTTTACCGTAGCAGCTGTTCTTTTCCTTCTATTTCGATGGAACCGAGCCCTAGATCCTCTTAAGTGACTGCATCTATATTCTTTCACAAGGATTATTTTTCTAATATTTTAACTATTTCGTCATCTATTTCTTCCTTAACTGAAAGACAGGCACGAAGCCTTTTAGAACCTAAACAAACTAATTATGCATCGAAGTTGCCAGGTACACAAAACAAAAATATATCATGGTTACAATGAAATATATAAACAAATAATGAATTTAGGTTAAGAAAAGACGTAGATGAGAAAGATTTATATTTCAGCAATTTCGATGTGAGATATGGCGATGTTTTTAATTAACTTCGCTTTAATCAACATTCTAACTTTTGTGTAGAAACTTAGTTGTACGTCATAGGTCACATGTGTGCGTATACGTTATCTTTTCGCGAAGTACAAGTACCCAACAGAATATGGTTCATTTTAATAACTAAAGTTCCTTGTTAGCTGTTAAAAAAAAAAACACATCAAGGAAACAATGATAGTAAGTTGATAAAATAGTAAGCATTGGGTTTGAGAGTAAAACTTTAATCAACAGGAAATTGGATACTTACAAGTTACGTCATCGCAGGTAAATAGTGGCAGTAGTTGATTCAGAAGCCAATCAGGCTTGAGTCGTTTACAGCGTGACGTCATTAAAGGTATCCAATTAAATCTGATTAAAATTACATGGTTAGGCATTTTTACTTCACTTCTTCTCAAGTTGCAAGTACCCAATTGTGGCTGTTCTAAATCTTGAAGTAAGCAGTTTACAAAATATACTGATGCATAATTCTGTAACTGATTTAGAATTCATGCACCTACGGGTTATGGATGTACAGTATATAAAAAAAGTCGCGACCCTCTTTATATTTTTTGATCGGATTTTTAAGTACTAGGACTCAAACTTAAAGTTTCACGAGGATGACCTCAAATCTGCTCATTAGCGATATGCTCAATAACGATGTAGACGATATTTTTAGTTCCGAAATCAGACACGAAAGCGTCTTTCTCGGAATAAACATATCTTTTCTGATTTGGAATCCTTACCCTCAAAACAGAGGAAATAGCCGACAGAGAGAGGACAGACTGCTGGAACGGTAAGAAAAACTATGGTATCTGATAGTATACAAATATGATCATAAAGGGTTAACCCGCGAAACAAATGTTATCCAGAAAAAGTTTCAAAAGGAAATGAAATCAGAATTATTTCGAAAGTCATTGCTTATAAACAAAGCTCTATGTGCCAAAACTTGAGGATGAACTTTAAAAAAATGCTATAATTTCAGACTGCTATTGACAATAAAATTAAATTACTTGCATTCTTTTTATTTTTATGCCTGACAACAACAATTTAATGCTTATTATTTTAAATATTCTTTTCTTCAGATACAAGGCAAGGCTTCTGTTATGTGGATGTATCCAGTGGTCAATGCAAAAATCCTCTGGCTGTACGCTTATCAAAAGTTGAGTGCTGCTGCGGGGAAAACATGGGTAAAGGTTGGGGAGAACAACCATGTGAGGCGTGTCCCCTCCCAGGTTCTAGTAAGTAATTTTTCATTTAAATTTTCATTCTGTTGTGTGTTATTGAAATAATGATTAAAAAATTTAATTATTTTCTTTAATGCTTAATTTACAGAATTTAATTTTAATACAGTTAATATCTTCCAATTAATCATTAATTTAATTGATATCATTTTGTTGAACTCTAATTAATGTGTATAATGTAAATTTACGGCGCAAATATATCTTTTCATGCATAGCCTAATGACTGGTTCCATTTTTGCTATTCTTTTTTAACGCTGGTGAAATTTAAATGGTGATGATTATGTATATTCAATATTTCTCTGGCTGACACTATGGTTTCGCTTTCTGTTTTTAAACTCTGAACATTCCTTTGATCCCTCAGCTTCTTTTGCATCTTCCTCTTCTTTTTTCCGTCTGCTTCTTCTTTTTTATCTTCTTTTCCTTTTTTACTTCTTCTTTTCTGCTTCATCCTTTTCTTCCTTTTGTTATTTTTCATCTTCTTTTTCTTATTCTTTTTCATCTTCCTTTTCTTTCTTTGCTTTCTTTCCTTCATCTTATACCTCCTCTTTCTTCTCTTAATCCTCTATTTCCTCTTCCTTATCTTCTACTCCTTTTTTAATGCCTCTATAGCCATATATGAGCCTTGACCTGCCAAACAATGTTGTTTTAAACTTTCCTGTTCTTAACCTTCGATTTCGAATTGATAATTTCTATTATGATCAAAACTATTGCATCATCTATATATTTTTCGTTCTTCCTTTGGGTTTAGAGTTCATTAGTGGACAATGTTTTTACTTTTGATACTAGTCTCGTTAGCTATTAATTTCTATTTAGACAGTAAAATGTATTAACTTTAAATCAATACCAAAAATCTCAACATTTTTTTTCTGTTTGCTTCGGTTTTTTTCCAACTTAGTGTTTATTTGTTAAATTGGTTTCACAAAATACACAGTGCCGAACTTGATTTTGAGTCGTATGATTAGAAAATAATTTATGTAGTGCAACCAAATTTGGAAACAAAACGATCTAATACGTATACAGTAAATTATCTTAATATAACAAAGTATCTCTACAGAAAATTTCTCTATATAACGAAATTTTCTAACGGAATGTTAGATAACATTTAATTGTTTATACCACAAGCAAAAATTTAGAATTTTAATTTATATTCTTTTTCCAATAGAAAGTTACAGACAGTTGTGCACCGCCGCATCCTTGCTTGACATCAACGAATGTGACTTGCGACGTGATTTTTGTGAAAATGGTCGATGCATCAATACACCATCTTCCTATCGTTGTGAATGCAATAAAGGATTCAGAGCAGTGATGAATGATAAGAAATGTGATGGTAAGTCCTTAATAATTATTAAAAACTACTGTTTTGATAAGATATCTTATACGTGATGAAATCCTAATTATCCGAATTTGTTATTAGTGAATGCCTTATTAAATTAAGCAGGCGTCTTNGAATCCTTACCCTCAAAACAGAGGAAATAGCCGACAGAGAGAAGAGAGACGGCTGGAACGGTAAAAAAAAACTATGGTACCTGATGGTAGCAGGGGTCTGTTTAGAAGAAATTTGGGTCCGTTAACGGACCCTTCACAAAATATCTTTTCATAAAAACGGACACTTCACTAAATATTTTAACTTAAAAACGGACCCTTCACAAAATGATTTTTCCTTTAATCGGACCCTTCACAAGTTTGTTCATCTTCATTATTGTTTTGTTAATCGAATAAACCCTTCCCAGGGCAGAAAACAAGAAAGATGGATGTAAGCGAATTACGTTTTGTCTTAGGAAGACGATTCTTCCATTATTCGTCCGAAATGAATATTCTGCGTTCAGCAATATAGGCTAAATACCAAATATTTGTACGTTGCATCTCTAATTTAGAAGCAGCAATTGCTGTTTCTCTTAGAAAATTTAATTTTTTTAATTATAACTTTACAGTACCGAGCGTAATCTTGTATCTATTTACAATTTAAAAACTCCTTGAAAAAGATTTTTGCAACAACCGGACCCTATTTGCACAAATTCATAAAAGTGGACCCTGGTTGAAAGAATGTGAGTAATTTTTTCACAATTTCACGAAAACCTGACCTTTCACAAAATGTCTGGACAGACCCCTGAGTAGATAATTATGATCATAAAGGGTTAACCCGCGAAACAAATGTTATCCGGAAAAAGTTTCAAAATAAAATGAAATCAGAATTATTTCGAAAGTCATTGCTTATAAACAGCGCTCTATGTGCCAAAACTTGAGGATGAACTTTAAAAAAATGCTATAATTTCAGACTTCTATTGACAATAAAATTAAATTACTTGCATTCTTTCTATTTTTATGCCTGACAACAACAATTTAATGCTTATTATTTTAAATATTCTTTTCTTCAGATACAAGGCAAGGCTTCTGTTATGTGGATGTATCCAGTGGTCAATGCAAAAATCCTCTGGCTGTACGCTTATCAAAAGTTGAGTGCTGCTGCGGGGAAAACATGGGTAAAGGTTGGGGAGAACAACCATGTGAGGCGTGTCCCCTCCCAGGTTCTAGTAAGTAATTTTTCATTTAAATTTTCATTCTGTTGTGTGTTATTGAGATAATGATTAAAAAATTTAATTATTTTCTGTGACATTTGTAGTCGTAAACCCAAAAATTGGGTCGACTGTTCAACGGCAGTCATAAAATAAAAAAAAATAAAAATTATTTTCTGTAATGCTTAATTTACAGAATTTAATTTTAATACAGTTAATATCTTCCAATTAATCATTAATTTAATTAATATCATTTTGTTGAACACTAATTAATGTGTACAATGTAAATTTACGGTGCAAATATATCTTTTCATGTATAGCCTGTTTATGAGTTTTCCCATTTTCGCCATTCTTTTTTAACATTGGATATAGGTGAAATTCAAATGGTGATGATTATGTAGATTCAATATTTCTTTGGCTGACACTATGGTTTCGCTTTCTTTTTTTAAACTCTTACCATTCCTTTGCTCCCTTAGCTTCTTTTTCATCTTCCTCTTCTTTTTTTCCTTACTCTTTTTCTTCTTCACCTTTTTTTTATTTTTTACTTCCTCTTTTTTTCATCCTTTTCTTCCTCTGGTTATTTTTCATCTTCTTTTTCTTCTAGTTCTTTTTCATCTTCCTTTTCTATCTTAGCTTTCTTTTCTCCCTCTTGTACCTCTTCTTTCTTCTCTTTATCTTCTATTTCCTCTTCCTCATCTTCTACTCCTTTTTTTATGCCACTACAGCCATATGTGAGCCTTGGCCTGCCAAACAATGCTGTTTTGAACTTTCCTGTTCTTAATCTTCGATTTCTATTATGATTAAAACTATTGTTGCATCATCTATCTCTTTTTGGTTCGTCCTTCGGGTTTAGAGTTCATCACTTGACAATGTTTTTACTTTCGATACTAGTCTTGTTAGCCCTATTCTATTTAGACAGTAAAATGTATTTACTTTGAATCAGTTTCAAAAACGCAACATTATTTTCTTGTTTACTTCGTTTTTCTTCCAACTTAGTGTTTATTTGATAAATTGGTTTCACAAAATTACTGTGCCAAGCTTGGTTTTGAGCCGTATAATTAGAAAATAATTTATGTAGTGCAACCAAATTAAGAAACAAAACGATCTAATACGTATACAGTAAATTATCTTCTTATAACTAAATCTCTCTACAGCAAATTTCTCTATATAACGAAATTTTCTAACGGAATGTTAGATAGCATTTAAAATATTAATTATACCACGAAGAGAAATTCAGAATTTTAATTTACATTCTTTTTCCAATAGAAAGTTACAGACAGTTGTGCACCGCCGCGTCTTTGCTTGACATCAACGAATGTGACTTGCGACGTGATTTTTGTGAAAATGGTCGATGCATCAATACACCATCTTCCTATCGTTGTGAATGCAATAAAGGATTCAGAGCAGTGATGAATGATAAGAAATGTGATGGTAAGTCCTTAATAATTATTAAAAACTACTGTTTTGATAAGATATCTTATACGTGATGAAATCCTAATTATCCGAATTTGTTATTAGTGAATGCCTTATTAAATTAAGCAGGCGTCTTACACTAAATATCTAATAATTTCAAACATTAAATTTAGTGCTGTGAGAAAATTAACCTCAATAATGATCTCCAAAATTAAATATTTAGGAAGCGTATGTTCCTTCCAGTTTATTTGAGATCATCAAGTTTAACTGTAGTTTTTTTCTTAGAACTTCTGCTCTTAAAATTAAATTTTAACTTAAATTTATTGCCAGCATTGTAAACATCCATTCATATAATGGATGTGAAAGTTAGTTTCACTTCATTTTAGCTAAACTAACTTGCATTTGTGTTACACAGATAAAATCGGGCTCGCTTTGGGAGGTCAGAGCCCACCCGAATATTTTATTCCGAGCTCGAGAAACAAAGGATTACTTAGAACCCGAGACCACCTGAGAAGTCATAAAGGCCAAATTTTGCGGTCTCACCTATTAGGCTTGTAATACCCAAATAAGAAAATTAGTCATTATAACCTTTTTATCACAATCAGTTAATAAGTTTTACATTTTTATATTTAATGACTGTATTAAACGTTAGTTTAAAAGTAGTAAAAAAGTTTGCGAAAATTTTATCATGAGTACGAGCCCGTCGATGCCTGAAAACTTTTTTCAGTAACAGTAAACGAGCCCGAGCCAGCAACGGGGGTGAGTTCGGGCTTTCTCATCTCTATTAGATTCACAACACGCAATCATAGCCAAGAGTTTAGCCCCATTTTTTCTTCTTTTAACAGCCATGGCAGGAGTGCCACTAAAGTTTGACCCCAGTTAGACGACGTGGACAGCTGCTGAGCTGGTATCTCTTTCTCCAAACTTCCACACCACACAAGTGGAGTTAACTTTAACCTTTATTGCATTACCAGAATTCTGTATTTGTGTTACAGGAAAACTCTAAAAAAATAATCGCAAAACAAAGTTATTGTTCTGTATGTTAATTAGTATTAAGGATTATACATAATAAATTTCATTTTCAGATATCGATGAGTGTCAAAACGCGACTCTTTGCCAGGGAGGTCGCTGCATAAATTCTATAGGAAACTTTGACTGTATTTGTCCTACGGGATATGATCTCACATCTGATGGAACTAAATGCACAGGTAAATGCTTTAAAAAATAAACTGCAAAGATAGTTTTTTGGCTACATAAGGACATAAATTAATTCCTTGCTTACTATATGACTTCAATTTTGAAATATTGGGTTGAGTAAAAAATCATTATTTTTTTCTCCTAAATTTGTCTAAGTCACGAATCTGAATTTTAAGTTATTCCATGCCAAAAGTTTTGAAGAGGGCGAAACAAGTGGAAGTTTGGGGCTTAAGATCAAAATCATTCTTTTCAAAAAAAATGGTCGTTTTCTTCACGTCTTATGAGCACATCGAAAATGTTTGTTCATGCCGTCAAAGAAACTACTTTGAGTTCATGAGGAACCCACATTTCGAGCTCGCTTACGTATCCCAGCTTCTTTAGATGGACGTGAACAATTTTTAGACTGATCCTCATCAATCAGTCAAAAAATCTGTCTCGTGTGTAACGTGGATTTGACTAGATAAATGTCTTTATTTTGACATCATCAACCCGGGTAGGTCTCCTTGATCCAGGAGTATTTTTCAAGTCAAAATCACCAGATCGGAATTTTTTAAAACAGGTTCGATATTGACGTTCGTGTACAGCATCATCACCGTAAACTTGACACGTGTTTTTCCCTATACGGAAGTAAAATTGTGAAATATGGTGAATTAGTCAATTTAATCTTTCATGTTCAATGTTCTATCAAACCTCAAAAGCCCGACGAAATATTTCTTTTTTTTTCTTTACAATGAAGTTTAAACTTTCAGTTATCAGTGACGTAAAAACTACAAATGCAGATGTTTTAAATACTTCAGAAGCCATACTGTTACGATCTGTTGCAGAAAAAAAAAAATTGATTATTCAGTCATTTTTTATTGATGAGTCAATCAATCAAAACCTACACTATTGATTTGCATTACTTAATGCAACAGGAATACAACAAAACCAAATATTCACTTTACGATGAAATCTTAAAAGCTTAGAAAAAAATTTAATTTTTGAACTAAAAACACGCGAAGTATTATCAGAATACAAATTTTATTCCTACTAATCTAATAAGTTTCTCCAAATTATGTTCTATTTGAGTGAAGGTAGATGAAATTACCAAATGATTTCAACTAAAATAGAAAGGATTGTCAGAGAGGTACTCCCTAGTAAAAGTTAAAAATATTTACTGCCTGCATGAGAACTGTAGCTTGTCTACCACTACAAAAATACAATTCCCATTCTGTAGTATATAAGACATGTTAACTGGATTCTATGGTGGGGTACCTTTTCATAGATGAAGGTTGACATTGTCGATAACAACTCTCCCCGCAGGAGCTATTATTTTTTCTTGTGAATTGGGTAAGATTTTAACAATTTTCCTTTTAAATAATTATTTAAATAGTTATTTCTTTTTTTTTAATCCTAACTAGATCAGGACGAATGCTCCATTACGGGAATGTGTGCGAATGGCGAGTGCGTGAATGGCGACGGATCATTTACCTGCAGATGTAAACCTGGATTTTCACTGTCTCCAACGAGACAGTCTTGTATAGGTCAGTTCACTTTTATCATTATTATTACTAATATCAGTCAATGAAAAATTTCCTAAACTTTAGTTGTAGATCATCAATTTAGTAATATTTAATTGAATAAAGGGCATTCTTTTTTANTATTTAGCTCTTTGTTTTGCATCCAAGAAAATATTTATTCAAATACAAAAATAATCGTGTATGTTGCTCTTTTTAATTTCATTTTTTTTGTATTTTGTGAATATAATTTAGCATGTGTGTATCAGAAATTTTCTCGAAGAAATTCTCCGATTTAAATTTTTGAAACCACTCATTTTGGAAGAAAATATTTACATGCACATTTGTAAATTTTAAATTTAAAATGTAAATATCTATTCTCTGGTGGTTGCAGCAAACAAACCTCAATTTTCTCATTGAACATTTCGTGTGTTACTATGTAAGTTTTAATACCAACCTTTTTAGAGTTTTATATCTTAAAAATTAGATATCTGTTGCACATTAACTGTTTAATGCATGGGTGTACATTAAAGTTATTGTAGCCCGAATTTTTTAATATGCAATTAAATATTTTTAAAAATCTGCTTCTTATTTTAATTTGTAATTCAATACTTTTGTTTTGTACAACTTTGTAAAAATCTGACAGTAATATTTAATGTTCCTTCAAACATAAAAGAGTCCTACATAAAATTTTGATAAAGTTACGGCCCGCCACTTGATTTGTGTTTTGATTGTGGCCCCCGGCCTCATGCAAGTTGGAAACCCCTGGGATGGAGTTCCCCGGGTTCGATCCCAGCGCTGGCTGGTCGATACGAATTCCGCATTCACAGTGCTGACGTAAAATATCCTCAGTGGTAGACTGATCATGGGTTTGAGTCCCCTTGCAGTCAGGCTAACCATGAGAGGTTTTCGTGGTTTTCCTCTCCGTGCAACGTAAATGCGTGTTAGTTCCATCATAAAGTTCTCCACGAAGGCAAATTTCTCCCTATATTTGATCCAGGAGTTCCCTTGTCTTCTGGATTGGGTTTAAAATTAGAATTAAGCATTAGTAGTCGTAAACCCAAAAAATTGGGTCGGCTGCTCAACGCAGGTTATAAAATAAGAATAAAAATATATATAGACTGAAATTTTGTTTATTTTTTTTTTAATTCCTCGAAAAACACTCCAAAAATAGATGCTAGAATTTTTGCGCTTTTAAAACTAACATTTTTCCATTGACAACGAGTCAATTGATAGCAAAAGTTTCCAAAAAACGTTTCAAACTTCTATTTTTTACTTTTTACTTTTTTATTAGCTCAATAAACATGAAACATCATGAATTCTCTATGAATGAAAAAAGAGGACATTTCCACCCATTCTTAACTTAGGGGGACCTGGGCGCAATCCATGGTCAAAAGAATTTTGAAATATGGGTTATTTACCACCATTGAGAATTTGTATCTAATGCACCATCATTTAGAAATCGAAGTTTCCAGTGTAACGTTTCAAAAAAAAATTTCATCTAAGGATTCAATCTGTTCATCAATCACGTAAAATATTCATTCAATATAATCATTCACTTTTTCGTGAAGTGCTGTAAGAGGAATTTTGTGAAGAGTTGTCAAAAGAATAAAGTGTTCTAATATCACGACATCGATCTACTGAAATAAAACTCGAAAAAGCTCTGAATAACTGGCTAAAGTTTATGAGCAATATTAAAAGATGTCATTTGAAAAAATGTAAATGCCTTTTTAACCTCCAATGTATTATGTATTAATTACAATGTATATTAAATAATACTTGTACAACATTGACATTAAAAAAACTGTGTATTAGTTACATTCATAATTCTATTTAAAATGTGTCATGTTTTTTTTTCCAAAATAAGACCAGTGTTTGTGAAATATAAGTAAATATGTGTACCAATTTTATGTTGTCACTTTATAACAGCCATTTTACTTAAGACCATAGGGGTCGTTATACCGAGTGCCGTTATATTGATACTATAGTGCCAATATATACTATAGTGCTAATATTACATAACTTTAAAACAAATGTTCTAAATTGTTAATAAGTATTCAACCTTATAAAACAAAAATCTATAAATATTCTATGTTTCAGTAGTATCTTTGGAGAGTTTTAGATCTTCCACTCGCCAAACAAAAAATTTACAATACTTTTCTAGGAGCAGAAATTCTTGAAAGGAAACTGCTGTTTTCCGGTATTTGCTTTTTAAGTCTAAGAATTCAAATTCTTTCGAGCTTTTGGTGCTAGCGGCACATTTCTTTCATTGGTATTCTATATTTTACTTTAACAAAAATAATAAAACAATCATTTCAATATTGCACTTTCACAATAAAATTATGTGTGAGATACTATTATGTGAAAAAATTGGAAAGGCAGTTCTATTTTATCCAGTATAATTAAATTAAAGCTTAACTTGCCGCAAATTTTGAAATCCACAATATAACTCAACACATAGTGAGTAATGGGAAATAATACACTTTTGAAATCTCTATTTACTAAAACTGAAGTACTTACTAATATTATTTCTTATTAGCTAAATACTAGTTCTTCGTAAGGTTTAAAAAAAGATATATAATCAATAAAACGGTATTGGTTTACCACTACAAAATCTTACACAAACCTGAAAAACATATACTGGCACATTTAATAAGGCTAAATTAATTACAATTTTTTTAATGAATTAGTATTTGTTGCCTTTATCGATGGCTACAAGTTATTAGATCAAGAAAAATACGTGTTTTTAGAAGTTCCTACCATCAAAATAAAGATTGATTGTATTCAGATAAAGTATTAAACTCTTCAGAATAGCTGTTATCATTTGGTATGATGCTGTTGCTCCAGCCCAACTTTCGATAGTCAGAATTTAACACAATCATGCAATTTTCTCTGGTACATACATAAGTAATGCCTTTCGATGCCATAAAAAGCATGTTACCACAGTACCTGTAGTAAGTACCTTGATACCTACATTGGTATTATTCGGTACCTATTAAAACAGTACCTGTTACCTAAATTAATTAAGCACCGTCAATAAAAGTATTACGATTTTTTATGTTCCCTCGAAGTCATTCATCTATTGCTTTTACTTCTTAGTACATAATTATTTCTTTATACAAAGTTTAATTTGCTTTAAATTATTTCGCTTCATAGAAACTAGTTTCAAAAGCGTAACTGAAAACAAAATAAACACGTGATAACTTTTGAAATGCTATTCCGGTAATGCAACCCTTACCTGACATAACGAATAATTATTGTTATAGATTGACGAGCTTTATTATTGTTATAGGTTTAGGAGATAGAGAACTCGCCTTCCAATGAGGTATACCGGGGTTTGAATCCCACCGATAACTAGAATTAGAATTCCGCACCTGGCTCGCACCGACCACAGTGCTGACGTAAAAATGTCCTCAGTGGTAGGCGAATCATGGGTTAGAGTCCTCTTGCCGTGGAAAGTTTTCCTCTCCATGTAATGCAAATATGGGTTAGTTTCATCAAAAAGTCCTCCGCTAAGGCAAATTTCTCCCAATAATTGATCCAGAAGTTCCCTTGTTTTCTGGATTCGGTTCAAAATTACAATGTTACGGAGTTGGACATTGATAATAGTAAACTCAATATTGGGTCGGCTGTTCAACGACAGTGATATAATATTATTGATTGGCAAAATATTAAGCTTTTTCATAAAACCTAGAGTATAGCATTTTAAACCTTTTCTTCTATTCATGTATTTTTATTTAAACAACATAAGCCATAGATAAAATATTTTGAATCGCATTGAAAATATTATGAAGATATATATATATATGTTATGAAATGCCATAATATAAAATAAAATATTTAAAGATGGAATTAGATGATAATTTAAAATTATATATCACTGAAAATATAAAGCTAAACTTCTCCTAATAATTGGTTCCAAAAGTTATTATTATAAGTGATTTTGTATTCTTTATAATAATTAATGCAAACTTTAATTTACAGAAAATAAAACTTTAAGTAGGAAGACTTAGGTAGACTTGTATTGGTTTGAGTAATTTCGCTATTCCGAAAATTATTAGTCCTATAATTTTTTTGTGAGTTCTAACGCTCATGTGCTTATTTCTCAATTACGCTTATTACCAAAATAAACTCAATCTTCTTGTATTTTTTTAATCTTGTTTTCCCAAACCTTTTTTCTTAAAACTGTAAAACATTCTTTTTTAATAAATTCTTTATGTTTTCTCGCTTGTTTCCAATGATATTTCTGATAAATGCTTCACAAAATGTCGTAAAAATTTAAGATTCTTCTAATATTTCATCTGCTTTAATGCGTTCTCAATCATAAAATTTTGATTTGAGAATTTTTTTTTATCTACCTCTACCCCATCAGCAGTAGTTTCTTCCGAAAAATATCTTTCTACAAAGTTTCTTCTTTTATTTCCAAAGAAAAATAAGAAATTTCTGAAGAATTACAAAGATCAAACACTCCAACGAAGAACTCTAAAAAAAGAATAAAAAAAACAGCAAAGTACACTGAGTTTTAATTTTCTCTCTGTCCTCTAACCTCCTTACAACTTTCTTAATTTGTGTTAGAAAAAGGAAAAGAAGGGTGATTCAATAAAGTTGATCAAAAAAATAATTAAGTATTTTCATCGAAATTGATTTTATTTTAATCCACTTGTGCTCAGCGTCTTTTTAAAAATAGAAAAATTAGTAGCGAAAGTGTTTCCTTTGTAGGATATAGTTTCCAAAAACACGATAGTTCTATAATATATTAATAATAATATATTCGGATCTGCAGTTAATACGCAATATTTTTTTGAAACAAAATTGTTAGATAAGAGAAAGAAATATCCAATTGGTCTAAATAATTATTGCTACTATTTATTTAGACCAATTAGACACAGAGAAAGAAATATCCAGTTGGTCTAAATAACTATTGCTCAACTAACTATTGCGGATCAAATTCAATTGAATACCTGCAAGCGACGTCAAGCGTGATTGTCGAACCTGATTGGCTGACCCACTCGAGACATCGCTTGCAGGTGACCTGTTCTATAAGATTACGATGGTTCTTTGCTGTGGTGGTTGAGGAAGATGTACCATCGCAATGAGTTGTGGGGAGAAGCATGTTCATTTATATTTAACTCAACTTCGTGCATGATATCCCTTTAAGTAATTTACGTCTCAAAGTTCTCTCATATTTCTTAATAAAAATTAACCAGAAACTATTTTTCATTTCAGATATCGATGAATGCAAAGAAAATGGCCGAATCTGTTTGAGAGGCCGTTGCCAAAACTTACCTGGAAGTTATAAATGTGATTGTCAGGAAGGATTTATCCTTTCACCCCAGGGAGACTTTTGCTTAGGTAATAAACTTCATCTCATTTAAAAAATTTATTTCAATAAACAATAAGAATGGGTTTTTTTTCTTCATAAGAATGGGAAAATTATTTTAACGCTGAAAAATGTTAAGCCAAAAAGATGAAAAATAGCAAGATTACACTTGTTGAAATAAAAGAAAATTAGACAAGAGTAAATACTGAATTGCTACAAATTAGCAGAGACAGTTGTTGCTTTAAGTATAACTTAAAAAATAAAACATTCGGTTTAAAAAGAAACAGCATATTTTTTTCAAAATAAGCTGATTTTTTTCGCCAATTATTATTATTTTTTTTTTCAAACTGGCCTATAAGACTATTTAACTTTTTTGCATTTTTCCAATAAAAGCACTACTTCGCATTTTTTATCATAATAAAAATTTATACGTTTCTTTAAAAAATAAAGTTTTTCAGAAACTAAATATAAATAAAAATTTACATTTACTGTTCATTTATTTTTAAATATTTATAAAATAAGAAAAATATATCCCTTTTTACCCCTACATTCAATAAAACGAATTAACGTTATTTTGTTTCAAAAACAATTTAATGCAAAATACCCATCATAGCAAAATACCCATTAGATTATTTTCAAGGTTTTAAATTTACCACTAGGTTTTATTTAATGATCGAAATACTTAACAAAAATATTTTTGAGAGAATTATCCTATTCCAAAAAAAATTAATATCTTTTTTGTTAAACATTTGATCAACATGAATGTGAGCAACATTTTCTGTAATATCTAACAATATTTGAGTACCTGCAACTCGAGATTATGCCTAACCTTCTAAATTAGATTTAATTGGATACGTGTTTGTGTCGAACTTGAATTGCTTCCGAATCGACAAATCCTACAATTTACCTACGATGATGTCATTTGAAGGTATCCAATTGTTATGATGCTTAGAATAATCTCATTATTTTTAAATCATTGTATAATTTTTATTGGTGAAAAACATATTTGAAAGAAGCATCTTATTTTTGAATTCCTGCATTGCGTTTTAAAAAAATACATGCACTCATAACATCGAATTGAAAATAATAATAGTTCTTTGATTTTTCCGCCCTTTAAATAATTTTAATCATCGATTCATAATAATTTTAATCAAAAATTCAAAAATCATCGAAAAAACACCTTCACTAAAAAAAAATCTGTCCAGCTTGAAGCCTTTCTTTATTATTGTAATAAATTAATATGTTCTTCCATTTTACTCAAGTGTCCTTTTCTTACAGTAGCGCGGAAGAAAAAAACTTTGTTAACTTGTAGCTCTTAACTAATCTGTGGCTGTAAATCTTCCGAGATAAATGACTGTTCTTTGTTGAAATGTCCTGTCTTGTGCTATTAGCGTTTGATGAAAATATATTGTTGTCTAAGACACCTCCTTTTCAAATAGATAGAAATGAATGTGAAGAAAAAGGCATGTGCAGGCATGGAACTTGTGTTAATGGAGATGGCAGCTTCAAATGCATCTGCGATCCTGGTTACAAATTGTCACCTGATGGACATTTTTGCATTGGTAAGTCATGTTAACTCATTTAGTGAAAACGACTCATTTCTTGCTGCATTTTCAATATATTTATTACTTCACCTCTTCGGGTCGGGTAAAGGCATTTATTTAGAGTAATAATTAGGATGGAAAAAAATAAATAAATAAAAAGCTGCTGCTTAAATTTGGGCATGGCAAATTTGACAGACTTATTGTTTTCTTTCACTTTAATTTTAACAATTTTAATCAATATTAGTTCAAAGTGTAACTACGTAATTTTTATTTTGAGCTAAGTTGTGGCGAGTTAAATAAATCAAGCTATACCCCGCACGCAAATAATCTGCGAAAAAATAATTTGACTAGCAGTTCTTTTTTCATACTGATTGTCACCACCCAGAGAATCCATATATGACTCCTCCGTCTTGAGAGGATAAATCGTTACATAAAATCTGTCGAAAATCACTGGATAGACATTTTTTTATTGGTAAGTTAGGTTCATGCAATCTTATTTTGTATGAACCGCAAGCCCTTGCAAAAAGCAAGGAGTTTTTGAGGTTTAGAGGTGTGAAAAAATACAGAAGTATAGTTGTAGAACCGAACCCTGTTTTGCAACTAAAATAAACTCATCAATAAATCTCAATTTCAACCTCATTTGCACCTCATAAAATCAACCTCATACACAGCTCAGCAATACTTTTAGTTGAAATCGGGTAAAATTATTCACACCTCAAATATATTTATTTGCTTGAAGTGTAGAGAGAATAACGTGTACACATCAAAAACAACCTTTTCTAAAATGGTTGCTCTTAAGTAGATTTCCATCAACCTTAAACAACCTCAAGTGTGAATAGAACAACTTCATACACCTTGATTATAAACCTCATGAGATTGATTTTTTGAAGTTGCTTAAGTCTACTTCAAATAAACCTCAAACAAATATTAACACCTCAAAATAACCTCATGTAAACTTCAAAAACACTTTAAATTTTTGTAAGGGAAGGTTTATGCTGCATATTTATGTATTTATTATTAAACTCGTAACATACAAATTGCATTAAGAATCGTCGCTACTTAACCGAATGGACATTTTTGTATTGGTAAGTTAAGCTCATGTTAAGTAAGTACATTATGAAAAACAGCAAATTATGATGAATCATATATTTTTATTATTAATGAATGAATAATAATTATTAATGATGAATAATACATTTTTATTATGACTTTGAATTAAAATCTTAAGAAATGAGTTTATTCGCTTAAGTGTTCTGAAATACACTCACTTTTTGCTAGGAGTTCGTAAATTACATCTGTAAATAAACTAGTTTTAGATTATTTTAATCTCACCTTTCCTCGTATCGACCTTATTAACCTCTTCAAAAACGATTTTTTTTTTTATGATAAGAAAGAAAGAAATTTTTTCAAGTACTGTTTATCCATTTTACATTAAAAGTAATTCAGAATTCAAAAATAAAGGAGAAAAACTATCAAAGGACTAGTCAGGAAAAATAACATGAGGCTGCTTTGAAAGACGCAGGAATGCAACTACATTTGAAATTCGATATACTCTAACGATATTTTCATTTTCGTGTTTGATTTTATTCTGATTTTATTCTTATTTTTTACTGATTTATTTGACATTATTATTTTTTATTTATTTTTTATATATTTATTTATTTTTGAAATTCCAATTTGTTTGGAAATTATTGAAATGTTTAGAGGGGTGTTGAGCGAATTCTTTTTCGCTTTTTTTTCGTTTTGCGTTTTAATATTTCGCAAAAATTGTGATACTTTTAAATTTAAAATTAGGAGGGTGTGTTGATAAATGTACAAGAGGTTCAAATGAATAAAAAAAACTTAAGATACGATTATTAGTTTAAGAATTTTAACTGTCAAACTTGTAATGAAAAAAACCATGTTGATCCACTCAAAAGCAGAACTAATATTTAACGTGGCGAAAGAGATATTCTTATTTTTACAATTCAACGTGAATTTTTTTCCACGAAATTCCTATTTGTTAGAACGTTATTAAAATTTTAAGTGCTTTTTCATGAATGTTTTTTCACTTTTTGCTTTAAATATTGATTGCTTGTAGAAAAATTTATCCTTCTCGAGATTTTCATTTTATAAGCTCGTGCTTGACTTGATGTCAAACGAAACAAAAGAATAATGAAGAAATATTTTTTTTTTGAAAGAAAAAGAGATTTGATGTTTCCAGATACAAATCATAACATTTGTATCATAATTTTCTTTTTTATGAAAGGCTCGAGAGAGATAAAAACCGTTTATAATTTGAATATATTTTGAATTGAATATATATTTGAATATATTTAATAAAAATTTGAATGTAAGATTATCGCTATATGTTTGTAACAAGTAAAATCAATTCATATTTATTACTTTTTAATGTATCGCACATTTTACTTTCCCAATTTTAAATATTTATATTTAGTTAATTATTTTACAAATCCATGTAATCATTAATTTTCTTTCGATAAATATATCAACAAAACTTCCTTCAGAGTTCCCAGAGTCTAGAAAATATTTTGAAGTGGTAGAAAAAGCGAGATATATCTAGATGTTTCAAGCTGGAAATAAATATTTAATTTAAAGGAAATATATATTGGTGCAAAAAATAACTCGGGAATAATTTCTTATTTCACAAATGAAAGTTAAATTTAGGCATTTTTCAGCGAAAAATTTTAGCTACCACTCATTTTTTTCCAGGTCGTGGGAACCCTGTTCTCATATAAAACTAATATAATTATATACTCTGTTAGCTAAATGTTCTTTTTTTCTAGAAAATATTGACTTTTAAGGGGGGGGGGAGATGAATGAGAGGAAACCTCGAGGGTTGGTGAGTAAGCGATGGGTGGAGCCTCTTAGATGAATAAAAGACCAACAATAAATTTCTTTGTAACATTTCTACAAAGTATTAAAACTTAATATATTTAATTTATCTGATATTATTTTTATCAAATACTAACTATCTGTTTAAATTATCTAATAACACTGACTGCCGAAAAATTGTTTCACTCTTTTTTAATAGATATATTTTTTTAACTATGCATCGGAATTAATATTATTAGAGCAGCCAAACTGTAAAATTTTTACTTATCTTGTTGAGGGCTTTTGCAGAGATGCCAACTTGCTCCGCTTTATAAGAAAAATATTTTCTAGTGGACCAAAATTTAAGTTATATTTAATTTAGTATTTTTCTTTTTAAGTAATTTTTCCACAAATCAAAAATTCAAAGTATCATATGAAATGCAACTTTCCTGCAGTTATCTCGTGGCGACACTTTTAAAGAGTAGGCGTAATTATTCTTATTCTCCAAGTTTCACCCTTTAATTTGTAACAATTTATTTAAACTATTGCTGAAAGCGCAGTTGGCATCCTTATTTTAATAGTGAATTTTTATAGCCTAGTTGGTTGGACGCTGGATTTTCGTTCGTAAGAACGGGAGTTCGAATCCAGCGAGCCGAAGACTCTCCGTGTTGCAAAATGGTGACATGTACAAGTTAAATCAGTCTGCTCATAAAGTTTCCCATGTTCCCATAACAAATTATACCTCTGGGGGTACTGAATTGGAGATTGATCGTTCTCTGATTCAGGTCAAAATTACGATCTGCGGATGAATGAAAGGGTGTATGAATGGGTCCTCCTATAAACGGGTGTGACGTATGGGTGTGGCAGAAGTTGAATTCTTGGCCATAGACGGCACCACTGGAAAACAAGAACAATTGCATCCCCATTGCTTTAATCGCTTACGTCAACAACATAGTGAATAAGTTATTATCAAATATTTGTTCTTCATATTATTGACTGTAATTATAATTGTAAAAAACTAAACTACCACATGCGCCCTAGAGCATGAAAAGATATATGATTCTTAAAAGTTCAAAAAAAGATTTTTTTCTATTTACTTCTGGTTACTATACATTTTCTGTGAGCAGGACTACAACTGATTATAATTTTATTTTACTTTCCAGACATCAATGAATGTTTGGAATTGCCAGATTCATGTGTTAACGGAAGATGTGAAAATACTGATGGAAGTTTCCACTGCAGTTGTACAGATGGAATGACTATGAGTCCAAATGGAAGAATATGTCAAGGTACATATTTGTTACACTGCTCAACTTTAAAAATATTTTACGAAATTACGCTGCTCGGCTTTAATAATATAAATTTAAATAATATTATTTGGGGAAGATTTCCAATCAGTAGCTGCGCCAAAATAATTGCCAAGTTTTGGCAACTTCCGAGCAGAGGCCCGCGAGAGACTAAAAAAAAATATCACTGAGTGGGACTATCTAAAAGTATGTAACTTGTAGTCGATCCTGGGTAAATATCTAAACATATAAAAAAAATTATAAGCTTACAAAACCTTTGGCTGCCTTAAAGATTCTATTTGGCGGAAAAAATATCGATATGTACATGTTCTCGTCAACTTAAATCGCCAAGGCGCTAATTGATTTTTTAAATGTTATTTGCTTGTTTACATGACAGGTGATACTTTAATATCCTTATTATTCACTTTGCGCGTTCTGTAATCACTGCACTTAATATATAGTTTAAGTAAAAAGTAACGCATTGTAGCGACAGACCTTTGAAAACCAGAAGGATCATGGAGATTATGACTACAAGATTTCGTGACCAATGACATACTTGTAGCAATATGGTCAACATTGCGCACGCGCGTGGTGTTCGTCGCGTCTCTCACAAGCCTTAACCTCTTAACCATCTTGACATTATTTTTATAAGAAATATGAAAATGTTGTAAGAGTAAAGAATATAAACTGTACACATTAAAAATGGCAAATCGCAATTTCAAAGAGGAAAAATTAGAATAAAGAAATGATCAATTTCTAACGAATCACTATTGGGGAAGGCCTAAAAATGTATATTAATTGTAGTAAATAAGAAAAATATACCCTGTGCATTATAAAAACTACAACGATTACTACTTATTTTTAGACACCAGAAGAGACTACTGTTTTTCGAACTACAAGAATGGTGAATGTAGCAGTCCATCTTCAATGGTTGTCACAAAATCTGCTTGTTGTTGCGCTAATAGAGGTGCCATGACTCCTGCCTGGGGAATACAATGTGTGCCCTGTCCTGCACCAGGCTCAAAAGAATTCTTACAACTGTGTCCTAGAGGCCCTGGATCTGGTCAAGAAGATGGTATGAAATATTTATTTAATCTGTCGAATTTTAAGTCTAAAAATTATTTAAAAATTTAGAGTGTGTTCCATGATTTAGAATACTGATAAAACTTTTACCTGCATTCTGCATTTAGCTTGAATTTCATGAATAATTGTGAAATGGTAATAGATTCATGTAATCTTATTAAGTATTTGCAAGCAACATCTTTTAATTAATATTTGAAATGATCATCGTTGCATCAACAATACTATAACTTTATTGTTTTACCTTTCCATAAATGTTAATTATTTTGTATCTTTTTTGTACGTAATCTTTAAATCAACGCTACAAAACTTTTAAGACTTGAATACTTAAACTTTCAATAAATATTCCCTTAACCTTTCATTTCTTAACTATGCTATGCTTATTGCCAATAATTTTCTCCATTTCAGGTGCATTATTAGTAATTTATCACTCTTTTTATAAGTTAACTCCTTTCGTATCTTTGATTTCATGTTGATCATTAATGCAACACTAGAACATTTCAAAAGCTTAAATTGCTTAAACTCTCAGCGACTATTAACTTAACCTTTCATTCCTTAATCATGCCATGCCTATTGCCAATGAGTTTCTCCACTCAAGTGCGTTGTTAATGAACCACAACAAGAATAAAGTTAAAATTGAAGTTGGTAGGCAAAAATTAAAATCGTTTAATAAATATTGACAATCATTTCGGTTCTATAACAAGTGCTATTATTAGTGCGAAGACCCTGAGTGACGATTCTTTTCGATTCTTCAAATTTATTTATGCTTACCATCGATGCTTTTAACTCGATTTTAATTGCAGCACAAAGTTAACCTTGCTTTTAGTGATATATTACAGTATTCGACAGAAAAAAAGCAATCTGTAATGCATGTAACCTAAAAATGTAACATGAAGTAATCATATCAATCAATTTACTTCTTTAGATATCAACGAATGTGTTGTATTTCCAAACATCTGCCCTAATGGAGCCTGCGAAAACTTAAAAGGAAGTTATAGATGTATTTGCAATCCAGGGTACCAAGTCGATTCTACTGGCAAAATTTGCTCAGGTAAGAAAAATATCCTTCACTTGTGCAATAAAATAACAGAGAGATCCACTGCATGGAGTCCCACAGTGGACTGATTCTAAAGACAAGGTTCGGGCAACAAAGACAATCATCACTGGCTGTGATCAGGTGGGTGACCATTTTGATCAGCCTACGTAGGAACCGAGGGTGTGTGGTATTGGTCCTCGTTAAACTGTTCAACCATAAAGTACTCGACTTCGCTCCCTGATCATCGGACTACCAAAGTGGTGGAGTCAACCCCTCTGCAGAGGATCAAAATTGTGATGCCATGTCTTCGGATCATCCTCAGGGATGTTTCCCAGACAGTCGCCAATAGCCCATTATTGAGTCGTGATGACTCAAGGGATAGAGCGTTCGCCTTCCAATGAGGTGAACATTGCTCGAATCCCAGCGATGACTGGTCGATACGAATTCCGCATCCGGCTTTCACCGACCACAGTGATTACGAAAAATATTCTCAGTGGTAGACGGATCATGGGTTAAAGTCTTCTTGCCGTCAGGCTACCCGTTGGAGGTTTTCGTGGTTTTTCTCTCCATGTAACGCCCATTCGGATTAGTTCCATCAAAATGTTCTCCACAAAGGAAAAAATTTTCTAATACTTGACTCAGGATACTCTCGTGTATTCTGGATTGGGTTCAAAATTACAAGGCTATGGAGTTGAACACAAGCAGTCGCAAACCCAAAAATTGGTTCGGCTGTTCAACGACGGATATAAAAATAAAATACAAAATATCGCATCGCACAATAGGCTGTAGTAGGCAATTGTAAACTGCCTAACCGTAAGTCGTAAAGGTAAGAAGCTTGAGATTTTTTTTTCACATTTGTTTTGAAAAAATCATCCATACTGCGATCTATACGCAATTTCTTACCGTTTTCTGTGTTTTGACTACGGAATTACAGACATTCTTTGGAAAACTTGGATTGAAGCATATATATACATATTTTTACTGTAGTTTTCTAAAATCTTCTCCTTTTTTTACGATTTGTAAACAACAGCTTATTTTCACTAACTTTTTGAAGCTTCAAGACTATGTTATATTAACCTAATATTCGTCAATTATACTGTTTGTCTTTTTTAACTTTATTTTTTTATATGAGTAAATTTATTAAAGCTTGTTTTAATGTTAAGAGATATTTTAACTAATTTATTTTCAAGTATTTCATTAGCTCACAATAACTTCAGTATAACGGCGAAATAATCTTTTTTTGAATTTCAATACTACTACAAAGTATTGTCTTTTTTCTACAACTGAAAAAAAATCTTGCTTATTATTAAAAAAATTAACTCTACTGTGTTGCAAAATTTTCTTGGTGAAACATTACTAAATTATTAAGGAAAATTATCTAAATTACTAGAAAAATATATGGATTATGATAAATTATTTAGGTTGATAAAAAAGTAGCTCTACATTATAAAAAGCTGTCTTAATAACTATAGAAAAACATCACAACAAGTTCATAGTATTTATTGACGTGACGTAATATAATGTTTGATGTGATGTTTCGTTTCATCCAGCGTAATGTAATGTTTCGTTTTCTTAGTTTTTTAATGTGATAATGTAATAAATGATTGTCTAATCATTGATGAATTTAACCCTAGATGTAAATGAGTGTGCTGTCAACTTACTTCTGTGTGATAATGGCCAATGCAGAAATACTCCAGGAAGTTTTCAATGCACCTGTCCCATCGGTTATCGTCACAATATCCAAACTAATACATGCGACGGTATGTTTACATAATTATTTCGCTTTACACATTCTTTTCGTAAAACATCCTCTGTCGATAGCAGTTTTGAAATAACTCTTTAAAATCATTTGCAAATATTTTTTTGTGCGGCTAAAGTTAATACTTGACGAAACTATTAAATATTTATTTGCCATTACTCTTAAAAGTTAAATTAAAAATTAATGAAGTAGTTTATAATGTCACAGACAAGCAATAAAATAAATTCAAAAATTTTTTTTAAATATTCTTCTTCAAAAAGTTAATATAATTTTTACGTGATATTTATAAAAGGGCTCGTCAGAGATAATCGGTTTAAGACTTACGTCCAAACCGGCTTGAAAAAGAAAAGTGAAAGAGGACTATATGCCATTGCATACTTTATAAGGAAACTTACATTGCTATTTATCCCATGTGACCAAGCACTGCAGGTTTTATTTTTAATTTAATAAAAGGCAATGAGAAAATATAATGGAGAAAGCAATAACTCTCAATTACTATATACATTTTCTTAACTATTTTTAAGTCTGCCAAGTGTTCCATACTTAATTTACAATTTAAAAAATAAATGCAATTACTCTTAGCGTCTTAAGCGTCTAGTCGTCTGCAGCAGAATAACACATAGTACTTAATTCTTAATTTAAAATTATTATTTGAAAATATAATGTTTCGAAATTACACTATAAAACTTCTTTATTTCATCATATGTAACCAAGTATCGCATGTTTAATTTTTATTTTTAAAAATATATATTAAAAATATAATTCTCAATTACTTTTAAAAAATTCTTTTTACTCTTTTCTATTTCTTTTAATATTAAATATGCATTATTCAGCTGCAGACGATAAAAATTAACTGCAGCTAAATAATGCATATATAATATTTAGATGCAGACGATTATAAATGAAGACGAAAAACATGAAGATATGAGCTTCTTTTTGTACCTCTATTCCCTTATTTTTCTGCTTGTTTTTTTAATTTTATACTTCTTTTTATTACTATTTTCATACTTTTATTCTACTGTTTTATTTTTTTTTCTACATTTAAAAATTATTTTAACTTGTGTTTACCTTGCAGATGTTGATGAATGTAAGGAAAGGGGTTCTGAAATATGTATAGGAGGCACTTGTTTTAATACTTTAGGAAGTTACCAATGTGAATGTGAACCTGGGTCTGCTTTGGATGCTTCCAGAAACACCTGCATAGGTAAGTTGGAATTTTTTTTTTTTTTTTTTTGAAAAATATGCTCTTTTGTTTGAAAAAGATCTTTAAAATTAACATGTTTTCTTTGTTTAATTCAAAAATGTGTAACCTACTGCTGTTGTTTTATTTTCCTCAACCATAATGTTTTAGTAAAAATCATGTAAAAATTGACTCATTCTTATCTACACAATGAAAATTTAACCGGAAAAATAATATCTTCATCAAAGATAGGACGAATTATTATCGAGATCTAATTAATTAATTAAAATCATCTCAACTCTTTTTAATTGTTCCTCCATACAAAAAGATTTTTGCTTCCATCAAAAGCCACGACATGAACTTACAGAGTTTTAAAATATATTTGTGGTTTTTAAATAGTCCTTAGTGTGATTATATTATTAAGTTATTAATGTGACTTCCCCATGCACTGTTTTCGAAGGGTTTAAGGAATGTAAATTAATAAGTGAGTAGTGTGCAAAATAAATATGTGAGCACCCTAAACTTCTGATTTCATGATCGGATTTTCATGTACACAGGTCACAACAATTAAAGAATATTGAGGTTGTGGGTTAATCTTGCACCTGGAGAATTGTTTGAATGATTATTACATTATCAACTGACTATATGAGATAAAAAAAAAATAGCATTTGTTTGACAGAAAAAAAAGAGGAGCGATGGTGCCTTGCTGTTAACGTGGCACACACAATTCGTCGGCGAGCATGCAGACCTGCAGCGTAAAGCGATTTCTAACAGTTTGTGTCGAAACTGGGGAGCCAGTAGTCGAGGAAGGTGTTGTTGACGAAGAGTGGCATTCATATTTTGGTGTTTTTGAGCCGTTAGCGTTAAGTATCGATCTTCATTAGGCGTTAATTGTTGCACATCTACGCCCTTGTCCTGATCTTCGACCTGCATTTCCAGTCTCCAAAAGACGGTTCCAGATCCTGGAAATCACACTTTGTGAAACTCCAATAGCTTCTGCTACTTCGACTTGTGTTTGCCCCCCTCTAAATGGCCAATAACTCTCCAAGCTTCTGATTCGATTAAATGACTTCGTTATGGCATAATCGAAACAACGCCCTTACTGAATGTCGATCATTCCTTTCCACTTTGCCTTACATAAAGTTGAAAGTCAAATCAAATTCGCTGCCGGTAAAGCTCCGTCTTCGACGTCAAACTCAAAATTTGCATACCGCGAAGTTCGAAAATAAGAAAACTTTCCATTTGTGACTCTAATCTTCCATTTTGTACACACAAAAAAATTGCTTATACCGTTATTTTATACAAGACTTACTTGTTTTGAGCAGTGTACTAGCAATTAATCTTGTTGTTCGAGATCTTGTTGCTGTTAATCAGTCTTGTCCAATTGTTCAAGGGCTTAATCTTGATCCAAATCAGATGCGAAATCATACACAAAAACGTTCTTTTTCTGACTAAATATACTTTTTTTTGACGTAATCGAATTTGGTGATCACTTGACGATTAACGGATTGGTGACGATCATTAATTTTGCCTTATATTTTATATCATGTATTTTATAATAATATATTTAATTTTTTTATTATTATTTTTTGACAAAAATTATAAAACTGTTTAGTATAAGTGGTGATTACGAAGCATAATTTAAGTTTGATAGAAGTTGGATAGTAAAGAATAAAAAAATTTATTGTTTTAATTTTCTTTATAGATAATAGACGAGGATCGTGTTGGATGTCCGTAAAAAATGGCCGATGTGAGAATGACATTAAGTTCCCGATGTTGAAGTCTGAATGTTGTGGAACTGTTGGCAAAGCTTGGGGTAGTCCTTGTCAATTATGCACTGGAATAGGTATTTCTTTTTTAAATTTTTTCTGAGTTCTTTTAAGTTTCAGGGGGGGGGGAGAATTTCGTCGGGATTTATAAAAGTTATCAGATCTAGCTATAATAAATGCTTTTCTAAAACCTGATTGAAAATTTCATTTGCTTCAAAAATATATAAAAATGAGAAAACAGTCGACATGTTTCAAGCGCTTTAAAGATAGGCGCTCGTTTTCACGACTTGCCAGACGTGAATGTAAAGAAACAAAAATGATTTGAAATAAGAAATGCAAAGTTGTGAAAGAAAAATGGAAATATAAGAAGTAAAAAGAAAGCATAAAACGTAAAGTTGCCATTTTTCAATGGAAACTTCATACTTCTTTTTTTTCAAATCATTTTTGTTTCCTTACTTTCACGACTGGCAAGTCTTGAAAAGGGATTCCTATTTTTGAAGCGCTTAAACATGTCGACTGTTTTTTTTTTCATTTTTGTATATTTTTGAAGGGAATGACATTTTCAATCAGGTAATAATAACTTACAGTTTATGTTTATTGAGATTATATATTTAAAATGATTTTCTAATTTCTGAATTCTAAAAACATTTTTTCAGAGACAAATAAATAAAAAAACGGCGAGAGAAATTACGCAAAAAGGGAAAGAAATTAACTATTAATTTAATTTTGCTTTCAAACCATGAAATTTAAAGAATATCGCTATAAATTAATTTAGCAGTAGAGATCAATACAAGTTTTTTTAATCACATAATTATCCACTTTATACTGTACTCTAGCAATTTATTTCTTACTGAATCTTACATTTTTAAACCATTTTCAATTATTTATAAGCATCGTTTTATTTTATCTTTTATTTCTTTGTTCACTTCCTTTAAAACACGGAATCACATTTTTTATTAAAAGATACGAGAGTTATAATATATAAACAGAACTTTCTGGAACTGAATTTGACATAACGTTATATGAATCAGGCGTAAAACTATCAGAAGAAGAGATAACATTATATGAATCAGACATAAAACTATAAAAAATAAGAGACAACATTATACAAATCAGACGTACAACAATAAAAAAAAGAGATAACATTAGATGAATCAGACTTAAAACTATAAAAAGAAGAGATAGCATATATGAATCCGACATAAAACTATAAAACTAAGAGACGACATTATACAAATCAGACGTACAACAATAAAAAAAGAGATAACATTAGATGAATCAGATGTAAAACTATAAAAAGAAGAGGCAGCATTATATAAATCAAACATATAAAAATTGAAAGAGAGACAACATTATATAAATGGGACATAAAACTATAAAAAGAAGAGAAAAGATTGTGTAAATCTAGTTTTTTATTTCTGCGAAAATCAATTAGTTTCAATTTAGATCAATTGATGTTCAAATTGGTTCTAGAATTAGCGCCTTAAGTTCTCAAATGTGCTGATAAGTACACTGAATAATCTTTGAACGTAAGTGAAGTAAAAGCTTTGAGACTAACTTGGAAAATAGTTGATTGTACATTTAAAATAGAGAACAAAATCATTTTTTAAAAGAAAAAACACGAAAATTGACTTTATTTCTTGCTTTAAGCCAACAGCAACCTTATTGAATTATTCCTTATGCTAAATCAATTGTATTTTCCAATCTTTGTGGAATTAAATAGAATTTAAAACTAGCATTATCTTTAAAAAAAATTATGCTATTCTAAGTGCTCTACTTAATTGTTTAATATTATTTTATGAATATTTAACATTTCATTCTTGAAATTCAATAGTGTTTGGCATCTTTACTAATCTATTGAGTAAATATGGCCTCAAATTTAAACGTTTTTGTTCTAAACGCATCAATATTAAGAAAAAATAAATTTATCCTAATGAAACTTTCAAGTATCTTATAATAAATGTTGATGTTTCTGTTTAGTTTCTTTTTAACTTTAAATGCGCATGCATTAACTAAACAATTGCTAACAAAATGGTGAAATATTACTCACATTATTAAGAAGCACTGATGATGATATTAACACTGTGGAGTCCGATATAACAAAAGAAAAAGAGCAGATTCACGTGGCTTAATACAACTTAGCAGCTTTTAGTTTTTGTAGCCAAAGATAAACTATATTTATAACCGTCTGTATACTGGCTTGCTCATTACCTAAATTTAACTTGTTGCAAGCAGATGAAACCAGATAAACATCTAAGATGAGGCCGGGATAGCCTGGTTGGTAGGGCACTAGGCCCATGTCCAAGAGTTCTTGGGTTAGATCCCCGCCAGCCGAAGACTCACCGTGTAGTAAATGGTTATTGATGCACGTTAAATCTGTCGAGTCGCAAAATCCTCCATGTTCCCATAACAAATCAATACCTCTGGGGGTACTGATCCAGGAGTTTCCTTGTCTTCTGGATTAGTTCAAAATTACAAGGCTACGGAGTTGAACATTAGTAGTCGTAAACACAAAATTGGGTCGGCTGTTCAACGACGGATATGATATGAAAACATCTAAGATATTTAACTGTTTGCGTTACATGATATAATAAATTTCGATCTTAAAAATAGAACACTAGTTGCCTTGGCAACAAAACAATAAGAAAGCAATCGTATTTAGGAATTTAACTTGACTGATGTTCCAATGTTGTGAAAAGCTTTGTTTTTACTGTTTGTTTGGTATGTCTTCTAGTTAAGAAAAATATCTGACATTTGTTTTGTTCGTACGATGTGATAGATCATATTATGATAAGACAATAAGCATCTTTTGAAGCCTTGGAATTGCAAATTGGATTTCGACGTAGTGAAGAGTAGTATCATGCCTTTGAAATTTTTTAATACGATACAATAATTAGTTTTAAATAAAACAATATTTGTTTCAAATTCTCTGCATTACTTTAAATATCTTCAATGATTTTATTATTATAATAACGAAGTAAAAATGCATAACTGATTATTATAAACATCTTTAACTCATGAAAATAATTAAAGTTAAAGTTTTACACTCTCTTAGGATGTTTTAAAGCTAAATTGAAGAACTCTGATAATAGTCTAGTAAAATCAGACTTTTTCTTCGGAAAAATTATTCCTAAGACAAAAAGTTTTGGTATGCTATGATAACTGGTACCTACAAACTCCCCTTTTCTCCTCTGTGATCTTCCCCTTTCTTTGAGGGAAATGGGGAGTTAGAGGGGGAGAATTTCCTTTCTTCTAAGCAGGCAAACGAGGCAAATTTTTCAATGTATTTTTTACGCTAATTTGAATGTTACCAATCCCTAGTTGATCAGCCTAGGAGTTCAAAAGTAATATAACACATCTAATATCAGAAGTTGCCTTTGGTCAGATATAACCAGAACTAATTACAAAGCGTAACAGACAGCCTTATCGCTTGTTTACGTGGAAGGCGTTGCCTTGCCCACTAAAAGCAACATTGCTTTTGGGAAAGCCCATTTGCTTATATAATGAGACAGCCTGATATGTCACAGTTAAGTTACTGATCTAGTTAATACTAATCTATCATAATAGCACGTGATGGAAACATGAAGAAAATTTTGTGAATGTCTGCTGATTTTAACACTGGTTTCTAAAAACCCCTTGACGAAAATTAAATGAAAGTAAATTTGACTTCAGCCACTAATGTAATTAAAAATGTAATTCATGTACTGAAAACATAATTATGGTGTTATCCTTCATTCATATAATCTTATATGAGATTTAAATTATCTTATCACGTTTTATCTTATCATCGTACGAATCAGTAGGAATCGCTTGATTCATACTGATTCGAAGTTCTATTCATACATTGTCTCTGAAGCTAATCTCAGTGACTTTTTACTCAAAATTAATCCTTAACTATTAAATCTTGTTTCCAAAAGCGATGTCATAATGAAGTATGTTTTTAAGTTAACTATCATTAAAACCCTCCTTTCAATTTTTTTAAAGTAATTTTAATTTTCTTTTTATACGAATATCTCAAATTTCTTACAAATTCATCGATCTATTTTCTTGAAACAAGAACAATTTACTTTTTTTTCAAATAATAATTAATGTTAAAAAGAAATAATTTTTTAAGTTACATTGCTTTTTAAGTTATAAGTCTAATTTTGTTTTGTTTTTCTGATTTGTTTTTATTATTATTATTTTTATCAATTTTCTTTTTAACTTTGCATCCCATTATCACCTTCATATTTACAACTCATAGAATAAACTTTATTGGACATGTAGTTTATTTTAAAGCCAGCGTTGAACAGCTGATCCAATTCTGAGTTTACGACTACAAATGCTCAGCTCTGCGTAGCCTTGTATTTTTGAACCGAACCCAGAAGACAAGGGAACTCCTAGATCAAGCATTGGGACAAACTAGATTTCGTGGAGGAGTTTTGATGAATTTACCCATATTTCCGTTACATTGAGAGAAAAATAACAAATACCTTTCACGTTTAGCCCGACGTCAAGGAAATTCTGATTCATAATCCACCTAACACTGAGGATATTTTACGTCAAATCTGTGATCGTTGCCAGCCGGGAGCATTAACCAGTCATCGCTGAGATTCGAACCTGAGTCACTTCATTGGGAGGGTCCCCTGAGCCACCATGGCACTCGGATATTTTATAAAGAGCGAATACTGAGCGAATGTAAAAATATATTCATGTTTATCATCATCATCTCATATTCATCATCATCTTTATGAAAAAATAATGATCAACTTATTATATAGAATATTCCGCTAGGAAAGTTGTTTAGTATATAAGTTTAAAATACTTTTCAAAAATGAATTTTAAGAAAAAGTATTCACATTATACTTCACAAATTTATATATAAGCTGTGAAAAAAAATGCTTTTGAAATATAGCGAATCAATACAGTTGAAAGCACAACTGAAGCATCAAAATGTGTTTAATTTTAGGGGGTTACAGAAAGAAGTTGAAAGGCGATTATTAAAAACACCTCCAAGTTTTATCAGGCAAACAAACTGGTTTCGATATTTTTCATTCCTTCCACACAAGAGTTTCGAAAGATATCGATACAATTTTTGTCCCCTCTTCTCTTAAATATTGATTTGCACAACATCATGTATATTTTTACTTTGTTTTTGATAAGGACTCTAAATATATGGATATAGGGCAGTGATTTAAGAGCACCGTGTCTGTTGAAATACATTTATTTCCTTCTTATAAATAATAGAAAAAATTATATAAAAGATCGCTTAATTGAGGTAAATTTGGCCTAGTTGACATTGAGCAATATCATTTCGAAAGATACTGAATACAGTTAATCGTTATTTTGATGGGATGAACTACTAAAAACGCGTTTTCTTAATCTAGTAACGTAAAGTCACCGACAAGGACAAAATATAATAATACGTAAAGAAACGGATTTATTTTATCTTTATTGATTATGTTGGCATGATTTAGTACTGATTTATTGATAGTTAATTTTTTTTTCACCCAACTTATATATAATAAAATAATACTCATCTATATTCATATAGATGAATATTATAAAATAATATTCATCTATATCTAGTATACTATAAAATAGAGTTTCAACAAAACGCATGGACTTACCTATTCAGATATGGTAATAAATAATTCAAATTTAAAAAATTAATGTAAAATGTATTTTTTTACAAAACGCAAATCAAAGAGTAATTTTTGTATCAGGATGAGCAATTATTACTTAAGGTTTTAAATCTGTTATATTTTATAATTAGTATTAGGGGGACCGGAAAGTAATGTCGTTTGAGGACATTAAATATTCGTTAGTCTTAAAAACTAATTCCTTTTTTTCAATCCATTTCGATTCATTTCGGATTCGGCATTGAAAGGTTGTTGTTAACTAGGGTGAATACATTATTGATTAAAAATAATATCTTTGTAACAAATATCAAATGCACTAAAACGTCATTACTTTCCTGTCCCCCTAATATAAATGTGCCCGTAGTCAATTACAGGAAAAATTAATAACTGCATTTAATGTTGAACATAAATTAAACAAGACGGTGTAAAATAAAATAAATTGAATTTTCCTCATTCTTATAAATTATTTCTAGAACTACATCCCATCTTTGCGAACATCAAGAAGGAAAAAAAAAATTTTTTTTTCATTTCCTTCTGTCTATAGTCCTTGTCAGAGTAAGACTTTCTAGAAAATTCCTTTTTATTTCTAAGGTAGCAAAGCAAATCTTTTTTGATTCTTCCCCACTTGAGAGTTCGGTACCAGACATCCTCAAGCGCAAATCTACTTGAAATGCAAAAACGAAACACTACAAACAAAAATTTAACTTTTATTTCTTTACGCCGCTGCGCATTTTCTCTGTGCTATTCGGTTAGAAGGGAAAAAATAATAGTATAGAATTTTCGGAAACTTTAATGTTAATCAATTAGCTTTGTTCTGGTTGCTCTTTGTTCTTCGGTACTATATTATCAAAATTGATTTTATTATAGTTATTTTCCAATTCTAAAAGGATTTATTTTTAGAATAACACAAAGTTATCGAATATAATAAAAGTTATTTAATTGTGTTTTTTATTATAATTTTTGTTATATTCCATTGACTTATTAGATTTATGTGGATACTTAGGGTTAGTACCACTGGATCCTAAGCAACGTTATGAGACAAAACATGAAAAATAAGGCTTATATTTTGCAGACTTTCGTGTTTCTTACTTTATAAGCTGAGAATAAAACGTTTCACTTAATTATATGCTTATTTCCAAATTATTTTCTTAATGGTTTACATTTTTATTTTCTTATAATTCTTAATTCTTATCTTAATTATATTCCATTAACTTATTAGATTTATGTGAGTATTTAGGCATACTACCAATGGATCCTTAGCAACGTTATTAGAATAAACATGAAAAATAAGGCTAATTTTTTTGCAGACTTTCGTGTTTTTTTCTTTTAATATAAGATGAGAAAAAAATTTTCGCTTAATTAAATCCTTACTTCAAACTTATTTTCTTAATGGCGTATAGTTATCTGAGTTTTATTTATGAAAAAAGTTATTTTAGCTTTAAATACTAAATGTTTAAAGAAATACTTTACCGAATATTTTTTTTTAGTCTAAGGCATCTGCTTGAATTCTAAGTGGTGAGGGAGTTTGAAAAACATTAATGTTTGAATAATTCAGATTAAGTGCTTGGTATTTATATCTTCCTCAAAGAATTTACGTTTCAAAGATAAAAAGGAAATTTTTTATTACAAGTTTGATCACTTTTTTACTCTTAAGACCACAAAACTTTGAACTCAGCGAATTATTTGTGAGTCTATTTTCACAACTTTTGTTGCTTCATCTGCTTATAGTACTTATAGTCCGAGACATAGCACCACGAAAAGAATAGGTCGCTTTGATATATATTTTGTTTTAGCCATATTTATTTTTTATTTGCATAAATATAGACCAAATAAATTAATGTCGTCGCTGGTTCAAACTGACCACGTTGCTTTAAAATTATATGCATAGATAGATGACCAATAGAAAGGGTTTTTCCTACCTCCTGTTTAATTATTTTTACTTAAGAATTTGATTTTATATTTGGATATAACTTTTATTAATATTAATAAAATCATGTGAAGATTTTTTACATTTTAAGTAATTTCCCTGGCAAATTTTAACCACAAATACGTTTTTAAATCACCTTCTTTGGAAAACGGCTGCTCTAAGTAAAAAAACCACAATTTTTTTCATGTAAAAAATTTATTTCAAGACTTCATTATATTATATATAACTGTATGAAACTCAATTATTCAATATTTTTTATTTTTAAAGGGAAAAAAAATTAAGTATTACACGCTTAAATGTTGTACGCTTAAAATATTCGAGAAATAAGGTTTTATTCGCACTTTGACTTTTCACTTATTAAAATAGTTTTGAAACTTTCAAGCCATCATAAATAATCAAGCTCTGGAAATCAACTTCAATTGTTTAATGTAACCTATAGATTAATGACATAAATTATTAAGAATAACCTGAGATTTGTAATGTTGCTTTTCGGGCTATAACTCATATATTCTTACACTGAAAAATGCTGATCTCTTGAAATACACAGTACCTACTCCAAAAACTTAAAATATTAATTAAGACAGTACAGTTTTTTAAAGTTTAAACTGTCTATAAGCAGTTTTCTAATCTCACATTTTTGTGTAATTCCAGAGAACCGATGCCCCAAAGGTTACGCAATGCTGGATGGTTCAACATGCACAGGTAAATTCTTTTCTCTTCCATTAAAAGTTCAAACATTGTGCATCATATTTATAACTACCTGTACTATATGTTTTGAAAGTTGTTGATATATTTTCTGAAAAAATATTTAAATTCCTAGTTGTTGTTGTTGTTAATTTACGTCGCACTAGAGCTGTAGAATGGGCTATTGGCGACGGTCTGGGAAACATCCCGGAGGATGATCCGAAGACATGCCATCACAATTTTGATCCTCTGCGGAGGTGATGGCACCCCCGCTTCGGTAGCCCGACGACCTGCGAGCGAAGTCGAGCACTTTACGGTAGCACAGTATAACGAGGACCCATACCGCACACCCTCGGTCCCTACGCAGACTGATCCAAGCCTGTGATGCTTGACTTCGGTGATCTGCTGGGAACCGTGTCTTAACGATCAGTCCACTGCGGGACTTAAATTCCTAGTAAATTTAATTCTAAGTCTAGTAAAAAACAAACAAATTGATTGTAAAAAATGAAGCAAACTAAATTAATCCGTAGGTCCCAGGGTCACAGAAAAATTATGAAAATGAAGAAATGAATTTATTGCCAAGCAATATGTCCGAACCTATACCATTTAGTTATAACTGCTATGGTGGTATTTTACATATTGTTAAGAGTTTCGAAATATTCTCTTAAAAACGTTTCTAAGATAGTCATAATGAACATTGAAGCTTCTTCTCAGTCTTGAAGCTTTAACTGGACTTACTGAAATCCCCATTTTATTTTACTTTTTATAACTGTCGTTGAACAGGCGACCCAATTTTTGGGTTTACGACTATCGATTTTCAACTCCGTAGCCTTGTAATTTTGAACCCAATCCAGAAAACAAGGGCTCAAGTATTAGGATAAAATTGTGTTCGTAAAGACTTTTTAATGGAGCTAACCCGCATTTGCGTTACATGGAGAGGTGAGGGAGGAAAAAAACCCATGGTCAGCTCGATGGCAAGCAGTTTCTAACCTATAATCCGTTTACCAATGAGGACATTTTATGTCAGTACTGTGGTCAACGCGAGCCGGAAGCAGTATTGGCCAACCAACTCTTCTATTCGAACCTGAGTCACCGTCTTTGGAGGCGAGCACTCTGTCCCCTAAGCCACAGCGAGTTGGACGTATATTTTATAAAGAGTTTAGAAATTTAAAATATATTCTTCTGTATGAAAAAAGTAATGATCAAAATGGCTAACTCACAAGTAAAAAATCAGAAATGCATTTTATTCTGGTTTGCCTCTCTCAACTACGGTGGTTTTTCTTGTTCTTTTTTATTCATGTTTATTTTTATTCTCTCTCAGCAACTGTATTTTTTCTAGTTTTGTCTCTCATCTTTATTTTCCATTCTTCGTTGGAAACTTAACGTTTAATGGTTCAAGTCGCTTTTGTTTCTTCTCATTCACGTCTGGCAAGTCTTGAAAATCGGCGTCTATTTTTGAGCGCTTGAAACGAATCTGCTGTCATTTTCCCTCTGAATACTTTTGAGGCGTATTTTAATTAAGTAATTTCTTACCGCTTCAGTTTCTTAGGATTATGTATTTAGCTGTTTCCCTAGTTTTAATTCCAAATGAAATAAATTGATTGATTTTTTTTTAAAATTAATTTTATCATTTTGACCCTATTTCACTTATACTTTTAGATGTAAATGAATGTGAAGTATTTCCTGGAATCTGCCAAGGTGGTGGATTATGCGTCAATGTTGAAGGATCCTATCGTTGTAACTGTCCCCCAGGGCTGACTCTAGACTCCACTGGAAGCAAATGCTTTGGTACGTATAGTCTGCGTCATTGATAGTCTATGTCAGTCGAACTTTCAACTGTTCGTTAAATTTTTGAAAAAGTCGTACTTTCACAATTATTTAAATTTAAAGATTCGATGCGTATGTTACGCAACCATTTGGAAAGAGATAAAATTCAACTTTCGACTTTCCGCTTAAAGCATGGTGAAACTAGTTATTTACACGCATTTTCTTTAATGTTAAAATTAGGTGCCAAATTTCGTTCAACTTATATTTCATAGAATAATTTAACAATAAGATGAATAAATTTTAATTCAAAACATCCAATCTTATACTTCACTTAATTCAAAAAATAATACTTTTAAAGGAGAAAAGAACTTTTTTAAGAAAACGATTCTTATAAATTCCGTCTTAAGAAAACGATTATTTTAAAATTAGTTATTTTTTAAGAAAACGATTCAAATTCTTTTTTGCTTTTGAAACAAACGACTCTTATAAAATTCGTTTTCGTTTTAAGAAAACAATTTTTTTATAAAGTGCAAGTTTTTAATAATTGTTTTCCTAATTCGCAAGTTAATTTTTGTTGATGAAAAAAAAGAAAATAATGATGCATTTCTGAAGAAACCAAAGTATCCTAAAACAGAAAATTATAAGTTGCACAAATTTTAAAGCTCATCATAACCTTTTTTATTTAAAAAAAATACATCTGAATAAGATTTCTAACATTTGGAGAGAAAAGAAGACGCCTTAAAGAAAAATCAGTAAAATTATTAGTAATAGTATTTGAAACGCATTTATCGACCAAAATCAGAAACGCTGACGAACTTTTTTTTTTTCAGATCTGCGAGAGGAAGTTTGTTACATGCAGTACGAAAAAGGAAGATGTCTCAAACCTTTTGACGGTTCCCACCAGAAGATGCTGTGCTGTTGCTCTCTTGGAAGAGCCTGGGGTCATACTTGTGAACCATGTCCCAGACCAGGAACAGGTATTTAGTATTATTAATTAAACCGATTTAGCATTATTAATTAAACCGATATTAATTAAATAGCACCAACTTTTATAAAATCAGCCAAAAGTGTTCCATTTCTCAAAAAAGAAGATAATCGTTTTGAGCAATTCTTTTTTGCAGACTACGATAAGACCGTTCATAACGTTTTGGTCTCAGCGGGTGGAGAAATGTCCAGTTGTGGCGCTTTTGCCTTAAATCAGCCATCTCCAATATTTTAATTCTTATAGACCACCATGTGAAAAATATTTTATATCCTCATTTCTCTGAAGGAGATAAAGAAAACTCCTACTGGTTACAGTGAGTTCTTAAGGTTGTTTTTTGAAGGCTTCGTCGTCATATAAATTATGCTTTTTTGCAAATAATTTGCCATTTTTATAACTGTTGTGAATTTGAAACAGTTGCTCATGATGTTTATTCTAAAAATAGCGCAAAACGTCAATATGAAAAATGCCTCAGTTTTGAGAAAATGAAAAGCGTTTTGGTTTAATTTTTTAATAGTTAGAAACCAACTTCAATATTGCATTATCTGGGCTCTTAAAAATTTGCAAAAAGTGGGAATAAGGCATTGATTTTTATAATTTTCATCTAGGTGGAAAAATGTCCCCAAATTGGCGATTTTTAAAAAAATGGAATAACTTTACAATTATTTAAGTTTCTTGTCCCTTCTAAAGTTCAGATAATTCTTCAGGGCATGAAGAATTATCTTATTTTACTTCCATTGCAAGGCGCATAAACTGTGGCTTTTTTTTTCTTAGCTACAAAGCTTCAAAAAACCATGTTAAATGTCTCCTTCCAAAAGAAAATTGACGCGTTCAAGACAATTTTTAAAAATTGTACTCATTAAAAAGTTATTGAAGGTGTCAGGTTTTCAAATGCACTCTCTATTTTCTATGAAAACTTTGTTTTAACATGACTAAGTCAAAATATGGTAATGATCAATTAAAATTTACTTAATAATTACAATACAACTAATAATATTTAACCAGTGTCTCATATCAGTGGAAAGATGGTTAATTTGACTAACGCTACCAAAGCAAGAATCATCCTTCATTAACAACTCTGTCATGGACCACTGTTTGGCAACCGCTGCACTAGGTTATGGGACCAAACCAGGTCTGTTCGTAAAGTTGTTTCGGTCAAATTATTAACCAACTCAAATATCCTATGTTGAAATTTCGTAATAAAAATTGCAAATATAATGTGAGTAAAATTAAATTGTACAAAGTTTACAACCAAATATATCTAGCCAATTGTGTAAGGTTTCATGCTTTCTTGGTTAGAAAAGTACCTCAGATTCTTACAATTAATCCAACATACAGTCAGTCACACAGGACACACATTTCTGATTTTCTCACAGCAAAAGCAGAGCAACTTTATTAACCAGAATTGCATCCAGTAATCTTTTTTGTTGTTCTTCCAGCATTGTAACCAAGCAGTGAGATGCATTGGAGGCAGTAGGTGAGGGAACACGCAAAATTTATCGTCGTATGCCTGTCGTTTACGGCGAATAACTGCAGTCAAAACTCTGTAGTTCTACCGGATGGAATCATTATTTTGCATTATTACGTCATCGTCCCCAGGCTGCCAATCAGGAGAAAGATTAGTTTCAGAGATTTGGCTAGGGGATATTTCAACATCCTTAATACAATCCGGATCCTTCTTCTTGCTACTTTTTTGACTACTTGAAGAACAACAATCACGGATATCGGTTTCATTTAGACGAAAGTTCAAGTATGGTCCAAATTTCGAATTCGTTGGCGACCTATTTTTACAAGATTGGAATTTCATCACTCCATCCTCCAATAAAATTAATAAATCGACGTTTTTGGCTTTTATTTTTGAATGAAAAAAAATTCCATTACCACTTGACTGTCCTCCATACTTATATAAAAGCTTGTGGCAAAAAGAATGCGTTACATTTAACCATTCATAAGTTATGTAAATTTAAATTCATCGATATAATTACACTGAGTAGCATATTTATTTTTGTTTTCTGTTGCGTGAGATTTTTTAACGGATCTTCTATATTTTCACGTCGCTGATTTCAAATCTGCAATTGGTTTCTCTCACCAAGCTACATTTTTTGAAATGACATTTATAGTTTTATCTTTTGTCGAAATGTACAAGTTTAGAAACGTTATATACAACATGGATTCGCATAAATGTTGCGACAAACTTCTAGAGAAGTTAGGGCGCATCATCACGACTAAAACTGCGTAGGAACTCATGCCGCGAGGCTATGGCTATTATGAACTTCCCTATTATGAACTGTTTCTTTGTGTGCTTCGAAACAGCCGCGTCTGACGATATTACCGGACATGGGTTCTTGTTGAAGTTTTAATCCTGATAATGTGCTTTATCTCAACATTTACGCGAACTACTGTTATATGTAACATTGCTAAATTTTCACGTTTAGATAAATAAAAAAATAACCTAAAAATAGCATAAAGAAATCAGCATGTATCCGTAAACTAATTTCAGGTCTGAAATTAGTCTTCAAGTACACATACAAGTATCGAGTATTATCAAGTATTTGTATAAATGTAACAAAATATTTGTTCATCTTTGTTATCGGTAAGAATGATTATCAGTAATTAGCAACATTACTTTTAAGATAAGAAAAACATGTTGGAAATGAAAAAAATACCTAATACCAATATCTGTTCCAGAGTTAAGACTCAGAATTCGCATATTTTACCAGCTGATGATTCTCTGTTTTTTGTTGATTGTGTCGTTTTAAGATGCATATTCATAAAAGACACAAAACAGACACATTGGATGAGTAAAATGTAACACAGGTACAGATATAGTACCAGTGATTTTTATTCACCATAATGTAACCAAATAATAGATCTTGTAACTTAAATTAACTAAAACCGCTAAAACTCCCCTTCTCTCATAAGTTTGAAAAATGAGCAGCTGTAGCAGCTAAAACCGGCTTTCTACGATCAAATTTCAACTTTTGAATTCTCAAAAACTTATTAGACTCTTAGGAAATGACACAATCCTATAACAGATCCAAAATATTTGTTATAGAAAAATAATCGGCATGTCAGGAATTGATTTAAAGGAAACAACTTAAAGAATGTGTCAAAATAACTCTATCTTTACCCCTTTGACGCAAAATTTTTATTAAATCTTTTTTTCATTATTTTATATTTTCATTATTATTTTTTTTCATTATTTTACGTTAATTCAGGTCAAAATAAGTGAAAATCGTAGATCCAATTGATATTCGTAGAGATAATGATTAAACGTTATTAAAAACTACTTGTTGAGATGTTTGTCTAAAATCTTATTTTTCTGTAACTTTTATCTATGTATACAATTCTATATAGCTCATAATAATTCTAATGAAATTTATATAATTCATGTAAATTAATTTCTATGTCAATTTAGCTATTGTCTGGCGATCACGAGATGAACCCCGGCTTCGCTGAGAGCTTAACTCGTGATTGTTTGACAGTAGGTACTTTGAAACTTCATTACAAATAACTTTGTTTCAGTAATTTAACTTTTTACTTAGAGGCTTTCAACGAGCTGTGTGTTAAAGGTTTTGGATATGCTTTTGATAACAGAGGGCGGCACGAGCCTGGTTTAATTACTGGTAACTACTTATATTTTTTCATATTTTTAATGCTAACACAATAGGAACCCAATAAATATAAGATTGTATATGGAAAATAATAGTAATCTGATTCTGTGTTGATAGTTATTAAGGGGTAATTCTCTTTGATGAATTGTTAGAGAAAATTAAAATTTTATGGGCTCTTTAAAGATCACTTTTAATATGTACTTTGTTTTCTTATTAAAAATAAATACAAAAAGTTATGAGAAATCTCAAATTAATATTTAAGTGGAGAAAAATATAAAAATGTTATCGAAATTTGTCAAAACACAGTACAAGAGAGCGCATGTGGTAAACAACACAAGTTGGGGGAAGAATTAGAGAGGAATTGAAAAATGACCATTAAAAAACCTTCTCATTTCAACTTCCAATTAAACGTATTTTGTTGTTTATTACATTCATTTTTTTCTTTTATTTGCCAGGATTCGGTGGCATTTTTGTTTTTTCCTCGGCTAAATATTAGTTTGAGACCACAAATGTGTATTCTTTTTGCTCTCTTTTTTTATAAGGATTCTCTAAATACATAAGGGTGGTCTTTGCAGATCACCCTCTCTATCTCTATAAATCAGCAGTGGGTATGTTTTATATCACTTAATAAATTTTATTTTTTTTACTAGATATCAATGAGTGTGGACAGTTTCCTTTTATCTGCCAAAATGGAAGATGCAGAAATACGGCTGGCAGCTTTAGTTGCCAATGCAATCCCGGATTTGCACTCGATTCTGATGGTTTAAACTGCACTGGTAAGATATTTTTGAAGTGAAGCTTTCTTTGCATATTATTTCACTTTTCTTAATCAGATTCACTTTTCAATCCATATACTTTTTTGCCTAATTTAAGACTGTCGAGTTGTTTTTTCACAAACTACTTTATTTTAGTTGACACTTGACAATTTTCTGCAAATGCGAAATTGCTTCACATTGTTAACGTATTAGAGAGCTAATTAGGATTGGCAAGAACCTTTATACCATGTACAGGGTTGTACTTGAACTAGGCGTCATACTTAACATCCCTGATGACCTGTACAGTGCGCAAGAAAATAAAATGGACCACCCTGAATAACTTTTGAACTAATGATCGGATCTTCGAGTTCTGCAACTCAATCTTAATAGTATACTTAATAGTAGTCAATCTTAGTAGTAGTTTTTACTTTATTAAAAAATGTAATTTTATATGGCAAAATACAAAATTTGTGTGAATCCGTCGAGTAGTTCCCGAAAAATCGAATTTTAAAAAACCCGTATTAAAATTCGATTTCTCAGAAAAAGTTCGTTTTTATGTCTAATTTCGTGACTTAAACCAATTAATTAGCTTACTTAAGGTCTCCCCCTCGAGCAATTAAGATTGAGTTATTCAGATTCAGCAATTAAGATTGACTGTTTAATTTAAATTACTTGAAAATCCGATCATTGGATCAAAAGTCATTCAGGGTGGTCCGTTTTTTCCTCTTTTTTTTCACATCCTGTAATGTAAATGATTTATTATATTGCCAAGAGATTTTTTTTATCAGACTAGTGAGTCCTACGAAACTTCCGGTATTGTAAAGAATAGGTTTGAAGAATATAAACTAAGCTCAGTGGCGCGACAGCCCATAGAGGGCCAAGGCCTACCGTGCCCTTCTCAGTTTTCTTTACCTTGGGCTCTGCGGTACAGGAGCAGATGTTCCGGTTAGGTAGTCAGCCGAACGTTGAACCCCCAGTGTTTAGTTCCCAAGCATGCTTGGTACTCATTTATCGACCCACTGAAGGGATGAAAGGCTGAGCCAACCTTGTCCGGCCTGAGGATCAAACCGATAACCTGCGACACGAGAGCTCGCAGCGTTATCCCTCAGCCAGCGGGCGTACGAAGAACATAACGAAGTTTAAAATTTGTTGCGTTGACTTCCGCAATCCTCAGATCTGATTCCTATTGAGCATCTGTGGAATGAAGTTGAAAAAGCCACCAATTGTTTTGATCTATAATCATTCAGTCGCTCTCTACTGTAACTTGCCACTCTAATGATCAATTAACAGATCGTTAGGTCTATGCATAAGAACTTTATTCTTTTATTTATGTTGACCCTTTGTTAATTTCATTTTTTCTCGTTTTTAGTTTATTTTTGCAAAATATTTTTTGCATGTTCTTCCTAATATTTAATAAGGTTTTTGTAACGTGCATGTTTTATATTTAGACATAAACGAATGCACAATTGCTCATGGTATCTGTGCAAATGGGACTTGCCGGAACACACCAGGATCTTTTAGATGCGACTGTGATGAAGGATTCGAAGACATGATGATGATGCAAATGTGCATGGGTAAGCTGTATATAAAAGTTTTTATAAAGCTTTGCTTAAATCCTTAATCCTTTCCTTAAATCCTTTAAAAAAAGAGCACCGTCGACAGTCTGTTGTCGGTCACAGGAGTCAGAAAAGTTAAAACTACATAATTTCGAGACCTATGACATGATGGTGGCAATGGTGACGCCTTTACTTTATATACTAGCTGGAAAACTAACTTGAAGTTGAATGAACTCCACATTGATACTGGGGATAGAACCCTTGTCCTTCACATTGACTACTTTAACCGTGTCATCGCATTTTACAATACCTTTATCATGTATTATTTTTCACTGAATTGCTTAAGTTTATTTCCCATATATTATTTCGTCTATAATTCCTTATCCATGCATTCCTCACTTTTAATTCCTTCTCCCTACATTATTTTCTTTTAAATTCCTTTTTCAAACTTTCCTTCTCTTTCATTTAATTCACATACATTACTTAGGCCAGGATAGCCTGGTTGGTAGGGCACTGGGCCCATGTCCAAAAGGTCGTGGGTTCGATCCCTGCCGGCCGAAGACACCCCATTTAGTAAATGATGACTGATGCACGTTAAATCTGTCGAGTCTCAAAGTCCTCCATGTTCCCATAAGAAATCAAAACTTTTGGGGGTACTGAATTGGAGATTGATCGTTTTCTGATTCAGGTCAAAGCTACGATCTTTGGATGAATAAATGAGTGTATGAATGAGTCCTCCCTATCAACGGGTGTGACGTATGGATGTAGCAGAAGTCGAATTCTTGGCCATAGATGGCGCCACTGAAAAATAAGAACAATCGCACCCCTCTGGCTAAATGGCATACGTCAGCAACAATATACATTATTTCACTTCGAATTCTTTTTAAATACTGTTATACGTTTTTAAATACCATTTAAATACATTTTTATGTTTTTTTCCCTTTATTTCCTTTGAAAAAAGTTCTTTCCCACTGAATCTTTTCTTTACATTTTTTCTTTGTCTTGTGTGATCATAGTTGTTTTAATTTTTAGACATCAATGAATGTACTCGAATCAGAGGCTTGTGTCGTGGTGGAACATGTATTAACACACCAGGATCATTTCGATGCGAGTGCCCCGAAGGTCATGAACTGACACCCAATGGAAGAGCTTGTAAAGGTAAAACACTCATTTAAGACATTTTTAAAAAAAACACGTGTCAATTTCATTTCGAGTAGAATCTACTCGAAATGAGAAATATATAACTGGTTTTTGATTATATCAACAAAAGAGGAGGGGAATGTTTCTCAATTGCATACTTTATAACGGCACTTTAAAATGAGCACGTGGTGCAACTCTGATTGAAATTATTAGAATATTTGAAAAATTCGACATTAAAAAGCTTCTTACTTCGTATTTTCCTTTATAAAATTACAAATTTATCGTGTAAAACTACATATTTCACAGTATATTTAACATGCAAAAAAAGTTCATAATTTCAAAAGTCCTTAAATAGTAAATAAATCATGAAAAAAGTTGTTTAAAAAATATTTAAAAAAACAATCAAAGAACTTAAAGTTTGTGAATACGAAATATATCTAGTAAATACCATTTATCTAATTTACCAGTACATTGTTGAAAAACGCTTTCATATTTCGGTAATTCCATAGATTTAGGCTTAACAGCTAAAATCCTCGGGTCCTGGACAGATGTTTGCGAACGAGACTCCAGGCCTCAGCTATAATCGCTTGCTTGCATCTCTGGTCGCGAAAGGATTAACAGCCGCACCCATAGAGTTCTACTTTCTGTAATGTCAAAAAATCACGTCAAAGCTAAAGTTATCATAAAAATCATTCGTCAATAATTCTTTTCTTGTTGTAGATGTGGATGAATGCAGCCGGACCAGTGGCATATGCTCTCACGGAGTGTGTGAAAACATGATGGGCTCGTATCAGTGTACCTGTAACGACGGATATAAACAAACATCCCAACATACTAGCTGTGAAGGTAAGTAAAACGAATAAATTACTGAATTATATTTTACTCATTGCTCTTCTGGTATTTTTGTAGAATTTGAATCGTGATCGCAGTTCATTCATAACAAGTAAGACGTATGGTGTTATTTCTAGCAGATTTGTGGTTCCGATTATCTCGCATCAGTTAGTTCCCCCGTAAAAATAATCTTACAGTTCTAGCAAAGAAGATATCCGTGATTGTGACTAACCAGTGTCGATATTTTTGTTCTCATTGGTATGATGATTTGTGAAAAAATCATTTTAATCAAAATTCTAATCAAATATTTTCATTCAGAAATTCTTTCAAAAATGGCAAAATGCATTTGCGGTAGCATTTTGTTTGGCCTACAATAGAATTGTTTTACATTAACTGAACTGTAATTAAACTTAGCTCTATTTTGGGAAAACTAAGACTGGGAGTAAATTTTCTAAAAGGATATTTGTTTATTCATCGTTTTCTAATTAAAATTTTCAGAGCAACAATTCTAACAAAGATTCTATAAAGGTATATATTTCTCCTTAAATTGGAAAGGATTTTCGAGAATCCTTTTCGAAACTTTACTATATTATTTTTCCAGTTTTTTTTTCAGAACGCTGGTAAGCCTGGCCGTAATATTTTAAATGATTTTCATTACGGTTCCAAATTTCGAAAGTGTTCCTGTTACAGGGGACAATACTGAAGATAAAAAAAAAATTTAAAAGACTTCCCTCTGATGTGCCAGCTTGAATAAAATGTTTACCAACACAAGCATTTATCGAAAACCATCATACTTCTTGATGGTACCATCAGGACTGACCAATTCAGTAATTGGCACTATTTTATCTTGGACTACATGGTTTGGTGTTTTTTTTTGTCCTCTTTATTCGATAGTTCAACAAAAAACATATACCAACATATTTAATTAATTTCCAACTTAGCATTCCATCAGGTAGCAACTTATTTCTTGAGGGTACCAACAAGTCACAAGACAATCAAGTCACCGTCGATAAATGTGTAAGCATATTAACAGGCACAAGGAATATTTCATCAAGTCCTCATCTTTGACGACATTTTAATGCATTTTTAATAGCATTTAATGGAAGTATAGTTGTAATATAATAATAATAAATATATCCATATTTCCCACATCTTACGTTGTTGCCGTATACATCGTCTCATTTTAGCGATCCTATCACAAATGATATTCTTATAATGTTAATATTACCCATTTAAATGTTTTAGAAACTAGCAAATTTTCGCATCTATCATTCAGAAATTTTACCAATATTCAAAAGAAAAGGTTAGCAGCCGACCGGCCTGTGTAGGGGCAGGGAACTGTCCTTGCGTCAGAAAGGTCCTGGATTCAAATCCCGGGCAAGGGATGGATGTTTCTTCCTCTCTCTGCGTGTTCTATGCCCTTTCTCCTTTGTGTGTGAATGTGACCCGCCCTATAAACGGGTTGTGGTTGTGTGAATTGCGTGACAGAAGTTGAATTCCTGGCCATAGATGGCGCCACTGAAAAACAGGAACAATCGCACCCCCACTGCCTAAACAGGCATATAACAAAAAAAACAAAAAAAAAGTTAGCAATTTTTGAGAAAAAAGACAGTAACTCATGATACTAATAATGATAAAGAAATTTAGGTTTTATTGCAATTTGAGGAAAACGCCTAAGACCATTCTCATTGGAGGCGATCTTTTTCGTATTTGAAAGCGAATCAGATTGGTGGAAAATATTTGCCCACGAAAAACTTACCAAACTTACATCGTTTGCATGCTATTTTTTCACTCACCAGTTGATGGAAAACTTGTGATGTTGTCGATTAAAGAAACGATTGGGTGAGCAGAAAAAGTGCAGAATGATATCGATGAAGACGGTAAAAAGAAACCACAGCTAGTACCAACATTTACGGAAGGCCACGAAGTCTTTGTATTGATAAGGAACATTCTGTATTCACGTGAACTTACAGAAATGCAATTTGCTAAATGTTGCAAATTTATCATTTGCGATGCGAAAAAAAAGTGTGTTCCAACCTAAATTTCCAAATATTTTAAATAAATATGTTTATCATTTTATTACAACGTAAATATTTTATATTTGGACCATAATTTTTTTAATTAATTTTGGTTTTCATTGGAAATTTATTTTAATTTTCGAATCTATTATTTCTTCCTTACTCAAAGCTTTCTTCGATAATTATTTTATAGGTTATATTTACCCGCGTTCATCGTCTCCCCGTATCTATCGTTCTTCCTGTGAGAAACGTTCAAAAGATGTTCTACTGTTATAAATAAATGTAACTAGTGTCATGTTTAATTACAGTTGCGACTGATACAACCTGAGATGTATCAAACAGCTGTGAACAGTTTTTAATTTGTTTTTATGTGAAATTTTTCAGATATTGATGAGTGCACTGACAAAAAAGGGGGTTGTCAATCAAGATGTGATAACAGCGCTGGTAGTTACAAGTGTGGCTGCGATGATGGATATAAATTAATGCCTGATGGAACTAGTTGCGAAGGTATTGTAATCGAGATATTTTTAATCTTCAACTTTAATTCCTGACTTTGAATTAAATGAGAGTTTTTTCGTAAAAGGTCAAAAACAGTCAGAAATTTCAAAATCAGTTTTTGATTTTGATTTTCTTACTTAATTTACCATTAAAGCGGAAATCATGCACTATTTTTAGATTATTTTTAACAAATTTATGAGGATTTTTAACCCCAATGCTCTGGACCAGCGGTTCCTGATTTTTTTCGGTTATCGAATCTTAAATGATCACTCTTTTTTCGGTGGAATCCCGACTTATGTATATGAAGACAATTGTTTAACGTTCAAATCAATAAAATACTACTTTATTTTGAAAATACTAAGATGAATAGAGCCTTGGTGGGTAAGGGGATAGAGCCTTCCAATGAGGTGAAGCTGGTTCGAATCCCAATGATGACTTGTCGAAACGAATTCCGCACCCTGCTCGCACCGACTACAGTGCTGATAGAAAATCCTTAGTGGTAGGCGGATCATGGGTTAAAAACTCCACTGCCGTCAGTCAGGCTAATAGAGGGGGGCGTGTTTTTCCTCTCCATGTAACACAGATGGGGTTAGTTCCATCAAAAAGTCCTCCACGAAAGCAAATTTCTCCCAATGCTTAAACCTGAAGTTCCCTTGTCTTCTGGATTGGGTTCAAAATTACGAGGCTATGGAGTTGAGCATGAGTAGTCGTAATCCCAAAAATTGGGACGACTGTTCAACGATGGTTATAAAATAAAATAATAAGAGGAATAAAAAAAATTTATAGTTTTATCATTAATAATCTTAAATTAAAATTTCGGTTCCGACATTTGAATTACCAATCCTTGGAACTGTATGTAGTTGAGTTATTAATTTTAATTTAGTTCAGCATAAGTGGAAAATGTACGATATAAGACAGTATGGTTTTCTTTGAAATGAAAATTAAAAAGAGCTGCTATAAATGTTGAAAATAGTTATTGCAGAAATATTTTTTTTCCGAATTTAGTAATTTTGATTATTAATTGAAAAGTTCGAAGTGAAATACTAAGGCAATTTTTTATAAATGCATGCCCTTTACATAACTTATTCAGCATCAAAAATATGTACTGCTTAAAATTAAGTCTCTTAACTCTTGGAGCACCGATGATTGATTCCTCCACGGAACCCTAAGATTCCGCAGAACACAATTTGGGAACCACAGTTCTAGACATCTATCCTTGAATAAAGACTAAACTATAACTATTATATAAGACTAAACTATTAGGTCATGGATATTTTTCTTAATATCTATATAATTTCATATGCTACGACGAAATACTGTTACAATATTTTTTAGAAAGATTATAAAAATATTTATCATGATTACAGACATCCTTTAGACGGAGAGCCCGTATATTAGATCTCAAAGACCCCTTAACCGGTTTAAGATGGTCCTGCCTAACTACGGCACCGGCTACGCCACAGCCCCCCACAGGCCAGGTAGTTCAGCCCTTTTTTTAACGACTCCCGGCCCACTGTCTAACGGATGTCCGGGGAGCTTCAACGCCACAAGACGTGTACTGGCTGCACTGGTTCCGCTATACGTTTGTCTAGAAATCCGGGCAGGTGGTTTTTCGCCCCAACTTGGGTTGGCCCCACCTCTCTGGTAAGCCTGCTCGCTGCTTTTTAACAACTGGCAGCTCAGCCCGCCCTACTGTCGTCGGGACAGACGTCAACGTGCCGATGTTCACCACCTAGCGCTACTGGCTACTTTGGCCTGCGCCATCATTTCCTTTGACAAACAGTCAAGGAGGAAGTTTTTCGTTTTCGTTTGCACAGGCCCATCCTTTTCGGCGGACGTTGGCCTTAGCAAAAGCTTAGCTGACATCCGTCTAATGCTGAGGTTGGAGACAGTGATCTAGAGATTCCGTTCCTCGACTGAGACTAGATCGAGAACGGGCCCTAGTACCTCCCGTTCTCTGCGCCTCGACTCACACTCTGAGTCGAGGCACGCGGAGAGGCCGCAGCGTCTGCTCTTTTCAAAGCACAACAGTCTTTGCAACCGTTCACTCTTGTACTCGGATTACCTTTTCGAAGAGCGTAAGCACGACGATGACATGACTGGTTACGCTCCCCCATGATTACGGACATTTTTTATGTATAAATCATCTAAGTAAAAATTCTTTAGCAATGGAGTTCATTCTTATAGCGTTAAAAGCAAAGCCATACACTGCAAAAGACAGGATGGCTCGCCCGCAAGTGATGCGACTCAGATTCAAATCCCAGCAACAGCTAGTCAATTTGTGTACTTCTCTTTTTCTCGTAGGAACCACAATGCAGACAAAAAATATCGTCAGAAATTAACCAGAGTCCCCTTTCTATCAGGCTAACCATGGGAGGTTTTCCTCTCTATGTAAGGCAAATATATTTAAGGGAAACTAAAAGCGGGCTCACACTGAGCTCCTACCTCAACGTTTCAGTGTATTGCATCTTTTGCGCAATCCCTCTCAGCTAAATTTTTGCAAAGCTACTTTTTGCTCTAGCACAGAAGACACAATACGCCAAGAAGTTGACGTTAGCCCTCACAGTAAACCAATCCTTAATTTCCCTTAAAAATCTTTCATGAAGGCGTGTTTGTCCCAATGCATCTTCTGGGATGGCTTCAAAAGTACAAAGCTACGGAGTTGAATATTGATGCAATCTTAAATTCTATATTGATCGGCTCTACAGTAACGGTAATAAAATAAAATAAAAATTCATGATATAAGTGGTTGAAATCAAATAATTACTAGTTAGAGAGTCGTGAATAATTATAAGAACAGAAGTGTTATCACTACAGTTTTGCAACTTAGTCACTGCTATATAAAGTTACATAACAAAGTAAAGTTAATCCAGTGAAAGAAGTAAAGTTAATACAATGAAAATAATAGTTTTTTGGGGAATAAAACAGTCATATTCAATCCTCAATCGTAAATTTGAAGAATAAAGTCGATTTGGGAGTATGAACCATTTATTTATCCAATACATTTTGTTTCACTGTGTGTTTCTCTATATATCTTGTGTATAATTCGTGATGTGTAATAATTTTGTTCTATCAAATGAATTAAATTGTATTAGGAAAGTAATAGTACTATAATATCTACCGCAAAATTTTGTCTATCTTGAATTCATAAAGATAATGAATGTACAATTCATCCTACATATACAACACCATCTCAATGCCGATCTCTATATATTGGCAACTATTTTTTTGCCAATATATAGAGATGGTACCACATAAGAAAATATGCATATAATAGTGTAATAGTCAGTTATAGGTTAATAGATTATTATATATTAGATTATTATTATTATATACTAGATTAATATATATATATATATATATAATATACAGGGTAACAAAAAAGTATAGGGATCAGTTTTGTGGTTATCTGCCACTAAAGTTTTAAAACCCTTTTACATATATAGCATACTGATCTAAAGCTCTGCTATTAGACTTTCAATTGCAATACTATTTCATAAAATCACAAAAATGCCTTTGAAGAAATTTGATAAAAAGCTAACTGGTCAAGTACAAGCATTTTTAGAACTTCGATGGAACCACAGGATTATACAAACCCATTTTAAAAAGAAAGGTATTGCGATTTCACTCAGTCATATCAGTCGCATCAAGAGTTCAAAACTCGGATCGATGCAAAATAATGCAAAACCAAAAAGAAGTAGACGGCCAAGCAAATTGAAGAAATCAGATTTCCGGAAGCTTGATAAGATGACATCAAAACCGGATCCACCAACACAGGCAATCATAACTAAAGCTCTTAACGTGAGTCAGCAAGTTGTAAGCTATCAACTAAAACAAAAGTTGAAGAAAAAATGCTATAAAAAACCTAAATGTCATCATTTAAGTGAGAGATCGGTGCAGATTAGGAGGCAACATTCATGACCCCTCTACAAGCTTCTCCTTAAGGACAGATGGCAAAAGTTCATTACAGCTGATGAAGCTTGGATCTATCTATCTGATACCAACGCTAAATCTAAAGTTCAATATCTTAGCCGTGGGAAGAACAGGCGAGACTTGACACCATCAACCACGGTGCCTCATCCCAAAGGCGTAATGGTTTGAATGGGCATATCCGCCCGTGATGTGACCAAACCTCGGTTTGTGAAACCTGGGGCCAAAATAAATTCTGAGTATTACATACAAAAGATATTAAAGCCCCTTCTTAAGGATGATAAAGAAATTCCTAACAGATCAGCAAGTGCAATTCCTGAGACCAGAACAATGGATTCCAAACAGTCCTGATGCTACCCCATGCGACAATTTCCTATGGGGACATCTGAAAAACAAACTGAATAAGCGAAGAATTTCTACATTGAGAGGCCTTCAAAGAGCTACTAGAGAAGAGGTGAAGAAAATCCCCTAGGAAATCATTTTGTGGGCTTTAAAATCATGGCCGAAGCTTTGTAGACAAATCTATTATGCCGTAGCTTGACATATTGAGAAGTATCGCTGAATTTAGGTGATAAATTTTGGAAATAAAAACACTCAAAAATGATCCCTATATTTTTTTGTTACCCTGTATATATCCAGTCAAAGCTGCATTTTTGAAATTACTGTAAAAAATAAACGGATGGATATTTCAAAATTTTATTGTTACTATCTTAATCTACATTAAAAAGCATTTAAGAAACAACATTCACTGTTTAAATATAACGCCAGTAAGATGGTGCCGACNATTAACTATTGTTATTATAATGATTCAAATTTTGAGTATTCTTAATGTTTAACAGAAAGTAATCCAGGAGAATTTGAAATAGCATCTCTATTATTATTTAGTTTATCAATCTTACAGTTCTATCTAGTTTACCTTATTATCTAGTTTATCTTATCTCTTATCATGCAAAATTTATTATTACCTTTGAAATTAATTTTATGGATCACCTTTTTCCCCAAGCATTCGTTCATACAATAGTTTTTTTTCTTTTTTTTTGAAAACCGAATTTGTGTTTTATTTTATTGATAATATTTATAAAACATATTTATATATATATTATATATTATTTCATATTTATAATACAATATTAATTTCAAAATAGGTACATCAAAAATAGGTACTCAAACCAGATCAAACCGTTAATTTTGCAATACAATTACTACAAAACTGGTTTGGAACCCTCTACATGAATTAGCTCTATCAACGTAACAAGCTCTATTTGACAATGAGTTAACGAATGTTTTATTTCAAAAAATTAAAATAAATCAGTTCAACATTTAACTATAAAATCATTTTCATAAATCGAAACAACTTGTTAGTTCTTGTTGTCTAGAAGATTTGTCTTTCAAAAGACGACTTAAAAGGAAGGGGTTTACTTACAGAAGAATACTACGATTATAAGGTGCCCAGGTGATTCTCCGTAATATCTTTTTTTACAGATGTAAGAGCGTTTAACATAAAAGTAAAATTGCAATGCTTTGGTAGAATTTTACTTCACAGAAAGAACTAAGGAAAGTCAATATTAAATTGCCGAAATGTTGATGGTTGTAGGCATATTGCTGGCCGCTAATTGTTTTTCCAGCAATCTCAATATACTCTCATAACGCATCAAAAAGAAATAAGCGATTGCTTTTCGTTCTTGGCTAGCCAGCAGCTGCATAATTCAGGAATGATGACCAGCTGATGGCTGTTACTACTAAGTCCAGCTGTTATTTTTGTGGAGATAAGAATGATGGCAAATGTATGGCAATCGAACACTTTATTTGCTGGCAATTTTGTTTTTGTTCGATGGACCAGAATCCTGATATTGTAGTCATCATTGTTTTAATACAATGAATTAATTATAAAAGTGAATACATGATATAAGGCGAGTACATGAATCATTTTTAACTTCAAAAGAATTTAATAATTACTCTACTTACTCTCTGATCATAAAGCAGTGTTTTTACATTTTTTCAGTTGCTTTAAGTAAGTTCTTCTTTTAAATAAATATTTGAATATTAGCTTTCTCGAATCTTTGAGAACTGGAACAATAACCACAATTACTTGTTTATGTATTCATATTGGTACTCTGTTGATACTATACTCTTGATATATACGCTAGAGTACTATGTTGATACTACACACTAAAATTGGTACTATACGCTTAATAATTGATAGTCAGAGGTTACTGAAATAAATTTCTTTATTTCAATGTTCGTGAATCAAAGATAAAATCTTCGTAAGTGTCGCCATTTTGTCAGTTTAATATTGCTTAAATAATTTTTTGAAATGATTGTATGTCTGCCATAAGAAAGCAGTGAACGAAAAAAAAGTAAGGAACATTTTTCACTTTCATAGCATGAAAGAAATACACACAAATTTTTTTGCGTCAAGCTTAGTTCATAAAGCAATTTAACTCTGAAATAATATCATAGACAGAACTTTGCGGTAGGCAAACTGAATTCTTTTTTTTTCTTCTACATTCTATTTACAATATCTTTTTTTTTCTTCTTCTTTCTTTGGAATGTTGACAGTATGCCTTTCTTTTGTAATCAGATATTGATGAGTGTAAAGATATTCCCAATATTTGCAGTGGTGGAAAGTGTACTAACCATGCCGGATCTCACACTTGCCACTGTACAGGAGGTCTAAGGCCATCTGGAGATGGAAAATCTTGCATCGGTGAGTCTATCTCTCATGTGATCGATCTTTAATCTAGTTTTTTTTACTTATTTTAGAAACATCGAAATTTATACACTGCATATTTATTATTATTATATTGTAGCAAATACTCTCTGAAAAAAATTGTGTTCTTTAGGTTTTGACGGATTCATAAAATGAAAAAAAAACTAGGAATTAGCTTTTATAAATTTATCAAAAGAAAAAGAGACTTAGAATTAGTTTTGGCCCATTTATCAAATAAAGATAAAACTATGAATTAGTTGTGATGAATTTATCAAATGAAAAAGAGACATGGAATTAGTTTTGACACATTTATCAAATGAAAAAAATAACACTAGGAATTAATTTTGCAGCATTTATCAAATGAAAAAAAAATGGGAATTAGTTTTGATGAGTTTACCGAAGGAAAAAGAGACTAGAAATTAGTTTTAATGCATTTATCAAAGTAAAAAAAATAGGAAATAATTTTGATGCATTTATCAAATAAAAGAGAGATATGCAATCAGTTTTGACACATTTATCAAATTAAAAAAAAACTTGGAATTAATTTTAATACCTTTATCAGAGTAAAAAAAACTAGGAATTAATTTTGATGCATTTTTTAAATGAAAAAGAGACTAGCAATCAGTTTTGACGCATATATCAAATTTAAAAAAAAAAACTAGGAATTAATTCTAATGCATTCATGAAATGAAAAAAAAACTAGGAATTAGTTTTGATGTATTTATCAAATAAAAAAGAGACTAGCAATCAATTTTGAAGCATTTATCAAATTAGAAAAAACTAGGAATTAGTTTTAATGCATTAATGAAATGAAAAAAAAAAAGCTAGGAATTAGTTTTGATGCATTTATCAAATGAAAAAGAGACTAGCAATCAGTTTTGATGCAGTTATCAAATTTTTAAAAAAAACTAGAAATTGATTTTAAAGCATGCGTTATGAATGAAAAAGATGAAATAATTTATGAAATAATGCAAAAAAACTAGGAATTAGTTTAGATGCATTTATCATATGAAAATAAAATTAAGAATTAGTTCTGATGCATTTATCAAATGAAAAGGAGACGAGAAAATCAGTTTCGAATTCATCAAATAAAAAAAGCTAGGAATTAGTTTTGACATAGTTATCAGATTGCAGAATTAGTTTCGATGCATTTATCAATTGAAACGAAATAGGAATTAGTTTTGACGCATTTATCAAATGATTAAAAAAAACTAGGAATTAGTTTTGATGAGTTTATCAAATGAAAAAAAATAGGAATTTGTTTTGAGGAAACATCAAGAAAACCAACTAACCAGAAGAATCTCTGAGATTTTCGGAAACATTTCTGTCCAGTCAAAATTGATTTCTGAAATTTTTTTACTGTGTAGTTTTTTTCAAAAATATTTTAATTTTTTTTCAAATCGATGTAGTATTTGAATTGATTAGATTAGAAGCTATTGATTAGAGTTACACAAATAAAACCTAAAAAAAAAATTTCAAAATCTTGCAACAAAACCGTTTTTTATTGATATCAACAAGAAGTTTCTTGTTTGGTCATTCATTTACATGAATTTGGGGACCCTCACAGCTAGAAAAAATAAGAAGGAAATCAACGAAATATCTGGCGCCGGCGTGAAAATATGGTTGACTACCGGACGTCTGGGACTCTTTGGAATTGAAAGAGTTAAATATACTTTTAAAACGGTATTGATTTTATTTATAATTATTCTAAATATGGAGATGATCACATCATAAAAGTTACACTAGGCTCAATAGCATTGTATAAACAAACAAACAAATCAAAAGGAAACTTGTTAATATTTATGTTAAAATTTGCTCAATTTTTTCCCTTCCTTTTTTATTCTATGTGTCTGTGCAGTAAATTTAAAACCAAATTTATTAAATTCTCACAGTCTGTGGACGTTTGAATTTTTCTGCAGCAAGATTGCTTTGTTTCCAAAACTTAATTTGCTTTTTAATAATTGACATCTGAGAAAAACGACCACTTTATATTCAATTACTGCATTAATCTCCAAAAATAGTGTTTTATTGCTTTATAGTAGATATTTCAACATTTTAAGTTTTAATTTTCCGGCGTATATTTTTTTTTAATTTTCATTAAGATTCAATTTTTTTTTAAAAAAAATGGCCTGTAATTGCCAATATTAACGCTAAAAATATTTGTTACAAATCAAAAATGTCAAGAATTAACTATTCATTTGTAAAGCTTAGGGTAATACACTAAAAAACAAAAACCCACCATGTCGAATTATGCAGAAAAGCTTATTTGGTAGAAAAAAAAAGCTCCATTTTTAAGTAGGGTAATAAGCTTTCTCTGTGAATCGTGCTATTGTCTTAATTCTGGGAATTTGTAAAAAGTGATCAGGAATAAAAGTTTTAAAACTTGTAGTGTCCGAACTCAATTACAAAATTATATTTTATCCATAATAAGACTTTCCAAGTTATACATTAAATCCGTGAACTCGTAAAACTCAATTTAGAAAAAATACAAAGGAATAATTTTATCTAAAAATGTCTTCTTTAGAAAAACAAAAAGGTTCTTCCTACGGCATTGCTCTTAAAAAGTTTTATAATTTTTCTTTTCATTGGTTGTCAATAATATCTCCATGTTTGAAACATTTCATGCCAAAAATTATAATTTATTGCTGACTAGAACAAAAACCTTATTTTGCAACAAAAAAAAATTTTTAATACCATAAATAGATGTATTTTTCTTTTAGATATCGATGAATGCGCTTTAAATCCAAATGTCTGTCTCAATGGACGATGTGAAAATAATTTGGGATCTTACATTTGTCATTGCGATCCTGGTTACTCTATTAAAGATCGCGAACAAGGTTGCACAGGTAAAAACAACATAAACTTCTCAATTTGCCAGTTAATTTTAACTAATTTATATCGAATTATTCTATTTATTTACAATAACTAACTCAAACTTTAATTTCCATTGAAACGCAGACGATAATGAATGCGAGAGCGGCCTGAGTGAATGCCACGAACACGCCGAATGCATCAACACTCTCGGATCTTATGAATGCACGTGCACGGATGGATTCAGGGGAGATGGATATGTTTGCCGAGGTAGGTAGGTTTCATGAATTATGTAACTTTTCAAAATCAGAGAAGAATATGACTCTACTTTATTTCAAATATAACAATTTGTAAGCGAGTTTCAGTTTTTTCTTGGGTAAACTTATTTTTCTGAGACCAGAACTTTAAATAATGGCAGAAAATGCTGTTTTTATTAGATATATCAGAGTAAACTCCTAAATACAATAAAATATTTTTCAAGAAAAAAAATCTATTAATATAAAACTCAATTTTTTTTAAATATTGATAATTATTATATTAAAAAATAATTCTTAATTTTAAGCATTTTTTTTTTTTGTGTGTGTAGGAAGTTTTGTATAAGTTTTAACAAAAGTGACGTATTTTAAAATACTAATTGGGAAAATGTTTTTTTTTCATGATTTTAAAACTTTGAAATTTAATAAGAAACATTTTTAGTTTTAAACTTCAATTATAAATATGGATAATTGTTTTGATAGCGCAAATAGAGGGAAACATTTTAGAATTTTAAACCATTTTTAAAACTTTATAACATACCTTTTTATCGTTTTAAAACTATTAAAAAAATTCTAATTTTTTAAAAATGCAAGTGATTTTAAAAGAAAGTTAACATACTTAATTATGATTAACATTTTTTTCTAAGGTGTCGTATTAAAAATTAGAATTCTAAAATAATGTTTAATCTAGCAGAATCTTGCCGCAAAATGATCCAATATCTTACTGTTCCACTAATTTTAACGTTCCCGAAGTTTTTAACTTTCTTCCATTGCTTTATAAGTACGAAACACGAATCTACGAGAAAAAGAAACTCCTCTCAGTTTTTACATGGCGCCCTTCTTTCTCCGCCAAAATCGCTGAGAGAGAAGGAACAGCGTGCTTGCTCTATTTGTATTCCAGCTCTATGGTTTTAACTTAACAATGTTTTTCAAAGCTCTGTCGCCAAGTAAAATTTAAAAAAACACCGTTTAAGTGCCTTACACTTGAAGAAAAACGATGATTTTAAACTGTTTATGCCATCTTGCTGAGAAGAATTATCTGGGCTTTAGAACGAACAGCTAACTAAAATATTTTTAAAATTATTAAACTTCCTTTTTATAAATTAAAAAAAATCGCCAATTTGGCGACATTTTTTCCAACTAGATGAAAATTATCAAAATCAATGCCTTATTCCCATTTTTTGCAAATCGTCATAAGCCCAGATAACTCAACATTGGAGCAAGTTTCTAAATATTAAAAAATCAGACCACAAACGCTCTACATTTTCTCAAAACCTTGGCTTTTCTCCATTTGCACCATTTTCAGAATAAGCATAGACAGCACTGGCTTTAGATAGGCTAAACTTGACCTAACAGTCATAAGTAACTGTTTCAAACTCACAGCGGTTATGCAAATAGCATATTATTCACAAAAAAGCATCATTTCATATGAGCCTTCGAAAAACAGCTTTAAGAGATTGTTCCAATAATTGTTAAATTGTTCGATTTCAGATGTGAATGAGTGCTTGAGAGACAATGGAGGTTGTGATCCGGATGCTGCCTGTGTTAATGCAATGGGATCTTTTGAATGTGCCTGCGACTCAGGATTCACCGGAGATGGGCACACTTGTCGTGGTATGTATTATATAGGGGTCTGACTTTTAATACATATTTTTTAAACCCCTTAAGAAATAATTTTAAAAAGTAAACATATTTGGAATTGTAAATGAATGTTTGAAGGAGAAAGAAGCAAAAATGTTATCGAAATTAGTTGAATCAAAAGCGAGATTAGAGACATCAATACCTACGCTGTTGAAAGAGGTGAAAGCTGATTATTAGAAACACCCTAAAATTTTCTTCTTTAATCAAAAGTATTTTGATGTATTTTAATCTACCCTTCTTAATAGTGATTCGTAAAATTTTCATATCGATTTTGCTTTTTTTTTCTAGCTTTATATGCAGCTCTTAGTTTTTTCTACATTTTTCGTTGATTTTTGACAGGGATACTAAAAACTATTTATTCAAGGCGGTGAATATGAAACACCTTAGATATTAAGATTTGAATCCCAATAAAATCCACCATAATATCCAAATAATTCACTCGATTTGAATCCTAATGAAATTTCAACTTATTTATTATTTTTTTAAAGTGCTTATTTTTCAGTTATGCATTTTCCATTATTTTCCTATCGTTTTCTCTCTCAACATTTTGCAAGTTTTAAATTTCGAAATAATTTTAAATTGCGAGCAATTTTAATTTCATCCTCAAAATGATTTTATTCGGTATTTTGAAATTACTTTGCAAAGACAAAATGTATGAAAATCAGAACTTACGAGGTTAAGTGAACACGGGAAATTTTTCTTTTGATGTCCTAATTTATTGCAAGGCCGGTTCAGAGACAACTGTGTAAATGGTAGCTTCAGTTCCATTGTTCGAACATGGACGTTTCCTTTAAGTATCAACATAAAGTCATTTCCTTGCAATACTACCAGACAATATTCTTCTGCTATCTACAGACACGTAGTGACTATATTGTGTATGTATATATATATATATATATATAGTTATTTCAGTCTATATTTTCACAAATGATTATTTAAAGGATAATAATACAAAAGCGTTATCAAATTGAAAATCAAGGCTGCTCACTGCAAAAAGCCAAATTATTAAAAATAAAAAATAAAAGAAAGTCTGTTGCCAGTCCGAATTCAAAATGAAAATTTGTATTACCCAAATTAATTAAAAAGGGACAATAATATTATTCAATAAATTTCAAATTGCAGAGCTCAATTTGATTCGCTTGAAGAAAATTTTTATTCAAACACATGCTATTAATCTAATTCTGAATTTGGCTACTAAATATACATTTATTCGTCTTGTTTAGTATCCGTTTTTGAGTAGGTAATTATAAATTCTTTTTCTGTAAGAATTATAAAATTATGCGTAAAATTGCAATGTAATTTATTAAGTAATACTTCTTGTTATAATTTATTTTTAAATTGGTTTGAAATAAAATAAAATGAAATTTTTTTTCTAGATATTGACGAATGCAGCCTAAACCCAAATCTTTGTGAAAACGGCCAGTGTTTGAATTACGGTGGTAGTTACAGATGCGAGTGTGACATGGGTTTCGAACCAGAAGACAGTGAAAGAACGTGTGTTGGTAAGATAACTTTATTGTTTACATCAACGGCTCCCAATATTTTTCAGCTACGGAACCCTAAATAATCAACATTCTTTCGGCGGAATCTCAACTTTTTAAATAAAATTTAAGGAAATTGTGAACATTACAACCTTTAAAAGACTATATTTGAACCATTTAAGTAGAGGAATGTAGATTTTCCTAGTTTTATCACGACTAATCTTAAATTAGGTTTTATGTTCGACACTTAAACGTGCAGTTCTTGTGCTATATATAGTCTAGTTGTAATAGTCTAGTTATAGGAAATGCTAATGGAACATTTTATAAGTGCTTGCTTTTTTGCATACTGTGTCGAATATATTTTCATTAGTAAATTTTGTATATTTTCCAATGCCATTTTTATTTCATTGGCATTTTACTTGAAATAATTTCCTAAGGGCAATCGCAAGATTAAATAAATTATGAATTGTAGGTTGGATGTAAATATAATCAGAGGTTACAAAACTCGTCATTGGTTACAAACTCGTGGAACCCCTTTAAATCTTACACCTAAGGCTCCGCGAATGAAATTGCCTAGGCCTAGAGCTTACTCTAGGGCTCTGCGAAACATTGTTTGGGAACCGCTGATTTACATCATTAAATTACAGTTTTTATCAATAATTTTGTACGTTTAGTGATTAGTTTTGTAATTTATAATATTAATCTTATAATTTTTATGGCTAAATTTGTAGTTTGCATCCTTATTTTTATAGTTTTTACTGTAGATAAATTTTTACAGTTTACATTGTTAAATTTGAACTTAACATAGTTTACCTTAGAGTTTAGCTCATAAATATTTATAATTTATTTTGTTGTCTTTGTACTTTATTATTAACCTTGTTGTTTTCGTTTTTATAGTTAATATCCATAATTTTGTAGTTTCATCATACTTGTAATTTGTATCGAATTTTTCGTAGTTTATGTTGTTAATATTGTGCTTAACATCGGTAATTTTAAAGTTTATATCGTAAAGTTTCCTAATTAATATTGTTAACTTTGTATTCGACATAGTTGTTCATATAGCTCATATCGTAAATATTTGTAATTTATGCTGTTACTTTTGTAATTTATTGTTATCTTTATCTTCATCGTTAATTCTGTATTATTGTGATGCCTTTAAGCCACTGAATTTTTCTTATTATTTCGACCATTTCAAAGCAATTAATTTAATTCTAGTCCGTCTATAATTTTAGCCTAAACATATAGTTTTTACCTTATATTATAAATTTTATAACATTGCATATTAACTTAATGTTATGAAAAATATATTAATTTATTCTCATAAGTTTTATTTTCACTTAATTTTGTATTCATTTAAAAATATTCTTCTTAGGAGATTGACAACAAATTTTTAAAAAAAGAAATATTTATATAATTAAGTTTTTATCATTATTTTGCATGATAAATTAAAATCTTTTGTTAAAAGTATTACAAATAAATTAGAAATAAGTTATAATTGGTTATTTTTAATTTCTAATCAATCTTTTACTTTTAGACGTGGATGAATGTGCTCTCTTCCAAAATAATTGTGCGTATGGTCGGTGTGAAAATATATTTGGCATGTTTAGATGTATTTGCAATACAGGTTATCAATTAGACCCTACTGGCGGAAACTGCACAGGTAAAAAACTTATTATATTCTTAATTTCTTTTAATTATGAATTAAAGTCTTAAAGGCTTTTAGGACACGTTATGTTCCAAAAAATATCGGCTTCACGAGACAAAATTGTATAATTAATTTCTAAAATCAACCTTACGATGGTGAAATTTTTGTTACCAAACATACAGCTGCGTAAAGTACATATCTTCTTCTTTTTTTAAGTACAGCGCTATTTGTGAAAACTTTTCCTGAGAAATGTTCAAATGAACATTTCATTAGATTGAGGAAATTACTCTTTTCCTTCATTCGAGGATATGATTTTTTTCTCGAAATTTTATAAGCATTTGGTTTAATACAACGTATCGATGAGCAGCCTGCTTGACAATCGAACGCACTAAATCAGTACCATCTCACAATACAATGCAAAACGTTTTGAAATAAAAATTTTAAAAAAGTCGTTAGGGAAATTTCTATCCAAAATGCCTCATGACTGAGAGCTTTTTCGTCAAATAGTTTAGACTGTGCTTTTTGTTAAAAATCACGCGATTTTAAGATGGAAGGATCGTAAAGGGCCGCGGTAGCCTAGTGGTTAGAGAATCGAACCGAGCTCTGAAGGAGCTTGGTTTCGATCTTCGATTCTGCTTAGACCCACCGAGTACATGCGATAGACGCACACGTTAACACTGAGGAATCAAAAGTACTGTGGTCAGTCGATAATCAGTACCATGGGTACAGGGACCTGAAGAAAATTTTCTTCCCCTTCACGTCTATCTCTAAATTGAAGATGTGCTGTCATCTACCAGTAGGGCTTTAAAATAAGATGTACTTTTACCTCTGCAGTGCTTTCTTATCAACCGAAAGTAGCACCTTCCTGACTTAATTCGTAGAAGGCCAATCTCTGGCAAACTTGGCTGGTCCAAGTGTTATTAGAAACAATAGGATTATCGAAAGTAAGTAAATATAACTCAAAAATTGCTGAATCATCAAAAGACTCAAGTTTATTACTTTTTAGAACCTAAAGAAACTACAGTCGGTAAAAAAAGTATTGGCACATCAATATAGTTTCAAATATTCACGCAACGAAAAGTTCTAACTTTACCAATTAAACTATATTACACTCAATTTTCAAATGAAAACTAAATCACAAAATATAAAATTCCCGTCATTGTTAATAAAATATTTCCATAGAAAAAACGCATTTTATTTCACAAAAAAAATATTGGCACACTCGAATTGCATTACTACCACTACAGATAAGAAGGATAAAACCTATATTCACTTACTGAAACCGATTTATAACTTGAACTAAGACTAGAGTATTAAGTTACGTTCAGTGTTATTTTGAATTTCTCTATTCATTAAGTATGAGTCCAAAGAAGTGTGAAATTCCAGGTTCCACTCGAGAAAAGATAATATGTCTCCGTGAATTAGGAAAAAGTTATCGGGATATTGGAAAAAAGTTGAAATTGAGCTTTTCAGCAGTTCGTTCCATTATTAAAAAAGTGGAAGAAACAGGATCCACGAAAAATAAACCCCGATCTGGTCGCCCAGTCAAAGTAAATGACATGGAAAGGAGGCATGTTGTTAAAATGGCCCTAAGAAATCCAACTCAAAGTGCTCGAAATTTAGCCAACGACTTTGCGTCAACTTCTGTCAAGTCAGTGACGCCACAAACTATTAGAAATGTTTTCCATATGAGTGGTCTTCGGGGTAGGAGGCCAAGGAAGAAACCTTTTATTAGCGAGGTTAATAGGAAAAAGAGACTTGAGTTTTCTCTGACCTATCGAAGTAAGCCAATGGAGTTTTGGAAGCAAGTTATTTTTTCTGATGGGAGTAAGTGTGAAATATTTCGGCCAAAAAGCATTTTAACTGTTTGGAGGAAAAAAGGTACTGCTCTTGATCAGAAAAATATCTTGTCAACAATTAAGCATGGTGGGGGAAATGTGATGGTTTGGGGCTGTATGGCGCATAATGGGGTTGGAAATTTGGAAGTTATTAATGGTAGGATGACAGCTTTATCGTATATAGAGGTTTTGCGCCGTAACTTGAAAAGCAGTGCTAGAAAATTAGGCNCAGTGTGCAGCTCTAGTGCGACGTAAATGAACTACAACAACATTTTAAAATAAAATTTTAAAAAAAGTAGTTCGGGAAATTTCCATCCAGAATGACTTATGACTGAGAGCTTTTTCGTCAAATAGTTTAGACAGTGCTTTTCGTTAAAAATCATTTATGATGGAAGGATCGTAAAGGGCCGTGGTAGCCTAGCTGTTAGAGAATCGGACCGAGCTCTGGAGGAGCCAGGTTTCGATCTTCGACTCTGCTAAGACCCACCGAGTACATGCGATAGACGTACACGTAAAAACTGAAGAATCAAAAGTACTGTGGTCTGTCGATAAGCAGTACCATGGGTATAGGGACCTGAAGAAAATTTTCTTCCCCTTCATGGCTATGTCTAAATTGAAGATGTGCTGCCATCTACCTGTAAGGTTTAAAAATAAGATATACTTTTACCTCTGCGGTGCTTTCTTATCAACCGAAAGTAGCACCTTCCTGACTTAATTCGTAGAAGGCCAATGTCTGGCAAACTTGGCTTGCCCAAGTGTTATTAAAAACAATAGGATTGAAGTAACTAAATATAACTCGAAAATTGCTGAATCAACAAAAGACTCAAGTTTTATTCTTTTTTAAAACTAAAAAATCTATCTTTGTCAGATTTGCTATCCCCTAAAATCTCTTTATGAAGCTGTGAACTCTTAGATTTAGTATGTGATTAAAGATTCCTAACAATATTAATTCTTGTTTCAATTGGTATCTATTGTTTTCTTCATAGATATAAATGAATGTGAAAATCCTCAGATATGCCAGTATGGAACGTGCATCAATACACCAGGATCATTCGTTTGTGAGTGTCCACCAAATTATTCACTTGCACCAAATGGAGCAGGCTGCGTCGGTGAGTCATTCGTATACATTCATGTCTTGCCTCTATTATTTTTTTTTGTAAGTTTTTGAAATATTTTGGTGAAATTAGATTATTTGAAACTATACTTTTGCGTAACATATTGCTCTTTCTATACTTATAATGACATATATAAACTACATAGAAACAAAATCGAAAAATAATAATTAAAGTATCCAACTGAGTGAAAATCAGCAACTTCGACGAAATTTTTTATTATTATTATTAACTGTTTTTAAACTTTAGTTTATTAGCTTTCTAAAACCCTTAAAAATTTTAATCCCCGATTTTTAGAAACGATGTAACAGTTGTTTTTTCGCATGCAGACGGACGAAACCGAAACCAGAATTAAACTCACGAAAACGAAACTAAAACGTTCTTTGTTTTGTCGTATTTATTTGAATAAATTATATTTTAGGACAAATAAAATTCTTTTTCAGAATTAATTTTCAGGTTGTTAATTTTTCTGTTCTCAAAATTTTCATACATTTTCTGTAGAATAGTAATTTTGAGAAAACTCATTTACGCTAACGCCTTACAAAAAAAAGCGCATAGATTTTGTTTGATGTTAGCGATGTTTTGAACTAAAAGCTAAGGTCTGAGTTTAAATTTGTTATTTTTATCAAGCCTTAAGTAATAATATTAAGAATTTTTCTTTGAAAAATCCGATTTTAAATAATGTATTCAGATCTATTTCATTGTAGTTGTTCTTTCTTTTTTCTTTTTTTAGCTTTCAGTTCAAAACACGTGCAATCGCATTTCAGACTCTCAAAAAACTGTTTTTTGAAATTTATGCAACACAATTTGCTGTAGGGCTGTTAGTGTGACATGATAAAAATTGTAACTTTTAAGCTCAAATTTATCCGTATTTTGAAAAATATTTTATACATTCTTAAATTTTGATTTATAATTTATAATTTTAGGACTCCTGATAACCAAACATAAAATTAAAAGTTTAATTAGGAAAGTTTAAATAGAGTTTAATTAACCTTAAGTTAGGAAAAAAGATTTAACTTTTTTTAATTACCATAATAGAGATTTTTATCCCAATGAATATTAAACTATGGCTTTTTTTATTCTTCTTGGAGACAGAGCTTCGAAAAACAGCGTTACGAGCGGAGGTTACAGTGATCATATAAAATCTTGTGATTTTCCACCAAATCAATAACGAAGTGAATAATATTTCTAACACTTTCTGGTCTCATTTGTTTAGATGTTCGAGAAGGACAATGCTTTTTAGACGTTGTTGGAGCTTATAATGGTCGTGGAATTTGTAACACCGAACTGGGTGAAAGACTGACCAAAGCAACTTGCTGTTGCTCTGTAGGAAAAGGATGGGGACCGACCTGTGAAGTGTGTCCTACGCTTAATACTAGTAAGTGCTGTTTATATTATTTTAAATATTTAATCAACTTAATCTCATTGAGTTTGTTTTTATTGATGACTTAACCTTAATACTAGGGTTAAGTATTAGGATTAAGTATTAGGGTAAAGTCATTATTACGTATTAGGGTTAGTCATTATTACGTTACACGGGGAATTTGGCAACATTGGCAATGTTTGGGAGGACGATAAAGTTTGCAATCTGTAACTGTAGATTTTGCGAGATTCGGCGGTTATTACGATTTCTAATTTATATGCTTTTTTTATGGTATGTTTATGTATTTGCCATTTTCAGGTTACTATTTTCTGTTTTTGCTTTTGTCTATTCTTGGCAGCAATCGTGAAAGCGCCATTTCGACGTTGGCAACAATTTGGTGACTATCGTCAATGCATCATTTCGGTATCGTCAATGCATCATTTCGACATTTTTCAAAATCGCACCAAGCGTGTAACGTATTCTAAGATTTTACCATTATTAATTTTAACTTACATTTTAGAATTTCATTGCAAATTTTGAAGCATTTAGCTAGCTGGTTACTGTATTAAGATTTTATCTTTTGACAGTTAAACAGTTTTTAATTTATACCAAATGTAAAGTTCATCATTTTAATTCAAAAAGTTATTTCTATTATATTTTTTATGAATATCAAGAAAAATTATATTCTGAATGATATCATGCTGATGTTTTCCACTTACGACTGATACACGGGAGGAAACAAATTATAAGATTCAGCACAATATAAGTACTTTTATATTTGTTTGGAAAGAAATGAATAAAAATTGACATTTTGACACTAATATTGCACTTACTACTTGTGCAGTGCATTGAATTTGCAGAAAATTTAACACTCCAAATTGGTATGATCAATAATTTTCATTTATGCTTATTTTTTGAAACTCAAATATCGTAAATATAAGTTTTAAAATTAATAATGCAAATGACGAGCACATATTTCAATCAGCTGTGTCCTCATTGTTTGTTGTATAAGAGAAAAATATTCGAATTCTATGCACATTTAGGCTTGAAAACTTAACCAAAATACACTCATAGTCATAAAAATGTACGCACCTAAAAGGAGTTATAATCGCTCTACCTGCTCGATCCCCATATCTGCCACCGAACGAGGATTTTTTTTTCTTTTTATTTTATAACCGTCGTCAAACAGCCGACCCATTTTTTTGGGTTTACAGTACGTAATGTTCAACTCCGTTGCCTTGTAATTTTGCAAGGATAAAGGATAAAGCAAGGGAACTCCTGGATCAAGTATAGGGAAAAATTTCCCTCCGTGGAGGCCTTTTTAATGGAACTAACCCGCATTTGCGTTACATGGAGAGGAAGACCACGAGAACCTCCCACGGTTAGCCTGACAGCAACGGGACTCTAATCCCTGATCCGTCTACCACTGAGGATATTTAACGTCGGCACTGTGGTTGGTGCAAGACAGGTGCGGAATTCGAATCGACCAGTCATCGCTGGGATTCGAACCTGGTTTACCCCATTGGNTAATAAATATTTCAGGCATTCACCAAAGCGACTATGTGATTGTCAACATTCACCGGTAAAAGTCAACAACCACCAGTTTCGGTCATTCACAGCAACATGCACATCATTTACATAATAATCTCATCAGGACGTTCATTTCATACTTTGCCTAAATAGCATCCGGCATTATATATAATGCCTAGGACATTTGTGAAATATAAATTATTTCATACTTTGCCGGCTAGTTTCAGGCAATATATATGATGCCGGATTTCATACTTTGCCGGTAACATATAAAAAAAAGATTCCAATTATATGCACATTTAGGGTTGAAAACTTAACCAAAATACACTCATAGTCATAAAAATTTACGCATCTAAAAAGAATTATAATCACTCTACCTGCTCGATCCCCAGATTTGCCACCGAACGAGAATATTTTTTTTCTTTTTATTTTATAACCATCGCTGAACAGCCGACCCATTTTTTTAGGTTTGGGACACCTAATGTTCAACTCCGTAATCTTGCAATTTTGAACCTAATCCAGAAGACAAGGGAACTCCTGGATCAAGTTTCGGGAAAAATTTCCCTCCATGGAGGACTTTTTGACGGAACTAACTCGGATTTGATTTACATGGTGAGGAAAACCATTAAAATCTCCCATGGTTAGTCTGAATCAAGAGGACTCTAACCCATGATCCGTCTACCACTGAGTATATTTAACGTCGGCACTGCGGTTGGTGCAAGCCAGGTGCGGAATTCGAACCATCCAATGATCGCTGGGATTCGAACCCGGTGCACCCCATTGGAAGGCGAACGCTCTATCTCCTGAGTCACCACGGTTTGAACGAGCATATCTGGGGTCACTTGAGACAACAAGTGAGACAGTCTTTAAATTGAGTCGATTTAGCAATACCTTTACAGCAACTGTGGAACAATATGCCACAGGATGTAATATGCCGCAGGAATATGCCTTATAATGTGCAATATGCACATTATAAGGGAGTCGTATGCATCAATGCAAGACCGTATCACATCCTGCATTTGTGCTAGATGTGGCCCTAAAGGATACTAAAACCCCCGTTAATTTGTATTTTTTCCTGCAATTGATCATTATTTCACTTGTTTTTTTAATCACTTACTTATATTTAACATTATACTTGAGTAAGTAAAATTCCGTTTCATTCTGACAATACTTTCGAGGAGCACTAATTTTCATGGAAATGAGTGTATTTTGTTGCTTTCGTTGCCAACGTGAAATAAGGGCTACTAAATCTGGATTATTCATACATCTTACGACTTGATTCATTGGACTATACGATGTAATGCACTTTAAATTTGTGACTCAGTTATATTTTAGTTTTTTAATGCAGTTGTTTCAGTATAGGTGACATCGAGAAGAAATATTCAGCCTCTTTCCGTGGTTGCGTTAGTCTTTCGCATACAATATAGTTTATATATTTCCCAATTTGCTCGTACAAATATTTATTCAGAAAGTTAAGAAATTATTTTAAATTCCTCCTTAATTATACAAACAAAGAAATTTTATTTACCTTTTTATGAGTATTTTTTTATTTTTGTGAAACTTAAAGTATTAAACCAATCCAGCGTTTTGATAATAAAACTACACGTTTGCCTTCCCAGCACGAAAATTGGATACCTGCAGGTGACGTGAACGCAAGTAAACCGTGACATTTGTCGTTTCAGAAGCCAGTCAGGTTCGACACACACACGTGACGTCGCTTGCAGGCATACAATTAAATCTGATCTTGGTTAGGCACAATCACTTCACTTCTTCTTGAGTTGGAAGTCCAGTGGTTCGAGAACCAGACTTCGGTCCGGAGGGGCCGGTATTCGATTCTTGACTCTGCTAAGACTCACCAAATACATACGTGCTCGTAAAATCTGTGGAATCGAAAGTCCTGTGGTCGGTTGCTGCGCTGTACCATGGATACAGCGACCTCGAAAAATTTCCTTCCACTTGAGATCTACGTCTAAATTGTGGAAGTGGCCGCACAAATTAGATCCTCCGTTGCAGAAGATCAAAATTACGATGGCCTGTCTTCGGATCATCCTCATGGATGCTTCCCAGACCATCACCAATCAATACCTCCTAGAAAAGAGAAGGTCTCAGCACGGGTTACAATAAACAAGAAAATTGATCTTTTATTAATCCAAACGTAATGACATCTTTCGTATTTCCACCACTCCACAGCTTAGTAGCCTGAAAGTAGTGGCATCTTTTTTACTTTTTATCCACTGCTCAGTTTATATTCGTTAGGTCGGACTACTAAATTGATCCATGCTGAGGCCTTCTTTCTTCTAGGAGGTGTTGCACCATTAGCCCATTGTGCAGCTTTAGTGTGACGTAAATAAAGTACCTAAAATACCTGCCCAATTTATTCTAAAGCCAATGAAAGCGCTTTCCCAGTGGTTCGTCGTTTATTTCAAGAAAACAAATTACTTAGAATACAGTAATAAAGAAAAATTGATTTATTTTCCATGTAAGTTTGATCTGTTAATATGTATTGATATCATACTATTACGTAACGTCATTCGTTATTTAATATGAAATTGATAAGTTAGTTGATTATTAATCATTTTCATTTTTCTATTTACCCAAACAGCCGAATATAGGAATCTATGTCCCGGAGGCAAAGGTTTTAGACCCAATCAAATAACTGTGGTGTTAGAAGGTGAGATTATGTTTTTATATGTACAGATAAAAGAAAATTCGTCGTATTGGTTCCTGATTGCGCCATTGCTCCAAAGTGTCACTAGTGACTGGCTTTTGCTTTTAAAGTCAATCAAAAAGTGTTTATAGAGTGGCTTACCCAAAGGTGACCACGAATTTGAAAATTTAATGGAATTTATATTTATTTAAACTTTCATTTTTCCCTATTATTTATTTTATTCAATTTCTCGCATACAAATTTCAGCGATCATTTTGCACCAGGATCCGATACGGAAATTTTCTCATTTATAAAATTTGGCTCCTATTACATTTGAAATAGGAGCCTAAATGTTTGCTCTAAATTACATTTGGACACATTTATAGATTCAATCTTGCACCCAGTAGGCTCAGTATCGGCAATTCTAATAAGTTCCTGGCCCGGATATACTCCAGTCATTTTATTTTTCCTTTTCAAAGCCCCCGAGACTATTTAATAGATAATTAAAAAGCAAAATTTATGTTTGCCGCACGAGTTTTAGTGACTAAATAAATGAATAAAATAATTTAAAGCATTCTATAACTAGTCCCGCTACCCGAATACCAGTTTCTTATCTAACCAGTATGTCCGCAAACAACATAAATTATCTTAGAAACATTTTTACTAAACACTAGTGCCATATGCGATCTTAGTAATGTGGTATCAAAGGAAAAGTGTAGAATGTTTCTAAAAATTTTAGTGATGTGTAGAAACAATAGACGTGAATTATTTGTGATGTATATTTAACAGCAAAAAACCCAAAAACGTTTTAACGCTTAATTACTAGTAAACATACATAGTATTAACGAGCAAACATAATTCGAATGACAATTAGTTACTTTTTAACGGCAGACACTGAATTCTCGTTCTTTTGCTCGGAGGAGGCCGGAAGTGTTGCGCTTTAACCTTACCTGGCGGTCACGCATGAACCTAAGGCACGGAGTCAAGCAACATTACCCATGGCACACTGCCACAGAAACCCGTTCATAGGGTTGGCCACATTTACACATCATGCACAGAGAGAAACATCCGTGCCCTAAGCTGGATTCGAACCGACAACCATTGACTTCACAGTCCGGCACATTAACCGCTCGGCCAATTAGTTATTATAACAGTCAATAATTGACGAGGCAGAAAACACTGAAATAGCACTTATTTTTAGTTTGGCTAAAATTGTAGTTGCAAATGTGATGAAAAGGCTCTGCATGCTTTTTACTCGCTAGGTGGCCCAGTAATGATCATGATAGCAATGATAAAAGGATGATGACCAACCAATCAAACCAATGATTAAGTTTATTTTATTCCGTCTCTAACAGTAACACATAATGGTGAAGTCATTGTTCTCTAACAAATGCTGCCTCATGTCAATTTTTTGACATACAAAAAAGGTTGGTTTTGATATAAAAATATATAAACTAGCTTAATTTCTCGGAATTTTTCTAAAATCATATTTTGTCTCATTTTTTTTTCTGGTAATCAGAAAGGTTGACACATTTTCAGCCTCGTCTTCCTCCATAGTTATTCGTCAAATTTCGAAAGCCTTTAAATTTTTTTCTCGCTTCAATATTATTTACAGAATCTGTAGGGAAAGGAAGTTATCGACAATGTCAACCTTCATCTATCAAAAGGTACCTCAAGATTGAATTAAGTTAGCATGTCTTATATACTAGTGAATTGATGTTTAATAATCGTAGTGGTAGTTATGCCACAAATCCTTAATTTGCATGCGTTTTTTACTTTAAATCTCACAAACATATTTCAAGAATGTTCTTTACGAAACACATGTATGTTTTAATGCTTTGTATGTATGTTACCTAAGTGGTTTTTAAAGTCTTGCGTACCAATTTATTTTAGATATTGATGAATGCAGAGAAATGACGGGTGTTTGCAAAGGTGGGAGATGTTCTAATACCTTTGGAAGTTTCATGTGTATCTGTCCTGACGGATACACTTTAGACGATACACAACGTAATTGTGTTGGTAAGTAATTAATTCCATCTCATCAGCTTCCAACTCCTTCAGCTAATTGCTTTAAAATGGTAGTGTGATAAAAAAATATTTTTAAGAAATATTTGTACCAAGGCAGTTAATTTAACCAACCAATAACTGCCTAAAGAGTTTTCCATAAATGTTGTTCTGATTGAAATAATTTTTATTTCAGATGTGAATGAGTGTGTATTGCGACCTGATATTTGTGGAGCTGGTACATGTGTGAATGGAGAAGGAAGTTACACATGCATATGCCCTCCTGATTTTGTTTTAGTTCCTGGTGGAACATGCGTTGGTAATAATGGAGGATTTTATTTATTACTCTCTTACTTTTTAAATATAACACGTTGCCGCAAATGACGGCAATGGCCGTTCTCAAAGTGCCTACCATCTCGAACAAAAATCTCCTTTAACCGTTCTTTTATGTGCCATTTCTTTTTAAAAATTTATTCCTATTCCTCAATATCCGATTCCTTGGAGAAAGTGTATCTTGAAAATCAGCTAACCCACAAATTTTTGAAAATCGTCATATTTGAACCAAAGGTCACGAAAATTTTTATAGACATCCTGGTATATTTTAATTTATTAAAAAGGAACATCATTAGTAAGAAGTGTACTAATGTATTATTCAGTAGTTTATTATGTAATGTACTATTCAGTAGTATTACGCAATTCTGTATTCTGTATATTCAGTTATTCTATAAGTACCTCGAAAAAACGATGTCGTAACATTCCAGATAACATATCAATTGTTTTTTTGTGGGGGGGGGGGATGTTAGAAAAGAAAAAAACATCGTGATGAGCAAATGTCGATTACAGCCGGTCGCAAGTTTTCCTGAAAAAACTGAGACAAAATGTGATAATTTTCAAATCCTAACATAGGGTACTGCTCAATTTCATATGGCAACCATAAACAATTGGGGGGGGGGGAATTGAGAGAACCATTCACAAATTAAAAGAGTGCGGAGACTTGTTAAAAACAAGTCACTTTGTAACCCACCTATAGAAAAGTATTTTTTCAAAGGAAAAAAAACTCATACAGATTTTTTTTTAATTTCTCGATGCTATTTATTAGTTTGTTCATTTTACTTAGTTTTTCTAATAAAAAATAATAAATAGATTATGATTGTTTTTCAAGTACCCATTAAGTGCCCAGTCAAGAAAGAGTACCGGTTTCAAATAGAAGTCATTCTGAAACAATTGGAGATAAAAAGAATAAAAGTGATTAAAGGATGGTAGAAGCTATAAGATTTCTTTATACATAATTTCTTGAAGTTAGTTACAGAAATTTCATGCAGAGTGTGTGCTGTTATTGTACGCAGCATAGAGTTATTAACATTAGCACAAGATACCAACTGCTCTATTAACAAATAAACTAGGACCGTCAAGCTTATGAATTTTGAACGAATAAAGGTTTAAAGGAGTCGATATATACCAAAATTTTGCCTAGATATGTCTAAATCACCTGATATTTCATACCCATTATTCAGCCTCTATCAAAAGTATTGTAGTACACTGATTTGTCTGATTCAGCCCAGGTAGAGCCTATATATAGCTGTTCAGAGCGCTTCGTTGCATAATTTTGTAGGACCTATGTAGATTAATTGTTAAGCCTAGTAGATCTCAATATAAAGTGTTGCTACGATGGGTGAGATCTAAGCTGAAGAGAGCTGTAAAAAATAAGCAAAAAAATAATTTAAAAATGATTGCGCAACTTATCACAATGCAGATCGGATAGCTTTCACTATCAATATACTGTTCATTTTATTCCTTTATCTCCAATTGTTTCAGAATTATTTAGTTTTGAAATAAGGTACTCGCGTTCTGGACAGCACCCTGTATCTCGGGAACAGCATTAATAAAACTGTTTTTTATTTTTTTGATTTAACTCACACTTTAAAATCAGGATGCGTAGCCAAATCTTTGAATCAAAAATAAGCACTTTTTAAAAAATTTTCAAGCACTCAAAAAATTCNAAATGATTGCGCAACTTATCACAATGCAGATCGGATAGCTTTCACTATCAATATACTGTTTATTTTATTCCTTTATCACCAATTGTTTCAGAATTACTTAGTTTTGAAATAGGGTGCTCTCGTTCTGGGCAGCATCCTGTATCTCAGGAACAGCATTAATAAAACTGTTTTTTATTTTTTTGATTTAACTCACACTTTAAAATCAGGATGCGTAGCCAAATCTTTGAATCAAAAATAAGCACTTTTTAAAAAATTTTCAAGCACTCAAAATATTCATATCGAATCAATGATATTATTGAAAAACAAAAACTTTTTATGAACAGTTTTAGCATTAAAAAAAAATCAAAAAGAAACGGACGTAAATCGAAACAATCAGTAGGTACTTTCCCACATCACCGAGTGAATTCAACTTGATTCTGAACTCAGAACAAAAGTACCCGTACCCCCTACATCAAAGAAGTGTTAGAAGTAAAATAAAATAAACAAGAATAAAATTATAAATTAAAAAGAAAAACATTTAATAAGAATCTGACTCTATCAGAATTGGAGCACTCGGGTTTCAGTTTCAAGTGTGCGCGCATGCGCAAGTCATAACGTGGGTACGACATGAAGTCCGTGTGAATGATTACGTAACTAACACCCCATTTTTCGTGAAATGCAGGGGATCCACCAGATATCACTGAAGGAAAAAAAAATTATTCCTGAGAAAAATCAGTTTTTTAAAAACGCCAGCTGAAAAAAGCACCTTTAAAAGCTTTTAAAAACGAAATCTCCCAAAAAGCACCTTTAAGTACTTTCTACAAACGCTACGCACCCTGAAAATGCGTATACGTAATTTAATCATAATTTGAAAATATTGGTAATAAGCCAATTTTGTTATATTTTATTAAAGCATGGTTTTGTGTAAAACTGAGGCAGGAAATAAATACGCTAGAGTATAGAACAATATCCATTCGTGACAAACATATCACTTCAGATTTTCAGAGCCTACCTCTGCACTTGACTGTAAAATATAGCATCAGATAGTAACAAAAATAATCTTATTTATTTACAAATTTAAAAATTTCAAGTGATCTAAATTTTTATTTTTTAACTAACCGTCGTTGAACAGCCAACCCAGTTTTGACTTATGACTGCTAATGTTCAACTCTGTAGTCTTGTACCCAATCCAGAAGACAAGCGAACTCCTAGATCAAGTATTGGGAGAAATTCGCCCTTATGGAGGACTTTTTTATGGAACTAACTCACATTTGCGTTACACTGAGAGAAAAACCACGAAAACCTCCAACGTTTAGCTTGACAGCAAGGGGGCTCAAACCAATGATCCACAGGGATATTTACCACAGAGGATATTTTTCGTCAGCACTGTGGTCAATGCAAACTTGGTGCGGAATTCGCATCGACCAGCCATCGACGGAATTCAAACCCAGATCACCTCATTGGGAGGCGGGCTCTCTATCCCCTGAGCCACCACGGCTCTAAATAATCTAAACTATAAAAACATAACAAAATACATTAATTCCATGAAATCAATACCGCAGCATACACCATATCCGTATAAAAGAAGAGAACAAATAACACAGTTCGCGTCACACTTAAATATCAGTCGCAGTATCTCACCAGCGTATACACTTCCTCAGTCAATCTGATGTGAGCTGATTTCCATTCCAAGACACCTAAAAAAGTTAGCAATTCATCAATTAGGTCTGACAAATCATTCCTTCTGGCGGGTGAGATGATACTCCTTTCATTCAACCTACTGGATGATAAACGAGGTTCGATTCGCTACAATACAGCTTTCTTTTATTTTTAACATTATTATAAATGCCTTTTTTTTCTAGACATGAGAAGAGCTAATTGTTTCCGACAAGCATACACCTCTGCCGCGATTCCCGCACGCCTTGTTTGTGAACATCCTATGATGACCAATGAAACCAAAGTGATGTGCTGTTGCTCAATAGGTCGTGGGTGGGGTGACCCATGTGAACCTTGTCCAGTTCAAGGCACAGGTAATTTAAGTTATATTAATATTAAAAATTATGTCGGAAAAAAAAAATTTCTATGTCGACAGAAACCATAATGTTGTTACAAACTTCATTTTGAGGAAAAATCCTTAATATAAACTTTATAAAATCAGTCCACGTTTATGACACATTTCTTCTGCAAATAATTCGTAAAAATACGACGTTATATTTCTGTTATTACGCAAACTTCATGAATAGGTTTCTTTTTTTACCGAAAATATTCATTTTGTGAAATCTAACCATAATACATTTCTTATACAATTCGTATGAAGAAAAAAAAAATTTAGTGTTACTTCAATCATTGTATTGTATGATTGTTATTGCATCATGATTGCATCATTGCATCATGATTGTTATTACAATCATTATGAGTAGGAAAATAACTTAATATAAAATCTATCCCTGATTACGATAAATTTTTTTATACAATTTGTAAAATTGCAAATTTGTAAAAATGCAAATTTCTTAAAAGATTCTGAGTTTTTATAAACTTTATGAATAAGTTTCTTGCTTTATTGAAAATTTTCATAAATATAAAATTTATACAATATATCTGTGATTTTATGAAACATATTCAAAAATTCACTTTACGTCTCTGTTATTACAAACGTTGTGAATGGGAATAAACTTTAATGTAAAATTTATGAAATCAATCCCTGGTTATGATTTATTTCTTATGCAATTACTTTGTAAAAATTTAACGTTACATCTCTGTTATCACCAAAACTTCATAAATAGGTTTTCAAGTTTTCTAAAAATATTCATTAATAAAAAATCACGATTATGATAAATTTCTTAAACAATTGAGTTGAAAAAAATGCAACATTACATCTCTGTTTTAACACTTTTTCAGATGATTATAGGAAGCTCTGTAGTTTTTCACCAGGGACATATGTTGATCCGATGACAGGTGAAAAAGGCGGTAAGTTTTCCGAATTATTCAACTACAATAATCTTGTTTATATTGATAATATACTTACATTATTCCAGATTAAAAAAATTCAAGGTTATTTTGTTTAAATACTGAAAATTAGTCTATTTTTCAAAAATTAACCAAGTTAAATTTTTTATTAAATTTTTGAACTAAAAAAAAAAAAAACGAAACGTATCCACTACATACGTTACAAACGGATTTATCTAGATAAAAGGAAACGCCAAATGGCTTTGCTCAAAAAAGGTGTGATTTTCACATTGCAGGGTGAAATAGTAAAAAAAATCATAGGGATAAAAATTGTATATCTTTTATCGAAGTCGAATATCATATCAAATCGAATCATATCGTATCAAAATATATCTAAAGTAAATACAATTTTAAAACATTGGGCGCTTTATATATATTTCGTTCCTACTGGGGAGAGGGGTAATTGAAGAGACAAAGATAAATGAGCTATCTTGACAAATGAGGTATGGTTTCGATGTATTTCTGCGATGAATCGAATGAAATCAAACCCAAGACAGTAGAACTTATAGATGAGAAATTACTTAAGTTTTTACGTATACAAAGCATAGTTTATTCTTACACCTATTTATGTTAAAAAATATGTATATATGATCGAATTACTTGATCCCAACTAATCGAATAATACTGATGAATTACTACAGATGTTAATCACAAAGACAAACAAAACCAGTTTGACTTCAGAAAATCTGCGAAAGGAGATATTATTCAAAACAGTTCAGTTTTCTTCAAAAATAAAACTGATTTTGCGTCCTTTTTTTTTTCTTATTCTTCTTTTTTTTTCTTTTTTTTTTTTTTGCAATCCATTAAAGTATAGTAGAGATGATATAAATTTTATGCACATTAATTCCACACTGAAATAGTGAGATAGTCTGATTTTGATAACTTTTATCCTTTCACATAATTATATGTAGGTAGTTTAAAATTCTTTTTTTTTTTTTTTTTTTTTTTTTTTTTTTTTTTTTTTTTTTTTTTTTTTTTTTTTTTTTTNTTTTTTTTTGGCAAGGATTCTAAATCTAGATATTAAAGACTGTCGTTACGGAAAACCATGCATATTTTCTTATATTTTTCGAAGTTAAATAAAACAGTTTGTTTTTTATTCTATCATGCTGGAATCCTCAGTGTTTTGGCGTAAGTAATATTTTTAAATTATATTTTAATAATTTCTAAAATTTTACTATAATCTTTTATTTTTGCCACCATTTAAAAAAAAACTCTTTTAATCAAGTTAAAATTTGAGATATTTTTATTTTTTAAATTAAATTTTTCAATATAGCAATTTCATATGCAATATGAAATTGTCAAAAAAATTGATTTAAAAGGGTTATTTTTACTTCTCAAAAATTTTGATGATGAATCATAATTTTAAATTCTAAATGTAAACAAAATAAAATTCTAAATGTAAACAAAATATATAACAAACAATAGATACTAGACAGATTCATAATTTAAAATCCTAAGTATAGATTTAATTGATTAATGTATTTTTAATTGATTCTTAACATTTTAACTTTTTGATAAAAAAAATATTCCAAACATTTTTAATGAAAAACGTATGCTATTTATTCTTAAAACCTTTGTTCATGAAACATTCTTCTTTAACACTTTTCATAATTAAACATATCTTTGATTCCACCTTACATATATTTTTAGTTCCTTCAAAACATTTTTGATGATAAACACTTGTTTTTAACTCCTTTATTTTGCTAATGAAAATATTTTTAATTCTTCTTTAACACTTATGATGACTTAACTTATCTTTGATTCCTTCATAACATTATTGATAATGAAGCATATTTTTAGTTTCTTCTTAAAAATATGATAATGAATTAGAACAAATTCCAGCTTAAATTCCCGCTTAACATTTTCGATTATGAAACATATTTTAAATTCTTCCTTAAACTCCTTTGTTTAAAAAAAATAATACATGATGCATAGCATTTGTATCAGTTTTAATTTTAAATATTTTTTATTTTAGATATGGACGAATGCAAAACGGGTGTTTGTGAGAACGGTTATTGTACAAATACCATTGGTAGTTTTGTTTGTGAGTGCTACAATGGCTACAGATACAACTCATTCATCAACAAATGCGAAGGTGAGAATAATATGATAGTTGTAATTTACAACATAGTTTTGTTGATGGTTTGATCAAAATAGTAACATTATCATTCATTATAATAATGTCCAGGTATGCATTTTAGATATCAATGAATGCATTGAAACACCAAATGTTTGCCAAGGAAGCTCCACATGTGTCAATACAATCGGAAGCTTCGAATGCAAGTGCCCGGATGGATACAAACTAGCACCAAGTCAACGAGACTGCTTAGGTAATATCTCAACGCATTTTAGTTCATTCATTTATTATTAGTTCATTCATGTAGCATTTATAATTAGCTTTAACTGTTTATGATGGGGCCGGGATAGCCTGGTTGGTAGGGCGCTAGGCCCATGTCCAAGAGGTCGTGGGTTCGAACCCCGCCGGCCGAAGACTCCCCGTGTAGTAAAGTGACTGATGCACGTTAAATCTGTCGAGTCGCAAAAGTCCTCCATGTTCCCATAACAAATCAATATCTCTGGGGATACTGGATTGGAGATTGATCGTTCTCTGATTCAGGTCAAAATTACGATCTGTGGATGAATGAATCCGCCCTATGAACGGGTGTGACGTATGGTGTGGCAGAAGTCGAATTCTTGGCCTTAGATCGTACCCCCTCTGCCTAAACAGGCATACGTCAACAACAACAACTGTTTATGATACATACATATGTCTGACATTGATCTCTTCATATCCGAAGTCAACATAACCGTTTATGATGCATACATATTTCTAATATTGATCATTCAATATTCGATGTCTACATAACCGTTTATGATACATATTTCTAGCTTGGTCATCCAATATTCGAAGTCGACAATAAACGTTTATGATGCACACATATTTCTAACATTGATTATATAATGTTCGAAGTTTAGGTAACAGTTTGTGATGCAATCATCTAACATTGATCATTCAATATTTGAAGTCAATCAAAGGGAAACGGACGAAGATAGAAAATGTGCAGTTTATTGTGTTCTAATTGGAGGAGCAAACACATTTATTTCCATTGAGTTTAATAATTTATTTTAAAAAAAACGTCAACAGATGGCGGTATTGACTTCAAAAATTTACAAGATAATTTTTTCTGCTGCATTTGAAGGGAAAAGAGGTATAAATTATAACATTGATAAAATTGCAATCAACTTTCATGATTTATGATATGACACGGATTTTATTTCCTTGAGAGCATATTATGAATGATTTTTGATAGATCAGGGAATGAAAGAAGAGAAAAATCGACTCCAGAAATCCGGGAATCAGAAAATCGGTCAATCACTAAGTCTGGACTATTTACGCGAATAACTTTTTTTTCTCTTTTTTGCACTCAATAATAAAACTTTTTTCTTTAATACTTTTACTGTTAGCTTTAGAAAATTTTTATAGCATGAAAGACAAAATCTTTTCACAATGTAATTTTAAATTGTGAATTCTATTCAAAATAGGAATGAAACTGGTTGAAAAGTTCCTGTCCCGCAGTGGACTGATCGTTAAGACACGGTTCCCAGCAGATCACCGAAGTCAAGCATCACTGGCTACGGTCAGTGTGCGGGTGTGTGACCACTTGAATCAGTTTGCGTAGGGACCGAGGGTGTGCGGTATTGATCCTCGTTAAACTGTTCTACCGTAAAGTGCTCGACTTCGCGTGCAGGTCGTCGGGCTACCAAAGTGGGGGTGCCATCCCCTCTGCAGAGGATCAAAATTGTGATGGCGTGTCTTCGGATCATCCTCAGGGGTGTTTCCTAGACCGACGCCAATAGCCCATCGTGCAGCTCTAGTGCGACGTAAATTAACTACAACTACAACTGAAAAGTTCCTAAAAATTTTTAATTTAAAGAAATGCTAAGTAAAAATTACATTTGCGTAAAATTACCGTTGCTAAGCGAGTTTTACAAATATGTGCAAAGTTTTTTTGGTTTATACGATTGGTTCGGATTAAAAGAGGAAAATAACAAAAGGCTTTCAAATACTCAGTTGATTACATACTAGAATATAAAAAAATTTCTCACTAATTTTGATTAAATTAACAGCTAGGATACTAAAACTGCAAAATATTATATTTGGCATGCTTTGCAGCATATTATATTTGGCAGAAATGCTTGTAGAGTCGATTTGCAGTTGTTCTTTATTCTTTATAGATGTAAATGAATGCTCAAAGACTGGAATGTGTGATAACGGTGTTTGCAAGAATCTAGACGGAAGTTTTGTCTGCACTTGCAACAACGGTTATTATTTATCTCCTTCTGGGGAACACTGTATAGGTAAGTGCTTCTATATTTTTTACGTTGGTAATTTGTATTGGTTTGGAGGCTATTCTGCAGTAACCACCCTTAATATATATTTTATGAATCATTGATGAACATAGAATTTGAACACAAATAGAAAATATATATATATATTCATATAATATGATTAACAATATTATTATTTTTCAGATATTGATGAGTGTACTCGAAGTCCTGGTATTTGCTCGGATGGTGTTTGCACAAATGTCCCTGGATCATACCACTGTAAATGCAATCCTGGATTCACTTTATCACCGAATGGGGATTGCTTTGGTAAGAAAACTATTTTTATATTATTTAAATTCTTGTTTTTATCTTATTTAATTCTTTTCTTGAATGGCTTAAGAATTCAATAGGCTGCATGAAAAAATGCCTATCATTTTAATATTATTATAAAAGATATATATACATAAAAATAATCACAACTCTTAATATATAATTTTAGAACCCTGTTAAAAAAAAAACGAAGTAAAAAAAAGACTACGGACGTTATCGGTCGTAAATTAACATCTATGTAAGAAAGAAAAACGTTTACAAACTCAAACTAGGCATCATTGAGGTTGGGAACAGCAAGGGAAGAATTAAAATCATCAAAAACCGTCTTTTCCTTCTGAGTTGAACTTTAATGCATCCACTTTTCGCTAAGGTGTCCCTACAATTTTATCCTCAAATAAACTGGTTTTCAGAGAAGTGCGGAAGAAATGCTGAATAGCAGAGGACTGGGATTGAACGAGAGACCTTAAAATCCGTAACTAAATGCTATTACCACTAAAAGAATATATGAATTAAGAAGCTTTATATAATTGACAACGCAAGTTGATATGAAATCCTTTTTGTTTTTTATTGACTAACCCTCTAAAACGTTTTATTCTTTTTCTTTTGAATAATAATTTGAGAACCCTAATGCGCGAAGTTCTGTTTACTTCATGCAGAAGAATTCTGAAATTATACATTATGGGGGATTATAACGGATTATCCGGCCTAAATAATTTCCAAACTGAAGCGAAATTATTGCAATTACATCAAGCTTTAAAAACTATTTAGTACTTGTACAATAACTTATAATTTTAGTTCCTTTGTTAACATAGTTAATGATATTGATTAATATGGTAAACTTAATTCTGTTAAACAAAATTCTTAATTTAACTATATGAGTAGCTAAGAATAAGTAAGAATATTTTTAATGGAGTACTATTTTTAACTAATGTTCGTAGTGATTTTCCCCGTATAAAAATATTATTTTTGTTCCAATTTAGATATCGACGAATGCCGTGGTCAGTTTGGTATCTGTCAAAATGGTCGATGTAGGAATACAATTGGAAGCTTTACATGTCAATGCCAAAATGGTTATTCTCTCAGTCCAGATGGTCGTAACTGTATAGGTATTCAACATTTTCGATCATTCCTTAACTAATATGTTTTGTTACCAACTATAAATTCTGTAAAAAATTGCCTTTTTTGCCTAAAATGTCATTCTTTGAGAGATGTATTGCACAGATATTTTTTAAAAACTATTTTCCTAAACTGATACATCAAACTAAATGATGCATCAGTTTCAATTTTCTTACGAAATCAAGCATTAAATTTTTAGTCAGTAAAAGCAAACTAAATTGGCTAAACGCAGATTAAATTGACTAAACGCAATAGACTAAAAATTAAGCTTAATGAACATACATGCAGCAAATTTCTAAATATTAAGTTCCTTATACATAAGTTCCTTATACATTAAGTTCCTTATACATAAGTGTCCTTATACATAAAAACTTCGTTTTTAAATTTTAGTTGAATTTGTGTAGAGTGACGTTAAAAAAAGGGAATAAATCCCTATAAGAAAATAAATCCCTATAATCAAGTAACAGAAGAAAAAAAATCTTTACTTTCTGTTGTTAGCGGTATTCACGCAATTCAACTTTGTAATTTTTAATCAAACAAGTTCAAAGATGTTTTAGAAGGATATTTAAGTATACAGTTTTAAACGGAAAAGGACCACACATTTACTAGAATCCTTTATTTCCTTTCTTGATGGCTTATGATTGAAATCAATATTCAACGTAATTAATGACATCAAACACTCCGATTTGACTTCATTTTATATTTTTCGTCTTTTTTAATGTTATTTAACATTAAATATGTGAAATTGCTTATAACGACGATTCCATCTGCTATTGTGAATTTTCGTCATTACGAACTTTTACTGTACTTGTTTGTTGCCAAAATACACTTTCTCTATTTCAGATATTAATGAATGTTCCGATAATATATGCACTCAGGGTAACTGTAGAAACTCTGAAGGATCATTTCAATGCACTTGCGATGATGGTTATAAATTGACACCAAATAAAAGAGATTGCGAAGGTAAGAAATGATTCATAAGTTCAAGAACACTTTTGTGTAGAATAACCTTTCAGATAATTTACTCTCATACGTCACTAATTTTCATAAAATTAAAAAATTTACATAGCATTTCATGTAGTGTTTACTAAGCATGAAATTTTTTATTTCTCTATTGACATATGGGTCGCTGAACACTATATTGTATTTTACAACAGTTAAGAAATGCTAGTTTATACGATACCTTTTATGTTTCAATTTAAATATTTAAAGATTGATCTAAAATAACCAACATTAATACGTATTTTTAGAATCTTTATCGAAAATTAAGTCTGAGTAATAAAAACATTAAAAGGCGCAAATTAAATTAAAGCAATATAGAAACGAAAAAGTTATCAAAATTTAACGAATTACTAGATATAAAAGTGGGATGAAAAAATCAAAAAACCAGCCTGATTGCCTAATGAGACCTGGAAATATTTCTAATCATTGCCTTTCAAGTCCTGTTTCTCAAGGCAATCAAATAGATTTTTATGTTTCAGATCTGCCCTATTCATAAGAGATTAGATTTGCAAATTGGTAAAAAGTAGGGAAATATAATATAAGTTATTTATGTTTTTGTAATTTTTAAATTGTTTCAGAGTGCAGAGTAAATCGTAATGACCACCTCCTTAATATACATTTTTATAATTCTTATTTAAAAATAAGGTAAACTGTGCCCACCAAGGGTAAATTGCAAATTAAAATTATGCAATGAAAAGGATTCAGAGAAACAAAAGCGTTTTTAAACTCTAAAGCAAAAGATGAATTAAAATGAATGATTTGAGGATGAAGCTTAAATAATGTCCCCACCTTATTTCAGTTCCAATGGACAAGTAGCCTGCTTTATAATGACTTCCTTGTTTCTATTGATCTTAATAATAACACTAAGAAACAAGTTTTTTTTGTTTTGTTTTTTTGCACTACTTGGTTTTGTATAATTCGGATGTATGAATTTCAAAAATCTGAAATTAGTTTTGTTCGTAAAACAATAGATTTTTTTAAAAAAATGACATTATCAGTCGAATTTTTTTTATCAAAATGGACAAGTTTTTTAAAGCTGTATATAACAGGGGGTCGCGTAATTGTTGCGACAAACTTTTAGAAGAGTTAAGGCACATCATCAGGATTAAAATTGCATTCATAGGAACCCGTGCACGGAAATGTCGCCATGCTCCGCTGGGGGCTATTACCCATTTTGAACTGTTTCTTCGTGTGCTTCATAATAGGAAAAGACGTCAGCGTAAGACATCATTTCCGGGCATAGGTTCCTATACAATTTAAATCCTGATGATGTGCCCTTACTCACCCCTTTAATATACAACGTTTCTAAACTTGTACATTTCGACAAAAAAATAAGCTAAGAATGTTACCTAAAAATAAAAATAAAATAACTGTAGCTAGAAGAGTGAAACCAATTGCAGATATGAAATCAGTGACCAAGATCTGTTTAAAAAAAAATCTCCTACAACGTGAAAAAAAGAAAAATTGTTCCCTAGTGTAATCGTTTGGTATTTGAAAATGTCTCCGTTCTTCATCCCTTAATTATTAACTTACAACACTAAATGTGCAGAGTTTTTCATTCCGTTCTTTAAAAGTATTTTGAAGAGATAAATTAAGGACAGCTATTACTCTTTCGTTAAGAATGTTTTACTTTGTACACTATTTGGGCTACTGTTGGCGGTATACCCTTATTGATGATCTGAAGGCAATACGTTCGCAAGCGCACACACACAATTTACATGGGAGAGCAGGTGGTGGTAGAAATTATCTGGTCTCCGCACCAGGCTCCCCAACTGCACACGGATTTTTCAACTTTTATTACATTAGATTCGTCCATTACAGAACACCCTATTCATATTTTTATTTATAAATTGTTTTAATTATTTATATTTTTAATTTAATGGCAACCTGTGTTTTATTTCTTATTTAGATATTGATGAATGTCGTTCAGTTCCTGGTATATGTGAGGGTGGAACTTGTACGAATACGCAAGGAGGTTTTAAGTGCACATGTTCCAAGGGACACAAGTTATCTTCTGATGGCAAAACTTGCATTGGTAAGCAATCATTTAAAGCAAATAGAAATATTTTGTTTTGAACATGACATGTAAATAATTAATGACAAGGGGATGAGTGATCTAAAAGAAATCAGTTAACTTCATTAAACCATTCTAAAGTTATTTGAAATTTTAATCTTTATCAAAGGCAACAACTAAACTAACTATTGTCCTGTGAATTCACTAGACCATTGTGAATTTCCAGACCTGTGAATTCAATTGATTGGCATAAAACCTTATTTTAAGACAAGTACTGATAAAACGGAAAATACTATTTCAACTAATGCCATAATTTATCTTATTCATACACCAAAAACAAATTCAGAACTAAACTAGCTAAAGTCCTGTGAATTCACTTGACCACTGTGAATTTCCAGACTTGTGAATTCACTTGATTGGCATAAAACCTTATTAAGACAAGTACTGATAAAAAGAAAAATTTCATTCCTCAAAATAATTTATTGCCTTAAATTGATCTTTAAAGAATTTTATGCGTAAAAACTCAGATTCCTGGCAAAAGCAGATCAATCATTTAGGGTTCCAAAGGGCAGAGCTCATTCTAGGCAGGGTAAACAGGGCGCAGCACCCTGCTGCCCTTTTAGTCAAAAGAATCCACCCTGCCTGATCAGGAAGTGAGCGACCGCTCTGGTCATTACTTTAACAAAATTTACCTATTGTTTAATCAGGAACTGTTTTTAAATTATTTTTAACGTAAGTAAATTACAATATATCAGTAAATTTGAGCCTTCATTTGATTCAATCTTTGTTAACTCATAATTCTAATAGACATTTTTTAAGGAAAAACACACACACACACAAAAAAAAATTATTAGCAACGTATAACCTCCAGAAATGAGGGGGTCCTAGGCCCGGGCCTCTCCAGGCACTGACAGTTTTGGAAGAAAAGATTTTTTTTAATTTAATGAAGTGGAGCCTTTTGTAAATGCCTCGCCTGCCCTACTCAAGTAGCACAATTCACAAAAACGATATCGTAAAAACTTAGCTTTGAACATTGTACAGTATCGTAGCGAAACATTGTACTATATAAAAATGAACCCCTTTTATAACGTATATTCAATATCATGAAACAATATTAATCGATATTGTAAAAACGTTGATGAACGTCGATCGATATCTCTCAGCATTTCGGATATCTCTAAATTTATATTTTAAATTTATTTTTTGGAATTATAGCAATTTGACGTCATTTTTTGTCTTTTAAATGATTAATTTTAATTTAAGAACACAATAAAGTTTAAAATGAAAAGTTTTACAAACAGACTTTTAATGTGAAATCGACGGGAATCGTACAATATCGTACACACAATGTCGATTTTCGCCAATATTGACAATGTCGGTCGATGTAGACTAAAGCTGTTACAATAACCCTGTGCTACTTGAGTTGATATCATCCCTTACATAAATTCTTCAAATACCTCTTTTTGTGAAATTTCAAAGTAACGTTATTTAAAAATAGCATTCGTATAATGATCGTTCTTTCAGACACCAGACAGAGTTTCTGTTTCCAAGAGTTTATCAATGGAGTCTGTGCCAATCCTAGATTATCCAACATGACGAGGAAGGAATGTTGCTGTATGAAGGGATCTGTCGGATGGGGATCCACTGCCTGTGAACGATGTCCCGATCCAAGAGGAGGTAGGTCTTACATTTTACCTCCATGGAAAATATTGTACCCATATATTTGACGTCATTATTACTCTCATTTCACTGATTAAGTTTCATTCCTTAAGGTTGTTTTTTCGAAGGATCCGTCGAAATATGAAATGATGTTTTTTGAGTGATTAATATGCTGTTTTTATAACTGCTGTCAGTTTTCGACTGTTACTTATGACTGTTAGTTCAAGTTTATCCTACCTAAAGCCAGCGCTGTCTACGCTTATTTTGAAAATGGCACAAAACGTCAGTATGGAGAAAAGTTTTGTGAAAATGAAAAGCGTTTGTGGTCTAATTTTTTAGTGTTTAAAAACTTACTCTAATGCTGCATTACTTGGGCTCCTAAAAATTTGCAAAAACTGAGAGTAAGGCAGTGACTTTAATAATGTTCATCTAAGTAGAAAAATGTCGCTAAATTGCCGATTTTTAAAAAAAAGTTTAATAACTAATTTCAAACAAAATATTTAAGTTATTTGTCCGTTCTAAAGCCCAGATCATTTTTCACGGCAACATTATAAATATAGTTTAAAATCATCGCATTGCTTCAAGTGTAGAGCTCTTTAACTGTAGCTTTTTCATTTGCCCTGGCGACAGAGCATCAAAAAAAAAACGTTAACCCTTTTTTTTGACACCGGTGTCCGTTTTTTATTATTATTATTATTATTTCCCTGACGCTCTAAAAACATATTTTATTATCTTTTAATCATAAAACAGTCTAATAGTTAAAAAAAAAAAAGTCTGTTAGATTATCAGAATTATATTTGCACTGAAATTCAAAATCCAAAAAAAGAAGCAAGAAAAAAAAAAATTTTCATTCATATTGAAAAATTTATCAGTAATTGATTTCGTAAATTAAAGAAATTTCAATAATAAATAATTGTTTCTCTTTACTCTAATTAACTGCAAATTGGAAAAAAATATTGTTTAAAAGTGGATCGTGCTTGAAATATTTTACCTTTAAGGCAAAAAACGACAACGGTGTTTCATGCTGTATTTCATAGTCATAAATTATTAAAATACTGAATTTAATATTTTTTACTTCTTTTAAACTAAATCAGTACAAAATAATGAAAAACATTTTAAGAACATGTTTAATAAAAATTCTGCGTCCAAGAATTAACTTATTTTAGGCAAAGCATAGAAATTTTATTAAATGTGGTGTTTTTTTCATTGAAATATATTTAAATTACATTCATTGAAACATAAAAAAAAGTTTCATGCCTGAAAAAAATACTTTATTTATGGAATAAAATGGTGTGTGTATGCACTATTGACCAAATCATTTAATTGAACGCTAATTATTTTATTTTAAGACATTCGTCTTATTTTTATTTTATTTACAGATTTTTCAATTTAAATCCATCATAAAAGTATATGATTATTTTCAAATGGAAAAACTATACGTTTTATAAAGTCGCATTTGTGAATAACTGTTTCAAATTAAAAAAGAAAAGAAAAACTAAGTGTGTTAAGAACTTTTTGCTAAGAAGTGTTTCTTAGCAAAAAGAGGTTACTCCAATTGAATTGCCAATATTTTTATAGATATCTTCACAACCTTTAAAAATAGCAGAAAAATAAAATTCGTGAAAAATATACATCGCTGTGTTATTAAAAAAATACTTATTGAAATGGCGCGTTTTCGCACCCTTGGTCAAAAATGGCTTTATAAAAGAATTCAATTTTATTAAGGAAGACAAATTACGAATAAATTGGCAACAGTTATTTTTTAATAACATGTTACAATACGACACAGGATTTGTCCACTTTTAATATATATATTTAGAATCTTTATCAAAAATGAATTCAACTAATTCGAACATTACGGGAAGTAAATTAAAAATATTCGTTATCGCAAAGCTTGAATATGCAATCTAGTGAAAAGACCAGTTCCACGTCCTGCCATTCCCTCCTCTACTCAGCTGTATAGAAATGTACTAAGATCCCCTTTTTTAATGTTTTTCGTATTTAATATCAAAAACACTTTTTAAAATTTCCGCGACGTTTTTTATATAACTATGTTCAATGTAGTTTTCAGTTCCATATAGTTTCCTAACTCATAAGCTTTTAATCTATTTGAAAATCAAGACAGAAACTAACGTACTTCCTCCTCCTATGACTCTCCACACGCAAATGGTGAAAGCATGCGAAGTGTTACCATAGGCAGAGAGTTCTGCTCTGCGCCACCTGTAGGCCCTTTTGATCTCCAATAAACAAGCAAGAAACCAAAGAGCTTTGAAAAAAACTTCGCCTATTTATTTTTTAAGATTAGAAGTTTCAAACTGCATTCAGTTATAAATTTTAATTTATTACTGGATAATCATCTGCTACTAATTTTTATCACTGATTACTATTATTTATAACTGCATGAATTATCATAAAACTTATTATTTCAGAGGCTTTCAAACAAATGTGCCCAGATGGTTTCGGATACGTCATTGTTGATGGTATGATGGAGGGTAAGTATTTTGACGCATACATATACAATTCAGTTTATGTAAAGAAAGATAAACTGACTAAGGTGTTGTGTTTTAGATATCAATGAATGCATGATGGACCCAACTTTGTGTGAAAATGGAATCTGTGTCAACATGGATGGCAGTTACAGATGCGAATGCCAGGATGGGTTTAAGATAGATAGCACAGGAACAAAATGCATTGGTATGTATAGTTCCGGTCGGTTAAATTTATATTTAAAGAAGTCTTTGAGGACATGAAAATTATTTAGACAGATATTTATAATTATTTGAACAACATTATTTGTTTATGGGATATCTGCAAGTGACGTTGTGTGGGTATCTCGATCCTGATTGGCTGTTAAAACGTGATATTTGTTTACGTTAGCAACTGTTCTTTCTATTCTATTTCGAGTAAACCAAGCCCGCCATGTATCGATTCTCTTAAGTGACACATTCTATATTCTTACACAAAGATTTCAATTGTCTCACTATCGATTTCTTACTTAACACAAAAACAAGTATGAAGCCATGTAGAATATAAACTAATTATGCATCGAAGTTGCCTGGAACACAAATGAAAAATATACCACGGTTACAATAAACTACATAAAGAAATAATAAATTTAAGTTATTTTAAGGACGTAGACGAGAAAGAATTATATTTCAACAAATTCGACGTGCTTAATGGAGCTGTATTTAATTAACTTCAAGTTAATTAACATTCTAACCTATGTGGTGAAACTTAGCTCAGCTTTAACACGCAATTTTGCTTATAAATGATCAGCTAGAGCTGACTTAATAGGTCACATGCGTGGGTATCCATGGTCTTTTTCTTCTTGAAGCATTGCGCAAGAACCATTTACAGTTATACTGCTCCTTCAATTTGGATAAAAAGATGTGTAGGTAAAGTTCGATATAACGAGATATTCGATATTACGAGAAGTCCGTTATTACGACAGAGTAAAAATTAATGATAAAAAATGCAAGAAAAATAAGATTGCTAGTATTAAAGATACATAACTTTTATGTTCAGAACGAGTTAAAAATTACTATATTCCCGCTATTACGACAATTTTTTTATTTTTCATTTTCCGCTATTTAAACGAGGAATGCTGTAGGAAAAAAGTAAAAGGGAAGAAGACAGAAAAGTGTAAAACGGACATCATTTCACATTTTTTCCTGCCTACAATATTAATCCTGCATGTTTTTATAGAGTGAAGGTGTGAGCAGTCATCGGCAAAGTTATCCTGCTCATTTCATTCGAAAAGAAAAATTCTTCTATTTATAGTAACCTTGCCGTACATTTCAAAAGGATACGACTTTTTGCAGTATTCAGTTTCATACAGTAGTATTCAGTATTATTGTAGTTTTTCAATATTCAGTGTTATCAATGACATCAAAAGCTATAGCATATTAAAAACATTTCATTATCAGATTTTTTAAATGTTATTTTAACATTAAATACGTGTATTTACTTACAACAATAAGCTCGCTATAACGACTATACTTTATTTCATATTTCAGTTATTTTATTTTTACACTGAACACTAAATATGTATATTTGCTTACAACAACGAGCCAACAACAATTTGTTAATTTGTTTCTATAACGTACTCTTTTAAATATTATGTCAATTATTTAAATAATAATATGAGATTAAATTAATTAGCTTACAAATTAATTTATTGTAAAATTATGATAAGATACAGATAAGCATAATTGTAAGTGAAATACCTTTGATTCTAATGGTTCATAAAAAATAGGAATATAGAAATTAGAAATAACATTTACACAAATTTCAGAGGAATTAACGCTACACAAATTTAAGTATAATTTCAAATTAACATTTTAGAGTCCAACATTTCAACTACTGACTACAAGGCTTTGGCAACTATCATCCATGGTGTAATAATCGTAATTAAAATTTTGAAATTCTTCTAACATGGTTTTTAACACAACTTTATGTAAATTCGATACTACAAAAGTTCATATTTACTTTAAGTTTTAAATTTTATTTTTAGTGTTTTTCACTTCATACTAAACACTTCGATTTCGTTCAAACACTTCGATTTCATTCATTTTTTCACTTCATACTAAACACTTCGATTCTCAAATTTCATACATCATTAAATATTATTTTTTGTGTCTTGATATCGAGCAATAAATAAAAATCAGACCTTTCGATATTTTTTTCCTCTTACAGATGTTGATGAATGCAGAGAAGTAGGTTCACCTTGTGGAAATGGAACGTGTACAAATGTGATTGGAGGATTTGAATGTGACTGTCGAGAAGGTTACATTTCTGGACCACGACAAACTTGTGAAGGTTTGTTGTTTTTATCTTCAAGCATTTTTTCTTTTAAGATGCAATATTTTGCATTATTTCTCTTATGTCAACACATAAGGCTGTGATGGCACATGGGATAGAGCGCACGCCTTCCACTGAGGTGAACCGGGTTCGAATCCCGGCGACAGCTGGTCGATACGAATTCTGCATCCGGCTTGCGCCGACCACAGTTTTTTTTTTTCAATGCCCACCTGGAGTACATTTTTTTCGTCAATTCAGGAATTTACAGGGCAGATTTAATGGCCTCTCTTTCAGGGGCACCATATTAGGTGGGCCGACGTTGCTCCCACAGTAAGGACAGATAGTACAGACAAGGAAAGAACATCCATGCCTTGCCCGGGATTCGAACCCAGAACCTTTCTGATGCAAGGGCAGTTCCCTAACCCCTACACAGGCCGGTCGGCGCGCCGACCACAGTGCTGATGTAAAATTTCCTCAGTGGTAAACGGATCAAGGGTTACAGTCCCTTTGCCATCAGGCTTACTGTAGGAGGTTTTCTAGATGTAACGCAAATGTGGGTTAGTTCCATTAAAAAGTCCTCCACGAAGACAAATTTCTCCTANTACAGAGAAGGAAAGAACATCCATGCCTTGCCCGGGATTCGAACCCAGAACCTTTCTGATGCAAGGGCAGTTCCCTAACCCCTACACAGGCCGGTCGGCGCGCCGACCACAGTGCTGATGTAAAATTCCCTCAGTGGTAAACGGATCACGGGTTACAGTCGCTTTGCCATCAGGCTTACTGTAGGAGGTTTTCTAGATGTAACGCAAATGTGGGTTAGTTCCATTAAAAAGTCCTCCACGAAGACAAATTTCTCCCAGTACTTGATCCAGGACCTCCCTTGTCCTCCGGATTAGGTTCAAAATGACAAGGCTACGGAGTTGAAAATTATTAGTCGTAAACCCAAAAAATTGGGTCGGCTGTTCAACGATAGTTATAAAAAAAATATTAACACATAAAATTTTTATTTCGCGTCTTTATTTGCTACCTTAACATTCCTACCAATGTATTACAAATATAGTTGAAAATATTTTCAATAGTAGCCGGTTGTAAAAGAACCACAGCTAAATAAAAAAATATTTCAACGAAAATTTTCCTGGGAGGAGGTAGTTTTTATAAGAAAATATTAGGTTCATTAAAATGAAAATTTGATAAAGGATGTTCCATAATTTCCGCCCTATATATATGTTTTTTTAGAATCTTTGACAAAACAGAAGAGAAAAAAGTATGCATTTTAAGGGTTGTAAATTATTGTTTAATTAAACAAAAAAAAAATCCAATTAAATCACTACTTAAGAAGCCGAAATTAAAAAAAAGACTCAAAACTAGTTTAATTATCTATTGAAACTTCGAGGTGTTTTTAATAACCGCCTTCCAATCTTCTTCAATGTAAATTCAAACAATGAAACAGGTTTTTAAGAATTTCAGCCCCTTTTTCCTCAATAGTCATTCCTTAGATTTCGATAGTATGTTTTGATTTTTTCCACATTTGAATGTAACAAATATTAAGTAGTGATCCATAAAGTGCCTACTTTACAGACTGTATTTTATTTTACAAAGATTACGTAAATTAAGAGTATTTATAACAAAACACTCTGTATATTAATTTTATACAAGTCTCTTTGATCATCTTAAATTGTTGTTTTTTTAATCTTTGTCTAACTTCCTTACAAAAACTGCGATCGCTTATGATTCAAAATAATGAAATTATAGCAGAGATGCCAACTGCTCCGGACAAGCCAAAATAATTAATAAAACGGTTGATAACTACAAAGTAAATTTTGCAAATATTTGACAATTTTTTGTTAATTTTTTAAAGGGTATAGCAAGACATAAGTATTATAAAGTGGAGAATTTTATGAGCCTTCGAATTACTTAGAAATAGTGGTGGATAAAAAATCTACTAGATTGAATTTATTAAACCAAGAATCACAATAAATAAACTACCACTTTAAAATATATATTAGCTGTCCGGAGCAAGTTGGCATCTCTGTTATAGTAATTACAGCTAATTTAATTAAATCCGTGTGTTAAAATACTTTAACTAAAGAATAGAGATCGAAAATGTACCGGAATTTTTTCAACTTGCTTCTGAAACAAAAGGTCTGGAATGTGACAAATACAACATTAAAAATATATAATAAGTGTGAAAATAAATAAAAGATACTAATTACAGAAAGAAAAAAATTATTACCATATACAGGTATATGTATTTATTAATCATCTAAAGTAATTTGAATTTTTTCAGATGTCAATGAATGTGAAGATATGGGTTCTTTGTGCGCTTTTAGATGTCAAAATATGCCCGGAGGGTTTAAATGCACCTGTCCATATGGTTACACCTTGGCTGCAGATGGTAGACATTGTGAAGGTAATTAATATTTTTTTGTTTTTATTCAGCCTGTTTTTATATTTATTATTATAAATAAAATATTTTTAAAAAAAATTTTCTGCATAGATTTGGATGAATGTCAGACACCAGCCAACGATTGTCGTTTCCAGTGCAAGAATCTGATTGGTTCTTTCATGTGCATCTGTCCAGACGGTTACAGACAAGTTGGCATGGCCGACGACTGTGTAGGTAAGTTTCCTATTTGATAAGCTTAAAATAAGAATATCTAATATCAAAAGTTTTTGTCAGTCGCACTTAAAAGAATTTCTTAAAGACTAAAAATACTATAACAATCAAACTAATTTAATTAAGTACTGGTTTTAACGAAGAAATATTTAACCTCTTTCTTCTCGCTCCCGTGAAAATGACGGGTTGAGGTTTCGCCCACTATTTCTCGCTCCTGTGATATTTCCGGGCTGGAGTGTTCAGTAGTAACGAGCCAATAAAAATAAATCTAATTCATTTCTTTAGCCCGGAAAATATTTTATTTCTCATTTTACACACCAGATGGCAGTACCAAGTTATTTCTAAGGTAATTGTAGATAGTTAGTTTATTTTCGCAGTTGACTAGATGTCAGCACTAATCAAATACGTGTATTTGTGATAGGAATTTAAAAAAAAAATAGGCACTTTTATGACCGTTTCCTTGAAAATTAACTGATCGTTAAGGGGTTAATGAATAATAGATTAAATTGCAAAAACCGCCACATAGAACACTGCTTACTGAGTCAGCCCATCTCAATCGCGGCCTTCCCCGCTTTCTTTTTCCAGTGGGTCTAAAAAGCAGTATCTTTTTTATTGTGTTGTCGTCACTCATTCGAATCACGTGGGCGATCCAATTCATTCTATTTATTTTTACGTATTTAATGTTACAAGCTTAATTTTTTGATAATTTAAATTGACTTAGGTTTACCAAGTTTAGATTCACAAAACTTATTTTATAATTAGAATATTCATGAGAAGCCTAAGCCTAACGAATATTCAGTTAGATCAAGTTAACCTTTCTCTGAATGCAAAGTAGCTAAAAAAAAAAAAAAGTAGTACTTTGTTTTTAATATATTCTATTCTTAAAAGAAAATAGTCTAATTTTTATCACGTGAATTTATACAGCCTCAATTAAAAAACATTAAAAAAAATAAAAACATTACATCTATTGTTTATTGTAGATCCCACTTTTTATTATTTTAACTTCATTCCGCATATCAAGAATAACACATAGTACCAGTTACATACTTGAAATTTATGAAAAAATCTATAAGATAAATTCAAATAAAATACACTAACAAAAAAACTATTATAATGGAAAATATTAAGTTACGCAATAGAATGACTAGAAACCCTTTAAAACTACATTAGTTTAGAAACCTAAGAAGACAGCATAAAAATCAATCTCGAACTTCTTCCTAATTGTTTCTAATTTAAAAAAAATATGGTAGTTGAAATTAAACTCAAAACAGTCTTGAAAAGTTTAAAGATCATGTTATTCTTATATGTAATTATTAAATGTAGTCTTGTGTGTAATATTTACATGCAAATTCAAATTTGGCAAATATTTGTGTTTTAAACATACATGTAATATTAACATGTAAATTCAAATTTGGCAAATATTTGTGTTTTAAACGGATATGTAACATTAACATGTAAATTCAAATTTGGCAAATATTTGTGTTTCAAACATATATGTAACATTAACATGTAAATTCAAATTTAGCAAATATTTGTGTTTTAAACAGATATTGATGAGTGTAGAACCATTCCGGATGTTTGCTCTAATGGGCGATGCATCAATACAAGGGGCTCTTACCGATGTGAATGCTTTGATGGTTTTGAACCTTCTAGAACACAAAAAGAATGCGTTGGTAAGTAAATTTTATACCGACATTTTCTATTGAAATGTTTTTAAATAAAATACATTTTGAATATTGCCTAACTACCAAAGAGAACAGTAATAGACAAGGTTTAATAAGTGAAATCCCTTAACTGTTTCTCTTAAATAACCTCAAACTTCATAGAGGTTGTTTCTTTTAGGTAATGAGTTCATCGCCCAATGAGGTGACCCATATTCGAATCCCAGAGTTGGCTGGTTGATACGAATTCTGCTCCCTTTTTGCATCGACTAATGCTGACCTAAAATATTTCCAGTGGTAAACGGATCATGGGTTAGAATCCTCCTGCCGTCGGGCTAACCTTGGGAAGTTTTTGTGATTTTCCTCTCCATGTAGCGCAAACGAGGGTTAGTACCATCAAAAAGTCATCCATGAAGGCTAGTTTATCCCGATGCCTAATCCAGAAATTCCTTTGTTTTTTGGGTGATGTTTGTAATTACAAGGCTGCGTTAGTTGAACATCGATAGTCGTAAACTCAGAATTGAGTTGGTTATTCCACGTCAGTTACAAAATAAACTTAGTTGGACTTGATCCACGTTGGCTCAGGGGTAGAATGTTCGCCTCCTAATGAGATCACTCAGGTTCGAATCCCAGCAATGGCTAGCAAATACACATCCTACTCTCGGTTCGCACTAACCACAGTGCTTTGACTTACAATATCCTTAGATGGATCGTGATTTAGAATCCCCTTAACGTAAATGTGACCCTATCTGGTTTTTTGGGGGATCTTAGAAGAAGTAATATAACAACTTTAGTCAGATACTTTAGGAACTTAAAAGAGTAATATCTTCTGTGAGCCTTGGTGGCTCAAGGGATAGAGCGTTTGCCTTGCAATGAGGTGAACCGGGTTCGAATCCTAGTAAAGGCTGGTCGAATTCCGCATCCGACTCAGACTCACCACAGTGCTGACGTAAAATATCCTCAGTGGTAGACGGATCATGGGTTAGAGTCTTCTTGCCGCCAGGCCAACCGTTGGAGGTTTTCGTGGTTTTCCTCTTCATGTAACGCAAGTGGGGGTTAGTTCCATCAAAAAGTCCTCCACGAAGGCAAATTTCTCCCACTACTTGCTCCAGAAGTTCCCTCGGATTGGGTTCAAAATTACAAGGCTACGGAGTTGAACGTTGGCAGTCGCAAATTCAAATAATTGGGGCGGCTGTTCAACGACGGTTATAAAATAAATATCTTCTGTTATCAAGATAAACCCATCGCCTAGTAAATGTATAATGCTAACTAAAAAATAATTGGCAATCAAGATTCAATTTTAAATATTATTCCACTCTTCCTGAAAATTAGCTGCAATCAAGAATAATTCATGTCCAGTAAATGTATGTAGTCAACTAAAAAAATTGCTTTTGAAAATTCGATGCAATACATTTAAAATTTAAAGAAGGTTTTGCTTTCCAATTAGTTTCATGCTCTAAATAACACCTTATGTGTTTTCAGATGTGAGGGCTGGTTACTGCTTTAAACTACCATCATGTTCTGCTCAGACAAGGGATGTAAGAGAAATGACCAGAGTGGACTGCTGTTGTGGAATGGGTGCCGCATGGGGTCCAAGATGCGAACGTTGTCCCCAAAGAGGAACTCGTAAGAATGCTATTAAAATATTTATAGTTTTATTATAGTCCAAATTAAAATTATATTATCCTACTTAATTGTTATGGCATCTATTATAAGATGCCAAATTTGAACATTTGATTAAAAATCGTAGTTTTGTTTCTTCACTCATGAAGTTTATATGTGATGCATTTTTTTTTCCGCTATGAAGTTTAATTGTCCATTTGAACTTCATATTGAAAAGTATAAATCAGTATTTTTTTTTTTTTTCTGACCCAATTCACATCANTTTTTTTTTTTACTGACCCAATTCACATCACTAAAGCAGATGTATTTTAGAAAGTTATTTGAGACATGCTAAAAAAAATTTTTATAAAAGTTTTATTGTTTTATAAATTGCAAATTTTATTTTAAAACTACTGTTTTTTTAAAAATTGCCTACAAACTTTATTTAAACTACTTTTGAGCAGCTTATATCTAGTTAGTATCATTCAGAGCTGTTACTTGCCCAGAAAATAGAAAAAATTAGTAGTAAGCAGTTTTATCTGTTTTTTGGAGGAAAAAACTATCTATGATCACTTCTTTTTCTTGATTGAAAACATGAATACTTATTTCATAAATTTCTCTCTAGCAAATAAATGATATGGCTGCTAATAATTCATGGTAGTCATGGATATATTCTTTTCTACTTTCAAGGCACTACAGCCTGTAAGAGGCCAAAGCTGTCTCAAGTAGTCTTTGCCATCTGGTTCTATCCGTGGCAAGGCTCTTCCGGCAAAATAACAATGACTATAGTCATGATTATTTCATTCATCATAAAAATACTAAAAGTGAAATAGTTTTTACTGCCAGATTTTTTCCATTTATAGTTAAGTTACAGCCTTGATTGTGGATACATTATTTGTTCTGCATTAAACTGAATTCCACAATATAAGTAAAATAATTATTCTAAATGACACCAAAATTATAAAAAGGTTAAAACAAAATAAAAATGCTTTGCATGTAAAAAAGTCTAACTCTAAATTGTTCCATAACTGATGTAAAATGTTCAAAACACCAAATCACATCTTCTTTACACATATAAGATCAAGATTTTTCATTCTGATGCTCTCTTCTTTATTTCAGAGACTTACAATGATCTTTGTCCACATGGTGTAGGTTTTGACAAAGATGGAAGAGGTATTGTATATAATTTATATAACTATTATAATATTCAACTCCATATCTTGAGAATTTCATTGTTTTTTCATTTAACTACGGCTCTTAATAAACTATTAAAAGATAATAGCTCTTTTACATAGCATTTCATAAAAAATCTAAGATTGGTTGGCTAAATTATTACAGGAGATTCAAAGCTCAATAATATATTTTGTTTTGCTTAATAATAAAATGTTTTGCATTATAAGAAAATCTCACACTCTGAATTAGACATTTTGGGCTGATAATATTTTGTTACACTGTTTTATTGTGATAAACGATAATATTTCTTTTAATTGTAAAAGGCCACCAATCTTTAATCCCTAGACTTATATATTTTTAACTGTTAACTTTAGCATAATAGTATAATAAATTATTCACGAATAAATAGTTTTAACTGTGATAACCTCTGTATAATCATGTTTCTGAGTTACATTCATCTGGGATAATCTCATCAATTTGAAACTTTGCTTTGATGATTTTTGATATAATAAATATTTATCAATATATCAGTTGTCATATTTTACCAATTCATAGCTAAATAGCTTCATTCAAAAAATTAAAAAAAAGACCATTTAATTGGGACAATTTCATTAATATGATCAAATCTTATCTGGGAAGGATAATAGGTACAGTGCATTAAAAGATTTTGCATTGATTATTTTTATATATGAAAATCTGATGCACTGAGGTTGACCTAATGAATTATTTCATGTAAAAATGTATGATATACATTATTGTATCAAACATTTCACCGAATCAATCTCACTATTGCAGTCATTTTATATTTGGGACAATGTCATGAATAATACTAATTTAACACTTTGCACTGATGAAACATTTAATAATATATGTATAATTTTTTTATTGAAAAATTTATCGTGTGATTGTTGTCTAATAATATCCCCGCTTTGTCGTATGTTTCATTTCAGATGTAGATGAATGTAGTCTTATGAGACATCTGTGTCAAAATGGAAGATGCATAAACACAATGGGGTCTTATCGCTGCATCTGCAACAAGGGATACAAACCAGATTCAAGTGGCACAAACTGTATTGGTAGGTGTTAAAAAGACATAAAATTTATAGATAATAATTTACGAAAACTTCATTATTTGTAATTTAGTTAACCATGAGGGATTAAGCCTTCAGATTTTACAAAATTTCTTCAAAAAAAAATGTATTAAAAAATATATATACATTTTTTATGATCGTGGCATTGAGACATTGTGGTCTGTGACCCTCAACGCACAATACTTTTGCAGGACTTTTTACACATTCACCACAAGTAAAATTTATATAGTAGTGGCAATATTTTATCTACGTCACACTAGAGTTGCACAATCAGCTTTCAACGACAGTCTGGGAAGCATACCTGAAAATGATTCAAAGATTGATCCTCGGAAAAGGGCATGGCTTCAGTTATTTGGTACCCCTGTGATGAAATTGGGTGCTTTACGATAGAACAATTTAATGAAAACCAATAATGTGCATACTCTGTCCCTTCGCAGGCAAATACAGAGGCTTGCTTGAAAGTATTTTATTTACGTATTAAGGATTTGCACCCCTTTGTAATGTGTTTTGTTTTAGTTTCATGTGAACCACTGATAATCTGCCAGCAGAAGAATTGAAAAATTTTGATGCAGATATCAATATTAATATTAAAATCATCCTTGACAGAAATTTAATTAAAAATATAAAAGAGAAAGTAGCAATAGCTGAAAGTCAGTTACGCAGTTTACATAAATTAAAATTGGATAAATAAATGTATAGAAGTATCAGGAAAGTAGCTAATAAAACATAATTTTTTCATTATAAACTAAAACTTTGACACAATAGTTATAGTTCGATAATTACAACAACGAATTACATGTTCATAAATTTTAGTAATTTCAAAATATCATTAAATATGTAATTCCACTAACCCCTATTAACCCTTTCATATTTAAATAAATATTTCTTTGACATAATCATAAATACGAAAAATACTTTGAGATAATAGTAAAATTTCGATTATTACAACAGATAATTACATGTTCATAAATGTCAGTGATTTCAAAATATCATTAAATATGTAATTCCACTAACCCTTATCAGCCATTTCATATTTATAATTATTTCTTCAGATGTGAATGAGTGTGATCATGTTCCAACACCTTGTAAGTTTACTTGTGAGAACACAGAAGGCAGCTTTAGATGCTCATGTCCTGTCGGATACAACTTAGGCGTTGATGGTATCACATGCTTAGGTACAATAAGCTACTTTAAATATGATTTCGTGTCTGCTCCTCGCAATTTTAAATGCTATCAATTTATTTATTTTTTTAAATTTAGATATTGATGAATGTAAAACGGGAAGACACACATGCCAAAATCAATGCATCAATACACAAGGAAGTTACCAATGTGCTTGCCAGAAGGGATATTCACAGGATGGTGGACAGTGTTTGGGTAATACTTCGATTACTTATTACCAGTGTTTAAAATTTTTATGATAATGAAGTGTTAACGTTTTCTTTTTTAAAGTGCAATTAATATTATTATACAATTAATATTATTGTGGATTACTGTGACACCCAAAATTTTTCAACAATTGGGAACATGACAAACTTTGTCAGACATCAACTAGAGAACCTTTATTTTCTAAGCAACAAAATAGAAATTTGACTACAATAAAAAACCCAAAACTTCAGAAAATTACTAAAATTTTCTATAAATAAAATTTTTTTTAGCAAAAAGTGTTCCTTCACTGCAGACAAAAAACAAGTATTTTCTTAGAAAGTTTAAAAAACCTTATTTTAAAATTATGAGAGATAAAAAGTTTAATGATTTCATGTAAAAATATTTTATTATTTGGTAAAACTAGTACAAAATGTATTTTCAATAATTTGAAAAATAATGCCAGGCAAAAGACTAAATAGACTTACTTCAGACAACAACAAAAAAAATATTACGATTTGGAAAAACTACTGTATAGTGTGCAACAAAAAAATTTATTTATATGGCAAAATACAAAGCTTGGTCAAAATTGGTCGAATAGTTCCTAAGAAATTAAATTTTTAATATCTGACTTTTTTTAAATTCAATTTCACAGAAGCTTTTCAATTATTCATTGCTAAATAAAATAATAAAAGAATAATAAATATTTATTAAAATTGTTATTTGCATAAAATTATCTTTGGATAAACAAATTTTATAATTGCGTGCAAAAAAAATTCATTTCGCTTAAAAAGTTCTCGAGATATATCAAAATACACAAAAGGTAAAATTAACATTAAGGGATCACAACTTTAGAGCACTCTCCTGACTAAGCTATTAGGACCATATTTCCCAGAATGCGGCTACCTCCTATATATTGGGAAACAAAAATCAGAATCCATTGAAGAAAAGGTATGCTTATTCGGAGAAAGTACATTTTTGTGTCTGATTTCGTAACTTAAAATATCGTCTGCACTTATTAATTAGCATATATTTGAGGTCATCCCTTTGAACCATTAAGATTGAGTCCTAGAATGTGAAGTTCCGATCATTAGATCAAAAATTATTCAGGGTGGTCTGTTCATTTATTTATTTTTTATTTATTTTTTTTGTACACTGTGCACTGTATATTTGATAATTTACAGCTTTCAAACTCCTCCTAAACAGACATAACATTAACTGAAAATTAGAATATTTTTGCAATATTTGTTTTTGTATGTGTTTAGATGTCAATGAATGTACAGATGAACCCAGTCTGTGTGGTCCATCAGGAACATGCATGAATATGCCAGGTAGTTTCAAATGCCTGTGTCCAAGAGGTTTCAATATTGATCCTTCAGGAAGATTTTGTATTGGTTTGTATACTATTGTCATTAAATTATATAATGAGGTGTTGAAGAATTATGTTCAATAACTTTTGGAAACTAAATATTTCTTTTCCCATTCTAACTTCATGTAATGCCTAATAAAGTAATTTCCAACTTTATGCTCGTAAATAAATAAAAATATAAGCATATCCAGGTGTCTACAATAACTGTAAGCTTTTTAAAAGCTGTTGATAAATTATGTCACTGTCTACTAGAAGTTTCTTTTTTGAAAGGGCTGGGGAAAAAAAACTTTTTTTTTCAAAAATCAGTGTAATCTGGAAATTGCTGAATTTTTTTTCTTTATTCCATACCCACGTCGTAGCTCAACCACTACATTTTTTGACCCCCATGTTTGCCTTGTACAAAACAAAAAATCGAAACTAGTAGTTAGACTTTAAGATTTCGACTTTGTAGAGATTAAGACTTCGTAGCAAAACCACTACAGTTTTTGACCCCCATGTTTGCCTTGCACAGAACAAAAAATAGAAACTTATAGTTAGATTTTAAGATTCATATAAAATCTGATTTTCCTAAATGAAAGAATGCTTATCGCTTTTCAACACTAAGTTTTATAGAAAAGATACAATGTAATTTTCACTCAGGATTGAGTGTAAAATTACAGCGATAAAAATTTATTACTTATATTCCTTAGGTTCTTTACCGACAGTGAGGAAAAAAAAGTATACTTTTAAAATGTCAATTCTGCATTGTGAGCAACAGCTTATCAACTTTAAATCTATATGCTAATTGAAACCTTAAAAAGGCAAACACATTGCACTTATTTCTTTCAAATACAAAAAGTTGATTAGAAACTAATTTATTAATGTGTTTTTATAGATAACGATGAGTGTTTAGATGATAGTCGATGCCAACATGGCTGCGAAAATTTAGCAGGAAGCTATAGATGCGGATGTCCTGATGGCTACCGTCAACACAGTTACTGGAACCACTGTATAGGTAAGTATTTCACTAAATCCAGGAGTGATTGCGACACAACGTGAAAAATCCTGCAAATTTTAGGTGCAAAATATCGATATCAATTTATATTCCAAACGTGTGTTTTTGTATTTGATACAATTTTTTTAAATAAGATTTATAATTAAATTACGAAGAATATCAAGAACCAACGAAGAATATTACATCTTTTTAGTTATTATAATAATAATTTAATAAAAAAATCTTAGTTCCATAAGAATCGCGATATTGGATTTTAAAATCGTGAAAAAGAATAGCGATATTGGAATTTAAAATTGGCATATGAATCACGATATTGAATTTTAAACACTCACAAATATAAATCGCGATGATAGAATATGAATCACGATACTAGATTTTAAACTCGCACAAATACAAATCACGTGAATACGAATCGCAACGTGTAACTTTTATATTATGTAAATACGAAATCAATGTTTGATATTAAAATCACGAATAGAAATAACGATATTGGTATATAAAATGAAGATAATATGAATCGCGATATTGGGTGATAAAATAGAGAGAATATGAATCACGATGTACAATTACTAAATAACTTAAATACGAATCGTAATGTGCAACTTTTATATTAGGTAAAATACGAAATCAATGTTTGTTAATAAAATCACTTGTATGGAAATTGTGATATCAGCAGATTCCAGCCCATTTCCAAATATTCCGAAATGACGAAAAACCGCCAAACTGTCAGAATCACATGTATGTAAACATTTCATACAAGGCATTTAGTGAAAGTTTAAAGATTAAAATTTTCAGTTGCAAAATTCCGTAAAAATTTCGTTGGATTATAAGTTTTTGATAAGCGAAAGTCCAAGAACTAATGGTCTTTAGGAAAGCGGAATTCTGTCATATACCAGAAAAATCATATGTCCTGCTCTTAATTTTTAGACCCGGAAGAATGATACCAAAAACCTGGAATTCCAGGTTCATCTGGAATACAATTGCCCTACAAATCACCAATCCCTATGCATTTTCATATAAAAACTTATTCAGTTTTCTTAGTAAAGGACCATTCTAACTTAGCACAGGCCCTGTAGTTATAATATGAACAACGATGATTTTAATTTCATTAATATATAAAAGAGATAGTTAAAAATTCTAATAAAAACACCTAAACGGAAAAAAAAGGCTTGCAGTGAGGAATATTATCATAAGGAGTAATTAGTCTTTTTGTGAATGTGATCACCTTAATCTCAAAAGAATTTTTTTTATAAAATTCTAGATGATAATGAATGTACATCAGGATCTGCATGTGGCTCAGCATCTTGTGAAAACACGCCTGGAAGTTTCTCCTGCAGTTGCCCGCCTGGATATATTTTTGACGGCACTCACATGGCATGCATTGGTAAATCAGTTCTTAAATTATTTTTTGGTTGAAGATATTGTCACATGATACCTCAACAATGTAAATATGTGCAGAGAGGTGAATGTTTTACACATATAATGCTTTAACAGCGTTACATTAGATTTGTAGTCTTGCCTTAAAAGTTCAATAGGAAGGAGAATTGATTAGATGTATAGTAATGTAAGAAATAGTTAAGTAACATAAAATCAAATGTATTCGACGAGTTAGGATCAAAAAGCTGCCAAAATAGGCCAATTAAAAATTATAAAAATATAGAACAATAACTTTACTTGATTGGCCTTTAAAGCACATTTCTCCAACATCCACACACTTCTTCCAGCGTTCGTTTAACTGTTCAAAACACTTCTGAAATCAGTTTTTTGAGAGGCCCTTCAGTTGCTTTGTCGCATGTTTGATCACCTCATTTGAATCCACAAAACGGTGTCAGAAGATATTTTTTTACAACCAGATAGGTATATTTTATGGTGGAATATTGAAGAGTAAAAGAAAGCAATCGTCTGTTGCCCCTTTTTCACATCGTTTTCTTCTTAATGCATCTTGTAATCGTTTATGAATCACCGGGTAAATTTTTTTTTTGACAGTTTGGCCTTCAGGAATAGATTCGTTGTAACCGATGTCCTCGTAATCGAAAAACCTCCAACATCACTTTCATTCGGTTTATGTTCAAGCGGTAATGTTTTTGCTTTCCATTCACATAACTGATGTTTTGTCTAAAGGGTCGTAAAAAAGGGACCTTGTCTCATCACCTGTCACAATTTTCTTCAAGAAGCTGACATCAGTCTGCCCTATCATTGATATATATATATATATATATANATATATATAATGTTAAACTTGATAATGAAAGAGCTATATTGATCCCTGTTTTACTCAATTAAACCATAGTATTCTATGATTCTATGTAAGAACGAAAGCTTGCACAGTAATGACTAATTGGAATATTACAAATATTCCTCAGAAAACTCGAATAATATTTTAATTCCACCTCCATCAATAATTCTGATAATGGTGTGCAGAGTTACTGAAAATAAGAAATTTTCTTACGGCAATTAGAATCCAGTTATGAATACTACTTTAGAAAATCAATCTTGTTTTAATGTCATGAGAGCAGGAATATCAAAATATTAGTATTTAGGTATAACTCAAACGTTTTAAAAATATTAAATTTATCTGAAAGCTAACAAATGAATTTGTTGACAGAATTAGGTGGCGGCGGAGGTGGATGCTCGAATGCCCCTTGCAGTTTTGGATGCTTACCTACTGGCTCACATGGCTACTCCTGTGGTTGCCCCGACGGATATCAACGAATTGGACAAGGGTGAGATCTACTACTTAAAATTTCATTTTTCATTGTCTATTGGCTCAATTATTTTGCATATTACTAAATTAACAGAAAATTGCTACAAATTATGCACATATTAATGAAAAAAATTGTTCTTACCAGTATTGAACATCAGATTCTAACCAGATGTAGGACCCTCAAGTCTTATAACCTTGTAGATTAAAACCTACCTTAAAAAAAACAAGAAAAACATTAACTGAGTGTAGAAGGTTCCCAAACTTTTTAGTACATAGTACAGACTCCAAATTTCGTTTAAAAAAAATTTAACAATATTGATATTTCCTAATATAGTTAGTGTGAGGCCCACTAAATATACTACTAAAAAATATAGTGACAAATAGATACCAATTTATACATATTTGACAATTATGTTTACATATATATTATATACACCTAAATAATAGCCAGCGCATCTTCCTTAATAGTTATAAGCCATGGAGAGCTTTTGAATGATGCCACATCTCAGAAGTAAATTGTCCCATGAAGCTGGTATTGAACAGTAAGATTTATCTTGACTTAAGCCACCCACAGCCCATGAGTTGAAAATTGCTGATTTAGAGAGAGAAAAATTTAAAACGTCAGCAAAACTAATAAAATGAAATTTATCAAAATAAATGAGTTTGCTCCATCTCCTGAGCAGTGTTGAATTAGGAGTTACAGCATTCACCTTCCAATGAGGTGACCCATGTTCGAATCCCAACAGCGACGAGTTGATACTAATTCTGCTCCTGACTAGCACAGACATGCTGATGTAAAATATCCTCAATGGTAGACATATCCACTTGCCATGAGGCTAACCATGGCAGGTTTTCGTGTTTTCCCTCACCATGTAAAGCAAATGCAAGTTAGTTCCATCCAAAAGTCCTCCATGAAGGCTAGTTCGTTCCAATGCTTAACTCAAATGTTCCCTCGTCTTCTGGATTGGGTTCAAAATTACAGAGTTGAACATTGCTAGTTGTAAATTCAGAATTGGGTCAGCTGTTCAAAGCGGGTTATAAAATTATCGTAGATTATAGTAACATAAGAAAGAACTCCGAAAATATTCAGCATTTGTTTTTAAAATTTTCTTGATGAATATTTCCAGACACTGTGTATCTGCTATCCCCACATCCCCATATGGTGGTGGCTACTACCCACCAGGCCAATTTAACAATGTACTGGACAATAGTATTTCTCAACTTGGAAATCTGCGAGGAGCAGGAGGTGGCGATGGTACCTACACAATACCTGGAGAGAAAGTGATTTCTACTGAAGGATGTTATTCTTGCAAATTAAATAGCAATAACCGACAAAAACGTGATTTAACACGACAGAGGCAACATAATCTGGGTCACATTGGGCGTCACAATCTAAGAAGACTAGACAAGAAAGTACCCAATAGAATAGTAAGTAAATATTCTTTTTTTGAACATTGCATGCATAGTTACAATGCATTAAATATGATGATTACTCACCTTTGAACTTGATTACAGTCAAGATATTGCATAGCTGCCAACCTCTAGTTATAAAAATGCAGAAGATAGACAAAAAAAAATGCAGAAGAAATGCCTAAAAATGCAGAAGATTCGCAGCACATACTAATTACCAATAAATTTATAAAAGAAGCGGATTTTAACTATTTTGATTAATTATTTATTTATAAATCTACTTATTATGAGCAAAAAAAAGCAATACTCATCTTTTTTTAAAACAAAAAAGGAAATATTTTTTAAAAAAACTTTCGACCAGCTACTTGATGGTACAATATTCGATTAAAAATGTAGTTACGGTCTTGCCAAACGCTGTTACAAGAGGAACAGCGACGTCTGACTTAAAGAAAATACTAGCTATCAGGCAGATGGGTAAAATGCAGAAGATCTTATCTTCTGCGCATAAAAGAAGAAAAAATAGCTAAAATAAGTAAAAATGCAGAAAGCTTCTGCAAAATGCAGAAGGGTTGGCAGCTATGATATTGTATAAAGGAAGATTAAAAAGTGCATGTTTTTATTCATATAAGTTTTAATGTTTAAACAACAATAGAATACCCTGAATTTTTGAAATTGTAAATTTCCTACGACTGAATTAACATTTCCGGTACCACATGAATGCTTTTTAAGCACTATATACATTAACAAAATGCAAAATAATTTTCAAAGACTTTACATGATCATGATTAGATAACTAGTATTTAAAAAAGAACTCTTTTCTTGATTATATTAGCCATTAAAAAAATTATCAAGAGATTTTTCGGTTCGATTTCAGAGGGATGAAAATGGAGCTTAAAATTCAGAATATTTTGCAAAGTGAAGCAGAGTTGCACATGAGAGTGCAATAATCTCACAGATCCCAGCTCGCTATATGCAGACTCGTAAGTATTTCGTCAAACCTGTAAAATGATTGGCGCTCTCGCATGCTATGGGCCGATGGTATGCTGAAATAGATTATGGTTAAATGAATTGTGAAAACGTTGAATAGAATAATGTGAAAAACCCACTTTTTCATAATATGTGGCGAAAATTGACATGGTAAAGAAAAAAATCTAATTTTCGAAAAGGGAAAATTAAGCACTTTTTAAAAATGCCCAATAAAAAAAGCACCTTTAAGGGCTTTTAAAAAACGAAAATCAAAAATAAGCCCCTTTAAGCACTTTTTAAAATGGCCATGCACCATGTAATATATTTGTTTGACTGAACATAAAATAAAGGCAGTAAAAATATTCCTTAAAACATACATAATTTAGGTGTTTTAGTGAAGGTTCCTCCTAGAAACTCGTTTGAAATGGAGAAAGTTTGTATTAACCACTTCTATTTTAATTTTAGCAACATGGTCATCATCGCCGTTCTAAGCAAGATTACCATTTTACAAAAGCAGCCAACTCAACAAAAAATAAAATTTGGAAATCTGGTATGCACCTCACAGTGTTGGTGCCAGTAAAGAGCTTTCTTCAAGACATAGATCTCCTTAAAATACAGCCAGCATTTACATATCTAAAAAACAATGAACATTTTAACATTGTTGATGGAAACAGAGAAAATCTATTCCAGATTTCTATGCGGTAAGTGTACCACTTCATTCATTTTACATTGATTGCTTGATTACAGCGTCAAATACAAGGTTGCGTTACAATTTCAATGTTTTTTTGCCTTTGCCCCATTGGTTAAAAGATAAGAACTTTGTCTTTTTTTAAAAAAACTTTGAATAAGTCTTATAACATGTCTAAAAATTTTGCCTTCATTTAAAACTTGGAATTATTTTAATTAGCGAACGAGATATTAATGTAAATTAATTTAGTGAGACTTTTAACTTTTTGACCAAAGGCTCTCATACTTCTTTAAATCACCCTCACCCCGTGTTTTGCCCATCCCACCATCCTCCTTAATTGCGGCTAACTGAACAAGATAAAACAGAAAGAATTTCAGAAAAGCAGCAAACATGTCCCTTTTTAAAAAAAATCAGAAAAGGTTTGTGCAAGCTTTGTAGAGGCAAAAATGATTATGGTCTGTTAGAAAACTTAAAAAGGGTGACGTGAAATCCGGGATATTTTACCAGACCATTATTTTAATTTCTTCACTATGTAAGTAATAAATAAACTTTTCATGTAAATTAAAAGGAACATTTCAGAAAAAATGTATCAATTTTTAGTCAAAAATTTTATATTTAGTAACTTACCTATAAGATGGTAGTTCATTTAGTTATGCCTCGATTCCAAATTCCAGTAACAGAAATCTAATCCGAAAAAATATAAAATATATAAGTAAAATGTTGCATGTATTTATTTTATATTAAATGCATTCTTGATGATGCTCTTTAGGTAGAATAATTTTTTGCAGTAAAACAGGATATTGCAATAAAGTGGATTTTGCAGATGATGATGCACTTAAAATGTCGGTACTTTACACTGTAATTTGATCAGGATTTGTTTTAATATACGAGTATGTGAGCACTTAAATATTATTTTTCACATGCAACATTTTTATTGTAAGAAAAAATAAANTTTTTTTTTTTAAATTTTAATTTTATTTTACTTTGCATGTCTTTTTTCTCTTCATTTTCATGCATTGTCATCTAATTCTGAACTGTGTGTTAAATTTGAAGTTTGTAGCTAGTCGGGAAGTTAGTTTAAAATCGATTACAAAATTCCATCCGGACAGACATACACGAAGGCAAGTTTATATAAACGTGGTAAAAATTAGAGGCTTCCAAGATTCTACTTATATTAACCCACTAATTATATTAATATATAAAAATATATTAACCCATAGAAAATTAACTAATTTCATTTTCTTCATATATTAAATAACCAATGAATGTAGTTTGAATAATTTTTTGCATCATTTTATTCAACTGAGGTATCAAAATTTAAAAGTCTTTTTAAAAAAGTGTTAAAAATTCTTTCACCCTAACAATTTGGTAAATAGGTTCAACAGAACATATTTCAATGAGCGAAATAAAAGAAAGAATATTAATTTATTACTTAATATGGGAAGTGTGTTAATATAATTCCTTGTTGAATAACAGGGAGAAAATAAAATGTTTTTCTTTCTGTCTAGAGGAGAATAATATTTATACATTAATATTTTCTTTATTGATATATTCCATGAAATTTTTTTACAGTGATGGTGTGGCAGTGTTAAGCAATAGAGAAAAAATTCAAGAACCAGGACTTCACATTCTAAAAATCCTAGGCACTGTCGACAGTGCAAATTTTAAATCAAGTACAGAGGAAGAGGAACCTTTCCATCTAACAGTGCATATAGTAATTAAGTAACGACTATAAAAACATTCTCTTTTTCTTGACGGAAATTTATGAAGCTTTAAAAGATGTTGACGAAATAATTTATGTGTGTCTGTGTTCAAACATTAATGCTTATGGGAGAGCTTGAAGAATTAACATGCTTCTTTAAATCATTTTCGAACGAACAAAACAGTATTAAAATTTGTGTTCTTATCATAAATATGTACTTTTAGTGAATATTTAAATCAATAGAAGGATATATAAGTTAAGAGTGCCTTTATTTAAATTAATGTAATATAAATGTGCTGATCTTACACCAAAATTCACACTAGCAGTAAGCTTATTTAAATTCTACAAGTAGCCATATAAATAAGGCTGTTATTAGGCCAATATTCATACATTTTGGCTAATTAAGAGCTGGAGAACATTATTAAAAAATATTTTATAACTATTACATAGCCCATGGAGATTTCTTGAATTCAGTCAATATTTTTTTGGCCACTAATGAGCCCAGATAGAATGGATATGAAATTGACTGAGTCGAACTAGTTTTGCTAATCTTTGTTGGGTTAATGTTTAGGCCTAGGGGTCAAAGATTAAGCTGTTGCTATGGTGGATGAATATGAATAGTGTGCCAAGCATTTGCACTACTACTTGCTTGCTCTTCTGTGCATTTATATTCTGCAAGTTTATGTCTGTGTGCTCTCTTTCATGCGAAATAGATACACAAAAAGAAAAGTTCTGCACAAAATTGCCAACAAATGCTTAATGCTCAAGTAATTCATAATATATTTATGCACCTGCTTTGGTTTTTGTTCCTTCTTTTAGATAAAGGCACTCTTTTATTTTAAGCTAATTAAATTTATTGTTCTCTAACAGTAAAATATTAAGTACTTTTCCTTTATTAAGGACATGATAGTATAAAGTCCTCAACAACAAAAAAAGTAAAATGATGATAAAATTGAAATGAAATTTTGGCAAAAATTCTTGACCACCAATCAGAGGAAATTGGTGCTGGCCGGTTGGCAATCGCACAAAGCTTATACTAGAAAAAGTAGTCTTTATAAAGGAGTAGTACTATATTTATCGAATTAAAAAAAAAAGACTAAAATTTTGAGAACAGATATCATTTTTTTATGTTTTACTCTATGTGGTTAAATATCTCAATTTTATACATTAATTTAAATAGTATAGATTACTAGAGTGCCAAATGAAGAATTAAAAAAAAATCTTCCAATCTTGAAAACTGTGATATAAACAAGTTTTTTCTTAGTGTAAACTTTAGTCTCTATTTTTGTTGATATCTGCTGGTGTTTAAGTTTATGGTGTATTTTCTAAATTTTTAAAAAAATGAAAAGCTTGTTAAGAAATTTTTAAAAAAAATAGAATTATGTTCACACTTTTGGGTGATGTTATAATTTGAATTAGAGATTGTGAACATTTCTGACTATAGTTGCATTAATAGCAATAATATTGTCATTCTGTTGTATCACTTTACGTCATCATATCATCATTTTTGTAAGCTTTTCCATGTGAAAGAAATGTACAGTATCTGTAAAAATTATAATTTTTACAAATAAAGTTATTTATGTACATTGTAAAATGTTTTAATTTACATGAAACGCAAATAAATTAAGCAATACAAAGAAGCATGCATAGCTAATCAATGGCGAAAAAAATAATATTAATTACAAAGATATTAGTAATCTGCACAAATATTTTATAGCTAATGACAGATTTATGATAACACATTCTGGCAAACACTTGATTTTAGAGTTATTTAGACTAGTGGTCCTCAACCTCTGGGCCAGTACCGGTTCGTGGATCAAATGGTACTGGGCCAGACAAAGAACATTAAATTACTTCCATTTTATTTATAGTGGTGTATTTCTCTCAAGTTTGTACGACTTTTCATGGACAAGAGTTTGACCGGAAGCTAAAAGATGTTACTTAAAGTTACACATGTATTGTATTTTACTTTGAAGGCATGTTTAAATACAATTTAATTAAAATTATTCAACAAAAGCATTCCATGTTCCTCAATTCAGCAGGCTGCGGTAAAATTATCAAACGTTTATTGGTCGCGATGATAAAAAAAGGTTGGAGAGCACTGGTTAGCCTATCTTTCAATCCAATTTACTCATAGGATTGGAAAAATATTTTATTGTTTTCTTCTGAACATGTAAGATTATTAATTTGAACTATTGGCATGATTTTTACACACACAAAATTGTGGCACATAAATAGTTTTTTGTCCAGTTTGTTTCTGATTATTCACATACTTTCCACAATGAAAAATATTTTGACCTTAAACCTAATTAAACATAAATAAAATTTATATTAATTCTAATACAAATATGAATCAAAGGATCAGGGGTTGAGGAACAATGGTGTTGTCAATACACAATCAGAAATAGTACCGTTAAAAAGCATTATAGGAACCTGTTGAATTTTCGTAGCATATTAAAAATTTAACAGTGATTGAATATACAAATGTATATAATATATACAATAGAAATACCAATGTAGTTAAGATTTTTTCAACTCATTTTTTCCAACTCAATGCCATGAAAAAGAAAGGCTCACTAACTTTCTTTAATAATTATTCTTAAAAACTTTTTCGCACTCTATTCTAATACTACAAACAATACAAATTAAATTATGCAAAATATAAGTTTATCTGGTGAATTTATTTTTTATTATGAATTTTGAGAACTAAATAAATAAAGGTTAAGGAAAGTAAACAACTTACCTTATTTATCTCATTCCTCTACTTTAAAGCTAGTAAACATTCTTTTCATTCTTCACAAAATTCATTCACCTTCGCAAATGCTCATGCCAAAATTTAATACGCAAGATCAGCGCTATAATATTTTCAATTTGGGGATCAATTTAATACATTAACTTCATGTCTACCATTACAGAACTCTGTAATAACCAAACAGCAGAGTCAGGAAAATGTAGTTTAAAAAAAGAAAAAAAAATCACACTTACTCTATTCTAATAATTACAAACAATGCTGAGTTAATTAATTTTTAAAGAAATTAAGTAACTGTAAACTATACTAACAGTTTAATAAACAAAAAGTTGTAGAAAGTAAACAACTTACCTCATTTATCTCTTCCTAGACCTTCAAGCTGGTGAATTTATTCTTTGCTTGCTTTGTAAAATTTATTCACCATTTATAAATACTCAAACCATAATTTAACAGCAAAAATTAGTATTTTCAATAACTGTAGTAAATTTACATTATGAGCAATATTTCGAAACTCTTCAGTGATTACCTCCCTAGCAGCCACACCTATCCCTAAAGATGTTTTTTTTTCTTCCAAATCTAAGTAAGAAATAATTAAAAGCATAGCTGCCAAAATGATAGGGAAAAATCCAGTAGATTTTACGAAACATAAATTTCTTGATACTCGTTATAAAATGTGCGAAATATTTTACACATAGGAAATTTTATTTATTTTTAGTCATCAAAATAAAAAACTGAAATATTTTCTAATTATGATTTACATTAAATGAACTTGAAATGTTATGTATTATGTTTATTTATAATTNATATATATATATACTCTTCATTTTAAATAGTAATAGGTATTTAAGTCATCAAAGATAGTTAACTGATTTTTATAAATAAGGCTTGTTTCTTTATGCATTAGTAAAACTTATTTAAATATTAAAGCAATAATCTGCACAAAAATTTGATTTCAATAAGGAATTTTTAAGGGAACTTTCTCAATTTTAGAGAATTTTCTACAATGTACAAAACCCAGGAGAATTTTTATTAAACGAGTAGACCAGGAGAAACTGAAAAAATTCAGTAGTCTACTGGGAAATCAAGTAGAGTTGCAGCTATGTTAAAAATAAAATCATCTTTGAATAATGAAAATAAAATTACTAAACCCATTTTATTAATAATTATTAACTAATTTTATTAATAATTATTTACTGGTCAAATTCTGGCATGTTGGAACCCGAGTTTCCCCCAAAACACTTTCATTCCTTCTATATTATGTTGATGACAATGATTGAAAATGCTTTCAATTTTCTGAATTTAAGAGACTTTCTGTTTGTAGTTTTTTTTCTTTTCAAGAAATGACAAAGGAAAAATATTATGAGTTATTTTAGTGTTTTTTATTAAGTTTAAAGAACAAATTCCTATTAAAATATAAAAAAATCCATAATGCATAACTTTTCCTTTAAGAATTGTGAAGCTAAGTAGGAAGTACATGTAAGAAATTGAGACTTAATAAACTTAAGAAAGCCAGTTTCAATGTATAACACTACAAAGTTTATAAATCATATATTTTTTTCTTTGCAAACCTTTCTAGTTACAAACTTGACAGACTTAATTATTTCTCTATACTTACATAGACTTAAACTCAGGAATTTCATAATAATAACGTAGATGGCAAATAGCTGTTCACTTAAAAATAGCCCTTACATAACAATATTTTTCCTTTAAAAATTGAAGACCTCAGTGGATTAACATAAAAATAGATAAGGTTAAAAACATTTAAGAAATTACCTTTAAATATAAAACAAAAAAAACCAACAAATCATATTTTTTCCTTTACAAATACTTATAGCTCACTTGGCAAAAATAAGTAATTGCAAACATCTTCAGCAAAACTTATCAATTTTAAAATTTATTCAAAATACTTAAACTTAGACAAGTAAGAAAATATAATACTAGAAAAGGGACCCAATCTAACAAAAATACTGACGCGAGTATATTTTAAGATAACAATGAGTTTTTAAACAAGTATTTTTATGAAAAACAAAACTGTTTATTGAAAAAAAGAAAAAATTTTAGTATGTAAGAATTAGTCAGTTAGTATACAGTTATGACTAGTAAGTTTATGTAAATATTACAAAGAAAAGAACAAATTAATAAAAAAATATATTTATTCAATCGTACTTTACAACCCTAGAAAATGTATTTAAAAAGTAGACCATAGCAATAAAAAATTTAATTTCAACACATTGAAGTAAAAAATTACAACAAGAACACATATTTACAGAATAGGAAAATTTTGAAAACAATTACAAATATATTTATAAATAGCCTTTAAAAAAATAATGCTTAATTCAAATTATTACTTTAATAGTAACTGAGAGAAAAATAATAATTTTTGAAATAAAGTTGAACAAAAAAGAAGATAATAATCATTATTATTGTTAAATGATATTCAAAAACAAAATCTGAAATACGCATGAGAATATTTGATGAGAAGGAAGAAGCTAAGAAATATTTACATTTAAATATAGAAAAAAAAACATATTTTTAATAATTGAGGTGAACATAAAATTAAACAAAATATTTACGAAGCTCCATGTTTTATCAATATATTACTCTGAAGCACTTTTATGGTTATTCAACTCAATAAAATTAAATTGGAATCTTAAACCTGAGTTTCCACTCAACTTTTGAAACTAAAATTAGGAACTTTCTAAGACTTAAAAGTATTATAAAAGTAGTATTTCACATTTAAAGTATCAAATACAACTAAGTCACTTTAAAACATGACTTTCAACCAAATGAACTGTTTTTACAGTTTGACTCAATTCATAAAAACACTAAGTAAAATATTTAATGTTTAGGTCTATTTTTTTTAAAACTATACAACCATTCCATTTTTCATTTAATAACTACACTAATGTTTCCTCAAATCTAGTTTTATCACGGATTTGGAGATAAAAAGAAATTAGATGATCGAGAAATAAAATTCCACTGTACAAAAGAAAGAATTTTATTTTCAAATAAAAATAAGCACTTTCCAAATTCCGTGGTGTAAGCAAAATATGTAAAAAGTAAACATAAGAAACATATTGGTTTGTTAATCATAACAAATAAAATACAAGAGCTAAGTAAAAAAAAAAGAAGAGAATTATTGTAATAAACATCTTTTGAAAATTTTATCAAAGATATACTCTTCTTTGTTGCTGAATATCAATATAGTATAAAGTTTGCGTGCAAAGTAAAACAACCTTGCATGTATGATAAGACAAAGATAATATATCTTATATAATGTAAAGGAATATTCATACATTTTTATATTTATTGAAAAAAATGGCACTCTGTTAATCAATTACAATTATATACAAATAACAAAATAATGTCAACTTTACAATAACAATATACTAAAACAAATCATTCACTATCAACATTAACTTGCTTAATTTTATTATAAAAGCATTTTATGTAACAAACTATTTTAATTTACTAATTTGATAAAAAATTAAGTATTGATAAAGCTTTACTCTAATTAAATGCATTTAATTTAATGGCAAGGTCAAAACTAGAAAAAGTACTGTATAAAATAAAAATTAGTTAAATTATGCATCTTTTAAAATGCATTTGATGACATACACTATTTCACAAAAGATATAATTGTTATTAAAACTGGCATTAACTAATTTCCATCTGAAAAAAAAATTTTAGACTTCCAGAAATTTCGTTTTACAAAAAATTATTTTAAAGGATGTACTTTTAAAAAACCTTGCTCCTTGAAATATTAGTAAGAAAAAAAATTGCAGTCTATAAGATTCATTGTTTTCTGTCTTTCATCAAACATCTTACATCACAGTTTTCTGATTTTGTTATGATTTGTGTTGTGAATCGTCATAGAAACAGCCAACACCTATATTTTGCAATTCAATTGAATTTGTATTTAAAAATAATAATTTCCATTAAATTTGTATCTTTTTTTATACAGAAAACTTGCATAAAGAAAAATAAATTTTAGAAAAATTATCTGAATCTTTTCAGAAGGTTTAAGAAAAGGCATGCACATGAAAACTGGGAAAAAAAGTGTTCTATAATCACACATAAACACATTATATGACAGTGGATGTAGCAATTCATTTGTAATTGCAAGTGCATGCCAAACATTGACAAAAAGAATTAAAAAATACTGCCATTTTTATGAAGTTGTATGATTAAATATAATTGGGCAAAAGTAGTGGTATTGAGTTTTTTCTGATATAGATGATTTTAGTTCACAAATAAAATCTAAATGTTTATTATAAACAGAATTTACAAAACCAAAATAATCTCAACTAACCATATTTAAAACATAAAACGTTGTAAAGAATTTTACAGCTTTCAATTCACTTTAATTTTTTTTCTTCCTAAAATACAATGATTAGGTCAAACTCAAATTGCTTATAAATTATTTTTAAAATGTATTAGTAAAAGCTATTTTGAAATATCAAGTAAAGTTATTAATTCTATGACTTAGATCTCTAACCATAACAAATGATACATATTTTTATTTCAAGGGTACAAAAAATAATATGTGAAAACATTCAAACAAAAGTTATCACAAAATAATAATTAGCTAATAATAACAGCATATAGATAATTTTATTATCTATATGCCATGCAGTTATGATGCTATTGCATATATATGGTAGTCATGATGCTATTGCATACAGATGGATTCAGATGTCATAAAATGATTCATAATCATTTTTAATATCATTTATTTAAAACAAGTATAGATGAAATCAAATATTTCTAGGATAATCAAATTCCTAGGGTAGGCAAGAGAGTTTCTAGGGTTGGTCAAGAAGATCAAATTTTTAAGGTGATGAAAGCACAAAATGGCCCCTACCTTAATGATAAAACCCTAAAATTATTTTTCAAGACAGATGTAAAGAAAAAAAAAAGGCAAGATGCGACCTCAGCGTAGAAACAAGCAACCAATGAGATCAGTTATCAGTATTTTTCAAAGCTCCTACAGAAACGAATCTGTATTTTTGAACTATATATACCATCTTTCCATAAAGTAAAGAATTGCCAGGGCTATAGAATAGACCAGTGTTTCCCAAAGTGTGATATGTGTACCCCCAGGGGTATGGGAACAGTTTAGCGGGGGTAAGCATTCTTAAGGGAAATATCTTGCAACAAATGAAACAATTTCAAAAAAATTTTATTTAAAAACAAAGCTAGCTATGAAAATTTACGATTACATATTTTTCTTTTGGCAATTTTTTGCACAGTTAACAGCTAATAATTAGTGGGTGATGTCAACAGATAGTTGTGATTTTTAACTTTTGTGCAATTTCTTTATAGTAAAGGTTTGTAATAAATTCTACCTATTTTGATTATTTTAATAAAATATAATATTTAACCCTAACATGGAATACGGATCACTGGTTAGTATCTACAAAACCTTGTACTAAGAAAGAAAAATGTTTTTAAAAGAATACATTAATTTTTTTATTAGTGGTACACAGCATTACGAAAAATTTAGAAAGGGTACACAAAAGTTATAAGTTTGGGAAACACTGGAATAGACTAATAAGTTANTATTTTAATAAAATATAATATTTAACCCTAACATAGAATACGGATCACTGGTTAGTATCTACAAAACCTTGTACCAAAAAAGAAAAATGTTTTTAAAAGAATACATTCATTTTTTTATTAGTGGTACACAGCGTTACGAAAAATTTAGAAAGGGTACACAAAAGTCATAAGTTTGGGAAACACTGGAATAGACTAATAAGTTAAATATTTAAAAAGTTATTAAATAATTTTAAAAATTGTCTGTTTGGTGAGATTTTTCCAACTACATGAAAAGTATCAAAACTGTGAATAATTCTCATTTTTTCCAAATTTTTATTAGCCCAGATAAGAGTAACTTTTTAAAATTGGACCAAAAATTTTGTTTTTACTTTTTACTATAAAAAATTAATTTAAACTTCTAGATACGTAGTAATATTAAATGCTTAATGTGAGTTTTAGGCAGCTTATTCAAACAATTTTCAAATGCCAACCTAAAATAGCTCATCCGTAAAGTTACATCATTAAATATTTTTTTAAAAATTCAAAGATAACCTATCTTGTCTTTGTTTCATTATTGATAATGCTATGCAATTAATAAATTTTTCAAAAAAAATTATATAATTAGAAATACTTAAGAAACTGGTAATATAAAATTAACTTTAAATTATGATACATAGTTAATCAATAAACTTTGAACAAATAACACATAAATATTAAATCATATAACATTCACTTAATTTTTTAAAAAGAATATTTATTTAAGAACTTATAATTTATATATTTTAAAACATAAAAGATAACTATTTCAATGTTNTTACAAAAAAGGTGAAAATATTAGTGTGTATAACCAGACATATCAGTTATAAATAATTGAAATAATAAACAAAAAGTAAACTTATAAAAAAAAAGAACACATTTAAAAAATCCCAATAACTGCAACAAAAAAAATTTAAAGTTTAAAGATTAAAATATAGTAATATTAAAAAAGTGTTATAACAGTGACATAAATTCTTTTACACTGTACTCATTCACCATACTTAACTTTTGTGTGCTACATAAATATTCATAACACAATTATTATTATTTACACATCTAAAAAAAAAAAATTTTTAATATTATATTGCCACAATTAGAACATGGAATCTACATAAATAATAGCATAACTATCAAAAATTAGTGGCATCAGTTAATTTTTGAAGCAGTAACATATCCTAACCACCACAACAAAGATAATTTTTGACAAAAAAAATTTCATATGTTTCTTTTTTTATGAGTTTAAAAAATATATATAAAATAAAGAATATAAAAAGTTGGCTGAGGTCTGCATGTTTTACGACTTTTTGCTCTCGCCCAGCTAAATAAAAAGTACATAAATAATGTATGATACATAATATATATATATTTAAACCAGACAATTCTTCAACAAATTTTGTTTTTTATAAAGTTCAAATAAATAGTTTTTAATAGTTAAAACTAAATAATATTCAATAGCCAGAAAATCTAACATTAATAATCATCATATAAAGCTGTCTGCAAACAATTTCCATTATTTAACAAATACACTAAAAGGCTGAATGATTCAATCATTATGTTTGACAATGACAGGGGTCTGTCTAGGTTTTTCAGAGAGGTACCTATTTTGTGAAAATTTAGACATAATTTGTGAAAAATTAAAAATTATATTAAAAAATCAACAGAAAAATATGGATTTATTGTTTGTTAAGGGATACAAAAATAAAATTTCAAGAAAAAGTATTTTGTGAAACTACCGTTTTTCCTAAAGTTGAATTTGTGAAGGTACCGCTAAACGGTAGTAAATTCGGCCTGGACAGACCCCTGAATGAGAATATAAAACCTAATTATAACTAGTTTAATCATACAGCAGGCACACACTTTTAACCAACATGGAAGATTGCACCTATTGTCTGGATATGCTATTGTAAAATGAGAATTAAGAGAGTAAGATAACACTGAAATTAGTTTAAAGCTACTAATTACAATTCATTTGAACATTTTTTACTTAAACAGTAAATTATATAAAAATAAATCACAATAACAATAGATAACAACTGAAGATTTACTGAAATTATTTCAAAATAAAATTGACAAAATTGCTGATATTTTGACTGAATTATAAAAATTTGTAATATTAAAGAGCAAAAAATAATATAGAAATAAAAAAATAATTTAAATTTAGACTATTAGATTAGATTTCTTTTATATGATATAAAAAATCTGATTTTAAATATATAAAGAAAAAATCATGATTTTATTAACTCTGCCAGAAACTTAAGACTTTACTTTAAACAATGACTAAATATGAATAAAAGATAGGCAGAGGAATACCAAACATGTGTTTTCACAGCGGTGCAAGGATAAAAAATATTAAACGAAATTCATAATTAGATCTTTCATCAAGGTTAGCAAGCTGGAAGATTATTAAGTAAACCCAAAGATTGAATATATAGAGGGATAAAAAGTTCATAAAGTTTAAATGCTAAAAAAGACCAAGTTTGAATTTAAATTAATCACAATCAAAAATATATTATTTTTAACTAAACGAAAATTATCTTTAGCCTTACAAGAAATTTGTAAATAAAACTTAAGTCTTCATTAGTTTAAAAATAAAAATGTATATAATAAATACATTATTTTTAAATGAATAAAAACCAAGATTAGGAGTAAAAAATCACTAAATTCTTCAAAACCAATAAATTTTCTAACTCAAATCAAATAAAAAGTTAACACTACAAACAATGTTATAATTATTGTTAAGATGATTGCATTAAAAAAACATAAATAATTCTTATTTATGAAATATTAAGTTTACAGTTATTAACCTAAAATATATGAATAACTCTTATTTAGTAAATATTAAATTATTAATTACATATTAGAAGTTAATTAATGCAAGTAGTATAAATATTAATAAAACAAATGTCAGAGTATAAAAGGCAGAATAGTTTGTTCAAAAAGTTCTTGATCAAATTTATTTTTGTCCTAATTAGGCACCATCATATATATTAAATATATAAGAGAAATTATACAATGATAATTTATGTATAAAAATATACTCCATAAACTAAGTAATAATAAATGTTACATAATGATTTGTGGTTCAGAAACAGATTCTGAAATGGCTTTGTGAGGAAGTACTTTACCCCCATTCACGAATAATTCATCTTTTACAATTACATCTTCACCTAAAACTGTTGTATTTTCCATTCGTACCTATGATAGCAAAACATGTTTGTTAGAAAAATTTAACAAATTTCATTAAATTACACACAATTATAAACATTGTTTTGAATAATGAGTAGCGATTTTGAGTAGTAAGTTAACTCCACATGGAATTGTATTTCAAATTTAATTTTGTATTTAGTCCTGCAAAATGAATTTTTCAAGCATAAAAGACATAGAACATTTTGTGCAAAATAAAATTTTATGGAGCTGGTTGAAGAAGCTAAATTGATTTGAGAAACTATCATATTCTTGAAACTGACTAACATTAAGTTTTTTAAGATTTTTAATAAATATAATAATAATAAATTGATAATTTTTTAGAAATTGCAAAACATTTTTGAAAATATTTCACATCAGTATATTAGGTATAGAATTAATAATAATTTCCAGTATTACATTCAGAAAATAGTTTTATTCCAATTGAATTGCACTTTTTTGTATTGGAAAGAAGTTAATATAATAGTTGCAATGAAATGAATGAAAGATTCATTAAAACAAGGTTCCTGCTATGCCATATAATAAGTTTTAAAAAAGATCAAAATACATACATACTTACAACTATAATGAGAAAAAAGAATAAAAATAATTTTCAAATATTATAAGACTAAAAATAATGCAAGAGCAAAACAATAAAAATTAAAAAAGTATAATGTTCTAATTTTGTTAACATTTTTTACAGCTTTGGTTTTAGTTGGCTCAAGACTACTAATTAAAAGGCTTTGTTACAGAACAATGAAGATGAATCAAAATTGCAATATTGAGAAATAAAAAATAATCATTAAAAGCATTTTTGACTTGTGAGCCACTTGGAAAGATTCTGCATACCAATTGTGGCACATTTTTCATTCTCTCCCTCATATAAAGTAGCAGTAAACAACATGACTTATTTCCTAATAAATTAAAAACGGATAAAATTTAATAAACATAAAATGAAAACTTACCCATTTCCCAACAACACTTTTCCATCCAATAATGCAAGACTCTAACCATGCATGAGACTTAATATGGCAACCTTTTAGCAATGTGCATCTTTTAACGCATACACCATCATCAATTACTACCCCTGGACCTATTACAACGTTAGGACCTATGCGACAATCTTTCCCAATTTTTGCTGTAGGATCCTGAAAAAAAGAGAAATTAATGTATTTTCAATCAAGAATTAAAAAAATATATGTAAATAAAGAAAGAATTTTTTTGTATTTATATAATGTGAAAGAAAAGCATGCATTTAACATAAAATGTATTCAACATAAAAATTGTTTTTCAAAAGGAACTGTCATTATGATGGTAAAACTGTGTCAGTGAAAACATAAGATACCTATATTTGCACAGTTTCATTAATATTGCAATACATTAAGTTGTTCAAAAAGTAGTTTTAGTGTTTTTTAACAGTTGACTTCACTATCAAGCCTTATAGTCATTAGACATTTTGACAGCTGATATGGTAAGGGTTGCTTATAAAAATAATTTATAGATTCTATGCAAAAGTGTTTGGTTGGTTCCCTTTCAAATAAGAAAAGTTGAAGCAGCAGTTTCAGCACATTTTACTTTCTTACTATCAGAAAGATAAAAATGTAGTTTTCAAACAAGAAAAAAAATTACCCAATGTGTATGGAAAAGATGTATCGACAGTACGCCAGTGCCAAAACTGGTTGGAAAAATGTGAAACGGAGAATTCTGATGTTTAAGATGTGTCATATTCTGAAAGGCCAGTTGAAGCTGATGAAGACACAATATAGGCAATAACTGATGCAAACCAACGAATATGGATTCGTAAGATTGCTGTGAGATTAAACTTATCAAACTTTCAATGATGATTTGAAACGCCTAGATTTAATCTCAAAGCTTGACATATGGGTTACTCATAATCTAACGCAAGGAAATTTGTGCTGATGCATTGATATTTTTTTTTAATTTTCAAATATCAAAAAAATAATAATAATAATCCAGTTGAGTGCATCATAATTGGGGACGAGAAATGAGTTTTCTACAATAATTGCTCCAGTCTATAAAAAAAAATTGTTTTGAAGGTAAAACCTCTCATTTAAATATGGAGGCCGAAAATCACCTGAATCAGTTTATGGACCAAGAAGAACAAAAATTTTATGATCATGGAATCATGCTACTGCCAGAAAGTTGACAAAAAATTATTGAACCAGAAAGAACAACTTATATAATTCAATAAAATATTTATTCACAATAAGAAAATAGTCTTTCCTTTTCATTAAAAAAATATATATATTGTTTTCCGAACAACCAAAAAATACACTGTTAACGCAAGTTATTACAATTATGTGAAGAAAGCACTAGAATAATAAGCATTTTTAACAAAACAAAGCACATTAGAAAAACAGAATCCCATAAACTACTTACCAAGAGAACATTTCCACATATTTCTGCATTTTTCATAAGCTTTTCAGGTTCAGTTTTTCTCATATGTTGAAGATAATAGCACATGCCAGTTAAAAAGTCTTTAGGTTGTCCAATATCCATCCAGAATCCTTCCAACTCAAAAGCGTACAACTGATTGGCTTCAACCATTTCAGGAAAAATTTCTTTCTCAATAGAAGTGGGTCTAACCTAATAAGAAAAAATATTATAAATAGCTTGTGTTTATTGGCAACTGATATTGTTGTCATTACTAATTGACATAGTTTTGCAATAAAATTATTCTATGGCCTTCATGGCCCACATAAGAAAAAAGTTGAAAACTCGCTTTAATTTAAATTTAGTAAAAATAACTCTTCATTATAGTCCATATGACATTGGGAATATGAAATACACATCTTCTTTCGCTATAAAAATATTAAAAATACTTAAATTTAAATAAAAAAAATTCTATACCTTGTAAATATTTATAAATTACAAACAATTACTTAATGGGTTCATTGATCATCAATAATTGACATAACTAAATTCATTGCAGCCCTTAAATGCTTAATTATTTTTTCTTGCTGCCCTCCTCAAAAGAAGAGGTAATGCTCAAAAGAGTTTTTTATTCCAAAGCTATTATTGTAAGAATATTTGAATATTTTAAGAAAGAAAAGAAAAAAGATTAAAAAAATACTTACTTGAATTCTATTCAGAACTGACTGATTAAGGATGTACAATCCAGCATTAATCTTATTTGAGACAAACTCTTGAGGTTTTTCTACAAACCTATCTACTTTACCATTTGCTTCATAAACCACTACACCATATTTAGAGGGCTCATCTACTCGAGTTACCTAAATCAAAACATTCGTGCATTGTCATTAGAATCATGCAAAACATTCATGTATTGCAATTAGTATCAAGTAAAACATTCATGTGTTGCAATTAGTATCAAGTGAAACATTTATGAGTTTCAATTAGTATCATGTAAAACGCTTATGTGTTGCAATTAATAGCATGTTAAGCATTCGTGTGTTGTAACCAGTATCATGTAAAAAAAAATTTTAAGGTATGTATGAAAAATCACAATTTAAAATACAAATATTCAATGTAACAGTGATATCTGTTCTCTTCTATACAGTAGAAAAACTTGAGAGCTAACAAAGCAGCAGAAAAACCAAATAGATCCCTATAAAACACGTAAGAAAAATATAAAAAATCTACTGCTTGAACAAAATAAACAACATGGTTCTATACTGTACAAGACATTAGGCAATAGATATAAAAACAGAGACGGTGGAACTGGATTAGCCATACAATAAAAAAGATGCCAAAGAGAATCGCACTGATCTGATCACCAGATAGAAAAAGGAAGAGGTAAGCCGAGATTAACATGGCAGAGTATGGTGGCCAATGAGAGAAACTAATTTAAGTAGCCATGTTGTAATGTTGCCAGAGAACACACTGGACAGGCAAAAATGGAGGCCAGAGATTGCGGCACTATCATTTTCACACAAAGGGAAGCATTAGGTAGATTTTCAAGAGTTAAGATAGTTTCGTCCCCAATGTTAATCATTTTTGTAGTTTGGAGCAAAATGTCCCAAGAATGTATGAAATATGGGGTTTTGTTGCTAAATATTGAAAGGAGCACTTTGTTGCAATTGTATCATCTCTGCATCATACGTGAAAATATTATCTAAAATTTTATTATAAACTACCAAATGTGCATCTTAAAACATTCGATTTCATTCTAATGTTAAGCATGAAAGAGAGCATTTTTTTCTTATGATTATAAATATTTCATTTTTTATAATCTTACTTGTACGCAATTAAATTTAAAGCAAATTCTAAAAATCATATTAGATGGGGAAAAAATACAATTTTTAAATATTTAATTAAATTGGGAAATACTTAAGAACTTCTATGTAGGTTAGGGATGCACAGCCTGCAACCAGTGGGATGCAGGCTGTGACATAAATACATAATGTGTGTACATAATGTATAAATACATAATGTATAAATACATAATGTAATGTGTGTACATAAATAATCTAAAATATCAAAAAATAAGTTTAGGTAAACCCAGAGTAAACCATAAAGTATCAAATTATGAAAAAAAAAATTCAAAAAAATGTAAAATACAAACAAATTATGGCAATATTATACAGTGGAAAAGTAATCTTGCAATAATTTGCTTGCATTTTGATGTTTGGAAAATATTTTTCCACCACTTTAAACTTAATGGTTAATCTAGATTTACAGGAAACTTTTTTCTAAACTTTTAAACAACAATGGAGGCGAAGTAGGATTAGCCATGAAAAGTTTCTCCCAGGAAAGTTTCTTCCCCAAAAGTTTCTTTCTGTTCTATGGCAGAATTTTTTCAGGCTTTCTGCAACAAACTTCTCTAGCACTAATATATTTCTGCAAGATACTTTTATAATAACAATTACTAATTTAAAGTAACAGAATTATTGTGTTTTACTAAAGAAAAAAAAATCTACTCATGTAATACAAAACTGTATATAATTTTTTTAACTGCAAATGTAATATTTTTTTAGTTTTAATATTATGGGCGACTAAAAAATAAAATGGGCAATTTAAATTTTGCAAGCAATAAAATTACATAAGAAACATCAGAATTATTATTTTTTTTAAATGTGAAAATTCAGAGCAATAACAGTTGAAACTGAGTGATTCAAACCTTGTGCACTGTAATAATATTGGTATTTTTAAAAAAGTCACGAGAATGTGAGTAATATCAACAGTAGTAACTGAGACATCTGGATTCGAAAAAATCAAGTTGGTGCGAGTTGGAAGTGATTAAGTAAAATTTGTATTGTCAAATTACTGTGTGATTTAAAATTTTCATGTGCATAATATCATATTAAAAATATTGAACTGATTTAATTCCGATCAAATTTATCAACAAATGTACCGCAACATTAAATTAATTATTTTGCTACAAATCTGAATTTGTAACAAAATCCCCACTCACAGTCATGTTTTATTAAAATATAAAATATGGTGTTCTTTAAAAAAAAAAAATTACAGAAAGAACATAATTTCTAGAGCAAACTACCTTTTAAAATTTTGTGATTTAAGAATTTTTTTATATTATCATTTTGAAATTCTTGCTGAAGTCGATTTTTTTTTTATTTTCAAATGAGAATAGAAAATTCTCAAGCATTTCTTTCTCCCATGATGCTCAAGAAAGGTATCTTTGTAGTATAATTCTGCAGAAAAAAAAACCTTTCTCAAAAAATACAACAGAAGAGAAAACCAAAATTGTTCACTTTCCAAACGAAAATTCTTTCTGCAAGAACACCGTAACGCCCTGTGACAATGTCGCCGTGATTCTGCCACAGGGTATAGTGTCTTCTTAGGAACATCAGCAATCTTATATACCAAAAAAAGTCGATCATATATTACAAAAACGAGATTACAAAACTGGGAATATACAGTAATAAATATAAGTTACTTCACAATTACAATGTAATTACAATTTATTAACACTTTACCACAATAGTTCCTTCTTGTCCATGAGCTTTATGGAATGTTATCATCTCTTTGAAAGGGAAATTGCATACAATGTCACTGTTAAGAACAAAGAAAGGCTCCGATCCAGATAAAAGATGTTTTGCTAAAGCTAAAGGACCAGCTGTCCCCAGAGGCTCTTCTTCTTGGGATATACTTATTTGAATGCCTAACTAAGAAATTAAAAAATTAAAATATTAAAAAAAATAAAATAACATATTAAAAATTATAACAATGTATTGCATAATTGTGAGAATGCTATTTTATATCTGTAATAACTTATAGTGAAATTTTAATAATGTATATATGCATTAAAAATGCATAAATGTAAAATTTTATGGATGTTTTTAAAAGTAATGACTCGTTTGGGGCAAATAAAACATTTAATTTATGAATTTTTTAACATTTAATTTATCATGGTGAGCGTGTTTGTGTGCGGTAGAGCAACTACTGATATGTCTTGCCAAACCGGAGAGATCAGTGGGGAGACACCAGACTAAGAATAACACCCTGGTGCCTCCACACTAGGGGTTGGGAAGCCTACTAGATAGGATTCTACTTGATACAGAAGTCAAAATCATGCAGAGCCATCTCTCTGAAGTATGAAAGTCCCCTACCAAATTTGTCCTCTCTCGTTAGTATGAATTAGGTTAGGTTATGAAAGCCAGGAGGATAAAGGTGACTGGTAAAATCTTCTCAGAAAACAAGACTATCAAAATCAGAATGTAAGAGCATTGTACGAAATGAAAACTTTTCCGAGTCAAAGCTGAAATTGAAATATATAAAACTGACATTTTTGGCATCAGTGAAACTAGGTGGAACACAAGCGGAGAAACTCGACTTAGAGATGGAAAATCTATAATGTTCTCTGGAAATGTAAATGAAGATGGGGCTCACTGTGAAAAGTGGTGTGAGTGAAAAACGCCCTTTTCACTCTATAAAGCAACAGGAAAGTCTTTGATGGAATGGGGTGCAGTGTTCGAAAGAATAATTCGAGCTAGATTCTAAAGAAAGCAGGAAAATATTTTAACTATTAATGCTACTTATTGATGTTAGTGATGAAGGGAAACAAATATTCTACAGTGATATACATGATACTAAATATAGTATTAATCCAAAAGACATACTGATGGTCATTAATCACTTTCATGCTAAAGTTAAATCAAAGAACTAAAGAATTGAACATATAATGAAGGCACGGACTTGGAACGATGAATGAAAATGGGAAGCTTTTTATTGATCTTTGTCTTACTAGAAATTTATGTTTTGGAGGAATAATGCTTCACCATAAAAATATCCATAAAGCTGCTTGGATATTTCTGGATAAAAAGATAAGGTATCAAATCAACCACATCACTATTCATAAAAAATGGAAGAGGTTTTTGCTGAATGTTTGTAACATAAGAGAAGTAGATGCAAATTTCGACCATTTACTGGTCATTGGTAAAGTTCTACAAAGCTGAGTAACTGAGTAAGCATGCTAAACTGATTAACATGAACAAAAGATTGCTATCAAACAAGATTTAATGTTGAGACAGCCAAGAATTTTAAACTGAATTAAATTTAGAAAATCATTTTCAAGCTTTAAATCACGTGGAAATAAATGAAGAATAGAAAAAAAACTGAAAAGATCTAAATGAAAAGTGCTGAAGAGATTCATGGAAAAAAGAAATTTGGGGAAAAAAAAGTGGCTATCTAAAGAGATCAAACACTCAGTTTGTGAAAGATCCGAAATAAAACAACAAAAATATTATTAGAAGAGAACATGCTGAAATTAAATGAGAACGTCAGAAGGATTAAAAGAGAAAAATTATAGAAAATAAGATAAGTGCAAAACAAGATAAAATGATTTTCAATGTGATTTTTCAGCCAATAAAAATATACCTACAACAATGGAAAATTGCAACATCATCATTTGATTTTTACATATAGTTAGATATAGCATTAGTGTTGTATATAAAATAAAGATGAAAACGTGTGATTAAAATTAATTATAATAATGTAATACTGAGAGAAAAAAACTAGAAAAAAATGGTTTAAAAAACAAAATTTCACAAACACTAACTTGTGAATTAAATAAAAATGCTTGTATACCAAGTATCATAACTAAGCCTTTCTGTTCAAGTTAAGAAATTTAGCATAATTCTTGACTTTGAAAAGCAGGGAATATACTGCTTTAGTTAGTTCTAAGAAAGCACTATTGTGAAACTAAATAGAAACATTCAAATAAAAAAAGCAGGCTAATGAACTTAATTAGGAATAAATGAAATTAATGCATTAAATTTAAAACTTTATGTAGCTTTCAATTTCATTAAACTTTACCAAAAAAAGGCAGAATCAACCTTCAAAAGGGTTTATAGACCATATAAGAAAACCTTTCTTATTTTTCCTTGTTACTTTCCGAATCCCATCATTACAAACTAGACAAGCAGGAAGGCTGTCCATGTTATCAAAGAAACTAGATAGTTGATTCATCCATGGCTATGACTCAATAAAACTAAAGAGCTTTCATATCCAAGTTTATGATAAAGAACAAAAATAAAATACAACAGAAAAATCCTACAAGATTTCCAATGGCAACATCTAAGAAATGTCCTGCTACATCAATACCCTTGAGTCCATATAACAGCAAAAATTAAAATGATGTATATAAAAAATAAAAATCTATATCTGATATGAAAAAAAAGAAAAACTATTCATCGTAAAAGAAATAATTTAAAATAAAAACAAACCTCTGCTGCTTCTTTTTTTATTTCTTGCTCTAACATTTCTGCTCGATAGCTGACTGCTAGAATTACATGATCTACTCCAGCCTGAAAAGTCAATTTAATTTTACTATAAAAACAAAAAAATTAGATTCTCAGAAAAATTTTAAGTTTAAGATAATCAACAGCTAGAATTAGATGATTAACCCCAGCGTGAAAAATTAATTTTATAATAATCAAAACAAATTTAGAAAAGTACAAAAATATCAAGTTTAAGATAGCTGACAATTAGAATTACATGACCATTCCCAGCCTGAAAAAACAGCTTAATTTAACAATAATGAAAACAAAACAAAGTGCACAAAAATGTAAAAATTGCTTTATGACTGTAAAAAAAAACTTAATAATATATTTAAAAATTTAATATTTCGGTGCTACTTGGAAAAATGAAATATTTAAGTGCTACAGCTGTTTCGGAAAATTAATATTGTAGCTTTATGGTAAAAGACATTAATAATTATTAAATAGATTACTTGGATACGAAATTATTCAGTTGCTTATAAAATACGAAAAATTTAAAAGATATTTTAATATTTGTGAAAATTATATCAGTTTTTAATTTCATTAAAGAAAGAAAAGTTTTCATTTATATTTTATAATGCAAATTAAAAATAAACTTCAGTGGGCAAATAAGTATTAACTATTTAATAAAAAGTTAGAAAACTAGAAATTCCATAACAATTTTATCCAAATCAGTCATTAATTGACCAATAAACTTAAGCTTAATCTTATAAATTAAATTGGACCTAAAAATTTGTACAAAATTACTTTCTAGAAATTATTTTAAACTTCCTTTAGTAAATTAATATGAGCATGATAACAGAATTTGCAATTTTAATCAGCAGCACAATCATCCTATATTTATATTGTCAAAAATAGACTTGTAAAAAATAGAGTTAATCTAACATGTATATAAAAAATTTGCACAGATAAGGTAGTTTAAAATTACGCACAAAAAATTATGTTGCTAAAACTTCGTAATAATGTAATTTTTTTATATTTTTTATACAATGAAATAAATTTCTTTATATCTTATAACAAAGCAACTTGAGTTTTTAGATGTTAATAATTTTTCAAATGTCCCTTACTTTCTAAAGTGACAAATAATTAAAGAAAATTAATTGAAAAGCATCAATTTTCTTTACATTTATTTTCAATTGTCAAACAAATTTTATTAAGGAATTGAAACCAATAGTTATTAAGTTTTTAAAAAAAAAATTATTAAATTAAAAAATATTTAAAAAAAATTAATTATCAAGTATGAATTAAAAAATATTTAATTAAAAAATATTAAAAAATTTAATAAAAAAATATTTTTATGTTTTTCCTGTTAATTTTTTTTACCTCAAAAAAAATAGAGATATAAATATAATAATTTGCAGATAATCTGCAACACCTGTTGGAGGGTTTCTGCTACCAGGAACCGGAGTAGTTTAAACATACTTACAGCAACTAGTGCTTCCAGCTGATGCATCATCATGGGCTTATTACAAAACTCTACAAGGGGTTTAGGTCTACTAAGAGTAAGTGGACGGAGTCTGGTCCCATATCCTCCAACTAAGATCAGTGCCTTCATACCTAAAAATATTTAACAAGTTCNAATTTTTCAAATGTTCCTTATTTTCTAAAGTGACAAATAATTAAAGAAAATTAATTGAAAAGCATCAATCTTCGTTACATTTATTTTCAATTGTCAAACAAATTTTGTTAAGGAATTGAAACCAATAGTTATTAAGTTTTAAAAAAAAAATTATCAAATTAAAAAATATTTTTAAAAAATTAATTATCAAGTTTGAATTAAAAAATATTAAAAAATTAAATAAAAAAATATTTTTATGTTTTTCATGTTACTTTTTTTTTTACCACAAAAAAAATAGAGATATAAAAATAATAATTTGCAGATAATCTGCAACACCTGTTGGAGGGTTTCTGCTACCAGGAACTGGAGTAGTTTAAACATACTTACAGCAACTAGTGCTTCCAGCTGATGCATCATCATGGGCTTATTACAAAACTCTACAAGGGGTTTAGGTCTACTAAGAGTAAGTGGACGGAGTCTGGTCCCATATCCTCCAACTAAGATCAGTGCCTTCATACCTAAAAATATTTAAGAAGTTCTTAGAACTTTAATAATTTAAAATAAAATTGATAAACTTTTGCACAACTTCCACACTATAATTGATAGGTGAAAAATATGAAGGTTTTATTATAATATTTTTCAATAAAAAAATAATTTATAAAATAGTTTATTTTAAATTATTTCTTAATAAATTAACTTTTGTACAACTTCTATTCATAGGTTCTTCTAATTCATAGGTGAAAAATGTGCAGGTTAATAATTTTAAAAAAATTTTATTATATTTTTAATAAAAAAATAATTTATAAAATAATCCTTTTTTTTATTTTAAATAAATTTTTACTAAATTAACTTTTGCATAACTTCCATACAGAGGTAAAAATGTGCAGGTTAATAATTTAGAAAAAAAATTATTGTATTTTTTATTAAAAAAAATTATAAAAATAATCCTATTTTTTTATTTTTAATAAATTAAAACATGTTTAACTAATTTTTAATTAAAAAATTATTTTGTAAATTATGAAGTTTAATGTAAAATGATTTGTAAAAAAAAAAATTAAGAATATATAAATTTTCAACTTAAAAAAAAAAACCAGCCTGAAAATTACTTATTTTCATAATTTTAACTGTTGAGAATCATTGAAAAAAGATCTTTCTTTCATAAGAGTCAATATTACACAGTTATTGTAGACATGAGAAAAGAAACAAGAGAGATGGTTTGTTTAAAAAAGTTAATTTTGTATATGACTTGTTGTATTTTGTATAACTTATGCATTTTTTCTTCAATGCCAACAGGAACAATTACAATTTTTTACTCAAGCTAAAAATCACAAAATTTTTGGTTTAAAAACCAGAAAAAATTCAAGTTAATGACTAGAAAAGAAATGATATTCAGTGCAGACAGTATTAACTGCTAAAAAATAAGCTCCTATTTCTCTACACTCTCCAGAGGTGAATAAAGAAAACAGCACAGATTCAATCAATTACTTTGTGTTTTCTTTTTCAAATCTGATTTGCTTTCTTCATTTACATCTGATGAGCCCTGAATGCGAGCACTTGAAACATGTCAACTTTTTCCATCTTTATCTATTTTTTAAGCAAATGAAGTTTTTATATTTTCAAGTTATGTGAAGATTCTATTTATGACCTGCTTTTTTTTTCTGACGAGGAACGGAGGAAACGGCAGAACTGGGCAGCAAACAATGAGGAGGAATTGTCGAAACATGATAGTGAAAATATAGTAAAGCAATAATAGGTTATAAGTATAAAAATTCCAAAAGCAAATATACAGTTTATAACATAATAAATTACGCTAACTATTGTTTATAAAATATTAAAATAAAAATTTACATCATTATATACCAACATATATTAAAATGAAATAAAATCGTACAATAAAAGGCATTCTAAAAATGACAATTGAATTAAATATTAAATTATATTAACAATTTTTAATCAAAATAAAGTTGAAAGAGAAATAGAAATACCGAAAGTAAAGAAAGGTAATATCTTTGGACAAAAATATAATAATAATTTGAAATATTCGCGGGTTTCCGAATTAAGAGTCTATGCCGGTGGTCAAACAAGAACACATCATATGCTGATGTAAACAAAACAGTGCAACGTCACTTTAAGTTTATAACTTCACTTCGATAAAACATTACTTTTCAAGGTTTTTCTCACTGCTACTTAGTTTCTTATTTATTTAAAATGGTCCAGGAACGAAACAGAAATAGGCAGCCAGAGCTGTAGCCAACTTGTTTCCATAGTAACAATGATTATTGTTTAATCGGTGATAAAATTAAAAGGTGACATGCAGTTTATTGTGTTTTAATGAATTATCATTGAATTTATAGTTTGAATTAAATTATTTAATTTGTTTATTTCTTTACATTTATTATTATAATAGCAATTTTTTTTTGATCCTTCCAAAACTTTGTTTATTATCGGTAGTAGTTTTCAAAAACAGGACTTTCTTTCCTTATTTTAAAAGTTTTGAAATGAATAAATTCTTCTGAATATTCTGTATGTTTTAATATTTGATGGAAACCAATGTCGCTATTCTCATTATAGTAGCACTAATAATCATTGAATTATATAAACTAGCTATTTGTCAATCTTTAACCTAATTTGCACCGAAATTTCATTACCGAAAATGGGGTTAGTTTTGCATATGTACCTGTCCGGCCAACTGTCATTGCTTAAGCTCCAAGGGGTTTTTGTACTTTCAAAAATTTAAGTAATATATGTATGTAATGTTTGCCTGAGAGATGGCCATGAGCTATGCCCCTCAAATTCCTCTCTTTCAGTTATGCTTTCTTTTTTTTTAGTTTCTCGCGTTCCACTGCTCGATCTTTGGCGATTTCTTTAACAATCGGTACCAATGCGAAATTACAATCTCTCTATTAAATAACTTGGGGGGAAAATTTTTTGAGCAGAAAATTGACCAGGTTCTGCCTTAAACTGAGTGTTGATTGTTAAAGAATTAATGAAGTCTAGACCATAGTTACTAACTAAAAAAATTAGTGCTAATGTGTGTAAATGTTAATATTTGGCACCTAAGCCTTTATGATAGGCAAAAACTTTAATAAGCCATTTTCATCATTTGACTTTTCTTTCTCATTCTTCTTAGTATGTTAAATAAAAATTTCATTGAAAATATACAGTGTGATTGTATGAAAACTTGAAACCTTGAATAACTTTTTAATTAGAACAATTTTTTAAACATTAATGAAACACATCAATCTTTTGGAGGGAGACATTTAATCACACATTCTAATCGGTATGGGGACTTTACCCCTCCTCCAAGAAATAAAGGTGATAGCCCACAAAATTACATATTTTCTGCTTGGTAGGCCTTGAGGACAAAAAGATTGGCAACCACTGATCTAGATAACTATGTTTACCCTGAATGCATTATTCTTATTAGTTATAACTATCTTTTTGCTATTATGTTATTTAAAATTAAGTCATTTGGATTATTAAGATGCCACTGTCTAGTTCTGGGATATCTATTAAAAAATCTATAGTAGCTTACCAAGAGGTTTCTGCAAAATTTGCCCTTCAATCTTGACCTTTTTGTAGATTTTATATGTGTGTGTCTAACATTAAAAGCTTCAATTAATCTTTTTATGTTATTCCTTTTCTGTAAATCCTTTTCTTAATTTATTATTCAAAACGAAAAGCTTTCTCACACTTTAAAATTCACATCCTGTCTTTTAATCTATTTTAGGCTCAAGTATGCATTAATTAAAAGTAAGATATTTTTCCCTTTGCTCTTTGTGGGAATCGTGCGACCTATTTAATAAACCAATTACAATTGTTAAGTTTTCCCTAAAACGAAGCATTTTACGAATCTACTTTGCAAGATTTTCCCTTTCTTATATTGAGGAGCACAACAATTTTGTGTCCACTTTTATAGCTGTTCACACTCTAATAATTAGTAAATAAATTTTATACCCTCTTTCTCTACCTAAGACCTGTTTTTATCCTTCCACTTGGCAAAGACGTTATATATATATATATGTGTGAAGAAAATAGTTTTTACTCAAAAATTTCAGTTCTAGCAAAAGTTTTGAATGGATACAAAAATTATCACATAAGACTGAAAATGACTGGTTAAATTATAATTTATTTCTTATTTCAGTAGATAATGGCAGAAGAGGAGGAACTAGTTTGTAATTGGTTAGTATTTATTTATTTATTTTATAATTGCATTGAAGATATATTAGCTAGGATGATGCTTTAAAAGTCAGCTAATTCCTTTATTTACATATAGTACATACAAATGTAAACAAAAACAAATCTCGAGCTCCTTACCTTTAGGACTTTCGGTTAGACAGTTTACAACTGCTTGCAACAGCTTATTGTCCGAGGCAATATTTTTAAACAGATAATTTTGTTTCAAAAATTAAATAAATATTATAATCTCTTAATCAAATCTCCTATCTCCTCCATTTTATGAGAAATTAATGATATTAAATTCTGGTGAGTTTGAAGTGAAAATTTTTTATAGTTACTTATTGATATATTGTTAAAAAATAGTTGCAATATTCAGAAAAAACTCACTTTTTATACTGTCTTCATTTGGCTTCTTTTAACTTGTTTATTACTATTTATTCTTGTTGCAAGCAAGGCATACATTAATGTTGGTATTTAGTCAGAGTAATGTGACAAAGTTTATTTTGTATATTATCATTTAAACTTAAGTTTTGAAGTTAGTATAAGTTTTTCTGCCATGTGTCAAATTTCGCAGACTTTTCTTTTGTTTTCTTCGCTGAAGAATTTGAATGGTTGCTCATAGACTTCAATTTCATTTTGTATTAATTAAGCTTTTATGGTAAAGTCCTTTTAAATTATTATTTCTACGAGAAAACTATAGCATCAAACATTACGAAAGTAGAAGTGTTATAGTGTTCCAACTGCATTAAGATTAAAATTTTCTAAATTATAACATTTTAAAGTAAAGGCCTCTTTCATTAAATTTAAATGAGAAGGGTGATTAGGATTGCAAATCCCTGACAAAGTTTGGTATAGTAAGTAAAAAAAGTTTGCAATTAATAAAACTGAAAACTTGTTCAAAAAAAATGGGATTTTATCAAAAACCCTTCAGGATACACGGGGGAAAAAATATCTTTAATTGATAAGAGTATTTATGTTAAAAAAATTACCAATTTTCTGTTTACATAATAATTATATACCTACTAATTTTAGGAATGATGACAACAATCACTTTGATGTAATTATTGGACACATTGAAGATATAATAATTGGTAAGAAAAGTATTCATTATCTACGATTTTATATTTGCTTAGTTTTTCATTTCATCCTTCATAAACTCTTGTTATTTCATTGAATTTAGATCCAGAATTTGTCAACCTCCAAAATGATTTTATGAATAGACATTATGAAATATTTGAAGAATGTGAAGAAAATAAGCTTGAGTACATGGATATTTTTAATTCTTATGTATGTATGCATAAAAAATTTTGCGTCTTTTTTATGAAAATAATTTCATTATAAATGCTTTATTTATTTAATTATTTTTTGTTTATTTATAGTTGGACTAAGTTTTTATGTGTTCAACTACATATTTTGACAATTTAAAAAATCCCCGTAAGACTACAAAAATATGTTAACTTTTACTTGATTATGTATCTAAAACACACAAATAGAGGGAAATATGATGTAGCAGTTATTAAGAAATTAGAGGGTCTATTAAAAAACACCCATGATTGTGAATCAATGTTTGATCTGAAATAAAGACGATAGCTTTGTAATCGTCTTTGTTTCTTAATATGAAGCATGGTTTCGCTTTAAAAGACTAAATAACCAAAAATTTCAATTGTTATAAATTATGCATAAAAATTCCTGTTCAACCTAACCACTTAAGAAAAATGCCAATTAAATTCTTTATGAATGCTTAAAAAAAATTTTTTACATTAAGAAAGATAAGTAAAGATAAATTAAAATTACTGCAAGATACAATCTGAAACAAAATTCATGCTAGCAATCAGTGGCCGTTTGAAATTCACTTTTGTGCAGAAGTTTCCTTTAATGTAAATCCTATAGAACATCTTCCATAAACATATGGCTCTTCTTTAGAGGTTGATGTTGTTTAGAGGTAATCGTCAGAGGCTTAGTAATATACACATTCTTCTAACAATCAATAATGAAAATAATCAATCGTTGCAGATTTCGCCAAATTTGAAACTAGACAGTTTTGTCTCTATCTTTCTAATGTTTACATATAGATTTTTGTAAACCTCTAATGTTTACATTATGTTTACTTTTTTAGACAGAATTAATTGAAAAACATATTGAAACATCTCTACTGAGAAGAATGCCAGAGTTCTCTATGAAAGATTTCTTAAAAGATATTGCGTAAGTAATATTCTTAATAAAAAATTTTCTTGTTTTAAATTAGCTGAAAATATTTTAATGCACTGATTTACAGTATAACTTTGAGATAAATGATTTTTTTTTTTATTACTTTTACTTGTTATTTAGTTTAAATATTGTTAACCTATATTAAATTTTAACTGATGTATTCAAATACGAAAGTAATATTATTTACTTTACCTCTATAGTACAAAACTTGGTGTAGTAATATTAAAAAAATACTGTTAAATGTTCAAGATTTATGCAACCAACTTTTAATTGAAGCTTATATTATGAACTATATTTCTGAAGTGCCATGAGTTAAATATAATGATCTTGTATACGTGACATTTACTTTAAAATATGATGAACAGAAAGTATAGATATTTCACTTGTTCTGATTCCTTAAGTAGGGCATATTTAGACTATGTAATGACAGCATGTTAATAGCCATGTTACAAGTTTGCTGGGTTTTTTTTTTTTTATTTCTAAAATTTTATTAGAAAAGCATGGTAAATCAAAAATATATATATCTTTATTTCAACAAAAGAAATTCAAATATTTCAGAAATATGTAATTTCGGCATAATGAAAGTCAATAAAAAAATACAGAATCATGTTTTTCTGTTTTTTAGAATTCTGTTGTTTAATTAGCAATTTGATCAACCAGGAACACGTAGCTGAAAAAAATTTTTAGATGTTCCAGCTCCGCTCAAGATGAGCTGTAACTCTCGCAATTTTACTGTATATGTATGCGCACAATTGAGTTTCAGATTTTAATTTGAAATTTTTATTATAAAAAAATGCATTAAATGATAATAATTTTAAAGGTGCATAGCATAACCATCAGCTCGCACAGAAAATACAAATTTAATTCACAGTAAAGCTATTTGTTCAATCTTAAGAAAAGAATTGGATCCAAAAAATTTTCCTTAATATCTGATTCCCTTAATATCAAATCATTATAAATGCTATTTTTATACCAAAAATAGTCTAAAAATTTGTAACAAAGTTAGCCAACTTGCTAACTATTTTTATACCAAAAATAGTTAGCAAGTTGGCTAACGGGTAATGTCATTATCATGCCACAGGACTCTTGAAAGTCTGTAGGATACAATAAAATTACTATACCCATGGAATATGGGAAAATTTAGATCTCCAGGCAAAATACAGCTCCAGCTATCTCTGGGCTCCTGCTCCAACTTCGGGTACCTGTGATCAACTATGGGAGTTGAAAATACATTTTCTATGTTTCAATGTAATGCTTTTTTTTTGCTTTTTTTTTTTGAAATGATAATAATGGATACTTCATATAACTATGATATATTTTACTTAATCAAAAAGATTTGTTTTCACTAATTATAATTTTTTTTTAATTTAAATTTCATATAAACATTTTATAAAAATAGATGTTTCAAAAGAACTTGCTATTAATTGGGTTAGAAAGATATTTTAGTATACTAATACTTTCAAATTCATTTTTATTAAAAGCTCATCAAAAGATATTTTTTAACAATTCTACTTGTCTGAATCACCATATTTTTTGCCAAAAACCTTAAAACTTATTAAAAGAGCTATTTAAAACATATCTGGAATTCTTACTTCTGTTATCTTTTATAGAAAAAGACATTCAGAGTTGGAAGGTGATGTTTTTGATATATTAGTGAGCTTTACAGACTTTATATCTTTCAAAGAAATGTTTCTAGACTATAAAGCAGTAAGTTTAATATTTTTCCTACATTTTTAGATCACAATTTTGATTGGATCATTCTGAAAATGAATTCAACAAGTTATTTAAAATAGATTAGCAGCACTTTGTAATATATCTATGTTTTTTTCTGTATTGAGTTGAGGTTATAGAATATTAAATTAAGTCTGTGTTAATGTTTGAGTTTCAATCACAGCATTGTAAGAAAATTATTTTTTTTAATTACAATGTTAATAAAATTTATAAAAAATAAATCTATTGTTTATAAATCTTAAACAACTTTTATTGTAGTTCTGATCCAATAAAAGATACATAAAAGTGTGAAATTTCAGTACTAGTGAGTAAATATTACGATAATATTTGTAGCTTCTTTTATTCTATAAGGATAGATTGAACTATTTGATATTATTGTTAATATCAAATAGTTTCTCTCAATAGTTCAATAAGTTTCTTACTTTAATTTACAACATACAATAAAAGGTTTACAATAATTTACAAACTTATACCTTGCCAACATGTTAAGTCGTATATGCATGGACAAAATGTTAAGTTTTATACATGGACTTTTTACCCAAATAACGTGAGAAATAATAACTGTACCCAAATAAAACTAAAGAAATTTAGCAAGTTTCTCAATAAAGTATTTTTTTTTTAATAAATAACTTCTTTCACTATATTCAGTTTGGAATTTAGTTATTAAACCAAGTTCATTTAAACATTTATATTGCATGACTACATGGTAGTATAATATGATTGATTTATTACTAATACTACTACCATGTTTTGTATTGTATAAATTTTATTTTACAAAAATATCTTTTTAAAAAATCTCATTGTAATTGTGATCTGCTTTGAGATAAAAAGAGCATTAAAATAATGTGGATAATTGATTTCATTTAGTTACTATTGCAGTGATCCTAAATAACCATTTATATATAAAAAAAAAAAATCTAATGGTGACACAAGCATGTGATTCTTCCACTAATTTGTGGAATTTTCCGAAACTTAAAACCGTTGATTCGGGAACTACCATGAATCAATAATTTATATTTCAACATAATTTTCTCGAGGTTCTGCTAATCAAAATTTTATTTTTTTGCTAATGCAAAATCTTGTTGACTAGGCATTTATTCCACCCTTACAAGCAACCTCTTTATTTTCCGTTCTCATTTACGCACAATAACAACAAGAAAAACGCAACTTTAGATAAGCTTCGTGAAAAAAAAGCCATAATAACTAAAATTAAGGAACTACTGAGGCAAACACAAGAGTATAAAATTAGTAATGTTAAAAGTAATTCCAAAATTGCAAATATTTAAAATATTGTTCGCTAGAAAAAATGGTGTTTTTCTTTTTTTTTTTTTTTAAAAAACGTATATTTCAATAAGTTGCAATTTTGTTAAAAAAATTCTAATTTTTAACAAAAGAATTATTTAATCAATGTGATATATTTGCCCCTTTTTTGTTCGGCTATAATTATTTCGATTTAATTTTTAATATGATAGTACGAAATGGAAATCTCGAATCAGTATTTCAGTAATCACTTTTCAACGCACTTAATACCATTCTAAATCTGTGTTTCAATGTTATTATTAGATTTAAAAAATTTCTTTTTCTCTTTAAATTTTATAAATATCACTTTTGTGCATAGAAATGATAGTCTTTTAAATATCTTCTAAGTACAAGAGAGGAAAAAAACTTCACATTGAGAAAATTTTTTTAAATAATTACTTCCTCTTGCAATCACATGTCTGTGACAGTATTTGTGTTAAATAATGTGCAACAGAACAAGTTATGGTTTTATTTTGTTTACAGGCTAAAACTGGCTGTACTCCTGATTTATCTATTCAAAACAGTACAAAGGAATGTTCTCTGATAAATTCAAAGTAATTAAGTCTTGCCTACTCAGTTCTACTATCCTACATTTATGTGCCTTTGTATATAAAATTGTTTAAAAATCAGTTTTCAATTGTAAATTAGATTGTAAAAGTTGGAAATAAATATATTTATTAAAAAAAATTCATGTGCTATTTTCACAATTGAAATTAACACAATAAAGTTTGAGGGGGGAATTAAAGCAGTGATATTAAAAACAGATAGCTGGTTGAGTTGTAATAGGTAAATATCTTTAGATACTACTAGATTTTGAGTAAAAATATGTAAGAAAGAAATCATCCAATCTCTTTATCAGCAATGAGCATACTGCTATTAAAATTTCAGTTTATTAGATCTCATAATTCCTTTATTATTCTCAGATATTTCCTTTAAAAAAATTTAAAAATGGATTTTATTTCCACAAAAAAAGTTTTTGTTTCATAACCTAAAAAAAATTGGTTTACAGCCTTAACCTAGAAGAAGATTATCCAACCAAAATTGCTTTGCGAAATAATTGTAAACAAAATACAATTTTTAATGATATAGCAATTTTGAAAATAAGCTAACACTTCTTAACAAACATTTTGCCTTTGGTTTATCAATAACTTATTTAACATGTTATTTTTATTACTAAAATTTTATTTTTTGTACAGTGGGTCAAAAAAGTTTCAGAACGTTGACCAGTGCTGAAAGACAGCCTTTTTAGAAATTCGAAACTCTCAAATTGAGATCTAATTTTTTTTTTATTTAAATTTTCCTTTTCGTCCTCTGAACACAGTTATTTTTATTTTAAAATATTTAATCGTGAAGCATGTCGACAGGTTTTGAAACTATTCTTGGTTGATCTCGGTTTCGGGCTTCCAAAAGAATTTCAGCACCAGCAAAGACTTTCGACGTTTTTCTCAAACTCGATCTCTACAAGAATCAAAGAAAAGAAAAAAATTTACCGGAAGTGGGCGTCGCTTAAGTTTATCACCTACCATAGCATAGCAGACCCCTTCTTTTTCTAACAATTTACTATCCTCTCTTCACATCAATTTTCATAAGAAAGCAGATAAAAAAAAATATATATAACCCATGAAATTCCGCTTTTAAAGGTAAAAATGAAAGAAAAAATTTCAAACCCTTTCTTTTTCTAAAAATTTATTTCAACATCAATATTCATTAAAACATAAAAAACCATACTAAACTGGTAAAAATTTTACAAGATAAAATACGAAAGAAAAAAAAATGTTTTGTTTTGTAGAGTTATTTTTTATTTCTATAAAAGAATCGTGCGCCGCTCGTTATCACTTTTAAAAAAATGAATAACATAAATATAATATTTTAAATGAATTTTATGTAATTCATTTTTTATAATTAATTGAAGACTCGACTACGATTTAATCACCCAAATTTAATTAGCAAATTACCAGCGGCGGAAGATTCTTTTATAGAAATACAAAACAATTCAATTTTCAAAAAATCCGGTTCGTTATTTTGTTACAAGTTAAATAGACAGCAAAGGGGCCCACGTGATTAATGTCTATATATACCAGTGTTCAAAGCAGCATTTTGACTGTTACATTGAGTCAACCAAACGCGTCTAAAACTTCTCTTGGTCAACCGGAAATAACACGGAGCCATAAATCGAAGACATTACAAAGTATACAAGAAGATGAGTCCGAAAGCGCCTTTGGAAAAGAGATTGTATTGGTCATATAACTACTGGAAGATTAAGGTAATCCAATGTCCGCTTTGCTATGAAAATTTGACATTGGACGAGTATAGGAAGATTCATTCTCATTCCCAATCAAAACATGGTTTAAATGAAACGATTGAATGCATTTTTTATGGAAAATGCAAATTTTTAAATTCAAAAGCTGATAATGTCCACAGAGAAAAATGTTTTGCCCAGTTCCGAAAGGAGAATCAAAAAAATAAAAAATATTGTTTTTCCCACACCGATAACAACTCGATTGCTGGAACCAGTGCTGCGCCTGGAATCGATTCTGCTGCCGATACTCCTGAAAGTTATGCTCACAGATTATGTCCATGCGTTCAGTTTGATTCTTCTACATTTGGTTATCAACTCAACCATCGAGATATTGAGAAAGATTTGCAACAGATTGGATTTTATGACAACTACCCAGGAGATTTTCAACAATTGAAAGACACTGGTTTAATATCCGAGTTTAATGAAGGGAGCGGTTTGGGTCGAGAATCTTCGACCTTGTTTCGAACGTGTTTTCCAACGCATGGACGTTCTATTACGCGTTTGATCATAGTAGGCCTTTCATAGTTTCAAAATGAAAATGTCAGTGTTTGATTCCAGTCAATTGGTGGTCTCTTCCTTCTGGTGCTTGTGCGACAGTTGCACGACTCTTAAAAAGAATGCAATGGCTTCTAATAAACTGCATCGTCATACGATTGTGGCTGTTCGGGACCGAGCCGCCTATCTGAAAGCTTGGAAGACGGCCAAAGTGTCTCGTGAGTCAGAGAGATGCTGCAAAGGACAGAGAAAGCTCGCGACAGCTCTACATTTGGCAAATGCCATTCACTACGCATCCAGTGAAAAATCTCAATGTTCCGGATCACAGACTCCGGGAGTTGGACGAGGCGGACATTTTTACATCAATCGCCCATTACACGACCATGCAGTCATGTCCGTGAAAAGTTTACGGTCCAACGCTTAAACGGAATAGGTAAACCAGAAAAATCGCGATAAAGTTGTAATGAATTGGAATTGTGAAATGTCCCCACATGAAAAATATCGCGTGAAAATACTCGAAATCATGGATGCTCAAGAATGCCCCATTCCCTTGCGATGGGATTTGGAACCTCATCCTGCTGGAGATCAAAAAGTGTATTGGTTTGAGGACGATATCATGCAAGATCAGACTAATGAATGTCGCACCCACATTTTTTAATCAAGTAGAGGCTATGAAATACCAGATTCAAATGGGAAATTCTCTTCATCACAGAATGAAAAATTCATACTACACGTTAAATAAACAGCAGGTCCGTCAAATGAGTGTCATAGAGCACATGACCCAGAAACAGTGTTGAGATGAGTAAACTCTATGCAGAAATGGAAACACTGAAATGTGAAACTTACAACACGAAAATGAAACACTGAAGCGTAAAATTTCAGCTCTGGAACAACAAATGAGGGACTCGAAGAAACAGGCAACGCTTAATTTTAATGGTTGTGATGCGCCTAGAAGCAGTTTCAATGTGTCCTCTGGTCCATTTGTAGCCATGCAACCCCCAAAGTAGCATGTCCACACAAAAAATTTCTATTATATTTTATCTTGTAAAATTTACCAGTTTTGTATGTTTTTTTTAATGAAAATTGATGTTGAAATAAATTTTCAGGAAAAGAAAGGGTTTGAATTTTTTTCTTTCATTTTTACCTTTAAAAGACGCAATCTCATAAGTTTTATATTTTTTCTTATGTAAACTGATGTGAAGGGAGGATATTAAATTGTTAGAAAAAGAAGGGGTCCGCTATGCTAGGTGATGACCCTATTGTAGTCCCTGGTGATGACATTAAGCCATGCCCACTTCCGGTAAAAAAAAAATTATATTTTCTTTGATTCTTGTATAGATCGAGTTTGATAAAAGCGTCGAGAATCTTTGCTGGTGCTGAAATTCTTTTGGAAGCCCGAACCCGAGATCAACCAAGCGTCATTTCAAAACCTGTCGACATGCTCCACGATTAAATATTTTAAAATGAAAATAAATGCACCCAAATGAGCTTTTAAAATGAAAATAAATGCACCCAAAAGAGCTTTTAAAATGAAAATAAATGCACCCAAATGAGCTTTTAAAATGAAAATAAATTGATATTAAATATTTTAAAATAAAAATAACTGTGTTCAAAGGACGAAAAGGAAAATTGAAATAAAAAAAAATTTGATCTCAATTTGAGAATTTCTAAAAAGGCCGTTTTTCAATACTGGTCAACGTTCGGAAACATTTTTGACTCACAGTAAATTATCTCACAGGGTTCCCACTCTATGATGAGATTGAAATTCAAGGACTTTTCAAGGACCTAAACAAAATTTTCAAGGACCTTAATCTAAGACCAATTTTAAAAATTATTCTCTTCTATTTTACTAGAAGCAACAATGCTTGTTGTGGCAATAATTAATTTCAAATATAATACCTAAATGCTTTGCCTNGGACGAAAAGGAAAATTGAAATAAAAAAATAATTGATCTCAATTTGAGAATTTCTAAAAAGGCCGTTTTTCTATACTGGTCAACTTTCGGAAACATTTTTGACTCACAGTAAATTATCTCACTTTTGATCATTTTTTTAAAAAAATTTCAATATTCTATGATCGAAATATCTTTACACATCACTTTCCTTTTTTCTTAAAATGTACAGCAAAAGCAAAAATTCTAATTTTTTTAAAATTTATTATTTTAAAAACTTAAGCCTTAGTTTCAATGCACCCTAAAAAAAATTCGACTTAATACTTTACTTTAATTACGTTAATTTTTTAGTTACTATACCTCATTGAACACAAATAACATTTAAAAATATATTTAAATAATAATAATCTGTGCAATTTAGTATTCTGTCAATAATATTTAATTATAGACTTGTCTGTCAATAATTAAATATGATTGACAGGCTCAAAAATTTATAACATTATATCGAAAACAATGCAACATATTATGCAACAATTTATCCAACATATCGTTTTATTCAAGGATTTAAAAGCAATAAAAATTTCCAATTATTGATGCATTACTATAAATTATTTTTTGTTTATTTTTATTTTTCATATTTGAAAATATTGCAAAATTATTAGTTTTCAGCCTAGTGTCAGTGACATATCAGGCTGCATAACCAAATCTTTCAGCAAAAAATAAACACCTTTAAGTACTTTTTAAGCACTCAAAAAATATTTTCAAGCACTATATACATTAACAAATTGCAGAATAATTTTCCAAGACTTTACATGATCATGAGAAAATAACTAGTTTCTTACAAAGAACTCTTTTCTTGATTATATTAGCCATTATAAAATGATCGAGAGATTTTTTGGTTCGATATCAGAGGGTGGAAAATGAAGTCTGAAATTGAGAATATCTTGCAAAATGCAGCAGAGATAGCAATTATCTCGCCGAACCCAGCTCAGTAGACGCACATACGGACTCACAAGTATTTCATCAAACATGTAAAATTATTGGCCCTTTCATGCGCTATGGACCGACGGTACGCCAAAATGATTTGTGAAAACATTGAATAGAACAATGTGAAAAGCACGCTTTTGCATAATATGTGGCGAAAATCGACATGGTAACGAAAAAAAAATGTCATGTTCGAAAAGGGAGAATTAAGCACTTTTTAAAAACTCCCAATGGAAAAGAGCACTTTTAAGGGCTTTTAAATAACTAAAATCGAAAATAAGCACCTTTAAGCACTTATTTTAAAAACGCTATGCACCATATATAAATTATAGATTCTTTCCCAGTAAAACCCCTATTTCAAAATAAAAAATCACTCAGATACAAAACATAGAAATTTATTAACACAAAAATTTTAAAAAAATGCTTTTTTCAAATCATTAATACTTCTATTTGTACAAGTCTAGCATTTGTATCACCAGGCATACGATAGGGAATCATTCCAGCAAAGGTAATAAGAGCTGAAGCTTGAGTTCTCAAAAAACAAATGAACTGCAATAAAAAAGAAGTTATTAAAATTATATATTTAATGATGACAAATATTTTTTTTTAAAATAGCAACAAAATGTTAACTCAAAAAAAAAATTTAAGTTTGTTTAGCTACTAAATCCAAATCTCAAGAAAAGAATGCTTAACCAAAATCAATGAGCTTCAATATGTACAGTACTAGATAAAGTATAAAGCAGAACAAAAAGTTGCCAAATCTGAAACTTCACAGTTATAGTTGAATAAGCAAATTTATTTTCTACTTGTAAATGTAGAGCCTAATTGTTTTGCATGGCAATTTGCTTTTTGCACAGCATATTATTTCAATTACGGCAAAATTGACATAATCATTGAAAAATAACTTGGAAAAAAGTACAAAGTCGATGCTAATTACGTCTTTGTCAGGCATAAAATATATGAGAAAGAAGTTTGCTCCAGTAAAAGAAGCAAATCAGAGTTGTATAAAAGCAGATTTAGTAGATAGCACGTTCAATACAATGCCAAGAGGAACTCATTCAACAGGAGGTGAACAAGGTAGAATTTTAGCTTTTAAACAAATGGGCTTGAGTGGCTCTCAAATTGCAAAAATAATAGGACGATCCATGGCTGCAGCGAATAGTTACTTCAGGAATCCCGAAAGGTAGGGCAGTAAGCAGCTTATTGGAAGGTTAAAAAAAAATCATCAAGGCAAGTAAGTCGAATCTGGAAGCTTGCTTGTTACGGTTAGAAATCATTTAAGTAATAATTCCAACATTCAATTTAAAAATATTGAAGAAAAACTTTCGCTTACTAAATTGCACTAAGATGCTTGTTTAGCATTTGTAAAGAAACATCTTAAGAAAAGTATGAATTGGAGTGATTGGATCTTTTCTGGTGAAAAGAAGTTTAATTTGGATGGACCAGATGGCTGTCGATATTTTTGGTACGGCTTACGAATTGAACCCCACTTATTTTTCAAATGTCGATATGATGGTGGGATGGTCACGATTTGGGCCATTTTTACTGCGGGCGGTGAAATTCCAAATTATGTTTTTACAAACTGAAATGAATTTAATTATGTATCAGGATATATTGATAGATAATTTATTGCTTGTTGCTCCTCTTACAACAACTGGAGACTGGACATTCCAATAGGACAATGCAGCAGTCCATACTTCATATTCAACTACATTTGTGATTTTTTTCGAGGAACCAAGAACATTTTGAAAATTTCTTCATCAAATAACTTCCAAATAGTGAAGTGAATTTTCTATTTAACAAATTTTCTTTGAGATACATTTTCCCTATTTCCCGAAATATTTCAGAACATTTAGATTTTATAGGGGTTATAACATTTAGACTTTGAATTGATTTTCGCAGCCACTTAACTATTTGAGAAAGCAGTAAAATCCCTTTCTCCTTCTGTCTGCATTTCAAACTGAAAACTCGGACAAAACGGATTTAATCAGTAACAATTAAACCACATGTGGTAATGTATGTTCAAAATTACTTTTATAATAATTGCAGCTATCATTTTATACATAAATTTAGCTATTTTTAGTAAAAAATGTACGCAGCATGATAGTGTAACATTGGATAATGCTTTGCTCGATGCTTCTTCCATACAGATTTCTTTTATGGCTAAGATTTATAAAATAAATAGAGTTTACAAGATAAAGGTGTATCCATTGCTATTTTAATTATGTCTAGTGTTTATGAATTTAAATTTTGTTTTGTGTTGTTCAAGTATTTCTAAAGGCGTTTTTCTATTTAACGAATTTTCCATATAACGAACTTATTATCGGGATTTAGCGATAGAGGTTTGACAGTATATCCTGGAGGAAAGCAAATGAGGTTAAATCCCATGATTGGCCATCTCAAAGTCCATAATCTAAATCTGGTAGAAAATCTTTAGGGCATATTAGTAAAAAACGTTTAGAGATCTGGTTGATAATTCAAGAGCAAATCGGATTTGATTGATGCAACCAAGATGTCTCAGAACAATATTGATATCAGCACTTTACGAACTCTATCTGAGCCCACGAATGCGAGGTTGATAAATGTATTAAAAAACAAATGATCTCACATTGATTACTGATGTAATAATTGTAATGACTTCATACTCCAACTTACTTTGTGTTGAAATCTTATTATGACAAATAAAGTAATGTGTAATACATTTTGCTATTAATGTCATTTTGCTTCTGATTTTATTACGTCATAATGTATGGCTATACTACGAAAAAATAATACTGTGCCGAAAATATTACATCTCCACTGCCTCACCAAGAACATATAGGTTTTCGAAGCTAATGTTTCTATGACAGAAAGCAGAATTACTTTACTTATCAGGGGTCTGTCAGGGCAAATTTACTACCGTTTAGAGGTACCTTCACAAATTCACCGTTTGGTCAAACAGTACTTCCACAAATTCAACTATATGAAAAACGGTACTTTCATAAAATACTTTTTTTTAAAAAGCAAATTTTAATATTTTCCTCCATGCCTTTTAAAACTTTGTGGTACAATTGTCCTTTATTATGAGTTAGCAGATTATAAATTTATGATTGAATATATATTTCTTTCTCTTTTTTTCATCGATAAAAATCTTTGTCTTAATTTATACTTATAAATATTTAATTTTTACAACTACTCAGTATTAACCGAATTCAACGTCAAAACTTGTCTCAGTATGTTAATATTAAAAATCTGTTATTTTATCTGAGTATACTGTTATCTCAATATGCTAAGTGTCCTGAGTTCTTGGTAAAATACTAATCAAAAGGATATTGTGTACATGTTAAGTTGATTTTTTAATTTTCCCAAATTATTTCTAAATTTTCACAAAATAGGTACCTTTTAAAAAAACCTAGGCAGACCCCGGCTTATGTATTGTGAAATAAAAAAACTATATAAATCCTTTCATATTGCGTTTTATCACTTTTTTCAGAGGCTTTATATTTTTTTCCAGCACTGTATAATGAAATTTAGGGAGAGAGAAGGTACATAAGAAATTATTAGAGTATGTAAGAAATTTCAAGGGTAACATGTAATGAACTTGTTACCCATTTTTATTAAAAGTAACAAAATAAATAGCTAGTATAAGTACATGTCTCAAAAAAGGATAAGAATTAAAAAAGAAAAAAATACCTTTTCTTTATTTGCATTTTCATTTAAAAATCTGGAATCTTGATTGCTGGTACCTGATTGCCTGAATAAATAAAACTAAATTTTTAACATAGATAATAAATAAATAAGGATTTAATTAAGTATTCAAAAAAGCACTTAATAAAAAATTTATATCACATATATAGCAAAAAATTCAAAGTCAAAATGAAAAATCTAACTTAATTTTAAAGTGAAATTGAATATTCATCATGAGTATTGTTTTAAAAAAAATTTTCTCTCATTTTGCAATATTACAGCTTTTTATAATTTGTTTACATGCTGATTAGACAAAAATTTAAAACATTTCTTCGTTAATCAATGCAGTCAAATTCGCTTAACATGAGTGCAGAATTCACTCATTACAATCTAGTGCTTGTGAAAAACAAGTTCCTGGACAAATTATAAAAGTCCATATATGATTAATTAAAAGTATAGTACTAAATCTGTTTTTTTTTAATAGAGTACAAAATAAGTTTGTTAATTTGCGTTGAAATGTTTTATTGTCTTCCTGTTGAGTTAATGTTCTTCAGATAACATGCATTCCCAAAATACATCGTCAATATCAAAAAGGAATTTGTCAATTCAAAGAACTTCAAAAAGTAATATTTTTATGAAGGGATTAGTTGTATACCAGTATAGATGTTATAATTTAACACTGTACCAAGTATTTCTGGTTTTTACATTAAATCTGGGTTCTCATTAAATCAAGACTTGTTATAGGCAAATTCAACTTTACTTGGCTGATAAAAAAAATTAGGGAAAGATTTTAGATTAGAATTATTTTTAAAAAATAGCTTTAATTTTCGAAATTAAAAATAAAATATATAATAGGGTCAAAATTTATAATATATACAGATAAACTAAAGAAATTTTAAGAATTATTTAGTAGTAAACACAGAATACTAAATGTCAGTAAATTTGATAGTTATTACAACAAAAAAAAAAAACAAAAAAACATACTTGGCCCTTTTATATTCAGCATAAAGGATATTCATAGTGGCTAAAAGAATATCAGGAAAGTTCCGTCTCACCTATAAAATGTAGATTTTTTATCATTTCTATCACAAAAATATATCTATGTAATTTGGGGTTGAGAGCAGAAAAACATAAAACAATACCTCTTCTGAATACGTTGAAAACGCAGTTACTTTTTGCTCCACCTCCTGATTGTTAAAGGGTAAGAGTTTCAGAGCTTTTATCATCTAAATATTTGAATATACATCACTTTTAACCATAATACACAACTAATATTAAAAAACATAAATACAAAATAATACAAATAAATTAATGCTTTTTTTAATCCCTTTTGCCCACCTGTTAAGTTGTTCTAATGTTCTATTTATTTTTTAATATGTATTATTTGTAAACTTTTTACATATGAGCACATACTGTAATTTCAGAAAGATACGCCGCACAAAATTTTACCATGTGATCTATCGCTAAGTTAATGCATCCGTTACAAATATTAAGTTACATACAAAATAAATTATTACATGTTTAAAAAACATTAAATATTAATTCATTGTATAGTTATTATATATACAATGAATTAATATATGTGATCTTATTTAAAATCAGAAATTATTTTCAAATGTACGTAAAATTGTACCATGTACAATTGTGCGCAATTCAAATGCAATACAATCGCAAACACATTACCTTAATAAATATTAATTTAAAATATTCGAATTTTATAAACCAAGTCATTAAGAACCTAAATATAATTAAAATAAGTTATCAAAATACAATAAATTGAGGAAAAGAATCTAACTAGCGGCAAAATTGTACCAGATAAACAATTGCGATCACATCATGTCGCTTTATTGTAATTTGATTTGAAATACTTAAATATTATTAAATCAAATAATTAAAAAATATTCAGAAAATAAAGTTAACATTAAAGGATTTTTACTTTGGGCCATATATTCTAGATTGTGGCTACCCCCTATATTTCAGAAATTTGAATCTGTCAACAAAAAAAAAGGTATGTTTATTCAGAGAAAGTAGGTGTTTGAGTCTGATTTCGCACCTTAAAATATCGCCTTCACTAATTAATTAGCATAATTTTTTAGTCACACTGTTGAACCATTAATATTGAGTCCTAGATTCGAAAAATCCAATCATTAGATAAAAAGTTAGTCAGGGTGGTCCGTTTATTTTTTTGCACAGTGCATAGAACTAAAACAGCATATAGACATATATCTAACTAATTAACTATAAAGCACAGTGATAAACAACAGAAGCTGCATCGCACACCGCAACTTGAAGACCATTTGAATGTTATGTCACAATCTCCTCCTGTTTTCAAAAATTTCCACAAATCCTGTTAAGACATAGAACAGTAGGGAACCGATTATCCGGAACGATCGGGACCATCGCTATTCCGGATAACTGATTTTTCCGGTTTTCTGAATCGCTACAAAAAGCCGTTTTTTTATTGTTAAACCCAAATAAAAATATTTTTTTTTGGAAATAATCTTAAAAAGAAAGAAAAACGATGAAGTAATATACTAATGATTATTTCCAAAATGATGGTAAGGTGAACATCCTTCAAAAAAGAAAGAAAAATCCTAAAATCTTATGAAGAAAAAAAAAATTTTTTTTTAAATGGCGGGAAAATTTATCGAATTTCGTTCCGGTTTTTTGGTTTTCCGGTTTTCTGATTTCCGGATAACGGGTTCTGTACTGTACTATCAAATTAAACTTTAATAACTGAAACCTAAAAATAAATTTAAACTTACATCTAATGCTTGAGTATGTTGATTTTTGTGATAAAAATTAAAAAATGACATGAGATCGAGCAGAAGGAAAAAGGTAGCTGAGGTCTCTGGATTTGCAGAATGTCCCTGAATTTTGTACCTGAAAATATTTTCATCATGACATCACATATTTTTCAAGTTTAAGTAGGTAATGTGTAATGTTATAAATGTTGTAAAATATGTAGAAAAAAATATTATACACTATGGTAGTAGTTTCCAACCAATGGGGAATAAGGTTAGTCTGATTACACATACGATTTCTACTGCAGACAGGACCCCTTCAGAAATTTAATCAGAAGGTACGCTTTCCTAAATTTTCAAATGAGAAGTTGATTTCAATTTTAAATCTAGTTAGTTTTGCCGTTAAAAAAGTTTTTGATATTTGGTAAGATTAATTTCTTGGACGGAAAAAGTATCCAGGCAAAAGACGTATTTGAAACGAAATCAATCCCAGAATTTTGAACTTACCTGCATTGATGTTAGAAAGAGCTATTAAAGCATTACTTCACATTTTATTGATATCTTCACTAGTAAGACTTCTCAATAAGTTTACAAATGAAAACTATTTAAAGAAATAGATTGAAAGTTGAAAATGACGTTCATTTTGCCTTTGCAAGAGCTACTCTCTGTATCGAAGTAATAATAAAAAAGAAACAATTACACACATCCTATTAAACAAAAATGACTAATCACATAACTGGTTTGCTACACCAATATTTATTTCTAAGCATCGTTATATTAAAATGATGCATGCCTTCATTGATTCATTTTTAAAGAGCATTATAAAATAATCAAAATTTGAATAAGTATCTTAAATCTATATTTGGCGTTTTTTGATGGGTAAATGAGTTTTAAGAAATAGGGAAAACAGAGAAATGAATCAAAGGGATTGGGCACCACTGCACTAAAATTTATTTTGACTGATTTCATCTGAAATTAAAAAACAAAGACAACAAAAAATATACTGAATAAGAATATATATTTAAGAATTTTCAAGTTGTAAAAAAATCTTAGCACGCAAGACACAATTTATAATTAAAATCTAGTTATTTCTGCAGCAGAAATCCCAGAGGATAAATAATAAGCTCTGAGAGAATAGATGATAAAATTTTTACATCAATTTAATATTTTCTTTTCCTTTCTTGTAAAAATATGACTGTTAGAAAATTTAATGAAATTTACACAAAGCTGAACACTAGAAAATACATAGAGGCATGAATATTTTTGAAAAATGGAAAAATCACCTGTACAGTAAACACCCGATAATCCACAGGCGGATTATCCGCTCTTCACCTTTTTTTTTGCAATGATAAGCAACAAAGTATTTAGAATTGAAAATAAATTAATTCATAGAGAGTTTTAAGAGTTTCTATTTTAAGAGTTTTGGGAACAACATTAAAGTAGCAAACATTTATGCTCGTAGCCCAAGTGTTCACAATCAATCAAATAATTTGTCTACATTTAAACATTGCAGCATCAAGTGCAATACTTAAGTAAAAACGAGCATTGAAAGGGAGAAAATGGCAGGGCAGTCATAAAGAGCAAAACAACGTGAGTCGTGCAACAGCTGTCGAACTGTAAATGCAGGATGAAGTTCAAATATCAATGAGTAGATTCGGCACCCATCAAAGCAGGATCTTTTTCTGAATCGTATTGTTACTATTCAAAGCAATGATATTGATATCAAGTTTTTCGTCTTCCTTTAATATGATGAATAGGAATAAATTATCCTCAGTCATTTAATTACCCAACATGTAACACATTCTTGGAACTATTATCAGTTATAAAATGGTTAACTAACAAATAAGTATGGTTCCCACACAACTACTGGTACACTTATATCCCTGAAAGAAAAAGAATCAGAGGTTTCAATAATTTACAGGCCATATGCATGATTTCATAATTGTTGCCCTTTGTTTATTACTAGTTTTGTTACTGATAAGAGTTTCTAAAAATCGTGTACACACCGTAACTCTTTGTAAAAACTAATCCATGTGTTTCAAACATTGTTTTCGGTGTACTTTTTTCCACACCAAGAAACAAAAAAAGGTGATAGGCTTGTTCATACAGAAAAAAAAAATGCAAAAAAAAAATGTGAAGAAAACTGCAGATTATAGACAATAAAAGATATAAAAATTTATCATACACATTTGAAACATTTATGATGCGTGTCATTTTTAAGCGTTTTGCGGATTATCTGTGAATTTGTTAATATTCGCTAGTTGGGCCACTCAATTTTGCAGATTATAATCGGGAGTTTACTGTACATTCATAGCAACTATATAAAAAAAAAAATAGAAAATGTATTTGAAGTAACATTTTTTCTCAGAAGTTAGAAAATTTTGATCAATATCCTCGTAATCTATGGTGAAAATACAAATTTTTGGCAAAGAAATTTCTTAGAAATCTAAGTTGCACATAAAGAAAAAAAATTGCATCAAAACTTGCATTTTTTCTTTGGAATAGCTCTTATTGTTGGTTCTTTAATGTGTCAAAAAATTACATTTCACTCATATAGATATCATTATTTTAAAAAGAAACGCAAGTGGAACAAAATAAAATTACTTTAAAAAAAAAATTTTGAAAAATATAAATCAATTTAAAAGACAATAAAAACATACAATGCAACAAATCTTAAACAAGAGTGTGCTTTGGTTAGAATAAATTCAATGAGAGTAAAAATTATTGTTAAATTAAGGACTTACCTTTCAGCTATACTTAAAGCTATGTTTTCAAGTCGTTGCCTATTTGAACCAAGGACATTCATTTCTGGTGTAACTTGAGACATAAGCTTATTTAAAATTTCTATGACTTTTTCATGTTTCTAAAAATACAAAATTGTAAACATTTTTGGATGCAAGAATTATAAAATTTTGTAAAACAAATGCTACTTAAACACAAAGAGCTATTGTGGGTAACAAAAAAAAACAATTTTTTTGTATTCAAAAATTTTTCCCATTTATATACCTTTTTCATTTATACATTGTCTCAGTTCATTTTTAAAGCAATGTCAAAATAATTTGCTTGTACAACAGGAAAAGCATTCATTATTGGTTATAGATCTTTTTCTTTAAGTATATAGATCTCAGGGATGGAAATTAAGAAAATTTGTTCACTAGTATATGGACTAGAGACTAAAAGATATTACCACTCCATACACATTTTAACTGGTCTATTAGCAAGCTTCAATTAGATCCTTTTTAATAAAAATAAAGTCAATAAAGTGAATTTAAATGAAAGATTACTAAACTAAGAATGAGTAATGTTTACTAGTATGAGGAAATGTACTGTTTTGTAACAGTAACACAGACCAAAATACAAAATGAAAAATTCAGAAACAAAACAAACGTACCATTCTTTTACGTTGCTGGTCAGGGGATCTATAGTCAACATCAGGGTTGGAGTTTTTGCCGGCAAAAAGGGTTTTTTGCCAGGACAGTGGCAAAAACCTGGTAAAAACCGGCAAAAACTGGTAAAAACCGGCAAAAACCAAATCATCTAAATTGCTGATTAAATATTATTACAAAATACTTGAAACAAATTTAAATACATCATAAGGAATAATAATTTTGATACATTACATGAAAAAATTATTTTTAACATATTAATAATTAATATAATGGTAATAATTTTTAAAAGATTGAAAGTTTGTGATCTCTTTTCATTTTAGAATCCTAAAATAAATGTTTTTTTACAAATAAATAAATATTATTATTTGTATAATATTATTATTTATTATAAAAAATTATTATTTGTACAATAATTAACTACACATATTGATAGATATTTTATGCTTTAAATTATAGTTATATTAATTTAAAATAAGCTCATTTCACTGGGAAAAAAAAAGAATAATCACAAATTTTCCAATCAATAATGTTTTAAACTACTAGAATGATATTATTACATTATCATTTACTTATGGAATAATAATTTTGTTAATTTTTTTGTAATTATTTATATTTATAGTATATATTCCAATTTTAGGAATAATGTTGTATCAAAAATGTGTTTTTGTCCTCTCATCTTGGAAAATATAGGTTTTTGCCCCTTTTTGCCAATTTGCTTGGCAAAAACCTGTTTTTGCCAGGACGGTTTTTACCGGTATTTACCATGGTTTTTTCCACCTGCGGCAAAATCTTGCCAACCCTGGTCAACATTAAGATTTTTTGCGGTCCTGGACATATGAATCACTGTCAGTTTCAAGCCCTGATATAATATTTGTCCATGATTCGAAAAACTCAAAGTGGAACTTTAAAAACGAATTTCCCACCCCCTCTAACTGTATAGTACCAGTTTAGAACAAAAGGGGGTCTGTCTCTATTGTTTTCTATATCAATAATATTGGATGCCAAATTAACAACAATATTACATTTATCAATATTATTATTTCATAATCAATATATAATAATTTGCTTCATTTTCAGTTTTACATAGTCATTCATGGGTTGATTTATATTGGCCACCTGAAAAACATATAAACAGTGCTTCGGTATAAAATAATTTTAACTTACTTTTGCTAGGTCATAAAGTTTAATAGCATCTTCATAAAGTCCTTTGCTTTCACTGTCAGTAGCAACGATTTCGATTATTGCTTGCGTGTCAGTTAAAAACTTATCAACTGCCCCTGGCTACAAGAATTTAAAGCAAACTTATTAAAGCAGCAATCTAATGCAGGTAACAAAATAAGAATTAAAAATAAAAACACGAACAGTATTTAAGATACATTTTTAAATGTCAAACTTTAAAAAAAGTAAAACTGAATAAATAAAAATATATAAATATATATATATTTACTTTTCGACAGCCATCTGGCTCAATTTTTCCCAGCAACATTTCATACTAAAATGTAAAACAATATTAAAATTACTATCAAATTCAATAGTAATAAATAATTTAGCTTTTTAATTTAAAAATATACATACATAAATTAAAAAAATATTGTGCAGAGAGCTAATATACTAGTTAAAAATTTTATGCTCAAGTCTAATACACAAACATATACATGTTCACTAAAATAGTTATGTTAAATTTCAAAACAGAAAAATTGTTGAAATCATTATGTGAAGTTTTTAATTTAGATTAACAACCTTCAGTTGCTTTTAAAACATAAATTAGATTTTTTTTTAAAATTTAAGTTTATCATTCTTTTCTAAATTTAATAAATGAGAAAAAATATATATATATTTAAATATATAAGGCAACAGCATGGGGAGTAGCAGTGGAAATACCATAATGATACAATCGCAGCAAGATAAAGATCAATAAGAAATTAAAACTGTAATATGTAGGATTTAGGGATTGAAATCAAATGAATTTATTGTAAATTACTACATAAATTAAATTACATAAAAATACAGCACATAAAAAACTGTGCACCATTTTATTCCATTTAGTTTATGTTACTAATTTAAATCTTAATATTAGTCAATTCATTGAAAACATTTTAGAGTAGTGATTAATTTTCTATAGCATCAGAGATTTATCTTATATACTAAGATGCCAACTGATCCGGATTTGAAAAAATATTTTAAAAAGCGTTAGAGAACAACAGAGTAAAATATGCAGATTTTTAGTTAATTTTGCAACTTTTTAAAAGGCTCCACGCGGCTAAACTGTAACAAAGGGGCACATCACATAAGCCTTTGAATTATTTAGAAGTAGCGGTGAGTAAAAATCCTATAAATCGATTTAACTAAACCAAGAATCATACATTAAAAGACTACCACTCGAAAATATTTATCCGACTCCTCTGTATATTTATAATTAAAACTGTAAGTCAGCAAACTTTTATTAAAAAATAATAATAAAACTTTGTACTTAATAATTCAATTTACAAAAAATGAAACATATTAATATTAAAATTCCTCTCTTACCTCCTTTGTCTCCAAAACTAGTTCACTGATGCAAGCCATAAAGAGACTGATACCTCTGTTGCTCTTTAAGTCTCTAAAAAAAATTCATATTGTATGGTACATTTTATCATTTTGTAGAATAGGATAAAGAATATATTTCCAGAAATAGTTTTTGCATTTACGAAAAAAAAAAACGAAAGAAAAAATTACGATGTGAAACTGTGGGAAAAGGAAAAATCGCTAAAAAAATAAGACTATATCACTAAATAAAAGAAGACTATATAACTAAACAAAAAAAGACTATATCACTAAATAAAAGAAGACTATATCACTAAACAAAAGAAGACTATAGCATTAAACAAAATGAGACTATATCACTAAACAAAAAAAGACTACATCACTAAACAAAAGACGACTATATAACTAAACAAAAGGAGACTATATCATTAAGCAAAGGGCAAAATCACTATATGTCACTGATATCTGACCAATTTTAATATTCTTCAATAAATGCCTGCTTTTACATATTTACTTGGAGTATGACTGAAATATTGACTATCATTATTTCTGAAAAGCAATTTTGAATATTTGGCATGCACTGTTGAATAAAGATATTCTCCTTATGTTAAAATGAAAGTGCAACATTTAAAATAATTAAAACATATTATTATAAATGTCAAATCAGTAGAAATGTTATGTATCAACACATATAAAATGCAAAGCCTAAAAGAACAATATATTCTAAAACACAAAAAACAAAATTAATAACAATAATATACTTACACATAAATTATGAATATAAAATAAACCTATTTTTTTAATGTTGCAACTAAAATACAACTTTTTGAATTGTATTTTTTATTCCACATAGACTATTACCAGAATTTATAATCATAGTTAACATATAATAATAATGCTTTAACAGGGTGGCCACTCTCCAGAAGAAAAAAAATTCCCTGAGTTTTCCAGACTTTCCAGAGTAAATTTCTAAAATTCCAGATACCACAACGCAACATTAGCGAGACTTCATAAATTTATTAGCTATACAACAATATACANTCATAAGTGTTATTATTATCAGAGAATATTGACGATCTTTAATTTTAATCTTTTAAGGAAACTTATGAATGATGAGAAAAAAAAATCATTTCTCTCTTCTTTAACTTCAGGGAAAGTGAAAGTTTATTTACAAAAAATTTATAATAAATTTCCAAAAAAAAAAATCAAAAACCAGTAAGTAATTTTAAAAAAAATCTATGTTTAAATAAATCAATGTTAAATCTATGTTTGTTTAACCATAAATGTTTATGGTTAAACAAGTAATATTAAAAAGTAAGTAACAGTTTTCTTTGTCTGCTTCATCATCAAGCAAAACAGATTGGATTGCTATACTGTGTAAAAGTTAAAATTAGTTTCAGGGTAACAAAATTGAAACATGCAACATCTATACATGAGATAAATGCAAAAAGAAGAAAAACAAAGCTAACAAAAAGGGGAGGAAAGGTAACTAGGGTATCATGGATTCAGGAAATCCATATTTTTTCAACGACAAACATCACGAGAAAGTAAGAGAAAATAGCAAGAATCCAGAGTGATAAAAAAAGAGAGAATTTATGCAAGCACAACTGGTAACATTTCAAAATAAAAAAATTAAGAAGAATTATTCATTAACAGCTATAACCAACACCTCTAAACTGCACAAAAAAAAGTATTAGAAAAAAAAGCAATTTTTCAGAACACATATTTAATACAAAGTAGGATTTACAATGGGATTCATTTAAACTGTTTCAGAAATGATTCATATAAACAGTTATACAAAAGATTTTTTACAACCAGCTATACACTTAATTTTTAAGACCAGCAATATAAATGATTCATACAAACAACTATACAAGTGATTTTCATGACCAGCTATATGAATGATTTAGTGAACAGTTAACTAAAGATATACTAAAACAGTTAAGAAATAAAACATCTAAAACGTAATAAATAAAATAAGAAATTAAAAAAAAAACACCTAAATAAGAAATAAAACACCTAAAACATAAATTTTACCTAAGAACATAAAAATACTGTAATGCCTCTCTGGGATCTGTTGATTCAAATTTTTTTGTGTACATCGTGAGCAATCTCGATAAATTTAATCTTCTCATAGGAGCCTTACCATCTTTGGACACTAAAAGATAAAGAAATTTAATATCGTAGTAAAACAAATTAAAAGTTGAAAAATAATCAAAACTAAAAAAAAATTATAATTAATTAATTACAAGCTTAGCTTTGTGGGCTTTTTAAGATATTACTTATTATAAAACTTTTTGGATTTAATTTTTATTTCGAAAGAACTATTTACACTTTAAAGAAAACTTTCATAGCATAAAAATAATTCAATAATTAATTCAAATGTAGAACTATTATTTCCTGCTGATATTGATAAAAAACTGATAATTTCACTCCTTCACTTAGTATCTTTCTAAATAAATCACTGATCCATATGTTCCTATTGATTTTATTTTGGGTATTTTCTTACAATTTATTAAACTGAGTTTTAAAGCAAGGACATATATATATATATATATATATATATAAAATTTANACATTTACCTCTAGGTTGACATAAAAATGAAATAATAAAATCTTACTTACACAAAGGAGCATTACAACTTGCAGGAATAGCCAGCAAATTAAGTTCGTACAGTACAATAGCTATATGTACAGCATGGCATCTTAGTGAGTCAATCCTAAATAAAAACTCAATAGCAGCTTCAAACTGAGCAGTAAGGAATAAGACTTGAAAATATAAGAATGGTTGATTGTATGCATTAAAATGTGATTCACCTGCAGATAAAAAAGAGTAATTAAAACATAGTATCATAGCTTACTTAAATTTGCTTGAATTAAGGATTAATCATCTAACATTATATATGCAAGGAATTATGTATATGAACACATTTTCATACATATATATATATATATATAAATAAAAGTTAAAAATATAGAGAAAACATGGAATTTTCCATGTTTTCTCCATATTTTTAACTTATTTTATGAGTTCTATATACTTGCAGCTTATGCGCAGTAAATAAAACTTATTAACTTTCTTGTTTTTCACTTTTTTCTTTTCATCCTTTATAATATATATATATAGGTGGTAACGAGTTTGAAAGGTAAAAAGGTCTAAAACTTCTGTATGTTTGAAAGCAAAAAATGTACTATATTTGCAATGAAAAGATATAAACATAACAAAAATAAATATTTCTATTTCAAAAGCTCCTTTTCTAAACCCCTCTGAACAAAGCTCAAAAGCAATTTCTTTACTCAAATGAATCTTATTTTTATCTCTTGAACTTACAGCAACGGAGGTCGAATTCAAATGAGATCAGTTTCAAAGATGTACTAAACTAAGTTTTACCTAAAGAGCAGAACATTTCCTGGTAAAGCAAACGCACAACACAGAAATGAAAAAATATGTTTCCAGTACATTTTCAAGCATCATTATCAAAACTGAAAAATATTCCAACCAAAATTCGGCAATAATAGTTACCTTTGATGACTAATTTGTATGTGGTAATATCCCAAATTAATTAAAAAACTATCCTGTTATAAGTGACTAAAAATCTCTGTTGTGTGAATTTACTGAATAGCAGGTAATCTTTGATTTCACAAACAATGACGAAAATGGGACAATTATTGCCAAAATAAAATTAATATAAATTACCATATTCTTCTAAAAGCTGTGATTGAAGTTGAGGAAATGTTAGCGAATCTTGGGGCACATTGCCTGTCTCTTCTTCATCAGGACGTAACAGACACAGTTTCATCCACAAATAATCATCTGTCTTGTCCATTACGTCAGGGTTACTATCATCAGTAACGCGGCCAAGTAAGCAAAATACAGCCCTAATGAAATGAGCAACAATTTTTTTAATAATAATATTCCTGCTATAAATTTCCTTCAGAGAAAGGATATTATAGTAACTATATTCTAATGCAATACTATTGATAAAAGAAAAGAAAGAAAAGGAGAACTTAGAAATTAAAACAACAGATTTGAATTTCAAACAAAAGTCAATATATTGAATATTTTTTACCTTTTAAATGGATCAGGGCTGGAACGAACTGTTCGCCGATACTGAAGTTTGACTTGACTTTCACTGTTGGGTCTTAATCTAAAATGAGACAATGTGTTCAAAATTATAAATTTTAAACTTTGAATATGGTTTTGGAGGTACTTCATTTTTTTTAAAAATGTAAGAGATACAGAGAAACTATATTTTGCAAATTTGTATGCATGAAAACTACAGCTGGTTAAGTTGTAAAATATCTTAGTAATTTTTTTTTCTTTTTTTTGTTTTGTTAAATGAAGCATAAAATAAGAAAATTATTTATTTTTATTGAAATGGAATGCATTAAAAATATATATTAAATTTTAATTTATTACATATTTTAAATCGGTTATTTTTGTTTATTTATCCGTACTAGTATAAGTAGTTTTACTTCACAACAGCAAAATTTAAGTAATTTTGCTGCACCATTATTATAGACCAATAATTAGGACTTAAATTATGAAAAGGGAGAAAACAATGCATACAAACTTTACTAAGAAATCAATAAGAGTTTAAATTTCTCATGAAATCAACCAAAATAATAATAATATTATAATAAAATCATAATAAAGTTTTAAAATAAATCTGAATTCCATTTTTAAAAAAAGAAAAATCAACAACAAAACATTTTATCTTTCAATTACACAAAATGTATTTGTACCTGTGCTCCTCATTTTCTCCATACTCTATTAGAAAAGGCAGAAAATCCTTAAGGCAATCCCTAAATAAATAATAAATGTGTTAAATAAATATGTCACAATTAATTATGTCACAAATAATCATTAAAATAAAATTAAAAAAACTAAAGTAGCTGAATTAAAATAAATCGTAGTAAAAAGAACTTATACACCTTTATGACAAATAGACACACAATATGTTTTCAGAAATCAATAATCATAACGATTATGCAAGATCATAAGTATTACATGAAATGTTTTGTAAAACATAACACAATGAAATACTAATTATTCATTGAATCCATCCAATTACCCATCAAATTGGGTGACAAAACAACAATCATGGATTATCAACAAAAAAAATTTAAGAAAAGGCCTTTGCATGTGTAGTGTATTATCTGTAACAACATTCTTAATTTGTAATTGGCATTTTAATTTTTTAATAATATTCAAAAAAATTCCATTCCAAAAAAAAATTGTTTCAAGAAAAGTAAAATAAAGGTTGTTTGACAAAATCTTGCACAAAAAAAAAAATTTCTGTGAACTTTAATTATCTAGTGGAACAGATCTCATGCTGACCATATAATCCAATTAAGATATCTAAATACATGTTACTTAATTCATGTGATGTGTAATAATAAAAAATCTATTATTTAATACAAGTCAATGAATAGACATGTTTATTATTGAACGTAGTTAACTATCAGTTAAATCGTAAATTTAAATTTACTTTCTTGCAATTCAATAAAAAATCAAAGTGTTTAATTTACTAAAAAAAATTTATCCCTGAGAAATGCTTAAATAAGCATTTTGATACTTAATGTACAAAAGATTTTTTGCAAATCAACAAAAATATTAAATATACTTAAAGCTATTATGTATTAGCTAACACAATCAAGTATTTTCCACTAGAAACATTCAGTCCAAAAATCTTTTATTTTTTTCAAATGTTATTATTCAACATGCATAGTTGCAAATAAAAGTGTATTATTGTTTTAATCGGATTGAATTATAAAACAAAATCTGATGCAAAAATAATCAATATAAAATCATTAGAGTGTATCATAGTCATGGAATCTGCGTTTACTTGGAAAAGATAAACAGCCAGAAGGATATAAATAGTTGTCATATTAATGAATTTTTAAATACCAGCATATAATAAAACAAAATAGAAACACTAAAATGATAAAAACTGATAATTAATAATAAAAAAAATTTTAAGATTATCACAATAATTTTAAAGAAATAAAGTGAATTGCACAGTTAAAACATTCAATAATACAATTGTTACATATAATCATGTATGAAACAAGCTTAAATTTTACCCAGCATTCCTTGCAGCATCTATGGCAGCATCAATTTTACCACATCTCAAACAATAATAGAGGACAGCCCATACTGGGTTACCTTCAATTAAACCATCCTGGAAAAAAACAATAAAAATAACCAATAATCTTATTTAAAATCTACCTTTAATCCTCGAAGACTTCATGAAATTTAAAAGTACTTATTTTTCTTGTATAAATAAGTGCAAAACATAAAAAGAGCTAGTAAAGTTATAAACATTATTCCAAGAAATTAAAGATGTGCAATAGAATACATAATAAATTTAAGATCTAATTTTATATTAGTAAAGTATATTTTTATATTGATTCGGAAGCTTTTAAGGAGAATTTTTACTCAATATAAACTTGTTTTTCAAAATAAATATATTATTACTATGCACGTATTGGATTAATTTCTTACCAGTACAATCAAGTAAACTAGACCATAAAGTGATAAGATTTTAATTTAAGCAAAGAAGTGTAGGTCAAAGATTTTCAGGTAGGTCAACAAAAAATCTGTTTTCAGAAAGAAAAAATATGAGATTTAGTCAAAGAATTTTAAGAAATTCTGATCTGGCAGTATGAATTATACAGAATGACAAGAAATAACTTGGACAAAGTTTAAATCAATTTTTTTCCTCTGTTGACAAAGTATTTTAAGTTTTTATGTTAAGAACTCATCTAAATAAGTGTGTGTAAGTTGGTTGACTCTAGCAGATAGAGCTAAACTCATTGAAGTTTAGTGAAAGGCAGATTTTTCTATCTCTCTTACAGTGCAAGAATGACCGTCTTATTTTCCAGACTTGAATCCAATAGGTTTTTCTGTCTAGTCCATCTTAGAGATAAAAAATTTTTTTGCATAACTTCATGATCTTTGCCCTCTAAAAAAATTTTGTGCTAGGAATGGGACACAACATCAGTAGATGAGTTGTGCCCCATGGCACTAAAGTTTGTGACATATTTACAGCTCTGCGTTAGGGCTAAAAGCAGTTAAAATTTAAATCTATGCAATAATAAAAAAGAATGCATTGTTTTTCAATTAAACTTTGCTTAATAATTGAATGCTTGTAATATATAGAGTATTTTTTACTTCAAGACCAGCAGGTGGAATTGGAATTTTCATTTTCAAGAAACTTCTTATGTTATAATATGCACCAGGTCTTGATCCCAATTCAGCCTGCAATAAATTCCCATAAACTATTCCTTGAATGAACTCAAAGTATCTGAAAAATAAATAAAAGTTTACTTTAAAAACATATTCAACACCGAGAAGATTCTATTTATATCTACATTCTATTAATACAGTCTATCTCAATTTTTTTTATTTTATAAAATACAACTGTTGATAATGTAGTTCTTTCATAGATTTGCCTTTGAATTAGAAATGAAAAGCTGATGATAAAATAACTTACTTTTCTTCCAAATACTTGCGAGCCTGTTTAATCAGAGAAGTTTTCATTAGTAAAGATGTCCTTGATGTGAGAACATCTTTATCTGCTTTCAATGGAAGGTCAGTCATAATTCTGACCATTTCCCACAGTTCCACAACTTTCTAAAAATAAAAAAGTTTATAATTCATATCATTAAAAAAAAGTTGGGCAAAAAAAAAATTCTTATCACAAAAAAATATTCTCATGCACATTCAAAAATGGTGAATATTATAGATATTACAGTTCAATGCTAACATTTGCAGTGATAATAATATAATTATTATCACAGTACAATGTAAACACATTGCAATAAAAAATTTGATATGACATAATACATTATAAATGCTAGTAAAGAACTTGCAGTGTAAGTTTTATAAATAAAGAAAAAAAAGATGAACAAGATAAAATATATTCTTACACACATTTAGAAAAGAAAATTTTTTTAGTTATGAGATATATTAATATTTTACCTTATCGTCCAAGTTTTTAAAGTACGAGTGGAATTTCTCTGCTAAGTTACATTTGATACCTCCCCTTACTACCTGTTCATTATATAATGAAAGCTGGAAAAGATAAATAAAAATAATATTAGAAATATGAATCATGTTTATTAAATAAATGAAATCCCAAATGCAAATTCCTTTAATTATGGCAATTTTTTTGAGCCTGAAACAGATTTTGTAGGCCAGCTTCCCACTATGTTCTTCAAGGTGCGTAGCCAAATTATTCAACAAAAAATAAGCACCTTTTAAGCACTTTTCAAGCACTCAAATAATATTTTTAAGCACTGTAAAACAGGGTTGGAAAGTTTTTGACAATTGACGGTTTAATCTGGTTTTAACCATCATATCAAAAAAAACAATTTTTTGACATTGTTTTTGACAATTGTTAAAATTTTTAAATCATGTAAATCGAATGGCGTTTTCATACACTACGGACTGACGATGCGCCAAAATAGAAGGGGTTCAAGACCCCTAATTATGCCATAATCACATGATGAACGAAGGAAAAATTTAAAATTTTAGTTGAGTTCTCTTAATTAATTTCTTAATGCTAGTAAAAGTGAAAGAAAGCCTTTGCTATATACCAGAAAAATAATCAAATTAATTATTTTTATTGTACAAAAAATTTTGTTGGAAAAAATATCTCTTCCAGCACACGCATTTGCATATTTATTTGCAGACATAAAGAAAACACTTTAAGAAATGTATGTATTAATTATACTGTGTAAAAATATTTTATACTTAAAATAATTTAAATTAATGATTTTTTTTTTAAATTATTTAAATCAAAAATTTTAGTTTAAAAAAATCAATTGGTTTAAATAACGATTTTAATCATGATTTAAATCATGCCAAACCTACTCTGATAACCAAAAAAATTAAAATGTTATCATTTATAAATAATTCAGTTCTTTGAAATTACTTAACAATAAGCAGCTGATTTCACTAACTAGTGATTATACAAACTGATGGGCACTGTATTACACATATAGACTTAAGCAAACATCTTATATATATATACACATATATATTAAATATATATATATAATTAAAGTTATTTTTAAAACAAATTCTCATGTTTATGATAATATAGAGCACACTTACTTCTTTGGCATACATCATTTCAGTATTATCCATTGTACTACGGGAATTTAAATTCATAGTTTCACTCATGAAGGACTAGAAATAAAAATAAAAAATATTTCATTCATTAAAAAAAAAATTTAAAAATTATAAAACACTGTTAATATATTAAAGGAATATAATGATAAGGAAAAAAAACTAGCAAACAAAACTCCTACACCCTTTAAATTTTATGATTGTTATTTTACACATAAAAACAATTGTCTATTGTTTAATATTGTTTCATTTAATTGAACAGAAATAATATTCTATGTATGAAAAAAATTAAAATAAAAAAACTGTTCATTCATGACTATTGCTAAATCTGTCTAACCTGATTAAATTACAAATGCAGTATTTGGATAAATTAGACATAAAGAGTAGGGAAACGTAAATCATTAAATAAATAAAATATAAATTTTTAAAGTTTATTTTTTAAATTCCTTATGCCATAGCAACTTACTATTGAAAAAAAAATTTCCGCTTGGTTAAATACAATACAAATAACTTTATATGTCAATTTATTTATTCTTTTGAATTCCTTAAGTTTACAAATGGGACCTTAAACTTAGTTTTATAAATTATTAATGTTTCAATATATTTTGATTCCCATAATTTTTAAAAAATATGCTAGTTTATTCAAAAATTATTTAAAATCAAATTAATTTTTTTTCTTTGTTTAAAAAAAATTTAATTATCAAAAAATTGTTTCTCTGATAAAGAAAAAATTAATTTTCTAAAAATTTTAAAGATGTAAAAACCTTACTTTCTAAAATTATTTTGAAAAGGTTATCGTATCTTAAAAATTTCAGACCAAAAAAACTGTTTTTCAGAGTAATATTAGGTTTTGAGATTTTCCGCACTCCTGTTCAAACGAAGTTTGTAGTCACTACTGTTTCTTTTTAAAAAATCTACTGTCGTTAATTACATTTGTAATAAAGTTGTAGTTAATTATTTTTAAAAAAAATTTAGTTTTTCCAATCACTGCTTCTTTTAAAGTACAGTTATTAAATTGAAAATTGTTTCACCTATTTAGTAATTAGCAGGCTTTCATTAGTTTTTTTTTTCTTCCTTTCCTTTATATAATCGCTAGGGGCCATTTATAAATTATGCTACTTTTTTTAAAAATATTTGTAACCCCCTCGTCCCAATTGTCACCAAGTGTTACACTTCACTATACTCCCTTTTGTCACAAGTCACACTATATTACATAAACATATAAACAAAACCTTACACTATATATCATATTTTTAATGACATTTGTGAGCATGATAATGATTGCATAAATACTTATTCTGATGAAAAAACAAAATGTAAAAATATTTTATCAGCAAATATCTAAACTAATAATAAACTACCTCAAAATATGTGATATCATACTTCCTGTCAACCCCTTGATATCCTTTGGACACAATTCCAGGGACCACTTCCTTCCAAGTGTGACATCATTTGTGGATAGCCCCTTGCCTACCAAACTCCAAGGAGGAATAACCCAGAAGACTTCATGCACAAAAAATTAAATGCGGGGCACTTTACAAGCATAAATTAATTAGACTCTCTCCAATATTTTTTTTTTGTATTGTTAAATCCTATATGATTTTTAAGCATTCTTAAAAATTTAACTAATTATTAAAAGACTAAAAAACTTTTAAAAATTGAACTCACATTCTAAAAAAATATAAAACACTAAAGCTTGAATATCTAGGAAATATCGGAAGTTTTTTTCTTTCTAACTAGTGAAATATGTTTAAAATTATATATAATAAACCTTATCTAAATTATTTCTTAATTTTTTTTAGACATGTTCAGTGAAAGAGAAAATGTATTATGAAATGGTAACTCTTCTTTTTTTTTGCAATGTATTATGAATAATTAACTCACTTTAAAATCAAAATTAATGTAAAACAAAACTCAAAAATGTCGGAAATACAATCTGAGTAGAAACTTAAAGGCAAGTGAAAAAAAATTTTTAAAAAAATATATATAAGTCACTTTTATTTCATTATCAATTTTATTTTATTATCTCGCCTCCTAATAAGGTGATTCCCAGCGATGAATTTGAATTCCCCATTCAGGTCGCACTGGGCCGACATAAAATATCCTCAGTGGTAGACAGATCATGGGTTAGAGTCTCCAAGCCGTCAGACTGACTGTGGGAGGTTTTTGTGATTTTCTCTCCATGTAATGCAAATGTGGGTTAGTTTCATCATAAAGTCCACGCCTAGGGCAAAATTTCTCCCAATACTTGATCCAGGAGTTCCCTTGTTTTCTGGATTGGATCCAAAATTACAAGGCTACAGAGTTCAATATTGGTAGTGTAAATCCAAAATTGGGTCGGCTGCTCAATGACAGTTATAAAATAAAATTTTCCAAAAAGATAACTTTTACATACTATCATTAGAAAAATTTGGTTAACCCAAACATAAATAAACAAATTTGCACTTGTAAACATGGGATAGATAAAAAAATCTACACAAAAATTTCTGCATTTTTCTAATACTGAAAATGAAATAAATGCATTGTCTTGCCAGCAGTTTATTATTACTATTTTTTGAAATATAGGACAAAAAATAACCTGCAGATAGTGTGATACACGGTTTCTGCTATCGAAGTTAAACCAGAATATTAAGCAATGGCTCTTAAACAAGCAAGCTACAAAATTTTTTTTGCATTATTTCATTAAATACTATTTTTTAAGCTGGCTCACGTTGAAATATCAATTTTGTACACATATTTTTCTGATAATTATAATATTACAAATACTGTTTGTTATGATCCTGCATTATTTAACACAAAAATATTTAAAACCCTTTCATTTTCAGTCACTCAAAATTCTTTCAAGGGAATTAAAGTTTTTATTCAGACTGTATCATACTGAATGACTAGTTAGACTATTCAGACTACATCATATCTAATATAGTTAGTTAATAACAAGTCAAATTATACAGTGACTTTCAATTTGCTGAAATCAGAGACTAATTTGCTTAATTTCAAAAATAATTTAATACCTTATTATCTGGAGTGACATCTAATAATTCATTTGATGGACCAAGAAGAGCATTTAAAATTTTCATTTTCTCTTGTTCCCATTCGCTTTGTAGAGTCTCCCAAATAACTTTATCAGCTTTTGCAAACGTCTAAAATATACATTAAAATGAGTTAAAATTAAAAAATATAAACATTAGTAAACAATACTTCATGAGGATTAATGATTGACACTGATTTGAAATTCATTTAGCACTAAATCAAAATCAAATTAGCAAAGCACTATACCAGTAGATCTGGAAGTACCAACAAAGAGATGTTGCTAAAAAGGTTGAATAAAGCTATAATATAATTTACTTTTATTTTACTTACAGCATAAAACAGTATAGCTTTTTTTAAGGTAGTAAACAATACAGTAAGAAACAAGATTGAAGCAGTAAATATAAAATTTTGTTAAACTTTTCTCTTATTACTTACAAATGAATAAAATTTACAAATTAATAATATTACTCCTTTAATTTTATTGTTATTCTAATTTTCAGAAAAAATTTACTATGAATGCAAAATACTATCAACACAGACATTTATGTTTCAGAATTAGTCTTTTGAATTATTAATTCATAAATCCAAAAATTTTAGCTTTTCAAATCCTTTGAAGCCTAAACAAATAATCATTAAAGTAAACTCTGGGTTTTTCAAGAGTAGATTATTCACAATGTATGCTCAATTCTAAAAATTAAAGCATCATTGCATTTTAAATATTTTTGTTTAAAATAAAAAATAATAATTTATTTCTTAACTCTAGACTTATAATAGGAAAGAATAGTTGGACTAGGAAAGAATAGTTGATACCCTCTAGACTAGGGATGGGCAAACTTTTTTAATCAAGGGCCAAAAATAGAGAAAAAAAAATGTTTGGTGGGCCAAGTAAAACTTTCAAAAATTTTTTAAAAAAAAGCGATATACAAGTTTTTATTTAAATATTTAGTGAGATGAATGAAATTGCGATTTCATTTTTAAAAATTCTTTACATTAAGGTTCGAAGTGATATGCGCTTATTTTAAGGAACAAGGCTAAATGCTTTTCTGTTAGTCTACTTCTGAAATGAATTTTTCTAAGGTTCATGGTTGAAAACTCTTGTTCACATATATAAGATTAAGCACACATAGTGCTGATTTTCTGGGCATGAAATATTAAATTTTGGAAACTAGCTTTTAGTTATGATTTGTAAAACTTTGGCATATTTAGAAACAACTGCTTCAGATGATTGTTAAATTGTCCGCTCGTTGGATCTTAAAATGCGCAGTCTGATAAATGTGAAGTACAATTTACCTATATTAGATTCCTCGAGAAAGACAAACACTAGTTAGAGCCAATCTAAGGCTGTTCTATAAAGAACTTCTGTTTGCAACATTTTACCAGTTGAAGCTGTCTGTGCTAACTATTTCCATCAATTTATGTTTTGTAGAACAAAAATAGAGAAAGTAAAAAGGTCATCAATACTTTGTTAAAAAAGGAAAAACAGAAATAATTTTAAATAGTTGACAAGAAAATGGATCAGGGTTCCCACTCTATAATGAGATTGAAATTCAAGGACTTTCCAGGACTTTTCAAGGACCTCAACAAAATTTTCAAGGACCTTAATCTAAGACCAAAAATTATTCTCTTCTATTTCACTAGAAGCAACAATCCTTGTTGTGGTAATAATTAATTTCAAATACAATACCTAAATGCTTTGCCTATATAGAGAGAAGAGAGTATATGTATTATGAACTAAAATTTATATTTTTTTAAAAACAACCCTACTGGTTTTACATATTAATTCACAAAATCATTTTCAGCACAATCTATAACAAATGGTAATGAGGTGTTAATGGTGAAATCCTTTAATCCTGTGTATTTCCATGTGAAGGCTGCATGAAAGACAGAGCTAAATCTTAGGTATTCCATATTCCATGACTATTCCATAACCCCCTCNAAAGTGGAAATAACTGTTTAAAAAAATTAGAAGGAACATATCCCATTTTCACCATGTTTAAAAGCATTATTCGTTATGTGTAATCCGCAACTGCCAATGAATATGACTTGGTGGGAATATTTCTCTTTTAATTCACACTGAAGCTTCTAATAGAATTTCCAATTGACATAGGGTCCATACATGGATAATTGAAGTATTTTAGAGGGCTTTCAACCATCATCCATGCATTTGTAAAAAGAGGAGAAAATATTTTCTGCAGTTCCATGACCCATAAATTGGGAGGTAAGATAGTGCTTAGTGCAAACTTTATTATCAATTCCTTACCATAATGTCCATCTGCTTAGATTGTAGAGACTGATTTAACGTCTCATCAAAGAGTACAGTGTAGCAATCAACATTCTTCAGCTCATTTATAAGAATCCCTTTGAAGTATAGTGCCAATCCAAAGGAGCCCAAATAGGCTCACTTTGTGGCACAACAAAAAAATTGTCTCGCTATACAGCTATCAGCAAACATTTTGGAGTACAATTTACTAATCCCTTCACAGGAGTTACATGAATAATTTACTAGTGATGCACTTCAGACTCCAGAGAATTTCAGCATCAAGCACATTCCTTTTGACCAGATACGAAGACAATGTTACCTCGGCCACTAAAGTTTCTATTTCACTTGGGGCACACGATGTTGAAGGAGTATTTACACCAGATGAATTAGATGTTGATGTCTTTGGAAAAAGAGAACTCAGGGCATGAGACTGCTTTTTTGTTTTACCTTTCTTTCATGTGTGATTTCAGAGCAGATTCTTCCATTTTTGCGATATCGATCTCCTTCATGCATAATCGGCACTTGGCTCTGAACTTCTTTTCAGGCATTGATAAAATCCATTCTTTATAAGCTTGATTATCCATCCATTGGGGGTTAAAAATAGCACTTCCCAGGCATAACTAGTCTAAACTACATAACACAAATATGAAGCCGTGCCTTTGCGAATACGCTTTACAATAAAGTTTTGAAATAACACAAACGTAAGGACAAGTGCGGATGGTAAAACGGCACATTTTTTGAAAACTACAAGGTACATATTGTTACGAAATTCGAGAGTATTCCACTTTCGATAAGAAAAAAGAAGATCTAAGCATATGCGACAGAAGATGAAGTGGAGTCTCACCCCGAACGCATTGATTGTCTGCTGTGCTCCGCGCGCTTGGCAGACACCAAGACACTAGGCAGGGTTAGAATCGGTGGCGTTAAAAACCACGTGAGAGAGCTCGGGAACAAAACAGAAAGAACGAGAAGGATCCGCGGGTGTTTTATAAAAAGGGCCGCCGGCAGTATTGGACAAATTCAAGGACCTATCAAGTTTTTCAAGGACCTAAGACGTTTTTCAAGCACTTTCAAGGACCTAAATTTAGCATCAAAAAATTCAAGGACTTTCAAGGACTCTCAAGGACCGTGGGAACCCTGTGGATGTATATTGTTTATATTTGTCACTGATCGGCAAATTAAAATTCTATCCGTGGGCCGGATAAAACCTTCCGGCAGGCCACAGTTGCGGGCCGTAGTTTGCCCATCCCTGCTCTAGACAGTATCAGGTTGTGGGAATTTACTACAATTATACAAATCAGTCAACTTCAATTTTCTATGTTTTAAAGTGGAAAAATTTCAGTCTATTAGATTAAAAAAATTTTAATTAGATTAGCTTATCAGATAATTAATGGGTGAGCAGATGAACTTACAGCTTTCTTTGATTCCTCAATCACTGACAGCATGGCATTCTCCCTCTCATTCTTTAAGAAACCCTATAAGGAAAATAATAAAATATAAATTACTTGCAATAGACAGGTCATACCCATGCAATGATACACTCTTCTAAACAAATGCTGTAGCTCTAAACTAAAATTTTTAAAGTAGTTGTAAAAATATCATACACAGGGTTGGATTAAGGTATGATGGGGTCCTACCTATACCAAATTAGCTAAAATTTATCGATATTAAAAAATATTGAAAATTTTAAGGAAATTCAATTCCAGTAAAACTTGCTTTACAGAAAGAAAAAAAGTTTTTTTGAAATTTTTATTTTTTTCAAAAATAATTCCATTAAGCAGTTAAATATGCAGGTGTGATTGTGAGCCCAACTCAAAAATCCAGAAAATTTCTTGAGTAAAATAATTAATGGCGCATTAAAAAAAATTAATGTCTTTATAAAATTAAATCATTGATATTTTCAAAACATGAAATTCTAAATAAATTATATGCAGCATAATTTAAGTGAATAATTATGTATAAGTTTACTTTTATCTCTAATCAAATATTATTATTCTACCAGAAAAAAATATTTTCAAATGAAAGAGATGCCAAATATAAATTCTAGCTCTAATATTTTTAAATAAAATATACAAGAAATTTTATACATAAATGTGATCAATGATTTCTTGAAACTTCTAAACCTTAAATTTCCGGAAACTTCCGGATCGCGGCTAGCGAAATATCCAGATTTTTTCCACAGCACAATTATCTCTGAATGCGATTAAGTGGATATGTCAGTAAAAATATCCTGTATGAAATCATAAATGGTAAGTCAAAAAAAGAACTATCAAACACAGAAACTTTAAAAATTGGAAGAATAAATCAAAATTTTCCTTTTTATTAATTTCCAAAATATTCAACAAAAAATAAGCACCTTTAAAGCACTCAAATAATATTTTTAAGCACTTTAAAAAAATATCATAATTAGGCAGGGTGGAAAAGTTTTTGACAATTGACGGTTTTATCTGGTTTCAACCATGTCCAAAAAAAAAAAACTTTTGGAATTGTGAAAATTTTTGAATCATGTAAATCGAATGACGTTTTCATACGCCACGGACTTACGATGCGGCGAAATAGATTGGGGTTGAATTAATTGTGAAAACGTTGAATAGAACAATGTTTACAGTGCCTTTCTGCATAATTCGTAGCAAAAATCAACATGGTAAAGGAAAAATCTCAATTTGGAAAAAGGAAAATTAAGCACCTTTTAAAAGCACCCAATGAAAAAAGCACCTTTGAGGGCTTTTAAAAAACAAAAATAAGCATCTTTAAGCACTTTTTAAAAAATCTACGCACCCTGTAATATTTTTGCAAAACAAACACCACAAAAAATTTTGAGTCTCTTGAAAGTGGTAACAAGGTAACATTCGAATATGTCCATCCCTCAGAAGAGGTTCAGGAAAATTCAGAAAGGGAAATTTCTTAGTTCAATTAAAAAAAATATGGCTGTAAAATTTTTTATTTTATAAAAAAAATAATAATAAAAGTGGGATCTTAAATTTAGTTTCATAAACTATTACTATTTCAGTATGTTTTGGTTTTTCTTATTTTTACATATATGATTTTTTTATACATATAAATTACGTGAAATCTAATTTATCTTTCTGCTTTGTTAAAAAAAATATTATCAAAACCTTTTAAAATATAAACTAAACTTTCATTTAAAAAAACTCTGTTAAGGGGAAATATTAGGCTTTGAGAATTTTCTGCACTCCTGGATGGTCACAGATAAGTAGTTTAAGAAAAGCTTTCTACATTCGGAATTTTACATTCAAATCACATAATACATTTTTAATGATTTGAAAGGAAGATTGTAAAACATTGTGCATGAAAACATCTAAAATTTTAGAAAGTTACAAAATCAATTTTACCTTCAAATTTTTTAGATATCTTGTGGGTCTCTAAAAAAATTTGTGGGCTTGGGGTTACAGTTCTAGTAACTCTCCTCTAAATCCATCCATGATAATTACTACCTCAATTTTTAACTTCAAAATTTGTAGTTAGAAAATATGTACAACTTTTTAAACCCTTTTAATGTAAAAGTGCATTGAAATTATGCATTCAAAATTATGTATATAATAAAATAAAGTAAATTTTTGGGGCTCAAAAACCTTGAGATCAAATTCTAAAATTCACAGATAAGAAATTTAACATAAATATAAATGTTGACCAGAAATTGCGCACTACAATGTCCAAGTTTGTATTATTTTTAATACTATTTTCAAAACAAAACTTAAATTTTCTTTTAAAAATGAAATCCGAAGTCATGTTTATATTATTACCATTAATTTATCCACATTGTTTTTTCATCACTTGATTTATTTGGTTAAAATTTTGTCAAAATGAATTATTTTTTTCACATTGTCATTGTTTTCTATTTATATAATAACTTTTTTGTAAAAACTGAATCAAATGTTTGTGCACAATTTTTACACAAACCAGATTATCACTCAGAATGCATAATGATTAAAGCAATATTTTCAAAGAAAGCAAAGAATTATTGTGAAGCCGCAAAGCTTCTGAACATAGTAGCTAGTTTTCTACAACAACAAAAAAAATTACAAAAAAAAAAAAAAAAAAAAAAAAAAAAAAAAAAAAAAAAAANAAAAAAAAAGTAAAATAGCTTTTTAAATTTCCTAAAATTAATCGAAATATTCAATTCTCTTCAAATATATATAACTTAAGTATGCATGTATGACATACTTAATTTTAATTGAAATTAGAAAATTACTGATATTTTATTGAATACTCGAAAATTACTCTAAAATTGTGCACTTATAGAAGCTTTGTAACAAAATTTTTTTTATCTCAATTTAAACCCTGAGCCGCGTTCTCAACTGAAAATATAATATGTGCTATTTTCATCAAGTGGAATTATTCATAGCAGAAAAAACAACAACAAAAATAATTTTTCATTTGGTTAGATTTGAAATTTTTAACACATTTTTCTTTCTTGAACATAAAAACTATAAATTTAGAGCCTTCATTTACTTTATATGTTTATTTTTTATGTTTACTATATGTTTATTATTATATCTTTTTTCATAATGTGCATACATAGCATTGTTAAATAATAGTGTTGTGCATCAGCAGAGTGGCAACCAAACAAGTTTATTGTAAAACAATAGTTTTATGTGTTTGTGTGTCAGCAGAGTGGCAACAAAACAAGTTAAGCATTGTAAAACAATAGTTTTATGTGTTTGTGTGTCAGCAGAGTGGCAACAAAACAAGTTTAGCATTGTAAAACAATAGTTTTTGGGTCAGCAGAGTGGCAACAAAACAAGTTTAGCATTGTAAAACAATAGTTTTATGTGTCAGCAGAGTGGCAACAAAAAAATTTAGCATTGTAAAACAATAGTTTTATGTGTCAGCAGAGTGGCAACAAAACAAATTTAGCATTGTAAAACAACAGTTTTATGTGTATGTGTGTCAGCAGAGTGGCAACAAAACAAGTTTAGCATTATAAAACAATAATTTTATGTGTTTATATTGTTATATTTTTGTGAAACTTGCAGAGTGGTAATAAAACATGTTTAGAGTTGCAAAATAATAATTTTGTGGCCTTATATTGCTATATTTTCATGAAACTTGCAGCAGGATGGTAACTAAATTGTTGTCTGAGGTTTAACATTTTATATACATCTTATACTTTTTTACTTATAAATATATGTTTTGTGCTGTTAAAAAAGGACCGTAATGCAAGAGAAATTTGAATTTCATAGGGTTGCAATATTTATTCCTATTCGGGCATTTGAAGAAAGTAGCAACAATAAAAAAGCATCAAAAGTGATTGACAAGAAAAAAATGCACCAAAAGTGGTTGGCAAGAAGAAAAAAAAACACCAAACACCTGCAGAAGGCCTATAACAAATCAGTACCACACTTACATTTAATACACATCAGAATTAATTTAAGCAAATGAACCCTTTGAAATCTTAAAAATTCTATAAGAAAGAATGCTGATAAAAAATAAAACCACAATCACTATTAACCTGTATAAGTTTGTCAAATATGACAATTAGTAATAACAATAAACAATATCAAATACAAATTTAAATATTTAAATTTAAAGCATTATTTCTCAGATTAACATGAAACAGATTAAACAATTTGTTAACAGAATTCAAATAAAATCTTTTTACACTTTCCCTATGCTGAAATATACAATTTTGAATAGCTAAATACATCAAATTTCATTTCAGAATGTTTTGATTCAATTCATGTTTTAATTCAATTCATGTTTAATTCAATTCATGTTTAATTCAATTCATGTTTGTTCATGAATGTTTTAATTAATTCAATTCAACAAAATTCTGGTACTTAAAAACATAAATACACTTTCAGCAATTAATACTAAGACGTACAAAGTTGATTGAGGATCAAATAATATAACTCTTGCAATGTTTTATTGCAATATTTGTGTGTGTGCATGTATGTATATAATAAAAAAATACATTAAGTCCTTTCACCAACGTACAAAAGAAAAATTAAAGAGAAGGAAAAAATAAGAAATATAATTTTAAAAATTTAATAATGGGTCCATACCTGAATATCAGTCTCACGAATAGGTTCAATGGGTTCAAATGTTCTTGCAGCAGTCAGTGACTCCAATTTCTGGCTAATTTTTGGCAAATCATATCCTTTACTGCCAAGCAAAATGGATCTGAAAAAATAAGGAAAATGTTTGATTGAAAGTCCCTTTCACATTAAAATGCTTTTATAGCAGCTTGTGCAAAATATATTGCAACCATCACCTAGACCAGGGATGGGCAAACTTTTTTGGTCTGAAGCTGTCTGTGCTAACTATTTCCATCAATTTATGTTTTGTAGAACAAAAATAGAGAAAGTGAAAAGGTTAACAGTACTTTGCTAAGAAAAGAAAGAACGAAAAAAACTTTAAAAACAAAGTAGACAAGAAAATGGATGTATAATGTATATTATTTATATTCGCCACAGATCGGCAAGTTAAAACTCTGTCCGCGGACCGGATAAAACCTTCCGGCAGGCCACAGTTGCCCACGGACTGTAGTTTGCCCATCCCTGACCTAGACCACCACCTCAGTTTGTCTGATAACATTTTAACAGGATTTTAGAACAATGGGTACAAACTTGTCTAAGAAATAAAAGCAGTTGAAGCATATTGCTAGCAATGTTGCCACCATTGTGACATTGGTAACAAATTAGTGGAGACTTAATCTCCCTGGCAACCCAAGGACACCTAGGGGGTAACACTCTAAAAAAAATTCAAGACTAAACTTATTTTTTGACCAATTAACATGGTTTATTGTTACTTATCAAAATTTTTTAGAAATTCATAGCTCACTTTCCATGAGAAGGGGACATACATTATATAAAACTTGATTATTTTTTCTAAAAAAACATTTTTTTTCTTCTTTTTATTAGTCTATTTTTTGCGACAGACAAAAAAAAAAATATAACAACTAACCCAGTGTTTTCATCATAGAAAAAAAATGGGTGAGAATTTCTCACCCTTTCTCAAAAACAGGGTGAGATTTCAAAAAGTTAAGTGAGATTTCTAAAAAAACAAAAACTCTTGAAAAAAAAAATCATTTCTTTAATTATAATACATTGTTAACGTCTTCTATTTTTTAAAGCATTGAATTTTTTTGGTGCATCATCATAGAAGATTTTGCTTTTACAAGGTATTTGTCCATCTTACATAAGTGCATAAAAATTTTGAACGTCTTACATGAAGAAACTTTACCTACGGTAAACGCGTGGTTGCAGAGAAATGTATTCTGAAAGGGGTTCCATGGTTGTGTTCTGTTGTTCGAAGAGGTTCTGAACAATACTGGTAAATAGGGAAGCTAGATAATGGGGCAGATGTTGAAAATAATGAAAGATCCAGGAAGAAAAGATAAACAGATTTTATTCTAAATGGCGTAATTCGAAGTTTTTACCAAAATGCGAGAAATTCGTGAATTTTGAAATTGATTTATAGAATGCGCGAATTTCTCGCTGTAATCATTTTTTAATGCGAGAAAAGTAAAAAATATGCGAGATTCTCGCGTTCTCGCGCTGTAGTGAAAACACTGTAACCTCATATATCCTTTTACACAAATCCCTGATATACACCACTAAATTTTTCTTGGAGCATATCTTTACTCATTTTTCATGTCTTATCATTAATTTCTTGTCCTAGATCTATACATTTTCCTTTTTTAAAAAATAATCTTAATTAAGCTTTGTCCAGCATCTCAAAATTTTTGGGGGAAAAATACAAACTCAAGAAAATTCAGATTTAACAAAAAAAACTTCAAGCAGATGCTGAAATTTCATTCTTCAGGATTAACAATACTGGTATAAACTATAATAAGAAATTCAAATGTTTTCATTTTACATATAGATAAACATTGGTGGCAAGCAACCTGATTTAAAATTAACGAAAAACCTGTGAGTTACTGGTGGAAACACTAGTAAATAAAAAAAAAAGTGAGTGTGAAATTTGTGAAAATAAAAAAAAATTCTTATAAACCAATGCATATTTTTAAGTAATCATATGAGCAAACACACTGTTTCAAAAAATATTTACAAAATCTCATAAAAAATAACAGAGTGATTCTTTAGCAATAGAATTACAGTTCAGAGCAAATTTGAAACATGCCTTTAGAAATGCATTGAGTTAACAAGTTTTATTTTTCAAATATATATTGAGTACAGCCAGAAAAAAAATTTTTGAATTTGTTTAAATTTTTAAATAAACTATCTATAAAAAAAAAAGTCTTGAATGCTTAGTAACAGAATGACAGGAAATGAATTAAGGCAAAAGTGCTCTTTGGTTGAATATTGTAGAGTACTTTCATTCTGAATTTTATAAATAGGTCCACTAGATACAACCATTATTAAAAAATATTCATTATTTATTAATTTTAATTACAATTAAAGTAGCAGTATTAGAATCACTTTAGTGGTAGCAGAATTAAATCTACTGAACATGAAGAACCAAACTTTAATTCCTGAAATTTATTTTACAAGTATTTAACTTTATATTGTAATTTTTAGCAAATCATCCAGACCATCTTTAACATCTCCTGTGATCCACTTGCCGTTCAGATAATGCTATCAAAACATCTTTCTTTTTAACATAATCAAAGTCATCAAGAAATGGCCAGATAATATGCATTGTATTATTTTTCATAAAACATAAAATTATTTTCCTTTTAATAAAAAAATATTATTACATTCCATTGAATTGGACAAATCAAACAACTATAAATAAAGGTGAAAAGTTTTATAAAAAAATTTAAAATTTCTTTTCTCTCCATTCTGATAAAAAAAAAATTACTAAGTTAAAAACAACAATGTCAATGGTAAGACTTGACATAGTTTGTCTAAGCTAAGAACTCCTCCTGCCACAAAGTCTGAGGCCATCTGGTGCTATGGAAACAAGAATGACGCATTTTAGGGAGGGTAGCTTCACTCTTGGACTAACACAATAGACCTCTTCGAGATTCCTTTTCTCTCGCTGTCCCGGGCCGAAACCACTCCAATCAGTTACCCCGCACCCCTACTGGAAATAGTCATACCTCGTTACCATAGTCACCGCCACAGGTTCAGGCGAACCTTTGGAGGAGTTCTTATTTTATAAAAACTATACTTTATACTCAGTAAAAATTAAATGTTTTAAACCCAAATGATCATCTTCACAGAATTTAATCCAATTTATAATTATTCACTCGCAAATGTGATGTTTAGCTATATTTAATATGACAACAGAATACCCTTTATTATTTAATTAAATATAGTAGATCTTTCCATTTGAACTAAATTAGAAACAATAATAATTACAGTAGCTATAATTCATTAAATAAATTTACAGAAATGTCTTTTTTTTTTTAACTTACGCTTTTATGTCACACGAATCTTTGCTTACAGCTTGTGTTGTTCGTGACCAAAGTTGCTGACCAGCGTCAACAATCTGACGTAAATTTCTCTCTACTCTAGGTAGTTCTCCTTCGCCATCAATATCAGCTGTTAACTGTTCAGCTTGTTGAAGCAATTCTGTGAAGCCAGACATGTCACTGTCCATTTTGAGTACTATAAGCATCAAATGTTACTAATAAGATACATAATAAAAAGTGATTTTATAAATAAATATTTTTACTGAATCGTTAAAATAATTAATGTTGTCTAATATCAGACATTGTTGATGAGAATATCCTCGTAGCAAAATTGCAGCGACACTGTCTCAGAACAGTACTTTTGTTATTTTAAATTCACGGAGAAAGATTTTTCTTTTGAAAAGTAAAAAATTTTGCTTTTCTTCTCTACAGAAATTTACAAGTTAATCTGCGTAAAATTTACTTAAAATTACCTAATAAACATTAAATTTAAGTAATATTTGAATCATGCATTTAGATCAACACCATTGAATACGCTCAATTTACGCTGATAGTATCGTAAATCGAAGTAATGTTTCAATTGTATATTCGGCAGTTACTGATATTGATTTTCACGTGGTTTTTAAATATCCAGACATATTTCAAACAATATGGAAAATTGGAATCGTGCATTTGAGTATTTACTTTTTTAAGGCAATAATTCCAACGAATTTTTGACAGTTACTGCTATTAATTTCTCCATAGTTTTTAAATCTGATATTTTTTATTACTTATTAAAACAACCTTATCTCGAAACGAAACACATTTGAGGAGTCCGATTCACGTGATTTCGTTGTCTATCTTTTTTTTCTGCAATTACTACTACGGATTTTTAATTTTGTTTCTTATTGTGATAATTATTTACAAAATGCTAAGAAGGAAATAATTTGTGTGTCTGCCCCCTCTCCCAACAAGATGCGAGAATATCACCCATATTAAAATAAAAAATTATTACATATTCAATTAAAAAATATTATAGTTTCATTGTAAACACAGCGTTTTTGTTATTTTAAATTAGTAACATATATGCTTGCTATTATTAAAAATATCTTGCAGAAAGATATTAGTGCTAGAGAGTCTTGTCGCAGATAGCTCGAAAAAATTCTGCCACAGGAAAGGATATTTGACGATAGAAAAGGGAATAGGTATAGGTACTGATGTTTCATATAGGTACCAGTTTCTATAATTGTAACTGTCCGCTTTAATATAAATTTTTAAAAAACAATCCACCAAAATTTGGAAATTAGGCTTCAATACCAATGCGGACATTTTTCCCAACGTTCCATGGCAATTTAAATTTGTGTGATGAAATGGTGATAAAAATATTTTTTACGCCTAACAAATATTGCTAAAGTAACAGCAGTGCATGAAGAAAAAATTCTTACTTTGCAGGAACCCTATCCAAAATACAAGGTTTTTCATTGCAATATTGTTAGATAGCTTTAATTTGCAATTAATTATTATGAACTATTATGTCATGTTTCTGTATGGAAGTTCAAGCCAAAAATTATGAGCAGTAAAATTTACTGTGTTTTAGTCTTTTACAATTGAAACTAGTATTATTCATATATTACTTTTTTTAATAGTGCTTTTTATGAACTAATGTGCTAAAAAAATTAATGTAAATATTTAATTAGTTAATATTTATCCTTTAATATTGCTTCTGGTGTCTTTCTTACGGGTATCCTTGCTCCTGGGTTCTTTAGTCCATAGTCCATTGTTTTAGGTTCATTGTCTATATTTTTTTTATTAAATTTTAATCCAGATCACTCTTAAAAACAGATCACGACTTGATAAAATATGTAAGTTGTCTTTTGGAAAAATTAAAACCCTCCGGATGATTTTTTTTAATGATAAATACTGAAAAGTGCTCCATCTAACACCGGTTCCCACTTCAAATGAAACAAATATACCATTAAAGAACCAGACTACTATATGCACTTAACGAAATTAAATTAAACATATACAAAGAATGTGTGTGAAATATTGTGTATTCAAAGAATATACAAAATAATATATAAACTTGATACAACAGGACTGTAAAAGTAGCTTCAAATAATAAAACTCCTTTATAAAGAATAAATAGTTAGAAATATAAGGAATCAGTCTAAAAGCTTTATGTATTTAAAAGCAAAAAAAAAAACAATACGGACATTCTATGTCATGCAATTTAAAAAGAATAAAATAATTACATTTCACACAAATTACGAAGTTTTGAATGAAATGTTTTTAATGTTTTGAAAATTTTTGCGGTGCGGTAATAACAATTGAAGTTACAGTGAAATAATAATTGATGATTTTTTGATTAGCTAGTAGTTAGGCCTCTATATTAATACTTTTAAAATGATGAACCTTATGCCACATTGTAATTAAATAAATTACACAAAAACCTGATTTTTCGATTTTGTAACTTCGTTTTTACTATGATCACTGAAAATTCAAAGAAATATTTTGTTAAATCCATATGCAAATGAGTCATTCATTCATCACGGTCATGGAATCTATCGATTTATTAATGTTCTTAACCGTGTCTGTCGCTGCGCTTAATGATTCATTTTCAACTGTCTGGTCGCTATCGTTAAGTTACTGAACTTATATATTTGGGTGGGGCTTAAAATTATTGCCTTAAACTTCAATAAATTTTTCTGAAAGATGGAAGAAACAAAGACAGCTTCTACTGAAAAAGTCGGTGATGGAAACACTGACACCGAAACCAAGCCAAAGACTGAAAATGAAGTTCAAGATGCTGTTGAAGCCAAGGAAGAACAGCCTCCTGCTAAAGAGATGAAAGCTGTTGTTCTTACCAGTTTTGGTGGGTTAAAAGCAGTTAAAATTCAAAATAAACCCGAGCCCACTGCTGCTGAAGGTGAAGTCTTAATTCGTGTCAAAGCATGGTGAGTAATTTTAATGATTCAAATCTTCTCAACTCTTAGCTGTCAAAGTGAACAACGGTCTGAAAATAATTATTTTCTTTGAACTGTGTGTAATATTACCACTGATATGGTAAAATTTAAAATCTTATCCCGAAGTGTGCTTTTGCCAGCTCATTTGAGGCAAATTGCTTTAAGACTTTTTCTGTAAAACTTAACTGCTAGCTTGTAATTGTTAAAATGGCTTCAGAAGTACAAATTTAGCTGTGGTAACCATATGTTTTTAGAAAAGAATGTTAATGGAACTTTTTTCTTCATTGCTGGTTAGTATTGCTGAACATATTTTCAATACTGGAACTTTAGTTTCAAGCTTATCTCTTAAAATTGCTTTATTTCATCAGGTATTTTTCTGATATAAGCACTTACAATATATGTGTGTTACTATGTACTTATTTAATAAAATATTATAGTGATTTTATCACTTTTAATTATGCCACACCTAGATAGTTTAACAGTTAATGCAAATTTCAAAAATTAATGTTAGATATTTAAGTAATGCAAGTAATAGTTTATTAATGAATTTATTATATTAGTATGAAAGGTATGTTAAGTGAGTTTAATAATGCTATAAAGATTGCTGGCTTTTCCTGCACTGTCACCCCCAACCTTTCCCAAACCAGGGCTCCCAATGTAGCAGTATAAATAGTACTTTGTTAATTGTAACATTTTTAGAATTTAAGTGACTTAAACTAGGATGCTGGCTATATATTAATCATTCTTCAAATTACATTAATTGTGGGATTTGTCGTTTTAATTACTATTCAAACTTTCTGAAACATTGTTTTCTTGGACATATTTTTCAATATAGCCTAAAAGAATTAAGGGACATTTTCGAATAGCAATATGCCATACCATATATAATTACAATGTGCCAAATTTATTTTAAACAGGAAAAAAATTTAGATGTTTGCTTGGGGGTGGCTACTGGCCAAGAATTATACCATTAGATTTGGTCTTTTTCTTATTAGTTATCTTCCTTGGCTACTGCTTGGGAGTTGCAAGGAATTGGCAATTATTTTGCCATGGATCAGGATACAGAAATCTCTGTGTGCCTGTTGTAGTTCAAGCTACATCAAGGCATTGTTTATTTTGTTTTAATGGCTGGGAAAAAGAATTTTCTTAATAGATCAGTTATGAAAATTTAGATAGACACAGGGCTGAAATTTTATTCACCTGTGGAGGTCTAAATTTTTATTAAAATAGTGACTGTCATTACTAGAAAAATTTTAAGTGGTTTCCAAAATGTCTGTCTGTGAACTGATCCATTATCTTCACGTAAAATTAATAAATATCTTGAAAATTTTTGTTATTGTCTGATTATGATTTGTATGTAAATTAGTAAACATGTAAATGCTTTTTCACTAGCTTGATTTTTTTTGTTTGTTGCAACTATTTATGCAGAAAAAAGCTAACCTTAATAAACTCTAAATGTAATACTGATCATTACCAAAAATAGTTTGTAATCGTTAGCATTTTGGAATAATGTGTAGTGTTTCAAAGATATAATTTTATAATCTTTTTAGTGGTTTGAATTTCTTGGATGTTATGTTGAGGCAAGGAGCTGTCGACAATCCTCCAAAACTACCAGTTATTATGGGTTATGAATGTGCTGGTGAGGTTGAAAATATCGGGGAAGGTGTTACAGATTTTCAAGTAAGTATTGCAATCTTGGTATTATATGTATGTAAAAAAAAAAACTTATGTGTTGATCTAGGTATAAAATTGGGGCTGTTTCTGCACCCCTTCTCAAAATTCTTATTTGTAAAGAAATTTCTTTCACAAGATTCAAAAAATTAATATTAAATAAATCACTATTTGGCATGTTTTGAAATGTTTATCCTGTAGTCTACTAATTATTTGACAATATGATTAAGCTGGAAATAAAATTTAAATACTATTTTTAAGGCATTGTAAAAAACTAGTTTTTATCTTTTATCAAATAACTACATATATTTTGAAATGTTGATATTAAGTATTTTAGTGATGACTAATATTAAATGTTTTTTATAGACAAATTAGGTCTAAAAAACCTGTTTTGAGCCCCTAGCAAATTCCTTACTGTTTACAGCTCAAAATTAGTATTTATTTTTAATAAATAACGCGTAACATTATAAATGCTTTTAAAATTATGAGTTTTTTTAAAAAAATTCTAAATCTTTCATGTCTTTAATATTTTGAATTTTATGTAATTTCATAGATTTAAAATTCCATATTCAGAGCTGATTGTGCTCCTGGGAAAATCCGGATTTCTGGATTTTTCGCTAACAGTGATCCGGACGTTTCTGGAGATCGAAGGTCCAGACAATTAAAAAAAATCATTGATCACAGAAGTTTCCGGAAATCAAATTTTCAAAGGTGGAACTTGAAAATAGTTTATTTTATATGTTTGTAAGGGAGAGCCAGACAAATACTTTATAAGCTTATATTCATGATTAATATTCATTTTTTTTTTTATCAGTATATAGTTGTTATAATCATAAACTCAAGAAAGACATATTTGTTCATTTTAATTACTTCTCTAGGTCATAGGTATGTGTAAATGGTATACATATGTGTAAAATTTTAAATATATTTTAAATAAACTAAGAAATATTGAGAAAAAAGAAAAATAATTCTAAAATTTTTTCAATTTAAACTGCTTTTTTTGTTTTTTGTTAAACTTGAGAAATTTTCCGGAATTTTGACTTGGGCTCACAATCGCCCCTGCATATTAAGTGTACTAGAAATGTAAGTAAGCAATAAGTATTGTCCATACAGTATTAAACTAATGTAAATTTGTAAGTATTAAAGTGCTAAAATTTTCAGAAGAAAAAATATGATTAATTGTAAAGTTGATAAATATGTGAGCCTGAGTTGGTTTTCTGGAGCATTTAGTAAACTTTGAAATATATTAGTGTTCTCCCTAATCGTTTTTAGAAAGGCTGCCTGTCTCGACTGCCACTTCATCTCTATAAATGTAGCCTCCATTCCTTATTGTAAAAATAGGCAGTCATCCCTTAATACTACCTTTTTTTCCCCCTTTCAAGAATAAGTTTTCTTTTCATTATTTTTAGTCCACTTCTGTTTTACTTAGTTATTGATAATTGTTAAACTTAGTTTTGATTTTATTCCTTCATTATAGTAGGATTTTTCTTTTGTCTAGTTACATAGATATTAACATTATATTTGGCCTTAGAGACATTAAAAAAAATTTAGGAAAAAAGGTGTATTGAGTATCTTTAAATTTTACCAATTTTAAATACCTTTTATTTTTGAAAAAGCACCTTTTTAAATGTAGATTCTCATAATTGCTTAGAATATGAAAAGTTTTAATTTATTTTTCTAAAGCACCTTGCCTTTTTTTCTTTTTTTTTTTTTCTTAAGAACTGATATATCAAGACCAAATTTTGTTGATAGTATTCCTAGATTTAAAATGTTTAGTTTCAGATCAAAAAGTTTAAGTAATTGTTAAGTTTATTGCTTGTTGTATGTAAATATTTTATGATTGTTAATTTTTTAGATTGGTGACAGAGTTGCTGCCATGACAGATTGTAAAGCCTGGGCTGAGCTTGTGGCAGTCAATACAAAATATGTGTACAAACTTCCTCAAGATATGAATTTTCAAGATGCTGCAGCTATATTGATGAATTATGTTGTGGCTTATGGTCTTTTATTTGACACAGCTTGTGTTAGAGCAAATCAGACTATTCTGATACATTCAGCTGGTGGTGGAGTTGTAAGTATAAACAGTGAAATTCATACAGCTTCTCTACTTTTCAGTTTAATTTTTATTTCAAATTTGATCTTGCACTTTTCCTAATACTGAAAATTTCCTTGGAACACTTTTTAAAGTATATAATATACACTAAAATAAAATTTAAGGTTTCAAAAGATAGAGGTTTGCTGTTAGTATGAGTTTTTTTTTTGTGTGGAATTAAAAATTAGTATCATTTAAAATGAAATTACCATTAAGGTTTTGCTACACCATCCATGCTATAATTTTAATAATTTCTTAAGGTTTAAAAAAAATTAATATATAAAAGAAATTTCTTAAGGTTTAATGCCAGAGGTCTGTCTAGGTATTTCTGAGAGGTACCTATTATGTGAAAATTCAGACATAATTTGTGAAAACTTGAATATTATATTTAAAAATCAACACAAGTATCGATTTATCATTTCTTCAAGAGATACAAATATAAAATTTTAAGAAAAAATATTTTGTGAAACTACAGTTTTTTCTAAAGTTGAATTTGTGAAGGTCGCGCTAAACGGTAGTAAATTTGGCCTGAACAGACCCCTGAATGCGTACACAATTTATACTTTTAATCTCCTTAATTTTTAAATTACTAATTTTNTTTTTTTTTTTTTTTTTTTTTTTTTTTTTTTTTTTTTTTTTGCTTGGTTATAACATTGAAGTCCGATTTTGCAGTCTTATTTTATGCTTTTATATGTATAAAAATAATTTTATATTTTTCATAGATTTATTTTTAAAATTCTATGTAGCATACTTTAAGTTGTCTACTGAAAATAAGTCAATGGTCTTATGTAAAGTCCCAGTGTTTTCATCATAGATAAAAAAAAAATGGGTGAAAATTTCTCAACCTTTCTCAAAAACAGGGTGAGATTTCTAAAAACTAAAAAAACACAAATAGACTTGGAAAGAAAATCCTTTCTTTTATTTTAATACATTTTTAACGTCTTCTATTTTTTAAAGCATTGAATATTCTTGCTGCATCATAGAAGATTTTGCCTTTACTAGGTATTTGGCCATCTTACATTAGTGCATAAAAAATTTGAACGTCTTACATGAAAAAACCTTACCTACGTGGTTGCAGAGAAATGTGTTCTGAAAGGGGTTCCGTGGTTCGGTTGTGTTCTGTTGTTTGAAATGGTTCTGAACAATACTGGTGAATAGGGAAACTAGATAATGGTGCAAATGTTGAAAATAATGAAAGATCCAGGAAGAAAAGTGAAACTGATTTTATTCTAAATAGCGTAATTCGAAGCTTCCAAAATGCTAGAAATTAGCGAATTTTGAAATTGATTTATAGAATGCGCAAATTTCTCGCAGTAATAATTTTTTAATGCGAGAAAAGAGAAGAAAAAATATGTGAGATTCTCGCGCTGTAGTGAAAACACTGAGTCCATTTTATAGGTCAATATTTCTATTTTAAGAAGCTGATTTGGGTTGTCACTTTCTTTTTAATAAGAGATGGAGTAATTTAAAATGTATCCTTGATTACTAACTCAAGCAATTTGTGAGGTGAATTAATAAAGGCATTCTTTTTACTTATTTCTTATCTTTACATTTGTATTTTTAGGGTTTAGCTGTAGCTCAACTTCTGAAAACCGTTCAAAATGTTACACTGATTGGCACTGCCTCAAAGCACAAAATTGAGTCTATTAAGGATCACTTCACTCATCTAATTGAACATGGCTCTGATTATGTTCAAGAAGTAAAAAAGTAAGTTTATAACTTTTTTTTTATTAAAACAAAAGGTCCTGACGAGATGTGTTACACTCAATTTCCAGTGATCTGTCCATGCTTTATACTAAATATTAAATCTTGCCTTTTAGCCAAAGTACTGTTTTTGTTAATGTGAAATTTTTTTATTCCAAAAATAAATTTAAGAATTATTTGGTATAAAGACTTCCTGTAAATAAGAGAAATTATTACTACTGTAAGGCTAGGCGTGAGTCATTTTTGTCACTATATTAAACAGTAACTTTTATTCAGTGTTTTTGAGGCTTAATCACTTATCTCACTTTTCTAGTAAAAAAAAAGATTCATCCAAATGGGTGGGGCATGTAAGAGGATTGAATATGTGAAGAAAAATAGACAGTTTCCACTTTCAAATGAATTCCTCTTGATATGCAAGTCATTCACTGTATCGGGGAATGATTTTTATTCATGCTCTATCTTTATTTTCTTATATGCCGTGGAGCTGCAGAACATGAAAATTTGTGTATTTCTCCTTGAATTGAATTTCCTTTTTGTAGATTTCATATGTACCTTAAATATGCTTAATAGAGCTTAATTTTGCATCAAAAGATTAAAAAGATGTTATGTCATGCAAATTTAAGTGCTGTCTTTTTGGCACGTAATTTCACACTGTTGAATGTTTGTTATTATATTTGATTTCGTTAGTTATTAAGAATTATTTTCAGTCCTTTCATGTGGTTTTTCAAATTGTGCTGTTTTTTGTAACAATGTTATGACACACTAATTTTAAATTGGAGAATTTCAAATTGTTTCACCGTATATTTACTTGGTTTTATAAACATTTCATCACTCACATAATTGACAAAGTTCTGAAACAACAAATAAATCTCATGGTTTTTAAATCTCCGTACTTTTAATAACAGCTATTTGTTAAAAATTAATTCGAAAATTGTTCTCGGATATATTTTTTTCTGGTGGCAGTTTAGTTTAGTTTAATTATTTTTGCATGTCTCTTAATTTTTATTAAATATTGTCCAGTTGTCACATAAAATATAACTGAAAGATTTTTCAAGTAAGCTTTTTACTCTCAAACTGTTTACTCGAGCTGTATGATCTAACACTAAGAAATAAGTGTTTTTAGCTTTCAATAAATGACATGCTTAGTTGTAACAATTAATGTAACTATTTTTTTTCTATTCATATCATTAGTCTAATTCAATTATCCAGAAACGTTTTTCGTTTTTGATGCTTGATTGTTGAAAATTATAATTGTTTTGAGGCATGGTTTGGAATTTGTGTTTCAGATTGGCTCCAGATGGTGTTGATATAGTTTTGGATTGTCTTTGTGGTGAAGATGCAAACAAAGGTTATGGTCTTCTGAAACCAATGGGTCGATACATTTTATATGGTAAGTTTGTCACCTTTATCAGAAGTATATTTCTTAGTGTTTCATAGAACTTAAAATTTGTTTTAATTTTTATAGGAAATTCTAACATAATCACAGGAGAGACCAAAAGCATATTTAGTGCAGCTAAATCTGTAAGTTGTGTATTAGTATTCTAGTTAATGTCTTAATATAATCTGGTTAAGATTTTGTGGCCTTTATACTAGCCCCTTGTCTAGAAAACTGCTGATCAATATGTCATGGTAGTCTAAGTTTAATTTTGATAGTCCTGGACCATCAGACCATCCTTAAGTTCAATGCTTTAAAAGGATTTTGAACTGCAGATCATCTGCAAAACAATCTACCCTCTCAAAATTAAGTTTCTGTGGAAAAAAATTATGCAATCCTGGATAACTTAAATCTGTATTTGTGAGTAGTCGTTCGACTTATACTTTGAATTTAAATTGAATATATTTTAAGATTTCCTTTATTTTTAAGGCGCAGCATGTCCTCTCTGGACCTTGCGCCATTAAAACTTATTTTTTTAAAAATTAGCATAACTAAGAAGTGTTATAATAAAATTATAAACTGGAAATATAGTAAAAATTAGCATTTTTGACAGATGTTAAGTTTGATCTCCACAAATAGTTTTGTTATAATTGCTTAAGAGTTTTGTCAGAGTGCATTTCTTAGACTGAATAAAAGAATTTAGGATAGTAATAATGACTGAGCATTAAACCGTTAGGTGACTATTACAGTAAATCTCAAAATAGCAGGTGTGCAGCAGTACTCCTTATTTTCCAATAATTTTGCTAGTTGCAAAGGAGTGAAGTAGATAGACATAATAGGAACATCTCTAATTTACAAATCTAGGGGGAAGGGGCTGTAGTCAATCTGATAAATCGTATGAGAAATTTCTTAATTTGTTTACATTTTTTCTAGTGGTGGCAAGTTAGTAAGCTAAAGCCCTTGAAGCTCTTTGATGAGAATCGATCAGTTTCCGGGTTTCATCTGAGGCATCTATTGTACAAGCAAAATGGCCATGATTATGTTAAAGGTGTGGTTGAAAGAATCTTCAAGCTTTACTTAGATGGACAAATAAAGCCTGTCATAGATTCAACTTACGCATTCGAAGATGTGAGTATTGTAGATCTTATTTATTAAACACTCGTAGACATCTTATTTGGCATTGTAAATTCAGACAATGCTTACCTTTATTTTTATCTGTTTGATATTGTAGCATTTCTTCACTTGAGACTTCTTTTAGTTATAGTTTTACATTTAACAAAGTGTGGAACTTTAGTTGGTAGTGGTAACTTAGCTTTTTAAAGTTTAAGTTTATCTTAGGGGAATTCCTAAAATTCAAGATGTTTATTGTTTACTATGTTTAATTCTCTTTTAGTACATTTCTTAGGCTAATGACAATCCGGTTTTTTTTTTTTTTTGCATACTGTCAGTGCTACTTTGCAATGTGTCTACACGGCTCATTGTAATAAGCCTAGCAAATTAAGTCAAAAGTTGACAAAGAGCTGGATTTTTCCCATTAGCCCACAACGTATATTATGCATAGATGATTGTGCTCTGGAAAAATCCAGATTATGTATAAAAATTCTTGTATATTTTATTTAAATATATTAGAACTAGTATTTGTACTTGGTATCTTTCATTTGTAAATATTTTTTCTGGTAGGATAATAAATGTGATTAGAGATAAAAGTAAACTTATACATAATTACTCATTAAATTATATTATATTAATTCATATAATTTAGAACTTAGTGTTTTGGAAATATCAATAATTTAAATTTATAAAGACATTAATTTTTTTAAATACGTCATTAATGATTTTATTAGAGAAATTTTTAGGATTTTTTAGTTTGGCTACAATCACCCCTGATTATGTGAGAATATAAAGCTTGACTACATAATGGGATTTTTGGTCTCTAGTTATGCTTAAAATTTGAGCATATGTCCAATTGCTCACAAATATTTAAAAGTTTGCTATTAGTCTAATGACAAAGTTGTACTCTATTGTTTATAGAAAATAGTTTTTGGTGTTAATATCTGCAAAATCTAACAACTCTTGTAATATTTGAATAATATGGTAACTAAAATATTTTCAGATACCTGAAGGTATGCAGAAACTTCATGAAAGGAATAACATTGGCAAGATTACAATTGATCCTTCAATGGAACCAAAGCCTAAACCAGTGGTTTGTTTTATTTAATTAGTTTTAATTTTTGTAGCATTTTTATGTTGCAGTTAGTTTTTCTGTTTGTTGCTGTAAATTATTTATTTAGTTTAAAATTTAATTTCTGATATGCAAATTTGCATCGTTACTAAGTAAATAAGTTCATGATGTAGGTTGTTTCTAAAATTTTACATTTGAGTTATAACCTGAATAAAATCTTCTTAGTACCCAATTCATTTATTTAATGATTGTGTACATAGGTAAGGTTTTAAGTTTCTAAGTAAAATATAACTGATTTTGTACAACCAGTTAATTATTCTTAAAACAAATATTTTTTAAATACGTTATACATGTGTAATTTTTAAACACTATAGTTCTGTTCAAAATTTCTCTTTTACTTTAATATTTAGTTTTATTTTAATATTTAATCTTCAATTGACCTCACTTTTGAATAATCTTATCTTCTGATTAGATTTCTCCTGTAAAGTTTGTGCTAATATATTGTAAACCATGTCCTCATAGATCTGATTTTAAAATCTTAACTCTTACAGTGCAACTTATTTGAAACAAAGAATGGTAGTGCTATTGTATGTTTAATTTATTTAACTTAAAGTGTTGCAAACATGCAATGTCCTGTGGCATAATTTAGAGTGTAAATGACACTGTCTGGAATTCTCACAATTGATAAGCTTAGCCAAAGTCACTTTTTTGGAATCTGGAAAATTCTTAATTTTTTAAATGAGGGTGCAACACTATATTGGTTAGATAGTCACCATTTTAAAACATCTACTCCAGCTCAGTAGATTTTCTCAAACTTAAGAAGTTTTAGTATAGAGATTCTAAGTTTTTTAATTATTTCTGATTAAATACAGGTGGAAAGCAAGAAAAGGAAAGATTCAATGAAAGCTGACAAAAAGGCTAGTGTAAAAGCTGAAAAGACTGAAGAAAACGATGCAGGTAAAAAACCTGAAGAAAAATCTGAAAAAACAGAAGAGAAGCCTGATAAACCAGAAGAAAAGGATAAGGATGCTCCTGCAGGTAATAATCATTTCTTGAATTTTTAGATCTCTTTCTAATTTTATACATTTGTAATGTAGTTATTTAATCTGTACTGATCCATTACAATAAATTAGCAATTTTAAATAGTCACCAAAAATATATATTGGTGGGAGATAACATGAACCTAAATCTGTATTTTTAAAAATGAAGGGTTTGTTTTGATCTTATTTTAGAATTAAAGGTAATAAATAGTTCATGTATAACTTCAGTTGCCTGAAGAAAAGAAAAAATAAATTTTAAGAAATTGCAAAAGTTTCCAAAGCTAATACTTGCCAATGCTGAACCCAGACAATAAGCAAAACTTGAGCAACTGGTTGCTCAAGATGTGTAAGAATGAACTTAAATGAGCCACTTTTAGCCAATGGGCCATAACTTGTGCATCTCTGCTTTTAGTTTCTAGATTTAATCATTAAGAGGACTCTACTGTGTTAGAAAATTTACATCTTGTTGTCCTTCATTACATTGCTAATTTAAAAGAAAGGAAAAGTAAGTTCATGCAAACCTAGAGTGTCAGCAAATTTTAATTGCTGAAATAATGCTTCAAAATATTAAAATGTAAATTATTATGGCAAAATATTATTTCTGTATGCTTGTCTGATATGTAATCCTGAATTATCCTCCTTATTTTCATTTTGATACTTTAAATTTTTTTCAGTATTTGAAACTTCATGGCTTACTTTAGGTTTGTCTAAACTCTTTCTGTACTCTAAATAAGTAATGAAGGAAAAATAGAATTTACTCTGAAAATTCTCTTCCACATTATGTCGTCCTCTTAATTTGTTTTATAAAGAATAGAACTTAGATTATCGGATTTTTGGCTGCCCCATGGAATTAATGGACTTATCCATTGTAAGCTAATGATCTCTGTTGAATTGTTTTCAATTCATTGTTTCCTTCATCTTTCATCAATAAACTCTGAAATAATGATGAGATATAAATGTAACAAAATCTTATATCTGTAATTAGTTATTTCTGCAATAATTATGAAGTCAGTTATTGAATATTATATAAGATTTTTGTTTTCAAATGACATATTTTTAAGATGTATATTTTTTATTTTTAGATGCTAGTTAATTTGGGAGTATAGAAACCTGATAAATGAACCTCTTCTCTTGCTTTAAAAAAAGCTTGCATGTGCTGTTTATGCTGAAATTGTGGTATTATTTTTTACTTGTGCTGTTTATGTGTTAAAACACTGCTCAATTCTACAGTTTTTTATACTGGCAGATTATTTTTTCTCAACTTTTTACATTTTTGTTTAAAATGATATACACTATATTTTAAAAATGAATTTGTACTCTTTGAAGTTTATAAGCTTTGTATTAATTTTTAAACCTTAGATTTGTGCATCGAATTGCTTGATATTTAAATGTGATAAATCTGATCTTTTTTAATTTGAGATTTTTGATAAGGAACTGAGTTGTATCTACTTAATTATCACAGCTATGGTTGTAAAGTTCATGGGTCAATGTCTCTTTTTTTAGGAATGTATGCATTTTCTTTTGTAATGACTTTTCAAAGTATTTTTCTTTTTTAGACTATTTGTATAAATTGCATTCCATGTTTGCTACATGATATTTGTAACTTTGTAAAGGAACTTTTGTAAAAAAATTTACTTGTAACAGCTTTGTTTATACACGATCAAGTTTTTTTTTTCTAGTTAGTAGTCATTTTTTAGTTTGTGATATTTTTAAGTTCCTTTTTTTTTTTTGTCTATTTCTCTGCACTCTTGCTCAACTGTCATACCATTATTTGTAGTTATTTTTCTACCTCGTGTTTTTTTTTTACCCTAGATGCAGGTTTCATTTTAACTACTCTTTTTACCATTTGCAGTAGACTTTTAGTTCATTTGTAAGATTCTTTCAGCAACTGCTTTCATTGTTACTCATGAATTTTCGTTTATAATCGTTGTGCCTTGTCATTATTTCTGATTGAGAACTGCTTTCTCACAATAAACAATATTCTAATTTAATTGTGTTTTTGTTTTGCTTACAAGTTGCATGAAATATCACAACTTATTAATGAAAGAAAAACCTGGGGATAAGTTTTCATTCACAAGATTTGACAAAATACAAATGGCTTATATTATTATAAGAGCATTTTAACATTGTTCAAGAGTGTTTTGGTGAATATAATAAAAGTTTATTTTCCACAATCCTTGAAAAGCTAACATCCAGGGATGAGATTTTTCATCTTTTTTTTTACTTTTGTCTCTAGTTTCAGCCTTGAAACTCTGAATTATTGCAAACTCCAAATATTCTGCTTTCTTGAAAAATTCAGCCGTTGAAATAAAATAATTATATTTATTTTCAAAGATAAACAGAAAATTCAAAGCCGTTGAAATAAAATAATTACATTTATTTTCAAAGATAAACAGAAAATTCAAACTACATAGCTGCCGATCTTTCCACATTTTTACTTATCTTCTGCTCGTAAAATAATTTCAATTCTTATTTACGTGATTTAAATATCGTACAATGCGATTCTTCTTTACAAGATTTAAAAATCCAATATCACAATGTGTATGAGTTTTTAAAAACCTATCTAGCGATTCATATTCACAAGAGTTTTAAATCCAATGTCATGATTTGTTTGTGCGGTTATAACATCAAACATAGTTTTTCGTGTTTATACGTAATTTTAAAATAAGACATAAGATCTAAAAATTATGCACCATTATTCTTCTTTATCTAAAAATTACATTGTGGTTCGTCTGGGTGCGATCCAAACCTTGTGATTTGTATTTTTCATTTTTAAAGTCTATAGAGTTTTATATTCACATGATTTCAAAATCCGTTATCGTGATTCATATTCAAGTGAGTTTAAAATCTAAGATCAATATTTGTATTCACAAAATTTTAAAATAAATTATCTCGATTCTTGTCAGAAGTAAGTTTTTCTTTAATTAGTTTCTATAAATGTGACTTTCTATCTACAATTATTAGTATATATATGCATATTCAAAACCTACATTCTGTGCTTGCAAAGGTGAAGAAAGTTCATTTTTATTTTCAAAATAATTTAAAACTCCATATTACTGATATATTTGCTATAAATCACGCAAGAATATTTATTAAAAGAAATGGAATATTAATCTATGTTTTTAGTAGTTTTCATTTGCTAAACCAGGTAGTTTTTCAAGTAATAATTGTATAATTTCTAGCTTTGTTTTTTCAATTCATGATTTTTCTTTTTAGTAAATGTTAAGTCTCGATGTTATCATTTGTATAATAATAATCTACTACTACACAATTTTATGTCAACACAGTTATTTATTACTAAACGATTGCACCTGTGTAAAATTTACTATCGTGAAAATCCAGCTTTTTTGCCTTTGCTATAACCTCAAATTTATTTAATTTCTTTAAAAAAAAATAGTTGTTCATGACTACTGCAGGATGTTCAAAAGTTGGAGGTAATTTTGATCTTTAAATTTTTTAATTGAATTCTTATTAATTTATCAAGTAGAGTTACTCTGTTATAAGGAATATATATAAACTGAGCAGAATCACTTTTTCCATCTGAAATTATCAAGATAAAAATGGGGTGCAATAATCTGGTTTGTAAATCCGTAATAAGTTACTATAGATAGCGAACTGCTTTAAATTTCAGAACTTCTGAAATAGAGAAGAATATAGCTAAAAAATATATTTTGCTACCAAGGAATTATGTTGTCACGGGACTAATAATTTTAGGTACACATATGTACGTGGATCTCTGGTTTTGACTAAGTGAAGGAATATAAATTGCATCTAAAGGAGGAACAAATATGCATATTATTATATTATGGTATTTTAAGTCCCTATTGAAATAGAATTTTTGTGCTGATTATTGGCTTGAATATTTAAAAATGTGTCACTAATACATAAGGAAAAGACATGGTATCTGCGCACCTGGAAAGTCATAAATTTCAGTATTGAACAAAATTTGTCATGATTTTTACTAAAAGTTATGGATATAGGTCGCCGAAAAATCTAATTTTTAAAATTGAGTCCCCCCCCCCTCAAATTCATTGTGTTCCAAATTGAATTCCTAACAAAATCACTACTTACAGTCATATATTATTCGAATATAATATGTCTTTATCATGTTCTTTGAAAAATTAAGGTGTCCTTTCAAAAAAAGGAAGGAAAAACATCAATTCTAAAGCGAATTAATTATCTTTTAAACTTATGTGATTTAAGAATTTTTATTATTTATTTATTTTTTATCAATTTAAATTTCAAGCCGAAGCAAGCCAATCGTTGGCAATTTTTTTTTTTTTTTATCGAAATGAGAACAGGCGAATGAGGAGTATTTCTTTCCTTTCCTATGAACAAGAAAAGTATCTTTAGAATATGGTTCTGCAGGGAAAAAAATTTGCTTTTGTATCTTTTTTCAAGCTATTTTATTGCTTCCACTCTTTCTTTACTCTGTTTTTTAAATTTAAAATCTATAAATATGAAGATGTAGAGTATAATAGTTTTGGTTATAATTATCATTTCAATGAATGTTATTATAATGCTTTTTTTCATTTATTGTTACGTTTTTGTCGAAGAAAATAGTTAGTAAAAGCAAAGAAAAATAGCAGTAGTCATGAAAAATTCTTGGAATTAGTCATGAATTTGAAAATCTTAAATGTAGCAGATACCCTGAAGAGAGCCTCATTTATAAAATTCAGTTGACTACCTTTGATAAATTAGTTGCCTATTTCTATTGAAAGTCAAGAATAAACATTGCGAGATCATTTATTGTAAAATCATAACTGGAAAATATTGCAGTTTTTCTATTTTGATGACTATTAAAATTCCCTAAGATATTTAGTATATTTTGCAACAATTATCATGAAATTTATATATTTTTTAAAATCTACTGAATTTTTTCCTATCCGTGTTGGCAGCTATGGTAGTTTTTGTAAGTGCATTTATAATAAAAGCGTAAAAATTAGAGAACTGTTGCTTATACTGTATGTATGTAGTGACCCATGTTTTGGTCGTATACTTTGGTTTGATATTGCACTTTCACATATAGTATACTACTGCATCAAATTAAATAGACAAATTACGGGGCTTATGGTTCCCTAGACTAACTGCAGAAATTATTGAAAAGGCTTGTTTTGAGGGTGGTGCCTAGGTGTACCTGAGAGTACATGGTTAAATTATAGTAGTAACTGTGGAGTTCGAATAAGTGTCATTTCAAAATAATCTAATTGAATCTATTAAAATTACAGAACAATAATGTATTTGAAACTTTTTTATAGCTAAAAAAAAGAAGCAATTACTATCGAAGGTGTAATATTAAAAATTTCAGGTTGATGAATGAAGATCTCTACTTCTACTAGTGGAAAAATGAAAAGATATGCACTATTCTTTGTTTAATGTAAATAATAGTGAGGTTAAAAATGATTGAACTTAGTGGACCATATAACACCTCACGTTTGTGGATTAATTACCTTCGTAAGTATTTAAAAAACATCTAGATAGAGCTATAAAAGCCTGAAGTGTAGCATGCCACATCTTAGCGGAATTTGACCATTCTCGACCCCATTCATTCCAGATGAAGACGCCTTAGGAGACGGACGTGCCTTGCGAGTTCTCCGAGCCGGGGGCTCGGTCGTCAGTCAGCTGGATGACCAATGATGAGTTCCGGCCAGCCAGTCGTCACCACCTCCCTGCCTTAGCGATGATCTCTTCCTCTCTTCGTGAGCGTTTGATGCAAGCCTGGTGACTGCAGTTCTTCTGCGACGTCGATCACTGATCAATGTTTGAAAGACAGAACATCAAGATGAAATAGTTTTCAAATCCAGCCAACGTGAACACACCGTGTAAGCGGCAGTAGTAACTCGTTTAGCCTCGACGTACGTGAACGTGATGATTGCATTGACCTTTCGTTAGTAGCATTTAGGCCTGTCCGACATATTAATGGCGGTCATTTGCATTTGAAACCGACTGGTCGAAGCGTGTTTCGCAAGTAGCGGGTCCTCGCCCAGTTTAGTTACTAGCGGAGACTGGAGATGTTAATTATGAATTCAAGATAAGTAATCTTAAAAACAGCGAGATGTTTTCCTCAAGCAAAGCACAGTAGACTTCATTTTTGTTGATTACTCTCAACTCTTTTTCAAGTCACCACAGCTTTTCCGCACCATGGCAATGTGCCATTTTCTCCCCACTTCAACTTTAGCATTAAGCTTATCACCTCAAGGCTTCACCTCAACGATCCTTACTTCATGATGAAGGGGTAAAGGGCCTTCTTGGCCTCAGGGACCCCAACCAACAAGACCACATCTTAGGTTGACTAAAAATATATAAATGAGGTTACGAAATAATAACCTAAAGTAGAACCTGGAACACCTCACTTTAATAAAAAATAACTTTTCCAAGTGTCATAAAATACACTTGAGGTTGATTTTTTTATGACCTGAAGTGTAAAATAGCACACCTTAGGTAGATAAATAAATACCTCGACAACTATGTAAATCCTCATCACGCTAAAATAGAACATCGAACACCTCCCGTTCATAAAAACAACCTATCCAACGGTCGAGAAATACACTTGAAGTTGATCTGTAATAATTTAATGTGTAAAGTAACGCATCTTAAGTTGATAAAAATAATACCTCTACAAACATGAAAATATGTACTTGAGGTTGAAATATAATAACCTGAGGTAGAGCATAAAACACCTCGCCTTAGAAAAAAAAAAAAGTAGCTTTACAATTGTCAAAAAATAAACTTGAGGTAAATCCAGAATAACCTAAAGTGTTAAATGAAACACATAAGGTTGTTGAGTAAACTCCTCCGTAGGATTAAAAAATATATGTACTTTAGGTTGATAAATAATAATCTAAGGTTGAAAACAAAAAACCTTTAAGTTGTAAAATATATACCTCTCCACAAATGTAAGATAAAACACCTCAGGTTGATACATAAATACCTCTGGAGGTAGTTTCGAGGTATTTATTTGCTCCCTTTTCAACCTAACGACGTATTCAGA